GCAAAGTGGAAAACCAGACGCAGTCTTCACACACACACACACACACACATACACAGTGTGCATGAACTATGAAGATGTTTTTCTACTCGCATGGTGACAGACAGCAGCTAACACACAACAGATCGCTCCCAGCAGAGAACACACAGCCGTCACATCATTAACACCTCCTGCTGCGTACCGCCGGGCCGCCGCCGTCTGGGGACACGAAGCCGAGAGGGGAGGCTGCACACTCAGGACGGAGAGGTGCTATGAATGTGTGTATTCGTGTCTCCAGGTGTGTGTGTGTGTGTGTGTGTGTTCTCTCTATCTCCCAAATGCCTCAAACTCATCTGCTAATTAGTCAGGAGCAATTAAGTGCGCTTAAACTAACCGCACACAGCGGCAGCCTAAACACACATGCAGGTAAACAAATAATCACAAACGCAGCAAATGACTCACTTTAACTGTATCAGCTAACAAAAAAAAGGAAAGCAAACAGAAATATAGAGCGAGGGAATCGCTGTCGGTGTAGATGAGTGGGAAGAGGAGGGGGGGGGGCCGGAGTAAAAAGGAGTAAAGCAAGAAGGAGGAGAAAGAGATAATCATAAGTCCCAATGGACAGATTGAAGCGGAGTGGATTCTATTGCACGCTATCTCTCATTTATATGCTAATTCGCGCTATTAAAAGAGGGAGAAAGAGACGGGAAAGGAGTCTAATGAATAGCTCTGATCGCTGTTTGTTCAGAAGTTAGTTTGTGTTTTTGCAGAGAGGAGCGACCGGCCTCCTTTGTAACAAACTGTGGCTCCAACGTGGAGAGTGAATAATTGAAATGAAACGGAGAAAAACACATATAAAATAAAGCCAGAAAGAACGATGCTATCAATGTAATTCAATTTGGATTAACGCTGAAAATCATCTCCTTTCATCCCTCCTCCCCTCCTTCACTTTTGTTCCTTTATGATACTGATAGCCACTTGAGTGCTTCCCTCATTTTCTGCCTTAAGCTTTCTGCTGCTGCTGAACTCAATTCAGCGCAATTAACTATAAATATGAGCTCACGTGCGCACAAATAGTGCGTCGCTGCACCGAGGTCACGTTAGGGCGCCCACAACGGACAAAGCACGGTGCACGGACAGACGTCTTTGTCATGTTGTCTAAGTGTCACGGATCGATGGCACAGGTCCAGGGGCCCCGGGGGGGTCAGGGGCCGCCCCTCGGCCTCCAACGATGTCACTGACAGAGACACGAATCAACCAGGATGACGTTCAAAATGACCACAGAGAGACTGAAAAAGACCACGAAGGGATGCAGAACAACAATTAAAGAGATGCACAAGACTACAAACAGAGATGAAAGGACTAGAAACAACTACGAAGACTAAAAAGACACACATAAGGACGACAGAGGAACATCAAATAACTAGAATGACAAAGACAAGACTTACATCCACAAAGAAACACAAAAAGATAACTAACAATTGACAAAACAACGACATAAAGACACACAACAACGAAGAGAGCCTGTGTGTGTTCTGGTTCCCGTGATCCACGGAGCTGTGAGATCACACATCACACTGGACGCACACAACCAGAAGTCTAAGGTCAAACAAACGCCGATCAACACAACAATGAGGGAACGCGAACGCGTTTCATGTAAACACACTGAACCGTTCCTGAAGCAAAGCTTCACCCTGACGGCGTCTGTGATCCGTTGAGCACGTGTGTCCTCTCTCCGTCTCTTACGTGACTAATTCAGACAAACAGAAGAAGCGTCCGCAGAGGAGCTTAACACACACACACACACACACACTGATCATTACCTCCTTGTCACAGACACTTAAGGAAACACAAAGAAGAAGGAGTCGCCAACGCTGAGGTGTGTGTTTGTGTAGAGACCACGTGTGAGGGTTTCCACGGGGCGACATACGGAGGTTCTTGTGGGGGGGGGGTGATCGCTTTTCCAGCGCTGTCGTCACAAAGACGCTCTTATACTCCAGCAGCCCTGCTTCAACCCATCAATCTTTCGCACCTTTCACGCTGGCGGCTGCGGGTCAAAGGGCCTCGCAGATGGCCGACGCGCCGAGGACGCACCGAAGGAAACGTCACAGAGGACAAGAGATACTGAGCAATTTGAGACAAATGATAATAAGAAATGACAATAAAATGGAAAACGTATTGGTGAAAGCACAGTGAAGGAGGCTCAGACCTCGTCTTCCGCTTCGTCCTCCTTAAATATGTCTTCCCTCGACACGTTAATTCTCACTGTGAAACATGTTGGAAGGACGTTCTGCAAGCAGAGGCTTATAAGCACCTTATGATCAATCACACCGAGGGCGAGTAAGTCACATTCCTCCCTAATATATATATATATATATATATATATATATATATATATATATATATATATTTATGTCTATATTTATAGTTCCATATCTATAACTCGTGAGGAGTGAATCTGAGTAAAAGAACGTTCCTCATCATCTTTATTTCCATTTCAACATTTCTTTATATTATCTTAAATTGTTGGACCAGACATTTTGAAGGGTTGTTCAATAAAAACATTTACACAGTATATTATCAATGTTGTAAATCGGACACACTTGTCAGAGCGCCACGAATATTCAGGCTCCCCTCAAACTGCAGAAATAAAAGGCTATTGTTGCTCTTTAGAAACCATAAATAAATCTCTCGCGGGTGACTTGTTGGCCCGGGACCAACTTTACAAATAACTGATGTTAACCCTTAAATATGATTTAAATTCACGATCATATCACGATTTTTCTGCATTATAATAACAGATTGCACGTGCTTGTTTCGCATATCGTTCCAGAACCACGGGCACTTTTTGGCAGCTAGAACAGCTTCACAGCAGCACTTTTTGGAACCTGCATCTGGGAAAACTCCCCCCAAAAGAACTGCACAAATAAACGTGTTCGTACAGTAAAAACCAGGAGTTTTTGTTCAGTCGCTTTGTTTCGGCATCAGCACTGAATCACTGGAATCCATTTGCTGGTTAATGAAGAAGCATTCTCTCGTAATTCCACTCGAACCTTCAGTTCGGCCGACCGCACAACCGAGAACGGACAGTTTAGATCAACGAAGACACCGTTGGCAAAACGAGAGCTAAAGAGTGCAGTTAGCCAAATACACAAATCACACATTTTCTACCTACAATGTTGACAAAAGGAGCCGTAGTTGTATCTACCGGTCCAGCGCCGTTTTCCCCAGACCAACCAATCAAAACTAACCCAAAGTGACCAAACCGTTCACTGTCACAGCCAGATGCTTCCCTCAGGCGGTGGTGGAGACCAAAAGCGGAGCTCAAAGAGGTCCAGATGCTTCCCTCAGGAGGTGGTGGAGACCAAAAGCGGAGCTCAAAGAGGAGTGACCGTATGACTCACACCTACCAGGTCGACAGGCGCAGTGGATATTAATGCTCGTTGGTATTCGGATGCAATGTCATAGCGGGAAGGAGGAGACGGGAGGCGACTAAGAGCAATGAACAAGAGGAGGAATTTCACTTGAGATCTGCGAGGTGGGTGAAAAGCAGCCGGTAAAAAGCATGAACGTAAACACTGCGCAGCGTATCAAATCCTCAACACTGCTACCGTTTAAACCTTAAAGGAAGCGAACACAAAGGCGCGCGACACCAACACCACCGACAAGTTGAGTTGATGTAATGCCGATTTTATCCCCTTTGAACGCCGATCGAACCGATACGAGACGTGAGCGGTTCACTCCAAAGTAAACTGAAGTCTGAAAGTGTGAGGGCCCAGTGTGTTATGGGAATGAACCACCTCAAAAAGGTGAGTTCACAATCAACGTGGTAAAATGTTCCTTGCGCAGGCGACTTAGAGGCACGTTTTCGCCCCCAAAAGATAAACGCGCTCCAAAGTTAAGCGCGGGCGCGATTGATTTAGACGCGAAGAGCGTTTCATCACGGTCGCAGAAAAGGAATCAACAAACAGTTTCACACATAACAACGTGAGCAGATGTTGCCTTTAAAGTGGAGAAGATTACACCCTTTTCACGCCGAGAAATATAAAACAAACAAACTACGAGGCAAAAGTCAATTTCCCTGCGCTTTTCTTCTCTCGTTGTGTCTTTCCGCTCTTTTCTCCTTGAACGGATGCTTCGACACAGCCGAGGAAAACCGTTTGCACGTTGACCAGATTACCAGCTGTTTTTAACCAACTCTTCGTCAAACTCAGTTTTTATTCCCAAAGCGCTGATATGAGAGGAAATATTGAAAGGACAGGATTAAGAGGACAAAGCTTTTTTGTCTTCTCATGAATGAGAAATAATGCATTTTGTTCTCATGAATTCTATAAACAGACTTATCTTGTTTGTTAACAGTTTTTCTTTGTACTACATCATCATCACCTCTACATTAATGTAATATGTTGCAGTTTGTCATAAGTGGGATACTTTGGGAAGGAAGGGTGTACGTTAGGCTCCAGCAGCACAGAGGCGTTGTATGCTGCTCACATTGTAAAGTCCTTTCAAGCAAATCTATTATTTAGAACTTAAATTTGACAAATATTTCCTCAGTTTCTGCAGTTGAATTTTATTGTTGTGCAGAAAGAAATAGTAAAATGTGAGTTAAAGATTCTCAGAGAATCAGCATGTTTAATGAGAGAAAAATGAATATATGTGACATTTGTATAGTGAATCAAACTGAACTGTTATTTTCTAAACTTTGTTGACCTTGCTGCTGCCGCCTTGGACACGACTCTTAAAATAAATATAATAAATAAACAAAAATAAAAGAACGACTGAAAAGAAAACCCAAAGCTGAGGACTTGACTTTGAAGCAATAATTTGCGGTGGTGTCTGGATGTTGTATTTGCGTGTTTCATCAGTTTCCTTCAGCTCGGGTGGCTTAGAAAGTCTCATGCTGCCTCCTGCTGTTCTCAAGCTGAAAACGCATTCTTCAGCTGAAACGCTTTAAAACACTAATAATGAACTCCAGCGTGAGCCAAATGTGTTACAGTGCCTAAACAAAAGCATATGGAGGACCATTAAAGTTCTGTACCATTACATTTCAATATGAGTGAAAATCACAGAACAGTGACCAACAAATAATATCATCGTTTTATTCAAATTAGTTGAGTTTAAATAGATTTCTGTAAGTCATTGAATAATCAGACTGCTCCACTTTCATGTGTATCCAACTCCTCCAGCTTAGATGGAGAAACAAAAACAAACCTATACACAATGTTACAGTCTGCAAAATACAAATATTTGTGTTGAAATTGATCAATTTGGTCGCGACACAGAAATGAAAAGTTGGTTTTAGTGATTATGACACACACGCACAAATTCACATTAATAAACATGTACACACCCAGATCCAATATGGACCACTTGTTGTATTTCTCCCAATCAAAAGCATCCAGATCGTGTTCCTTACATACGTCATATAATACACAAGCTGCTTAAGCACAAGAGAACATCAGGACATCGGAACCTGAATGTTCCCCCCACTTCATTCTTCTAATGAAAACCTCAATATGCAGTAAATTGTTTTTAATCAAAAGGAGCCGTCACGATCTCCTGCTGTCAAACGTCAAGAGGGAAAAGCTGTGAGTGTGTTTGGTTATTAAAACAAAGATGTTCCTGCCTGCAGCACCTCATCACAGTTTGCCTTTTCAATCGATACAAAACGTAAACGGCTTCCAAACTGCTCCACTGGTGCATCGACATACAGGTACAGGTACTGAGGAGAAAATGGAAAGCTAGTTTTGTCTTTATTCCCTGCATGTACACTTAGAAATAAAGCTGCCAACCGTCAACCCTCAAAACCCCGATTTCAACTTCTACAAAAGGCATCGACCAAATCACAAATAAAGGATCTGCACAATTTATAAAACCTTTCAGAATAAAAGCCCGTGGAGTTTATAAAGGCACTTCTCTGAATGGAAAAGCGTCTCCACGGAGCCTTTCGCCGCTCGTCTGAGAGACTTTTCCTTCGTCGAACGTCAGAGAGCGAGGCGACATCTTCCCCGACTCGACAGACGTGCTTCCTCTGCGTTCTGTTTTCCTGCGACCTCCCGACCCCCTGCTCGTAAACCGAGATCAGAGCCGAGTAGACTTGTTCTCGCCCGAGGTTTAAGCGCGACCTTAAAAACGCGCAAAACCCCACGACTGAAGGCTCAGACAGCGACGCGTCTCCTCTGGATCCTATTAGCGTCTTCAGGGTTTCTGTACACAGGCAACATTTCAAGTTACACATGTAAGCAGATAGAGCGAGAACACGTGTGTGCGTGTTTGAGAGTATTAAGCAGACAGATTAAGACTAGAAGGGTATAAAAACTATCAACTGGAGCACTGAACCCAATCACGTCGCGTCTCATGAGTCATTAACCCTCAACGTGTGTGTGTGTGTGTGTGAGATCGTTTAAGCGCTTTTAGAAAAATTCCCCTCCCTACGTCGACAGCATCACTCAAGATCTGACCTTACTTGTGTGTGTGTGTCTCTCACACTCACACACACACACACACACACACACCATTACCCTCCCTCCTTGTCAGAGACACGCAGAGAAACACAAAGGAGGCCTGAGATGTTTTTGCCGATACGGTCCGTCGGGAGCAGATCAGGAGGCGGAAGCGGCGTCATCCCTCCTTTTTGCTCCCCCAGTTGAACAGTTTGGACATCGGCGACTTCTTCTTTGGTTTGTCCTTTTTAATGTCTGAGGGAGGGGAAAGTGAAAAAGGTCAATTGATGGATTTTTGAGAAATTCTGCAACAAAGCGAATAGAAAAAAAACAAAGCAATGCACCTTTCAAATGGTGGCGACCTCACTGCTGAAGCACTAGACATTGATGGCGAGTACATTACACGGTTCCCTCATACAATATTAGTTATTCACACCTTTTGCATAATAATCACGCAATCATTTAATTGAGCTGTGTTTCCCCAGATTAGTATTATTATTGTGCTTACAGATGATACGTGGTATAAAGTAGCATTTGTCTCATGAAATCCCACGTGTGCGTGTGTGTGTGTGTGTGTGTGTGTCATGTGACCACACTGTGCGGTGGGAAGGAACGGGCAAACTTTGGCATTAACTTCACGAATACATTAAAACAAAACGCTAGTCTTTGGCCCACGGTTCGGCGTTCGCTCGCTGAAACATAACGACCTTTCACTGAAGTTCAATAAATCTCCTCAATTTTCAGCCCCGCTTTCCGAGTCATGAATTGCAAATGAAGCCGGCGGTGGCTCGATTCTATCGGAGGGTCAAATTAACCGGCTACATTATCCATTTGTCTAATAGAGAACGCCGCCGACAACGGGAGGGGGAGCATTTTGTTTGATGCTTTTTCCATTAGCTGTCATCAGATCAAATGAGATGAAAACATCGCCCGGTGGCCCCCCGAAACAAGCCACACACACACACACACACACACACACACACACACACACAAACACTCCATCTCCTTCAATTAGAGAGGTCCATGATGGAAATACACAATTCATGGATCATTTATAAGCAAACTAAAGTTGCGGGGACACTGAGGCTCTGATAACTAATGAACAGAGCGGTGGGGGGGGGGGGGGTGTTGAAAGTGGTGGGGGGGGGGTCAAAATGACGGTTGTGTGGGAGACCACTCACTGAAACTCATCATCATCTTGTTGAGCTCCTGGTCCTCCTCGTCCTCCCTGAGAAACGCAAACACAGATCAACAGCAGTTCCTGCCTGCGTGAGCTGGGAAGACCAGGAAGTACATTTGTACCTGATCAATTCTTCTTCTAGCATCACTGATTGATTGTTAAGTTGACACACACAGACACACACCTGAGTCGGTCCTCATCCAGACCCTCTACGATGGCGTTTCTGTCGTTGACGATCTCCACCAGTTTGTCCATCAGCTGATTTTCCCTCTTCGGGTCCTGGGGGGTCTTCAGATGATCTGCTCGAAACACAGAAGACTTTTAGCCTCGGACTTCGGATGGGGCGCCGCGTCCCGTCCAAGGCCCCTCCCCCCCCCCCCCCCTCTGGACTCCCACCTGGTTTGTCCATCAGCCTGCGGAGCTCCTGCTCCACCGTCGGCTGCTCCTCCTCCAGGTCCTGGTTTTTCCCGCTGGGACACAAAAACAAAACCGGGGGGAAATAGTGGATTATCGGGTTTGTTACTGAGGCCTAGACGAAGCCTTTCCCTGCAGCAACAAAATAAAAACACAGTGACATCACGCGGATGAAGGGCTAAAAAACAAAAGTTGCTAAAAACATTTTTTTTAAAGCAGGTTATCACTCAATACAAGCGACCCCCCATTACACTACAGATGCTTATTAAATTCAGCTCAACAAAGATAATATTTATCTGGTTAGCTTTCGATGCCCATAACTCATATTTTTTTGTTTTTCTTCATGAACCAATGAAAGGAATCATTTGAGTGCATGTGGGCAGTCAGGCAGCATCCTGCTTCACGCTGCAGCCAGTGGGGGGACGGGGGGGCACTGGGAATTCAAACTGTCAACCTTCTGGCCGCAAGTCTGTTTGCCTAATCGCTAAAGAGAGGCAGGCCCTTTTTCTGTGTGTGTGTCTGTGTGTGTGTGTGTGCGTGTACTCACATGTAGACCAGCTCAGACTCCCGGCGCATGGCCACCTGCTTGTTCCTGATCAGGTTGAACCACTCGACCATGACCTCGTCCATGAGGGAGTCCTCTTCGCCCTCTGACACACACAACACACACACACACACGCGCACACGCGTGAAGTGTGTTTCTTTCTTTCCACTCACTGATTCCCGAGGAGGTTCGTACGCGTTTCTCTCACCTTCTTCGCTGCCGCGGAGCTTCACCTCCAGCTCCACTCCCCTCTTCTCCCACTCGTTGAGGTTGTCTTCGATCTCCTGCAGCTCGCGTATGATGTCTTCTTTGGAAATGTAGTCTGGCTTCATCTACACGTGTGACGCACACACACACACACACAATTATTCAATATATGAATCAAAAGCCATCAGGAGGAATTATTAAATTGCATCCAGACATTTCAGTTTGGAGAAGAAAGTTGTAAAATATTCATATTTATTATTGAATAAGTGAAACAATAAATTCTATTATTAATAAATCATTTAAAAATATTTTTTCTTTTCCTGTATTTTACTCCTCCATCTCATTTAAGCAGCTCGTCAGTCCTTATTTTTTAGTTTTGGCACACATTCGTCAGCTAACTGTTTTAGAGACCTCAAAATGATGCAAGCTATAATAAAAATTATTTAGGTTAAATCATAACGGTGAAAGTATTTGTTTTCTCGTTTGAATTGTGAGCTCAGTGTTGGCACACGTTTAATCACTTTAGCTCCGTTAACTTTCTTAGCATTAGCTTGGTGACTAAAACACTTTATCTGTACAGTTTATGGATGATTAACTGGCTCATCGTCCATATGCGTATTTTAATATGAACAAAAAATGGAGAATATTTAAAACAAGGCGATTCAGGTTAATAGAAAAATAATTTTCTTAGTTCGATACCTTCTTCAACTCTGACTTGGTTCCATTTGCCGCATTCAGGAATCCTGAAAAAAAAAAGAAAGATGATGCAGATACATATAATGATGAACAAGGGAGGAGACCCTGAGACCACTGATTCACATATGGACCATTTGGATTAAAACAAATGCAACTTTGGGTCCTAAATCCTATTGGAAGGAACAACCCAGGAGCCCATGTTACCCTTTGCCGCCGGCGGAGTGACAGTCACGGTCGGGTGGTGAAGCTTAGGTGATCGAGAAGGCCTGACGGACACCTCCGAGGTCTGAGGCGTCCCCCCTCCACGGGCCCACGGCTTCGGGGAGGACTGCGAAGGACCAGCAGGCCTGAGGACGGAGAAAACAGACTTCAATTAATGGCCCCTTTGAGTCTTGATTCACGCGAGGCGGGAGGAAAGGTCGTCCCGGGGCAAAAGGGAACCCCCCCGGGAGCGCTGAGCATATGTCGCGCCGCCGAGGACGCCGCTCGGTCTCGACACCATTCGAAAGCTCCGCCGCCCCGCAAAAATGAGCGGCGAGCCATTTGGAGGACCAGCGGGGACGGGCTGGATGGACGGATGTGATGCCGCCCACGTACAGACGCGCCCTGCTGGAGGTGTGACTTCAGGGGGAGGGGGGGGGGGCTTTTACACCACACATGGAATACGGCAGGGCGCAACAGGCCGGAGCTGATCCGAAATGGACTCACTTTGCGAGGGGTTTGAGCTTGGACCTCCAGTCCTCAGGGCAGCTTGGTTTTCTGATGCTGGGGGGGAGAAATGACGATTAGATGTCTCTTACACGTTTGTTTGGTCTCAAGTTACCCGACGGGCGAACTGACCCGCGGCGTTGGGCCTCGGGCCCCCCCGGTCCGGGCGGACCGGGCTCGGCGTCCGCGCGGCCGTCACGTCGTCGAGGATGGAGCGGTCGGCCCGCAGCACCTTCCGCCCTCGGGCGCCCGGCGGCTCCCTCCTCGGGGTCTCCGCCTGAGGAGGTCTGATCAGAGGGGGAGGAGTTTACTGAGCGCAGGCCGCTCGCCGGCGGAGAACCGGGCCGATCGGTGCGCTCGCGTTACTCACGCGTCGGGTTTTTTCAGCGCCACGGTCGCCCACGGCGGCTTGGCCGCGTTGTTGTTGTTGTTCTCCTCGGACAGTTTTTTGGAGATGAACGCCGCGGCAGACGATTTGGACTTTTGAAGTCCACCTCCGCCCGCTGCCTTCGCTCCGTCCCCACCCGGGCTCGGCCCGACGCCCGCTTCCTTTCTGCCCAAACCACCGACGTTCACCACCACAGAGAGCGGCTGCCCCACCGCGGCCTCCTGGACCTTGGCGGTCGCGTCCGGCCTTTTGTTCACGAGGACGGCGGCGAAGGCGGGTGGCGGCTTTTTTTCCTCATCCCGCTCCGATTGGAAGAACTTGAGCTTGGACTGCAGGTTTTTGGACGCCGCGGCGGAGGTACGGGGGGCGGCGACGGGGCCGGCGTTGATGGACGTGGTCGCCGCGGGTTTGGAGGCGACGCGCGCCCGAGTCCCTTTGGGCGAGACGCCGGAAGGAGGCTGCGAGGGAGGCGAAGAGGTGCCGGCTTTCACCGTCAGCCACGACGGGCCCAGTCTGGAGGGCGTGTGGGCCGGAGTGGGCGCGGTGGTTTTACCGGAGTCGGCTAGAGGAGCCGATGTGGAAACGGGAACGTTCGAGGGGGAACTTCTGGGGGCGGCGGTGGGGCTTGTGGCCGCCAGCGTCCTGGAAGACAGAAAGCAAAAGACATGTGATTGAGACAAATAAGAGCTGTTTGGACCAAACTACGGTCCGAACGATGCCAGAAACGTGTCTTCACTTTCTTTCGGCGGTCGTCTACGCCACTATTCCGACGGAATAACGGGTGGGGGGGGTGGGGGGGTGTAGTAGTAGTAGTCGCTCGCTCTGTGTTCGCTGGTGGGCGAAACTGCCCCGTGCACGGTAAGAGGACAATTGTAAACGTGAAGAAAGACGCCTGGTGACGCGTGGGGAATGTGTCAGAGGGGCGAGCGCACATAATTAGGAGAAAAGCCGGTCAATTTTCAAAATAAAACATTTTTCAGAAAGAAAAAATATATATATATTCTTTCTGTGGTGCGGCCCGGTACCAAACGGCCCACGGACCGGTAGCGGCCCGGTGGTTGGGGACCACTGGTCTACACAACAGAATTAATAGATTTTCTCTTAAAAAAGGGAAAGAGATCTAACTACAAAAAGTTAAAAAACTAATTACTCAAGCAAGATTTTTAAAATTAGAACCATTGTGAAACGGAAACAGTATATAGTCTACATAATAAGCCTCATATTTGATCCTTTTATTTGTCCGACAATGTGATAGGCGTTCTATTTATAATTTTAATTAGGAGTTTACTTTTTTTATCTCCTTTTCTTTCATTAAAGGACTGTGTAACGGCTCCGATGGCAGAAACCAGACCAGAATTTTAAAAAAGGATCCGTTGAGCCCCAATGAATGAACTCCTTACTTTGCACAGCTCCTGTGGTAGAGCTTCCCCTCCACCAGGTGGCGCTGCACCAGGTGGACGTGCTTGTCGCAGGACGCACATTTGTTGCTCAGGGTGCCCGTCTGAAGAGGTCGATCGGCCGCCGCGTCCTGGAAGAGAGCGGCAGAGCGGGTGAGCGAGGCCTCGCTGGAACTGATCCAAAGCCACTAAACAACACGACTTCTCACAGCTTCTCCGTTGACCTTTGTGGCGTGTCCCCTGGGCGTCGGGGACGGGGGCGCCCTCGTGATGTTGGAGGACGGCGGGGGGCTGTTCTCTCTGGCCGGTTTGGACGAGGGAAACACCTTCGCCGCCACCGGCTGGTTCTTCTTGCCGGAGGGCCCCCCGGCGGGGTCTCCGGCCGGCCTCTTTATGCCCCCCATGCCGCCGACTGCGAACGGGAGACCGGTGAGACGGGAAGGGAGGGGGACAGAGGCGGAGACGCAGCCCAGAGAGGCGGCGGTACTCACTCGGGGAGCGTCCGTGGAAGTAGTTGTAGTACTGGGACACGTACGTCAGGATGCTGAGGCGGTCCGGCACCTTGAGGGCCACCATGTCTTCTGCGTCCAACAGCGCCGGAATCCCCAGATCCTCCGCAACCCTGAAGGCCTGCAAGTACACCGGCTTTACCCACCAGGACGGGGGACACTCAGGGAGGACAGCGAGGGGAATAACTTCATATGAAATCAAATGGAGAGAGACCTCCGATTGGTGTTTTAGAGTTTGCGTAAACACGGTTTCCTTGGAGGATTGTATGAAATCACGGGTTCTTTTTTAGATGCCCACTTCCCTGCAGATGTGGACGGGCCTTTTCCTTTTTTCACGCCAGTGTTTTTCCATCAAAGCATTGATGTGAAACATGCTTTGTTTTGGTGTTTACCGACTCGAATCGCCTGAATTCTGACCCCAGATTTCATCTTCACTGTTCAACTGAAAGCAAGTCAGGAATTTCCAAACTGGATTCACGTTCAGGATTCCATGGAAGCAGTAAAAAAAAAAAAAAAAAGGAGAAAAAAAAGCGAGCCGAGGCGGGCGGGCGGACGGACAGGCGGCTTCACTCGTTTTGTTTATTTTAACTTGTTTCTGTTTTTCAGCTTGTTGTTTTTCAGCAAAGAGATTTTGTCTCAGCGCTTTTTAAAGTCAGCACACATAAGAAGCCTTTTAAAACCGAAAGTAACAATTCAGCCAGTCATAAATCACATATTTAATGATTGACTAATCGTTAAATATTAGAAAACTGTTCCGACTCCTGTTGAATGACCTTGAATGATTTTCAAGTTGATAAAAAAAATAGAATTTACCAAATGAACACCGAGCTGCAGAGAAGAAGACTTGAGGTCATAAACTCACGTTCACTGAGGAAATGAACCGAGACGCAAGTAGAGTCATTGTCTAAACAATCGTAACGTGTATACAAGCGTGCACACGGGGGTCCGTGGGTTTGCCCGAATAAAAATCTGTTTGAAACATTCAGATATGGGAATGTAAACATGCAATCACCAGTTTGTTGTTTTCGTAAACATCGTCCTTCTTCAGGGAGTCAAAGTCGCTGCAACGAGAGGAGGAACAGAACGTGAGTGACAGCAACACGCGATCCAACTTCCCTTCCTCGTTTGTTCACGTCACATCACGCTGCCGTGACCCCTCGTGACCTCAGGTCGGGAAGTGTGGGGGGGGGGAAAGAGTTCCCTGGTATGTGTCCAAACGTCCTGGGAAAACCCGAAGGAGAGATTCCCTCTTTACTGTCCTGTCTTCACAGTCCAGAGATCGGTGGAACGTGATGTTAACAGAAGAACAAACATTTAGAAAAGAGGCCTTTTTGGAGCACAAACAAGTCTGTGATTGTTGATCCTTCAAATGTCATTTGGACAATCGAGTGAGACACTGGATGCTGTTGTATTGTATACAATTGTGTGTTTGTGTCTTTTCTGAATTACACTTCTCCCTTAGTTTTATTTAATTTCTTCTTGGTTTTAGTTAAGCCAAATTATTTGTATTATTAATGTGAACAAAAAGTTAAAGAATGTGCAGCATGATGAAAACACATTTTTAAATTAAAATAAAAAAAATTCTTAAAAACCGCCCACATTAATTCAGACAGCTTTTAAAGTCAAACATTTCATTGCGTGTTTCCATGCGCTGTTCTTTAGTCCGTTGGTTCTACAGTTTCGACTTTAGACCCAAAGGGCGTCAGCTCTAAAGTCTCAGCCTCCAAGCTCCCAGATCTTCCCTCAGTAACAGAAGGAGACCAACAGAGAAGATCACTTATCACCAGACATTAAAGTAAATACGTGCAGAGTCTGCAGACGACGCGCTCCGGGCTCGTTTCCCTGCAGATCCAAGTTTCCTTGTTCCCTTTCATTAAGGAACCACACGAGTAACAACCTCCAAACCTCCACCACCCCCCCACGGGTCTACTCACATGAGGTCGGGTCTGTGGTGGTGGAGCAGCGCGCAGAAGGCCAGCCCGTCCCTGAAGGACGTGGTCATGTTGGTGATGGACACGTCCCGGTAGCCGTCGCACCGCACGCGGCACCACTGCTGCAGCGCCTTTACGGCCGACATCCCCGCAGGAGCGCGCACTGCCGGGCCGATCCGCGTGTGAGCGCCGCACCGGACTCCCCGAAACCCCGGAGCCAAACCTCCACCCCCCGCCCTGCCTCTGACCGCCTCCGACCGCCTCCTCCCGCTACGCCACAACACAACTTCTGCTGAAAGTTTCCACGGCGGCTCCGACGCGCTGGACGCAGGAACCCGGAACCATCAGGAGGACGCGGCGTCAGTGCGCGCGCGCGCGTTTCCGTGGGATTCACTTTCAATGACTGAGAGAATGTGAAGAAACTGGAAGTGACACCTGTGAAAAGGTCGCCGGTGACGCGTCGTGGGTGGAGTTCAGTCCTCCTTTGTGTTCCTCCTTTCAGCCCTTTGTCCGCGTGTGTGTGTGTGTGTGTGTGTGTGTGTGTGTGTGTGTGTGTGTGTGTGTGTGTGTGTGTGTGTGTGTGTGTGTGTTGCCTCACATTAATTTCAGAGCCGGAGATAAGATAAGAGTTATTCACAGGGGATTTCTAGTCACCAAATTATTATTTTAGGTTGTGCAACTGAAGCCCTGTTGTAAAGTCTAGTTTTATTTTCCACTGTTATTGTTGGCACATCAATAAGACGTTAAAGCAGGATGAACAAACACTGGGAACACGTAGTAAACTGTGCCTGCGGGTAACCAGGTGCGGTCGCGGCCTTCGTGAGGCGGCCTGTCCCGTCCTGCCGGCTGGGGGCGTGTCCGATCACCAGGTCACCTGACACCTGCACACGTGCTCTGTTTCTGAACGCAGCGGCGCTGTTTTGCTGACTCAGACTTTCCGTGCGCTGTTCGTGCGTTTTCTCATAAATAAAGTAACGAGGGACACAATGGCTGCAGTTGTATTACACACACACACACACACACACACACAGTCCATCTACAAAACAACACAAAAACTCACGTCACGAGAACAACGTCACTTATTCCCATCTCTTAATACACCACAATACGTGCATTCCTCAAACTAAGCACAGATCCATAAAACGTTCTTTTTCCCGTGGTTCTTTTTTGATAATCCGACTACGAATCAGTTTGTAGCCTCTTTATAACTTCATGGTCAGAACTTATTTGGTTGTCAACGTTGCTTTTCTGATTCCGTTTTGCTGACATACGCAGCAGCCCGCTGTGATGACGCGGTGAGCGGCGGGGCGGGGCGGGGACACCGTGACGTCACTGCCGGGCGCGGCCTCACTTCCCAACACAAGAGGTTCAGGTATTCCAGATGCCATCATCCGAACTGCACCGGACGCGGGTTTGTGTGTCTCATGGATGGTTTTAAATAATTCTTCTTGGAGGAATGATGAGGTTCTTTGCTTCTTTCTTATTATTAGTCATAGTTGATTGATTGCGTGAACTTCCTCTTTGCACATGCAACTAAACCGGTTATGAATCATCATCTCCGTCCATGTCAGCGGACAAGCATTTATTTTCTATATTTAAACTCACCGAGTGACAATGGAGTCATGTTCAGTCAGATGCTTAAACCAACGATGAATGAACGCTTCAGACCATCGGGGTGTGGGTTCTGTATTTAGTACACATCGATTAAGGGACACACAGACACACTGCTTTGGTCAAACCAACGAGGAGAGAGCAAACAGAAGATATCAGGGTCAATATTTGTCCAGTGTCTCGCCACACCTGTGAGGAAGCCGGAGGCCGAACTCAGGCGAGCGTCTCTGACCACGGGCGACATTTCTTCACTCTTCGGATATTCAAAGCTGCACCCACAGACCGAAACCTAAATGGTCCTTAAGCTGCTCCGGACTTTCCAAAAACACAGGGCTGAGTTTATTTTTGCGTGTGTAAAAAAATAACACACCAAAGGAAGCTGCTTTTAGATTATTATTATTTTTTTTTTTACAACCCCCCTCCTCCCCCCGAGGCTGTTGCACAACAACCAATCCTGCAGAAATGCTCGTATGAAACGGTCTTCATTTAATGTGCAACACATTCCAGAATGAAACGTGATACACGACTACAACAAAACCCTCACAAAGGAGACCTTCTCCTCCTAAAGGGGTGTAAACGGCCACGTCGTGTTCGCAGTCCTCCCACGTGCACGAGGAGCTCCGCCGCACTCTGTCCCTCTCTCCACATGCCGACCCCACAAACACACAAAAGGCTTAATCCTCCCAAATCCAGACAGGAAATGCCCTCGTCAGTAGAGCAGAATGCTTCTGACAGTCCCCCCCCCCCCCCAGAATGATATATGTGCCCCCCACAGAGCATCTGGAAACATTTAGCCTGTGACCGTTTGCACAGAGCCAATAAAAACACGTCTATCAGCAGCGCAGGACGAGTCAACGCCGCTATCGGAGGCCGCTTTCGCTCTCTGTGGCTGATCGGAGCGTTTTGTTTGGGACAATAAAATACTTGTTCGCTGCCATGGGAACAAGAGTTCACATTCAGAGCGTTTACCCCGCTTTTCTTTCTAAGAGAATAGCTGGTTTGGCTCCGTCCTCAGGAGGACTCGGCATCCTGAAACATTCACCTCACGCCTCCGCTCTCGTCTGGAGCCGGACACGTTTTATTATTACGGTAAAGCGGCCTGTGGTACTTTGACCTCTCTGGCTCACTGAGGACTTGGGACCCAAAACACCTCGTTCAAGGAGGATCCGGCTTTGTAGAGACGGAGGAGAGATGGTTTTCTTTAAAAGATACTTTTAAAAGTGAAAACTGACATTAATGATTTGCAGCTTTTGGGGAAACGACAGAATGTTTTGTGAGGAAAGACTCTAAAAACAATCACAGCGGTGAGAAAGTGAGTCCTCTAGTGGCGCAACAATCCAAATGCAGGAAATAAACCAAATGTAATCAACTTAAAACCACCTTTTATTTTCTTTGTTTCCCCCCCAAAAGATATTTGTCAACAAATAGAAGAAAATACAGCGAAACCTTTTTTTCATGCGGTTCTTATAATTAAATTAAAAGCATATCACAAAATTAAACACCATGAATGAGAAAATACAATTTCAGTGAGCGTAACGCAGTAGGACGCGCTCCGTGTCGGCTCACAGCGCGCACGCTGCTTTCACGCAACTTCCGCGGCAAATTCACAGCTTCGAGGTCAAATTCAAGCAGAACAAATGAACTCCGCTGCCCTTCGGGACGCGACGCCGCTGCTGCTGCTTCAGGTTTTATTTACATTCGGCCGACAGTGAAACGCGGCTGTTTCTCGTGTGCGGTGGTTGTGCGTTAAAAGTAATCGTCGCGCGCAGGCGTTAAAAAAAAAAATCAGGCTCCCGCTGTAACAGATGGAAAGAGACGCTCACAGACACACAAACAGGATCGTAATGCACCTGCATCCTCCTCCACGACGCTGATCAGTGCAGAGAGAAGCTGCGACGCGTTACAACAGGAGCTGCGAGAACACTCACATTAGGAGGCATTTCACTTAGTGCGCAAAAATCTATCTGCTGAGGACATAAAAAAAGAAAAAGGTTCAGATTTGAGATGAACTTGATGAAAACGAAACTTTAGGTCACAGAGATAAAAGTTTCTGAAGTGAAACGTTTTGCTTGAGAACATTCTTATGTACTCGAGCGCATTAGATCCAAAACGACTCTTACGATTCGTCTTAAGACGATTAAAGTGACGACTCTCAGCCTTAATTTGATGGACATTTGGGGATCCGTTGCTCTCCTTCACGCAGTCCCGTCGGTCAGGAACAGGTGGCCTCAGCGTTCTGGACTACACAGAATAAAACAGCCTCGACCGCCATTAAAAACGTCCCGTTCGTCACATCCAGCTGATGGTGAAGTTCTGACTGAGGTTGAGACCCAGATCTCCAACAGTCAACACCTGCGGAGAGAAAACCATCAGTTCGGCACGAAGCGTTCCTCCATTCTGATGAGAACCAATAAAAACACGGCGACCACGGCGGCCTGCGGTTCACTAACCGCGCCCCCCTCACCTGGTTGGCTCTGTAGGTGAACGCTGCATCTTGGGAGTTCACCAGCACTCTGCTGGGCTTCTGCTTCACCCCGTAGAAGGAGGCCGTCTCCACGGTGATGTACGTGGCCTCCACGTTGCTGTGGAGCACCTGTGATGTCATCGCGTCCTAACCAAAACGAGCAGAAGGACGGTCACACCTCGACCGCCCGCGGCGTCACTCTAGTACAGACCCCAATGCGCGGCGGCGTTCTCCAGCACCTGGGCCACGCTGAAGACGATGTAGGAGTACAGGCCGCTCTCGTAGGTGTCCACGCTCTCGCCGTCGTCCCAGAAGAGGTCTCCGGCGGCCGAGCCGTCGCCGTCGGACAGCGCCGAGATCAGGTGGAGCGGCTGACCGCTGCTCACCCACAGCGTCCGGTTGGGAGCCTGCGCACACAAACCGAGCGGAGCGAGTCAGAACCAGGCGGCTGGTCACGAGGCGGGTCGGGTGGACTGATGAATGAGTCATACAGCCACCACGTGAGTGTCGATTCAACTTCTCGGCGAGGAGAAGCATCACAGCGTGGTTACCTGTGTTGGTGTGATGGAGCCTTCCCGTAGATGTAGATTGATCTTATCCAGAGGTGCACGGAGGCGGAGCTCTTCCCCCTCACTGCGCAGAGAGTCGCCCTGCGGAGCGTCACGTGAACACACTCAAACTCGCTACCAGGGGTGCAAACTCATCACTCAAATATAATATATATATATATATACACATTTTTTTTGCATATGCTTCCATGTTATTCCAGTAAAACACAAATAAGCTGCGGCTATTTAGGTCGGATGGTTGTCAACCCAAATAAATAATGGGAGACCAGAGCTAAAAGGTTTGCTTCAAACGACGGGACGTAAGATGACTCGATCGACTACTCACATTCAAAGACTAATTGCTTTGGAAATGTTTGGAACCTCAAGAATAGATTTCGCTTTGGACGAACAGAATAAATATTAGCAAGAGGGAGGGAGGAGGCCTCTCAGCCCTCATTCCCTAACATTACATTGATATCAGAGCCTTTGATTTCTCCGTTGATTTCCCATTATTGATTTTAGGATTTTTTTTAATGTGAAGGTAAGGTAGGTACATTTTTCGTCGTTTTCTCGCTCAGATTTTTCAAAAGTTCCCGAGAAATAGACACTGTACTATCCGATAACACCGTTATTGTAACCAGCAAAAATGGTTGACGTGATTTGCGAGGCGTCTGTCAGCCAACCGTCTGACATTAGCACGTTAGCCTACGTTAGTGCAGCGTACCAACGCCACGCAGCTAAAGACCCGAACATGACATGATGACACGAGTTGGCCAAACGAACAAGCTTGAAAAATAAAATATTCATGACAGCTTGCAGCAAATTTTGCCGAAAGGTGACAAGTTTGCACCCCTGCGCTACGCTGACCACGGGGGGCCCCGTCAGTCGGGATGCAATGCTGCATTTCACGCTCCGATAGTCACGCGCTTTTCGTACTTCGGTGAAGCGAAGCGAAAGGGAGGCCTTACCGTGAAGAAGTCATACCACAGGCCGCGCGGGAAGTAACCGTCCACGTAGTCGACGCCCGGATCCAGAACCGGTGTCACCAACAAACTCTTCCCCCACAGGAATTGTTTGTCGATCCCATACGTTCGGACATCTTTTGGGAACCTTCGGGTGGGCACACGGGACGCTTACAGTCAGACAACGAACTCCTCCTCCCCCCCTCCAGTCCCGACAGTACTCACTCAAACATCAAGGGCCGCGCCACGGTGCGTCCGTGTGCGTGCGCGTGGTGGAACAGCGTGTACAGCACGGGGAACAGGGAGTAGCGCAGCAGCAGCGCCTGCTTCATGGCCGTACGCGCCAGAGGGCTGAACGCCGTCGGGTCTTGAGGCTGTAGGAAATTTTTTTTTAAAAAGGAGCGTTCCTTTAAAAATAAATAAATAAATAAAATAAAACGGGCAGGTCTTCAGCCGGGCGCCGTGGCGTCCGGGTCTCACCTGCGTGTCGAGGGCGTTGTGGTTGCGCGTGAAGGGGTAGAAAGCGCCCAGCTGCGTCCAGCGCACGCACAGCTCCTCCTGCGGCTCCTCGCTGAAGCCGCAGATGTCGGCTCCCACCAGCGGGATGCCGAGGAGGTTAAAGGTCAAGATACCTGCAGGGGAGCGAACAGCGTGCCGATGACGTGGCGGCCACGTAAAGCCGCGCTCATTCGTTTACTGATGTTTACACGCATAGAAGAATAAGAGTGTTTATTTGGGGGCCGTTTTTTTTGTCCAATCTGACAACTTTTGATTTCCTCGAACCTCCAGGAAAAAACACCCGTCTTCTCAGCTGACGTCAGGATAAATAAAAAGCGCTATAGAGGCGGAACGGACCAGAGAGCAGGCAATCAAATGACTCAAACAGCTTCCGAGCCTCAAACGATTCCTCGCAGAAATCAGATCCATATCCATTAAAAGTTGCTTTGTGCAGCTGCACGATGGTGCAGCGTGTGCGTCTCACCTGCTATGGAAGTGTACAGATCTTTCCACAGGCTCCTGTTGTCGCCCAGCCAGTGGCCGGAGTACATCCCCTGACTCGGGAAGGTGGAGCGAGAGATGACAAAAGGCCTCTTCGCCACGATCCGCCGCAGAGCGCTGCGCACACGCGAGGACAGAAGAAGATTTAGGGAGAGGATTTCGGACCCTTCGCTCTCCGTTGTGGGTCTGCGTGCGCTGCAGGTCCCGACCTTGCAGACGCCTTCGCCTCCATGAGCCCATAGAGGCTGTGCAGGTTGTAGTGGACCGACAGGTTCTGCTGGGCGCTGGCACACACGGTTTTAGCTCTCAGCAAACCTCCGAGGACACCTGGGGGGGGAGAGAGGAGCCGGTTGACATCTCGCCTGTCAACACGTTCCGTGTCATCGTGCAGAAGCTGTGAGGTTCGCGCTCCCACCGGGTGTGTAAGGGGGATTCTCGAGACTGTTGGACGGACAACCGTCGGTGGACCCGTCCAGGAAATTGGACGGCTCGTTCATGTCCTAAAAACAGACGGGACGGAGGTCAGGGGGGGGGGGGGGGGGGGGAAGCGAACCCGTGCAGAGAGACGGTTCTTCCCACACTTACGATCCATAATCCATCAAACGGAACCTTCTCGTGGAACCGCCGGAGGTTCTCGTACCACCATTCATGCGTCGCTTCATCAGAGAAATCGGGATACGCGGTCAGACCGGGCCACACCTGGAGGGAGACGCGGAACGGTATGATTTCTAAAGCCCCTCCCCCCCCCCCGTGACCCTTGGCCGGAAAAGCATCGCTACCGGGTCCCACCTTCCCGATGAGCGGCTTTCCCTTCGGCGTCCTTGATGAGACGTTCCTCCTCAACCCTTTCGTCGTTAGGGACCAGTGGAATCCTTCCGGCTGCGAGCTGTAGATACCCCGGGTCCTGCGGGTCGGAGAGACACGGCCGTCACCAAAACGATTCAGACGCACACAACAAAGCCCCCCCCCCCCTCCAAAGCCCCGCCTACCAGGATCATGACGTAGCGCTGGTCGTGAGCGTGCAGGTCCTTGACCAGATCCGGCAGCGTGCCGAACTTGTCCGGGTCAAAGGTGAAGTCCATGAATCGGTCCATGTAGTCGATGTCGTTCCACTGGACGTCCTGCGAAGACAAATCCAAGCGCTGGCACTTGTTTTTAAGTGTGAAACCGACGTACACACAGACAAACCGTACCTGCGGTATACCATAATTCCTCAAGCTCTTGACAACCTCCCAGGTGGAATTGCTGGTTTGGTAACCCCAGCGACAGAGGTGGTAGCCTAGCGCCCAGAAGACGGGCATCGCTGGGTAGCCTGCGACAAGAAGGTTCACACGTCTCATCCCTGCTGAACACTAGGAGGATTCAAACTCAACTTCAAACTCTGGTGCGAATAATGAGCCGGTGCAGTTGGTTTGTACTTAAAACACTCACAATATTTCACGATCACGTTGTCTTGCATTCTTTCCTAAAAGTATTTGTGTGTTTGGGAACCAAAGTCAAAGTAGCAGTTTACAAGGTAAGCAGCCTGTAGCCGTGGTAGATTTATTCATCCAATATGCAAAGCCCATCAAATGCAACTCTACAATGAATTTATATTCTATGAGACGTGATTCAGGAAACCGTAAAAATCGGCAAAAGGGAAATAATTCCAAAAGACAAATATCTGGTTTAAAATCAACAGCAAAGTCCATTCAAGGACATTCAACATGATAAAGTCATGCAGCATCTGCAAACCACCCCTGTGTCCCGGCAGACTCCCACTGACCTACGACCTCCACGTACTGTCCGATCACAGAAGCGGGATCGGGACCAAGGAAAACGTAGAAGTCAAGGATTCCACCAATAGTGCGCCAGGTGAGGGCCGGGGCGGGCTGGAGGACCACATCTGGGCAAACGGAACAACTGTTAGTCATACGGCCGAACATCAGTACAGTCGCAGCTGTTCTCGATCGGAGAGTTTGCATAACGTTTAAAAGTAACGAGATACGAAGCGCAAACAGACCCAAATAACGGAGTATACGGAGTAACCAGGAATCCGATGTGCAGTTTTAGAACTATATTGAAGATCGCCCCTGAGGTGAGCTCTTCCTGCATCACGGGAAGCTGCTATTAAACAAACACTGCTGACGCCACAAACAGTCCATCCGCAGACGTCAGCTTTCCTTTAAGCGGCGGGAGAGGCAGAGCGGACTCACCCATCGCGTTGCTGTTCAGCAGGAAGACGCCGTGGGCGTCGCCTCCCTCCTCCATCGCCAGGTAGAACGGATGAGCTCCGTACAGGTTGGTCTGCTCCTGCGTGGCAGAGCGGGGACACGGGGGTTATCGTTTGACCCCCCCCCTTCGGGCCAAAAGGTCAACTGCACATCGAACCGAGCCACAACACACGGCAACAAGCCGGCTTGTATACTGCAAAATAGTAGTACTACTACTAGTAGTAGTGCACATTTCATACGCACTATGTAGCTGTATATTGTGGTAAATTAAAAAATGAATAAACACAGGAAATCTTCCTTTTACAAACTAAATAAATAAAAGCATATTTAAAGTATTTCAACAGATGAACCTGAGAATATTTTACGGTTAAAAAGACAAATCACGTGTTGGCACATTGAATCTATAGTGCTGGAACGGCTACACCTAAAAAAAACGTAAAGACAAGGAGAGAAGGGGGCACATGCCGTGGGGGGCACGTCCCTGGCCCACATGGTCAGCGTGTTCCAGTGCAGGTCATGCAGGAAGGTGGAGCGGTGCTCCCCCAGGCCGTACAGGAACTGACTCTGCAGGGAGGTGGAGAGCTGCAGGAACTGGTCCGCGTAGAAGAGCGGCGCCACCGTCGTGTTGAGACTGTCAGCAAACAGTGGAAAGGAGGCTCGGGATTCATTTGTTATTCACACACCCGAACGTGGCAGAGCAATAGCGCAGCAGCTTCACTCACAGCACCGCGCCGCTGGAGCTCCTCCTCACGATGAGGCCGAACGGACTCTCGGAGAGCTCCACCGTGTAATCGGGGCGTTCCGCCTTGGTGGCAGCAGCGGGAACAGAGATCGGAACCTCGAACCTCGAGGCGGAGGGGTCGGTGATCTAGGAGGTGGAAGCATGAGGCAAAAGGCTCGTTAGCAATTCACAGGCCAGAGAATTCACGAAACTATATGAAACAACAGTTTGTGACAATCTGAGGTTTGACATTCCTTGTATTGGGTTAGAAATGTGCTCGTGTGTTTTCATGGTGTTTAGACACAGTTCCATTCACGTGGACGCCTGAGGAATTTAAGTCCAATAGTCAGGAAAAACACGACTGCGTTCCTTTGCGAGTGAGTCACTGGTGTCACAGAGCAAAGGGGAAGTGCCGAGTCAGGTGATGCTTGTTTTGAGGGTTTGAAAGCGACCTTTTGGCATTTTGATATTTTTGTGCTGACAATGAAATAAATCGGCACAAAAACATTGATTATAGTTTAAACTTTTCAGCCCTGGGAGCAGTTTTTGGTTTTTTGACAGCGTCAGCAAAGTGAAGCAGCTGCAATGTGGGAAGTTCTCACATTCAGGCTTCTGTGCGTGAAAAACGTCCTAAATGAATAAATGTCCCAACACGCCGTTGGCGAGAACTGCTCTGTAATTGCTGGGCGTGACTCACCCTGACACGCAGCCGCGTGTCCGTCTCGTGGCGCGTCTCCACCTCCAGAGTGAGGACATCCGCCGGGTAGTAGGTCTTCACCTCCCGGACCAGCGTCCCCTTCTGGCCCAGCGGCGTGTCGCTCACCGACACAAGCGAGTAGGAAGGGAAATCCCTCGGGTAGAAACACCACGGGATGCCGTTCCACCCGGGGGGGCGGGCGGCGGCGGAGGCGGAGGAGGCGGCGGCGGCGGGGACAAAGCAACAGCTCCTGGCCTCGCACAGCTCTCGGGTCACCACCGCGGCTCTCTCGGGGTAGCAGTCGAACCTCCACGCCGCGGGGACGGCGCTGCAGGCCTGGCGGCGGGAAGCGGCCGCGGTGACGTTCGCTCCCGCCGACCCTTCCGAGTCCTGGGGCGGCGCCGGGCCGGGGGCCGGGTGTCCGCCCGGCCGGTCGGTGGACGGACGGTGCAGCCAGAACATGGCGCCCACCAGCCAGCCTCCAAAGAGGAGCAGCAGCAGGGCGCCGATCAGCAGGAGGGCGGTGGTGACGGAGCACAGGGGCCTGCGGGGGAGCAGGGAGGCTTCCTCTGGATCCAAAGCCTCGGAACACAACGAGAGCAACGGATTCATGAGCCGATCGATTAAATCAACAGGATTGTTTGGTGTTGAAATTGTATCAAAAATAATGAAAGTTTCCATTATGAAGTCTTCAAATGTCTTGTTTTCCCTTATAAATGTGTCCAAAAGCATTAAACATTGAGCGCTGCGTCACAAGTGAGAAGCAAATGATTAAAGAGAAACATTCTAATTCAAAGGGCACAAAGTTTCTGCAGAAATGATTCAAACTCACAGGAAGAGACCAAGACAAAAAGGAGTGAGTGCAGGAGGTCGGAGGGAGCGGGGTGTGTGACATGAGGACTCACTGGAGCGTCTTCATGCGCGGGACAAGGCTGCTGGGACGGAGCGGCGCCGGCGAAGTGGACGTCTTCAGGGTTCAGCCGCTTGTAGGACACCATCCTGAGAGAGGGCGCCCGTCAAACTGAGCAGCCCGAAGACACGAGGGACACGGAGAGAGAGGACAGCTCGGTTAGGCGCCGCTCGGAGCGAGCATGAGAATCGGTGACATTTGATTTAATGTTATTGATCCCTTGATGGACTTCAACCAGTCGTAATATTAAAAGTAGTAGTTTTAATCCACCAATATAATGTGTACTACTCGGAAATGGGCAGAGTAGTTTGATATATATATATATATATATATTATATATATATATACACACACAACTTATTTTTTATAAAAGGTGGTTTGCAGGATTTGTAACAGCATATTTTACAGGCAGGTATTACTTAATGTACCTTTTATTAAGCTAAAGTGTATGAATACTTATTCTACCACAGATTGAACCTCTGATTAAGAAAAGAAGAGCATTACTTTAGTGCCATTGTTCAAACACTTGACATTTAAGGACACATTAAGATGAAAATAAAGCCATCGTCGATGTGCAAAGTGTTTAAATCATAACTGGACGTTATAAGAGGGATGAACACGTGACTGCACGTCGTGTTTGTTTTGGGCCAAACGTCGTTGTCTCACTCGTGATTGCTCACGTTACGTAACTGACCGTCGCGGTGTTTAACGTTTTTGTTCCCGTCCCGTTGTTCGTCCAAACATCGTCGTCGTCATTCGGTAACGGCGACTCGCTCCAGCGGGCTAACCTTAGCGAGCTAACCTCGGCTAGCCCGAACGTAACGTTACGCGGGACGGGACGTGTCAAAGTTCACGCGCGAAACATTTGACCTCCTTAATAAAAGGCCGCTTTTTAGACGATACGCTCGAGTTGTGGGGGAAATATGAACCGGTTACGAGGCAACGTTGGTTACCGCTAACTGTTGACGTTTATTAGCGTTAGCTCGCTTTTAAAAACAGTTTAACTTTAGCTAACGCGAGCTGCCGTGAGCCAACAAACACAAACGCCACTTACCGACAACCAGATACCAGCGCAGTCTCACAGAGACATCAAATAGGCGATGCAGAGAAGATCTGCCCCTTAAATAAACGTGTCGAGTGTTAAATCCTCCGTGAGGTCGATAAACGCAAACGTCTGCATAGCGTGCGTCTGTTTATCTCCATGTCGCATTCACTGCACCTCGTAATTTCGAAGACTTCCTTTCTGCAGGACGTTTCGTCTTCTTCTTCTAACTTTGCGTCGGTTGGTATCCTCGTTACTGGTGCATTGCCGCCACGGTGTGGATCCGACGATGGATTTAAAATATTCCCCACGACACAAAAACAATAAATAGCACAATAACCCATATTCCATCCGTCATGTTCTACACTCTGTCAACCGCTGCATCAGCTCTCACCCATGCAAAGTACTCTTTCTAATGTGTATGCAGGACCCCATGATGACATAGTTTCCTCTCTCCTTTCTGTTTGCACTCTTTTGAATGTGATAATGTCTCCTTGTCTCCTCTCGTTCTGCAGCACCTAAAGAAGGTTACGTTCTGTGACGTTCTGATGCGTTCAGGCTCTGTTCACAGAACGCCTGCAGTAGCCATGGATATATTGTGTAGATTTATTTGCACCTAATAACAGTCTTAAGTTTCTCACTTTTATTTTACAGTATAATATGTCCAATACAATTAGACAAAGGCAGCACGTTACTATCACAGCCCGTTAGAATAATTATTTTTTTTCACAATAGTTGTTGGCCTTTAACAGTTTAAAGGCGAACAAAGGCCAACCTCATTCATGACTTGGTTATGAATAACACACACACACACAGATAAAGATTTATTACCACTAAGGCAAAACGGTCTTAAAAAAAAAAAAGAGAAGAAAAAAAGAACTTGAATAAATATCATATTCCTGCTGCTTCATTATTTCTGACATTTCAGTAGCTTATACACAACAAATGAGTTCCAGGTGCACCTGATTCTTCAACTGCTCACTGGCCATCAGAACGTTTGAAACAATAATATATTTACTCTTTAATTCAATTACCACATACACAAGTAGCTTGAAGGAAAATACTACAAGTGAAAATTGTGTGAAATTACAGACCATAGTACCACAATAAATACTTGAAATGTGAGCGGGATTTTTTATTTAACCGTTTTTCTGTGACAAAAGGGAGTTAATAAATGTATTAGCTGGAGAGTTTAAAGATCTTAGTTTGTAAGATTTGGGAAGTTTTTATATTTGTCACTTTCTGTGATTCTGTGCCGAGTAGCTGAACATCATTTGACACATTTTGTTTAGTCATTTCAGGAAGTTAAATATTTTAGCTGCAATACCTCCCTTATTCCCTTCACTCCACGTTCTACTCCCTAAAACTCTGGTAAAGATATACGACCACTGCTCGCTACGCTTCACACATATACATCAGTCGCTTTTGTCTCCTATACACATATTAATTGGAGAGTTATCGCCGCTTTGCGACAAGTCGTCGCTCCGCGCGTCGAAAGCCGACTCCTCCCCCTCCTCCTCGGGGTGAGTCTGCTCATGTTTACGTTTGTGGAGCCTGAGGCTCTGTGAGCGGCTGAAGCCTCGCCCGCAGACCTCGCAGCCGTACGGCCTCTCGCCCGTGTGAAGCCGGAAATGGTTCTTGAGGCTGGAGGCCCGCGTGAAACTCTTCTCGCACTCGGGACAGTCGAACTTCTCCCCGAAGTGGATCTTCTCGTGCTCCCTCAGGCGGCCCGACTGGTTGAAGCTCCTCTCGCACACCGAGCAGTGGTAGGGCCTCTCTCCGGTGTGCGTGAGCCGGTGTCTGTTCATGGCCCCCGAGTGGGCGAAGCTCTTCCCGCAGTCGGGGCAGGCGAAGGGTTTCTCTCCCGTGTGGACCTTCTGGTGGCCTTTGAGTTGTCCCTTCTGGGTGAACTGCTTGCCGCACAGAGAGCACTGGTAGGGTTTCTCTCCCGAGTGAATCCGCATGTGTATCTGAAGGGCGGACATCTTGTGACAGTCTCTTCCACAGAGCCCGCAGCAGTAGGAGCTCTTGGTCAGATGGTCGGCACACTGTTCCTGAGCAGGCGAGTCTGGTGGACTGTCTTTATCACTCCCAGAGACATGATCCGGATCCTCCGCAGACACTGTGGGAACAAAGGTGGCAGCTTGAAAAAGGTGCCATTTAGTCACCCTGCGGACTAAGAAATAACAAAACAAACTCAAATAAACCTTTTCACTTGTTAAAGTAATACTCCACCCACAAAATGACCAGCTGCCTATCAGGAACTCACATCGAGTTACCTTGAATTCTTGAAGAAAACATCGCTTTTCTCGAAACAACAGAGAGGGGTCTTGATAAATTGAAATAAATAGAAGCCAAGTCAACACCAAAACCATATTGACACACTTGTTGTTGTTAAGGGTGCTAAATACAAAATGCAGACGGCTTGCAGCAAACAGTGCAAAACTACAGTGAAAGTGCTGAACAGTGTTTACCTGAAGGGGAACCGCAGCTGGGCGCTACAGCGCACCGAGGGAGACACTATGCGTCTTTATCAAACTAGTTAATGTGAAAATGGGTATTTTTCTTCCCCTCCCACATTTAACTATAACTTCCTAAGGCTCAAAAATGGCTGTTCATGTCTTTTGAGAAAGGGCCGGACGCTGAAGAAGGCGACCTCCTGTCGGTGGTGGAAATGTTCCTGTTCAAGCTTAGGTGTGACTACGCCTCTCACACAGTCCAGTGTGGACAAACCCTCTGCGTGCAAAAAGGTCACGCGACAAATGGGTGTTTAATCTGACTGAAGTAAAGAAGGTCACATTATCTGCTCATGTGAGCGACATTTCTACTCCTGTAAACTAATTTCCTTACTGTTAATAAGTTCATCTTCTTCCTGCTTTACTGAAATCCTTATTTCTGTGTTGCTTTCCTGACGCTCCCCTTCAGATTCCTCCAGCACGGTGCAATCCTCACCGCCGGACACCTGGTCGGGAGCTTCTTCTTCTACGCAGCACAAAGGAAACAATAAATATTCATCAGAGGAATTCACGCCCTTTACATTTTATAAGACAGGAAATCCGACATCTCATGTCAACATACCGCACAGCGCTTCCTCTTCTTCCTCCTCTTTCACCGTTACATTCGTATGTGGACCCGAAACGACGTCCTGCGGTCGGCCTTCCGGTTCCTGCGCGTTGTTTTCACACCGAGCTGCTCTGTCACAGTCGAGACCCTCTGAGGAATTGGGCTCAACTGCCCCACGCAAACGCTTACTGGCATTCACCTATGAAGATGAAGATGAGGACGAATGGAAACGATGCTGTTCAGAGGTTCTAAACGACTACATGAATGCGACTGTGTGTGGTCTGTACCTCAGCGCCGACGCCGCTGGCCGGGTCCGGCTGCGACGGTTCACCGGCCGCAGCCTGAACCGGGTCCGAGACGGCGTCCGGAACCGATCCGTTCTTGGTCTGCGTACACGACCGCCTGTGGTTCCTGAGCGTTCCCGCCAGCGAGAAGTGCCTCCCGCAGTCGCCGCAGGTGTACGGCTTCTCCCCCGTGTGGATCCTGGTGTGCCTCCGCAGCTCGCCCGGAGCCACGAACGACTTGTCGCACTGCGTGCAGCTGTAGGGTTTTTCTCCCGTGTGAGTCCGCATGTGCGTCGTCAGCGTCCACTGCTGAGCGAACGTCTTGCCGCAGTCGGAGCAGTGGTACGGCGTGATGCCGGTGTGCAGGCGCTCGTGTCTCACGAGCGTGCCGGACAGGGCGAACCTTTTGTCGCAGAAGGAGCACTGGTAGGGCCTCTCTCCCGTGTGAGTCCGCTGATGATCCCTCAGCTCGGCCGCCGAGTTGCAGCTCTTCTCGCAGTCCGAACACGGGAACTTCTTCCTCGTGAAGCCGGCGACCACCTCGGAGTGCATCGCCTCCAGGTGCGTCTTCAGGTGCCAGTGTCGGGAGAAGCTCTTCAGGCAGATGGAGCAGTGGTACGGCCGCTCGCCGGTGTGCGTACGCCGGTGCAGCCGGAGCTCGCCCTGGCTGGCGAATCGCTTCTCGCAGAAAGTGCACGGGAACGGCTTCTCCCCCGTGTGGACCCTTTCGTGGATCATGAGCAGCCCCTTCTCCGGGAACCTCTTCTCGCACATGGAGCAGGGGAAGGGCCTCTCTCCCGAGTGAGTGCGTAAGTGGCGCTGGAGTTTGGAGGCGTAAGGGAAGTCTTTCCCACACACCGAGCAGCTGTGAAGGAACGGTGGCTTTTCATTCTCGCTCTGATCGGAGGTCTTGGCGGGAGTCTCTGCAGGATCAATGCTTGGGATGGCGCCGTCTCCTGTGTGAATAAGAAGAGGAGAAAACGTTGCTGTTTAGTTCAATTAATTGTTGGGGAAACATCTCCAAAACAGTTGATCCTTGAGCGCAATGAACATGGACACTGTTGGTGTTCGGAGATGGTCGTTGTGAGCAATGGAACATTCTGAAGTTATTTCAAAAACGTATACAATACAACTTATACAAGACATTGAACAAGAGCAATTTGATAGAGGCAGATTCGGTCTGATTATGGTATCAAGAGTAGTTTTTGCTCACAGCTGCCCCCCCCAAGGAGTTTCTCTCCCCAGGTAAAAGGAAAACCTGGAGCACAGCTGAGACCTGCCGACTGAGTTGTGTCAAGTTACTGCTGATACTGACTGCATTTCCGGATTTCGCCATTTCAAAATAAAAGCCACTTAAAATAACTAGTGAGGAAATGTAAACATGCCTGTCAAACTTTTGGCAGCCGTGCAAGCACCTCGCTAACATTAGACCGTGGAGAGCTGTAGAGCTCCTTCTGAGGTAAAAGCAGCATCTCATATCTAGCTGCTGTAAATACATGTTTAACTTTTACTTATACGTCTGTGCTGCTGATGCCAAAGTTACAGACCACAGTATTAAGATCATTGCTAGTGTAGGCATAAGTCTCTGAAATGGGAATTCCTCAGCGACTCCTTTTTACGGATCAGTGAATCGAGATGTTACTAAAGTTCGAAAGAAAAAGGGAAACACCTGTATGATATTTTTCAAAGCAATTAGATTTCAAACTACTAATTCAGATGTCGATGCACTGAACACGTTTGAGCCAGCACTATATTATACTGGAAGGTATTTCTGTATTGGCATCATCGTTAAAATATATAAAGCGACACCTCAAGCTACAAAAGTTCTCTTTGAACTCAAAATATGTTTTAAAAGTTAGTATTTACTACACGCCAGTCGGATTGGATTTTACTATACAAAGTCACTCAGTGTACACGTCACTGTTCCAAGTAATTAGCTCACTGAAATCTGAGAAATCCACTTCTTCTCCGTCAGAGTTGATCAGGCCTCCGATTTCTTGCGGCTCCTCCTCTGCGAGGATCCCAGCTGGTCTGAGGTCCTCTGGGTTCTCAGAACCCATCTCTCAAACATTCGACCTTGCAGAGGCGGGAGACAAAAAAAAAAAAGTCAGCGAACATTCAAATGACAATTTATACTCATACTCTACAACTTATATATTGAAGCCCACTTTAATAGCAAAGTCTGGCACATAATGCTCAAATTGTCAATCAGTGTGATCAAGGGTGAAATGATTTCAACCATTACAAGCATGACTAAAATATACAAAATTGACTTTCCTTAACTTAATTAACATAATTCTCATTTAAGGTTCTTTTGATGAGGATAAATCCAGACAATTTTTTCAATTTCTATTCCATTCTGCTAGATGTAATGTGTAGATGTTCAGCCTGCAGCACCAGATCACCATAAAGAAAATGCACTGCCTTGCTCACGGACACTTCAGCAGGGCGGATGCTGTGCAGTGACAGAGGACCCGGCTGGGCCTGATGTCTGCATTGAGAGCGAACCGTCCTGTCGATGTTGCTGAGCTGTTACCGTGCGTGTACCATCGCAGATAATCCACGGCACGGTGCTCCCGTGTGGTTGAACGCGGAGGGGAAACACCGGAGGAAACCTCCTCGCGTGCACGCAGGAGCCCGGCTGACGTTAGCTCGTTAGCATTAGCTTCCGGAGACTCTTCTTCGCTGCGTCCCTTTAACCCCGCACATTAATTGCAGTAGAGCTGCCTAATTGACCGAAACCTGTTGGCGTGGTTTCGCGTCACCGTTGCACCCGTTCCTGCGGAGGGCGTCCCCGCGCTGCGGCCGCCGGTGTTTGACCTCCGAGTGAAGCGTCTCGGTCGCGGAGCGGCGGCGGTGACCAGCGCTTCGGTCAGCGGGCACCTCAGCCCGAGGAGGGACCTGTTATTAGCCAGCTAGCCTCCGACGCGGCGTTCACTAGCATCGCTGATGCTAGCAATTAGCTAACGGTTAACCCTCCCCCCCCCTCGAGCTACGGCGGCTAGTCAACAACAACGAATAGTCCCGACGGATTCTCCGTGTTTTCCGACGTGATAAACAACACGTTGAGTCCGCGGCTGGCGTGAGACTCGCTAACGGAGCTAGCTAACGTTTGGCGACGGACAATAGACGTTTTGACCAACCTCAGCATTGGTTTTTCCCCTCAGGTGAAAAAAGTAGTCGCTCGGCCGAAGTTTATTGAAACGACTTGGCCATTTTCTACTTCTCTCTCGCGTTTCGCGAACGATATGTTCAAAACAATGTCTCAAATTATTGCCACCCAAGTAGTGAGTTTAGTTAAATAAGGCTTTGGATCTGATGATAACCTTTCTGGCTTTAGCTGCTAGCCGTTTGCGGTAGTGCCGGCACTTCCGGTTTGCCTTTAAAAGCAAAATAAAGGTCCCGTTATTGTAATTCATTTTACGTAGTCTATTAAAGACCTAACGTTATTTAAGTATCACATGTTGTTTCTACACACAAAACACATATATGTATATGAAGCACTTAAACAGCCTTTTTCCAGAGTGGATGACGAGGTGCAGGTTTGAGCCGATCTGCAAATCGGCTTCTACTTTTATTGCAATATAATCAGAGTTTTTCCACATTATTTTCTATTTATTATTATGATTTGTCCATCTAGAGTACTGTATTATCTTTCTCAAAACTTTTAAGATATAAGTCATAAATTATGCCCACATGTGAATTTTCTGATGAGTCCTTTGAAATTGAATTGAACATTTTACTGTAAGCTACAAAAACAAAACAAAAAATCCTTGTCATCTTGATCAAAACTAGATATCCAACTGTTTCTGGGGCTCCTAGGTTTTTGTCGGCTTAAAAGACAAAACAATTTTGGCAAGGATTCAAGAATCGACATACTTACTACGTGAATTAAATGACAAAGTGTTGTCAAACTGGACAGACGAGGATGCAAACAGCAACTCCACTCTTGTCGAGGGCAAAAATATTTTGAGACATTAGAGCAGCCAACTCTCCTAAATCTGAGTTGATCAAACCACCAACTGAATCTTCTTCCTCCTGCACATTCATGGTGGCGGCCGTCTCTGCGGCGTGTGCTTTAATAACCGGCATCACGTGGCTCATCAGATATGTAATGTAGGGAGACATTATTTCAGATGTACAAAGAAACCCAAACATGTTTCTGAAAAATGTCTGTATTCCATCAACATGGATTTTTAAAATAACACGGATACTGTGCATAATTCTTTTGTAACATTAAGTATTGATATTTGGCATGCATGATACGAAGGCACTCAAATTGTACAAATGGGCCATGAGAGGAGAGAAAACTCCAAAGTGGATACAAGAAAGCTTCCCAATTATTCTTGGCAACCCACGCCGACTGTGTAGCGCACTAATGTCAGAGACAATAAGCCTCAGCTGTAGGAGGAAGGAATGGAAGGAAGATAAGCGGGGGAAAAAAAGTGCATTTTCAAACAGTTAACAACAACAACAACAACAAAAAATCCTCACTGGATCAACTGTTCGATGTCCAGCGTGGCGTGCTGCTTGGGTCTACCGAGCTGTCTGGTTGGTCCGATGCGCTTACCGGCGTGCGTTCGCTGATGCTGCCGCAGACCCTGCCGGTAAATGAAGCTCTTCCCGCACTCCCCACACTCGTAGGGTCTCTCTCCGGTGTGTAGCCTATGGTGCACCTTCAGCTCCTCGGCTCTGGAGTAGCCCTTCCCGCAGACGCTGCAGGTGAAAGGTCGGTCTTTGATGTGCGTCTGGTAATGTGCCGTCAGGTACGAGTTTATCCGAAACGTCTTCCCGCAGATCGAGCATGCGTACGGCCTCTCCCCGGAGTGCTGCATCTCGTGCAGCTTGAGCGAGGAAGCCGTGTGGAAACCACGGCCGCACTGCGAGCAGAGGAACGGTTTCTCCCCGGTATGTATACGCTGGTGGATTTGTATGTAGCTCTCGTTGATGAACTTCTTGCCGCAGTCGGGACACGAGTAGGGCTTCGCCTTGACGTGCGTTTTCATGTGTTCTTCCAGCTTTGCCTTTTCGCCGAACTGAATGCCACAGCGGCGGCAGAAGAGAAGCTGCGACGCGCCGCGTTCGACGGCGTCCCCGGCTGCTTCTGAGTGCGTGGAATTGTGGTGCGCTTGCAAAGCTGAATGGTTCTCACATTCCTGTCCACATTCCGGGCATCGGAGGGAGGATCTGATCCTGGACTCCCCCGGCAGAGACTTCAAGTATTCGGAGAGTTCTGACGCTATGGGACTCACTTCCTCGTCAAAATCCACAGCGTCCTTTCGACCTTAACAGACGCAAAAATGGAGGGACATATCATGTTTTACCCTGCGAGTGTAACGATCTTTGCATTATTTACACAGGAGTTATGGCGTCACATTTATTTTCAAGAAATGACTTCCTATTAAAACCAAGCACGAGTACGGGAGAGCACATCCGGTCAGAGACAGACTGATACCAGTTATTAAAAAAATACATTGTATTGGCTAGGCGTATAATTTCCACTATTTGAACATTGAATATGTTTTTCTTATGGGTCCTTGAACAGTGGAAGCAGATATTCTAGAAGATACCATTTGAAACCATTTGTCTGATTCAGTTGTACTGTAGCAGCTCTCACCTAAGTGGACTTTGTAGTGCGTTTTAAGATTTCCCTTCTGGTTGAAACCCCGGCCGCAGATGGAGCAGCGGTAAGGTTTCTCCCCTGTGTGGATCAGCCCGTGCCTCTCCAGCTTGTAGGCGTGAGGGAACTCTTTCCCACACACGGAGCAGTGGTACTCCATCTTCTCTTTGGGCTGCTTCAGGAGCTCCGGAGGGATTTCTACGGGAACATGAACCATCTTTCTGCCAGGGCGCTTCTTTCCTGTGTGGGTGGAGAGAGAGGTGAAATAATTAGCGTGTTCATTTAAATGGGACGGAAAATTAGCTTAAAAGCTTGTTTGTTCATGTCAACTTGCTCTTTTATTTAAGTATTATTATATTTAGGTGCGAAACAGTCACTCGCAAACGTTGTCACGTACAGGAAAGGGAAATAATAGCAGCTGCACATTTAGTCCTGCAGGGGGACATGTTTTTTGCTGCAGTTCTAAAAAAAAAATAAAAGCCGCTGCCCTTTTTTCCCGGTTCACGTCGTCTGAAAAAGCGTAGAAACACTTAAGTATGCTCTACATTACCGGTTAACCGTGTGGTAAGATATTCCAGACAGAGACGCCCTTTCTTTGCTTTCGCGTAGGAAAGATGATTGTTGATGGATTTCCACGGATGAACTCGACCTCACCTGCACGACCTCGCCGGTTATAAACTTTTACGGAACCGTTGGATTTGCTCTTACCGCCAGCGTTGTTTCCTCCTCCTCCAGGAGCTGCTTTGGTATCTTTCCTTCTTCTATAAGGTTGCTTTGCTGTTAAACAATGTTAGAAAATAGTATTTCTTTAATCTAAAACAAACAGCAGATGTTAATACTAATATATCATTATGCCTGCACATATCTACGTCTTGTATTGTAAACCACTCATAGGTTACGGTTTCATTTCTTACCAGCGACCCAGCAGACACTTTTGGATGGGAAATCTTCTGATTCAAAGATTGTGGGGAAATGTATCTTTCTTCGGGTGCGCCTTGATACTGGAAGGTAAGAAACAAGAAGACTTATCGCAACAAAATGACATTAAAAATGAATCATTTCACTCCGTGTAACACTCACTTCCTTGGTCTGCCTCGTGGTCTTCAGCAGACACCACTGGAGCTTTTGAAATCCTTCTCCTGCCCCTTCTTTTCACTTTGTGACAAAGAGAAGCAGCGGAAAATGTCACCGTGCGGAAAGTAAGAAGTCGCGTTGATGACGCTGAATTATTATCCATCCAACATCTGTGAATCCTCCGTGCAGACGAACAAAGCCAATGATGACAAAGTTTATCACAATGCAAATCACGTCGTCCTTCCAGCTCCTCACTCACCGGGAGGAGCTTCTCCCTCCGCGTCGGTGCCAATTCGAACCTTCTTCGCTTCTCTGCGTCTCCCCCCTGACAACGTTGTGGGCAAAAAAGACAGTCACCATCATCACTTACCACCGGCGCGCTCTTGATTGTTTTTTTGCGTCGGACTTGCGTTTACCGCCACATAAGGGCGAGGCCGCGGCCATCTCTACTACTCTCTCCCTCTCCTCCCCTTCTGCGTCCTCCCCCGCGGACACAACCTCCATGACGAGCGTTGGACTACTGCCGTCTCTCTGGTTTTGGCCTCGCAGCGGAGCCTCGGCCAGGAGGACACCCTGTGATCATAATCATCAGAAACCATGAGAAACGGCCTCCCCGGGGGGGAACAGCGCCTAGAGGGTAACTTCTGTATTTTTTTGACCTATTTTCTCATGTTTTTGTGCCTCTACGTCAGTCATGGGATCGGTTCAGCAACGATCACCAGCGGCTGCAGCGTAATCCTACGAATTCCTCACCGTTATTGTTGCTTTTGCCAACGAGGGGTTCAGATGTTTATCACAAGTGTCTTAAAAACATTACGGGAAGGAAACTACAGTACAAAAGGAAAAAAAACAACATATTTCTATACCCTTACTTGATCCCGGTCTGTTTGGGTCATGAGAATTGTTGCAGGAAGACAAAAGAGGAAGCGTGAGTGAAAGTGGGAGAGAGGAGTCCCGGTGTCGACGCAGCGCTGGAGTACAGCGTTTAAAGGATTTACGGGACTGCATGAAAACCTTCCGCGGGTGTATCCTCCTCGCGATGCAGTCAGATACTTACGATAACAATCGGAGCCTCTCAGTGGCAAAAGCAAGCTTGCCGGTAACAGTGAGGAGGAGCCCACAGCGGTTACACCTGAGCCCATTTCGCCGCTGCCGACTGAACCAGTTTAAATTGTTGTTCCCATTTGTCACTAAAAATATGGGGAAATCGAAAGTTAAAAAAATACCAACGTCACCCTTTAAGTCTTCAAACAGAGCAGAGATCGAATGCATTTGATAGCCGTCGATGCCTTGCAGCTGTTAATTATTACCATTATTAATAGTTGTAGCTGTTAATTATTTGCCTTCCCTGCAGTGATACGCGACATTCTCCTTTGATAATTACGTTTTGGTCCCTCTTGTACAAGTATGTTTTCACGTAGTCATTTCTTAGTCACTTCATCAAAAGTTGCATTGCAAATTTTTTTTCTGAGGGTTTGTCACATATTTACTAAACGTATTTGCCGTTCCGGAGCTTCTAAGTGTGGAGCTGTTGAAACATTTGAGATACTATGTAATGATATCAGAAGGTTCCAAGAGGCTCGCAGAGGAGTTGATTCAAACGAATGATGCACTGCGTCTCAAGAGAAATCACCTTGTTGGGTCGAGGACTTTCCCTGCAATCAGAGCCTCGGTCAGGACTTCCTCCTGGAAAAAGAGTCCAGATGTTACCTCAGGATGAAGAGAAACCTGACATGCCGACTGATGTTCAACGCTCTCAGTATTTACGGGACCGTGAAAAGTGAAGTCAAAACTTTTTCATGAATCCAAAGCAGTTATTCTTTCTGAAAATACTGAATAAATAAATATTTGGATGCAAATACCCAGAATTCACAACATGCAGCTCCGTCAGGAATCACTTACTGGCGTCCCATTCCACCACCTCTCCATCAGAGTTGATTAAACCACCAATTTCTTCCTCCTCTTCCTCCTCCTCCTCCTCTTCTTCCTCCCCAGCCTGCAGTCTGACGGTCAAATGGAGCGTTTGATCCCCTAAGTGTGCAGACGCGCTCTTGAGTCCGTGCGACACCAGATTCGTACGTTCAGAGGAATCCTGAAAACAAAACAGAGCGAGAAAAAAACACCTGTTCATCTCCTGCAGAAATGTAGATATGACGTCACAATCCTCGCATTGTCTTTAAGCGGCGTTTGAAACCTAAAATCAAATGTGAGGATTTCTTTGTTGTCTTTTAAAAAAAAAGGGCCTCACATAACAAAATTTTTTGTATTCTTATCCTAAACTTCTTTTACTTTTCCACTGTTATTGGGCGTATGGATCGTAAGAGTCGGATTCCACGAGCTCTATTAGCGGGACAAACGTCCCTGAGATGGGATCATGAGCACAAGCCGCCTTCCCTAAATTGACGTAATAGAAAACCTGTTCCTCTCGGTTCCAGCAGAGGACCACTTTGTGGTTCAGAGTAACAACATTCAGCCAACATGAAGAAGGAATGCTTCACAAGAAGCTGGTGACTAACATGAGAGACAGTTTGGCGCGGTTCTGATCTTTTGGTCCCTTCTGCGTCCGTTGTCGCCGACGTGCTTTGTTTTCCATCAGGGCTCCGGTCCTCGGGGGGACGCTCATTGTGTCTCACGTTCCTCTGGGTGCTGAGGGCCGTCTGACGGGCAGCGCAGGTGAAGGGTTTCTCTCCCGTGCCACTGCACTGACGCAACGTCACATCGGGACAACGGGACACCTCGGGTTTGTCCTCCGCGTCCGTGTGCGTCCGCCGGCCTCCAAACTCGTCCGGACGTTCCTCCCCCGAAAGCAGCCTCTGCCGTCGCTCCGCTCCGTACGAAATGCGTGGACATTTTCCGGAAGAATCCTCCTCTTCTGCCTCTGGGACAGCGTTCTCATCTGTGTTTGACGTGACGAAGCGAAACAAACAACGTGGCGAGTGAGGAACGTTATGATTACGTCTTCTAACAAGGTTAAGCGGATTTTTAGGATTTTCCACTCACGGTTTTCACTCACAGTCCAACCTTCCTCTTCCTCTTTGATGACCACTCGAATCGCTGGTGTCTCACATGTGCAGACATCTGTTTTTGAATCACGATGACGCGGCTTCCGGTCGTCATAGTTTTTATTAAGCGACAGCGGATCTTGGAGTTCAGGATCCTATCACAAAGTACATGAGACAGCGACACTAATGCTCAGTAATGAAACGGGAAGGCAAACACTGACTAATATAAGATTCATAAAAGCATAAATCATTCGAAAAACAAGCTTTCATGATTCTATATGTGAAGAATAATACCTAGTGGGCCCCTCGTGGAAATAATGCACTGATAAGAGATGAGACCAGATTAAGACTCGTGTTTATTTATCATTCCAAGAATGTGACCCGCATTTGCCAGAGCCGCAATCCCACATCAAATATGTAATCTAATCACTTTCTAATTCATCACAAACCGGGTATGCGTTTGATGTAATGCAAAAAAAGAGTCCTGCAGGCCCGACAGCATCGTGTTTCATAAAATCATCATAAAAACAATGTTAAATTCAAATTATAAAGCAACATGTTCATACTTTTATTTAAGTCAACACCAAAAAGGTCCAAGGAGTGAAAATGAATTTCACTCGTCAAACTCGTTTGTATGAATATGAATTGTCTCCCGCCCACCGTTACACTTTCTGTTAGATTTGATAATGTTAAAAGGGGTAATCTCTGTATTTTCTCCTAATGAGCCAGGTTTTAATAACCATGTGACAACGTGAATCGGGACGTTTCTCCCAGACGGTTTCTGTCTCCTGGAAGAGCTTTTTTTGCGTCACCAACAGGCTCAGATCGGATAAACATAAAGACCTGAGAAAGTCAAAGGTTATTTCCACAATGTCATCAGACGCAATATTGTGTAATTGTTTGCTGCTTTATCAGTTGGCATCCTGTCCAAGGTCGTGGTTGTTTTTAACATTCACCTGCCAACAATGGCGGGATTGCAGTGCCTGATTAATCGTTATTTTAAGTAGGCAGTTTATTAAATACAGCAAGTTATAACTAACTATATTGTTGCAATATATCACATGTGTATGAAGGTTATACAGTTTCACCTGAGGTACACTGAGGTTTCATCCAGTTTATTATAATAATGATCTATACTATAATTGATAGCTTATTATCATGTATTACCACATCCGTTACCTGTATAACACAGGTAACGTTTACAGAACATAATATTACCAACTTGCACGAATAGACATGCATTACTGGGACTGATGTTTATTCCAATCCTACATGCATGACTGTAATAATGTGACAGGAGCTGCAATAAACTTTGTTTTGTTACGCTGGTTTGAATTGTTTTTGGTTCCCTGAGGGGTCTTTTTTTCTCTTTACCAACACTTTGACACACAGCACACAGACATGCATAAAACGACGTATGAAAAATGTAATTAATTTTTTTTTTTTGTAATTAAAAAGCAACGATAGTTTATTAACAAACGCCACTGGCTGTCGTCAACTAACGCAGCGTCGCGATCAGGCCATTAGCGGAATAGTTAGAAGCCGTTAAAGGTCGGATCCACATGGACTTTTACACCTGTGTCCCCGCCGTCTCCTCTCACTTAACCGGTAACAGTTATCACTTATTCATCGGATGAAGCCGCTCAACGAGACGCGTCCGCGCAGCTAGCGACCCCCAAAAAACATCCCGGCAAACGGCCGGTTCAGCCGCACAACAACGTCCCGGACGGCCGCCCGCGGTACCTCGAACATGGTGCGACGTGGTGGCGGGTCCGGATGTCATGAGACAACCGGGGCGAAGAGCAGACGGATGCCGAGGTGTCGCGTTGTTGTGGGTGGCAGCAGTCCGTCATGGAGCGGCGGTTACGGGCTGAGCTACCGCTAGCTAGCTAGCTAGCATGCTAGCTGCGCCACCGCTTCTTCTGCGGGCTTCTTTTACTTTTTCTGTTTTTTTTAGGCAGCGGTTACCAGCTGTGATGCGCGGCACCACAGCGCCACCTGCTGGACAGATGACGTCATAGAATTGAGACAGGCGTCATGTCGTAATCAGTTAGTTTTAATTTGATATTAATATGGACACAAAAATAAAAATAATAAAACACGGATTGTGTCTATGTACCAAGGTAGTTACTGATCTCCTGCATCTCCTAATGTAATAATGCACCAATGTAGGCGACACATTTGCAGAGTATTTACATTTTATGGAGCTCTACTCTTCCAATCCAGTTATATTCCAATACATTATTTAGTATGTAAAGTAAGTCGTAACTAAAGTCGTAAAATAAAATGTGAAATGAAAGTTGAAGAATAAAGTAGAAAAATAAAACATACAAGAAAATGTGTGTACTTTATTTTGAGTAAATGCACCAATTTCCTTCCCACCTTTGACATACAGCGCATGTTCATCCTGCACCCGCAGAGACGACGTGTAAGTTAATGGGTAACTGTTTGGTCATTATCGCGGTCGCCTCACACTTTAGTCCCGATCCTCAGATTCGGTGACCGAACGTGATCTGAACTTTGAACCGACGCCTCTTTCAAAAAGCCACATGGCCGCAATCAGCTGTCTTTGCGTCATCCCCGAGGGAAGGAGAGAAGGAGAGAAGGAGGGAAGGCCCCGCACGCCCCGCACGCCGTCTGCCTCCGGCCCGACGGGCTCCAGCTGCGCGGACAGGTGAGCCGGCGTGCCGATGACACGCGCGCGGCCTTTGTCAGGTACTCGCGTGCGGGTGCGCGGACGTGCGCGTGAATGGGTGCGTCAAGGGGCTGTCCACCGGCAGCGCGCGGTCGACGCTCCGGCGACAGCGGCTCGAGCTGAATATTATTCCTCGTCAATCTCCCCTTTCGAAGGTTTGACGGTTGCGAGAAGCGCAGCCGCGATGTTTTAACCCGCCCGCGATGTCCTCTTCCGGGAAGGGCCGCTCCTGAGGTGAGCGGAAGCTGTCGGCTTGTTGGATGCAATTCACCAGCTGTCACCGACGTGTTACGCTGACGTTCGCTGTAACTCGACGGCGCGTTGTTAACCAGCACACCGGTCTTCAAGCTAACGGCTCACCGGTTAACGTTTGGGCCACACGGAGCGGTGACGTTACGGATAGTCGCTGACCTGGCCGCTAAGCGGCTAACGACATGCTAACTGTAAGCTAGTTACAGCTAACGTCCGGAGCAGGATGTGATCGCTTTCACTTTAGTGTAAAGTCGCTATTAGTGTCTAACATACTCTGTGTTTGCTGTATGAAGCTATGGCCTCTAACCAAGTTAAGTATTCTGATAAGGTAACGGTACGTTTACGTTACTCGAATTGAAATCAAGGAATCTGTTTTATGCAGATTGTGGGAAAATCCTGTACCTCTATTCCAAATACATGTTTTATTTAGAATCAGGGTTTTTGTTGCATTTTATCAATTTGCATTCAAAGCGAAAGGGCTGTATTCCACTGTGTACCTGTTGTTAGGTATATGTGCACTGTGGTGACTTAACGGTTGTGTATATTTACACCATCACTATGGTCTTATGGCTGTTTGCGTCATTTAGGGTTTTTTCCATTTGGACTCCATGATATCAATATTGCAGCAATCTGTTGCATTTTGTATTGGAAATTGTTTTCACTCTTGCACACTTTTGGTATGTTGAAATCCATTTGAATAATAATCTGTCCGGTTTCAGGTGGCTTTAGCCCATTTAGTCCTTCATTGTTTTGTTTTTTAATGCTACTAGATGATTTAAAATAGCAAAATTACATCTTTGTAGCCGCTAAGGATTATTATGCAACAAATTAAACCATTACTGGCTGTAATTGGCAAATTTCATGAACCCAATGGAAAAACCTGAATGCGGACCACCTTCAAATCACATTCTGACTGGCAGTGAACGCTTCACAAATCCATCACAGGATACAAGTCTGCGTTCATATCAAGTTACGCTGTCTTTGTGCAGTAAAGCACTGAAGAACCTTGAGGGCTAAAACGATTAGCGACTCTCTTGTCTCTGAGAAGCTTTTAGTTATTTTGAGACCATGTTTCTCCTCTTACCCAGACTTGGACATGCTGCACCAGATGGAGTGGCATTCATTTGAAGACGATGTGGACGTCTCCGCGGACGTCTCCGCGGACGACCGCCTCCACTTATCCGACTCTCCCGGGTCGAAGCCCTCCCCCAGCGACATCTCGGAACATGAGTTCTCGTGCCACTGTTGCTACGACATCTTGGTGAACCCCACCACCCTGACCTGCGGCCATAACTTCTGCCGCCACTGTCTGGCCGGCTGGTGGGAGTCCTCTCGCAAAAACGAGTGCCCGGAGTGCCGGGAGAAGTGGGCCGGCTTTCCCAAAATCAACATTCTGCTGAGGTATGACTTTCACACGCAGCTCGGGTCGGGGAAGGAATGTGTGGCGTTCTGACCGCAGTGTTTACACACTTCAACCCACATGCAGTATAGAGCTGAGAGCTACAGACTGGGTACCCTTTTGTGCATTCTGGGATTCTACTGCCGATCCGATGATCCGCTGGGGTTACCGCTCTAGTGACACGTCCCCCCCCTTAAGAATGAGTGCGATGAGTGCCACGTATTCTCCACCGTGCCCGTGTCTGACTTTCCCTTTCAGCATCCGGTCTGCTGCCTTTTTCCTCCGCATGAACGTGGCTGGCGGACGCTTTCGTCGGCTAATCGCACCCATTAACGCGACGCTCTCCTCTCCAGGGATGCAACCGAAAAGCTGTTCAGTGACGTCGTTCAGCGGAGGAGAGAAGAGATTGATGCCAACGCCAACACCTCCCGGACCTTGCTGGCCTTCCAGAGGTAGGACGTTATGATCTATGATGGAATGCTGTTTTGGTGTGACGCTTTAGGACGCTTGGCGTTCACAGAGCGGAGTCCTCCATTCGTGTAGCGCTGCGCTCCTACGACATTATCAAACTCACGGCGGGCAATTTATCACAAGAAGGTAGGAAATAAATGATGGATGGCGCCTTTTTTTCTTTCCATGTGTCCTCCTTCCTCCATGAAAACCTGGTGCAGACGTTACAGCCAATGCTAGTCCAACATGGAGCTTTCTCACCGTGCTGATCGTCTCCCCCATTAACTCGCCTTGTGTCTGTTCTGCTGCATGTTTTCAGGTACGGCGACAACTTGGGGAGATCCACGACAAACAAGCACAAAGGAGCAGGCGTCTTCTTCTCTGGAGTCCTGACTGCGCTCTGTTTTGTGGCTGTAAGTACATCAAAAAAATAGCTGATTGATCGGCCCCCGTTTATAAGGATTCATGATGATACTGACAAACGCTCCTCTGGGGAAAGCAATAGTGAACCTGACTCTTTGGGTTATTCAGGTAATGTCACCGTTTATTCCCTTTGGAATAATTTGTCTACATTCAGCGGCTGCGGTTTAAACTTATTTTAACAAAAGTGCGCTGTAATATTTAAAAGTCATCAGTTTGGCAGATGATGAGGTCAGTGTTCACATCATGTAGACAGATCATGTTTATTTTGTCCATGTGGCAGTCGGGAGCATTGTGTGTGTGTGCGCGTATGTGCGTGCGTGTGCGCGCGTGCGTGTGTGTGCAGCACGTAAACAGAAAAGCGCTTGGTCCTTTATTTTAACCCAGTTTCACTATGGAATCAGGTTCTTTCAGCAAACAGGACCTGGGACTGTGTACTCGGCGTTAGTGGGTTTGGATGTTGTTGCTTTATGACTTTCTTGGCACTCAAATGTACTGGAAAATAACACATGATGAGCTGCGGTTTGTACAGTTGCATCATTTAGGTAGTGGATGCGTGTTTAGTAAATCTAGAAGGTGTAGGCGTCTGACTTTATGTCCACTAAAATCTTAATATTCCGTGTCCACCTTCTTCAGACTAATGTTTATCCACTTTGTTGGTTTTTAGTTGTGGGTTTTTTTCCCGTGGGGGAGTAAACATCAGTGACGTAGTTACTTACTGTCTTGCTGTGAACGTGTGAGCTTTATTCATGCAGTCGTATACAACAAGTTAATCTATTTGGCCCGTGACTCAAATTGTTGGTTTCTTTAAATGTTGTCGTCACAGTGCTGAATGGACACCAGGCGTCAACGCTGGTGTTTCACGTCAGCGCTGATAAGCTGTCATACGCATTAATCACCACCAGAGTTTTAGCTTTCAGCGTTGTGTTTTCTTAAACTGTCGTTTATAAGTGACATTGATCTCTAATTCAACGAATGACCCCAAAAATGTGTGTGTGTTGCTGAACTCGAGTCAGTTGAGAGGATTCGTTATGCGCTCATTCCCATAAACGTGTAACATGGGGAAAAAGATGGCGTAAAACCCTCTGACTGCTCATGTTAAGCTAATAATACATTTCCTTTTTAAAGAAACAAATCCCACTATAAGTAAGAGCAGATTTAATAACTAATAATGCTGCTGCCGGTTAAAGACAAACTGGTATAGTGGCCGTTACGCTGTGACCTGTGGGACCAGTTGGCACCAGTCCGGCCTGAGAGGAATTCCAGCCGCCATGCAAACCTGTCAATCCTCCTCCTCCTCCTCTGCTGCAGCGGCGCCGTGAAGCAAACCATTTCTTTGCATCTAAAGTGTTCCCCGTTCCTCCCTTTTTTTGCGTGTTCCCAGCTGATGGTGCTGGTGTTTCACTGGGGCAGCGGCGCGGTGGAGCAGCACGACCTGCTGATCAGCAAGCCGGTGTCCCACTGGGCGCCGGAGGAGGTGGTGTCCTGGCTGGAACACCTGGGGCCCTGGGCCCAGCTCTACCGAGAACCCTTCCAGCAGGAGAGCGTCAACGGGAGGTAAGAATTCCGCAGCGCGGCGGCGTGTCTGTGTGGCATCTGACGTGGACGCGTTTGACGATCCCCGTGTCCTCCGCTGCAGGCTGCTGCTGATGCTCGGGGAGGAGGAGTTGTTAAAGCCTCCGTTCAGCATCGAGAATCCGGCTCACCGGCGGGCCGTTCTGGCCGAACTGAACCGAGTGAAAACCCTCGGGGTGAAACCTCCGCAGAACCTCTGGGAGTACAAGGTGAAGAGTCTTCTCTGCTCCAGGAGGAAGAAACTCATTCACTCATTAACGTTTTAGTTTATCATATATATACTTTTTTTTCATCCTTGAATAAGAAGTCGGTGTATCGTAAGTCATCGTATCCCTAAACAAGTCAGCGTAAAACTTGTTTTGCGTCCACCTCCACTACAGAAACATGTTCTAGTAACACATAATTAATCTGACCTTTTTGCTTTCGGATTCTCCCCTGAAGTGCGTTCCGATTGAAATCTTAAGAAATGAATCCTAAAGACGGTCAGCCTCTGTATCCTTCTGTCCCGCTCTGCCAGGCCATCAACGCGGGGAAGTCCCTGTTCCTGCTGTACGCTCTGAAGCGCTCCCCCCGTCTCACGCTCTTCTACCTGTATTTATTCGACTACTCTGAAACCTTCCTGCCCTCCCTGCACACCTGCTGTCCGGCCATCTCGCACATCGGCCAGTCGATGGAGACCAGCTTCCTCGACGCACAGGTGACCCCCCCCCTCTCCGTTCAGCTCGTCACGACCCGACAAAACCGTGCCTCGCCTGTCCGTCACTCCCCCACCCCCCCGCCAACCGTCACCGCTCGCTCTCTGTGCTCCCCCTCTGCTAGTTGGAGCCCAGTTGGCAGCAGTGGGCGGAGTTCCTGGTGAAGTACCTGCTGCTTCCGTACCAGCTGATAGCGGAGTTCGCGTGGGACTGGCTGGCCGTCCACTACTGGACGTCTCGCTTCATCATCGTCAACGCCATGCTGCTGTCGGTGCTGGAGGGCTGCCTCCTGTGGAGACTCTTGACCAGAGTCACTATCAGGTACATGGCCCTTTTTATGCAAAAAACCCACTACATGATGATGAGAAAGTGAGAGGGTAACATTCAGAATTGAGCTGCTTCAAGCGCCAGTTGGGTTCCCGAGGAGGCCGCGTGCCACTAACTTCCATTTTCCGCCGTCTTCAGGTCTCTGCCGCGCAAGATGTGGAACCACTTGTGGAAGATGTTATCTCAGGGCTTCGCCTTCGCCCTCATGTGGCCTTTCGTCCCTCAGTTTGTGTGCAACTGCCTCTTCTACTGGGCGCTCTACTTCAGTCCCATCATCAACATCGACCTGGTGGTGCAGCAGCTCATGCACCCGGAGACGCAGGCGCTGTGAGCGGGCCCCGTAGATGCTGCGCAGTTCACAGCGGATGGGGGAAGCCATAAATCCGTTGGCTGAAAAGATGACGTGTTTATTTCGAGCGGTGTCCTCACACGACATGAAGCTGGCTTATTTGCGGGTGGAAAAGGACATCTCCTCGCTTGGCGCCCTCGTCTCTCTGCCGGATGGCTGCTTTGAGCGAGTGAAGGAGACCCGACGCCAAGGAGATGAGTACCGGTGGCGTCATTGATTGGAAGGACTGCAGTGCATTCATAAACCACGTTGCCTAAACGGTCGAGAGGGCGGTTTATGCAAACGAGGAGTCGCGTTCGAACCCCGGTGGCGGCCGGCGACGGCCTCGCCGCTTTCTGATAGCTTTGAAGCGCTGCGATGGCTGCAGTCCGGAGAGCTTTTTTTTTATGCACAGAGACTGAAGGTGGAACAAAGTATCGCTATATTTTATTTTTTTACTTTTATCATTCGTCTTGATGGCATTTAATCCAAAACCAGTTAAGTGAACAACTTCTGCTCTAAAAGTATCAGTTTGCAAGAAGCACCAATGTAAGTGTGTATAAATCCTGTTCATGGCGTATTTCATTGGCATTGCCAAAAAACATTGTTGCACATTTTTCTGTATTATTCAGAAACATTTTGTTTGCAGTATGCGTTTTATTTGATGGGTGGAAAGACTTAATTCATTTTTTTTAATTATTTGCACTTAAACGTTCGACACTGTGAATTTGTTCTTGACTGTAAAAGGGCAAATCAAGATTTTCATATCATTTAATGCTGTTGTGGATTTGTTTTTCTCATGACGTATTCATTTCGGGATAATAATTGTAATTTAATAAAGTTAAATATGTTTACAAGGACAGGTAAAATAGTTTGAGGATGATCTGAATGGCACAAAAACCACAGCAAAAATAACCATAACTGGAAGTGATCTACACAAAATGGATCCACATCTTAAACCTCACAAAACATAACCTCCTTTAATATCTTTCAATTGATGTAAATGAGAAATGCAACACTGTGCCCGGACACGGTTTCTTAAATTAACTCATCGCTTTTCTGACGGTCGTAGATATATAAACTATCGAGGAAATTCTTACTTCTTATAACTTGTTTATTTATATATTGTGTTTAAAGTCACTTTGGATAAGAGATGTGTGGTTCCTACACGGTTGGATAACAAATCTTGAACTTGCTCCACAAACTAAAAATGGAAAGACTCACATTATTAGTCAGGCTTTTGACTAAATGACTAAAACTGACCAAATGGAGGAAAAACATTGGATAAAGTAAATATAACACTAGTGAGAGAGAGAGCGGTGCTATCGGGTGCTTTATGAATAAAGTTCCATCGATTGAAACCTGAAGAACGACCGCCCTCTAGTGGTCCGTCCCCCGCACTGCGTAGGGACCGTCTACAAAGAGCCCGAAAGACACAATAGGAAAAATGAACTAAAAACCCCTTTGAACTTTTATACATACATGATACGCATAATCAATTTGACCAATGTGATTCCCCACCAACGTAAGTCACCTACTTATTTTGCTTAGCTTACCACCGTAAAACGTAGCCGTTCTTTTTCATGACCTCCAGCTTTTTACGGTCCCTCCCTCTACGTCATTGTTGCGGAAGTGAAAAGTCTACGTGGGGAAGAAAGGTTGGTTCGACCGCGTTTGAGTCGTTTGGACACCAACGGCGCCCATGTCCAATCCAGCTTAACCCCGTACCGCGCCTCCGCTAACACCCCCCCCCACCACCCGCCCCCACCCGCGGGGGCAAATGGACGCGTTGGGCGCCGGCCGGGGCGTATAAATGGGACGCGCAGCCGACAGCCCGTAATGCTGCGCCGGGTGCGGCAGTCTCTCCGGCAGGTGCTGCTTCTGATGGCCCGGAGACCGGCTCTGCTCTGCGGGGCTCTGGGGGTCGGCGTGCTGCTCTTGCTGGCCGTCAGGTTCACGTGCAGGTGAGATAAGATGACGCGTCCTCAGGTGAGCGAGCGGCTCTGCGTTTATAAGGTAACCTACTTGAAGCCGACCGAGGACTTGATCGTGTTTGGCTCCTCTGAGAAGGACGTGCACTTAAAAGAAAAGAGGATTAATTATCTAATGCGTTAAGCCCGTTTAAACAGACCGTCAACTGGCCAAGAGTCTATCAAGTTCTTTTTAAGTCTTTTAAAAAAAGTTTTTGGTCTTTATATTTTTAAATAAGGTCAAAGACGTCAGTGTATAACCACCATAACTCTGTAGTATAAAACGCATTTACGTCCAAAAGGAAGACATCTGTGGAGGTTTAAAACAGGGGAAACTTTCTTGCAAATGATCTGATACATCCTGCTTTTTATCCGGTTGTGGTGGAAGAAATGTAGTTTGCATTTGTTTTGACTGTAAGCAGCCAACTGTAATTGTATTGTAGTTGTACTCGATTACAAGTAGACGCACATCATTCATTATGTTATTGAAGTGGAATAAGAAAACTATTTCCTGATCAAAATAAGTAGAATCCAAACACCCATTTCAAATATTAAAGTCCTTTTTATTGTGAAAAGCTACCTATTACAAGGGCACCAAAGGGACATCTTCAAACGATCTGTGTGATAAACAATTCAAAACGTCAATAGATTCAGTTCACAACAATAAAAAGGCAGCAAACCGGAGAATTCCAGCCATGTTTGCCAGATAAACTAATACAACTTTAGTAAAATGCGTTTTCTTTCTATTTAACCAATTGAAACCGCAGCACTAAGTGACATATGTTCTATCTGATCTTATAGGCTTTGTGATTGCAAAGTTCAAGCAAATTGTAAATATTCCCCACATGCTCCTCCGCCTGTGACGGTGCCCCGGGTTCGGTCGCCTCTCGGCGCCGTTGTGATTTCTGCCTCAACATCAAATCAATTGTTCCCGTAGCCGCGCCAAAGATGTGGTGGCAGCGGCCCGGCCTCCGGTGCGGTTCTTCTCTGCCGAGGCCCCGGTGGTCGACCTCTACCTGGGTCAACTCGACCAGGTGAGCCTTGTTCCCAGTCGGTCGGTTTGATTCCACGCGTGTCTCCCTCGCCCGCACGTTTGTGCCGTTGTCTTGAAGCGCCCTTTGCCTGCAGATGGAGCGTCTCAGGAGCCTGGCGGAGGTCTCGCTCATCTTCTTCTATGCGCCGTGGTGCGCTCACTCCATGGCTGCCCGGCAGGAGGTGCAGCAGGTGGCGAGGAAACTGGCCAAACAGGTACGCGACAATACAAGCCCTCCGCAGGACGCTTCAATGGCCCCGAACGGCAATCAGCCGTCTGAATCACAAAGGGGTAAAACTGCTTCTCTCTCTCTCTCTCTCTCTCTCTCTCTCTCAGGTGCAGTTTTTGGCCGTTAACTGCTGGTGGAGTCACGGGAAATGCAGGAAGCAGAACCGCTTCTATCAGTACCCTGTCATCCATCTGTTTTATAGGAGGTGAGGGACGCTCGTCCTTTCAGTTATTCCGGTTCCAAAGTGGTCAAATGTAACCGAACAGCGGTGACTTTTACATTCTGGCCTCCGTTGACTGCCGGATGGCTGTCGTTTGGGAAGCTCCCAAGTCATTGATTGACGGTTGTTATCGCTCGCTTCCCCTGAATGTTAATCTTTTATCCTACAATTAATTAACCCCACTGCCTACAGTTCAGCAGTTTCCCTTCTTGATCCGTCTTTGTCTCTTTGCCGCAGGTTTGGCCCTATAGAGTACAAAGGTCCGCTCGTGGCTCCGTACGTGGAAAGCTTCGTTCTCCGAGTCATCACGCCGCTCACGTACCTCCCGTCCAGAGCCTCGCTGGAGGAGTTCCTCTCCTGCCACGAGGTAGCGCCGGCTCCAGATTGAGCCGACCTGGGCGCGTTCTTCCATCGCGGCGTTTATTTGCGCCCGGTGTAATGTTGTGTCCTGTGTGTCTCCAGCCGCGAGTGGTGGGCTTCTTCCAGTTCGACTCGTCTCCTCAGCCGCCGGGATACGTCACGTATCTGTCCTCTGCACTGCAGGCCCTAAGGAGGGGTACGTAGGGGTCACGCGGCCGGTTTTGCACTTCCAGCACTGTGATTAGATCAGAAAGAACCGGGTCTGGGAAACCGGGGCTATTTGACAGTGAGGATTAAAATAGGGTCCAACGCGTGTTTGCGTCTCTGTTGTCCCGGCGCAGATTTCCGCGGCGTCGTGCGCTTTGGAGTCGTGACCAACAGGAAGGTGGCCGAGGCCATCTCGGTGAGGGAAGATGAAACGGTTTATCTGTACAGAAGATTTAACTCCTCTCTGGTGAGCGGCGTGATCCATCGTCACACATGGTGTTCGGTGCTGGATACGTTCCTGGATGTACCGACCTCCTGCTTTCCCCCTTTTTTGTCAGATTTTCCCCCGAAGGGAGTTCAACTTCACGTCGGACGCCATCTGCAGCTGGGTGTTTGAACACCGCGAGACCGTCCTCCAGTGGCTGCAGCCTCCGGGGACAAAGTCCCGCCTGCTGGAGCGCGAGCTCACTAAAGGTCCCGCGCTGCTGCTGTTCCTGCCGCACAATCCGCTCGGGTCCGAACCCGATCTGGTGCTGCAGCAGGTGAGCAAAGGGAAAAAAACAAAACAGCAACAACTAAAACATTCATTTTAGAGCTTGATTTGATTCAAAAGACCAAACGTGTGTGGATACCTGTGACTATGGGGAGTGAATGGAAGGTCCCTGATGGGCAGGTGAAGGGAACAACACTAGTTGAGTCCTCTTAGCGCACTGCTCTCCTCCGGTTACACTCTCAACCGTAGAGCCAGTTTAGGTCCTTTGTTTTCCCTGGGAAAACTCAAATATATTGATTTTATCTTAGATAATGTTTAGTTTTATGATGCACTTCACATCAGGAACAACTTCCCACTGATCTACTCCAGCATTTCCTGCTGATTTCTTTTCATTTGATTGGCAAATCCAATATGTGTGTCTTCGCCTTTCTCTTCTCTGCGCATCTACATGTTGTCTTATTTAAGGCCTGTTGAATTGCGTTGTTGTGAAGTGATTTACAAATGAGCTCATCGGCTCCAGACAAAACGGTTATAAATATATAACAAATGTTAAGAAATCTGTAATTATTAAATTGAGGTTGTACAATCCTACTTTCTCCACATAAGACCTACATACTGAGCTGTGGATGTGCAGACTTACAATCATATTTCACCAAATGTATCTTCATTCATGTTGACGCTCCCAGTTAACTTCCATGTGATTGCTTCCAGGTGGCAGACGTCGCTGTGCGTTACCATTCCTGCGACATCAGCAGCCGGGTCAAAGGTCACTGCTGCAGGTCACTTCTCCTGCCGGAGTCCAGCACCAGTGTGTGCGAGGTGTGCCTCAGTGTGTCCCCGTGGAGCGCGGCCGGCCCCTCCGCCCGCTGCACCTTCTCCCCCGCGCCTCACCTCGGGCGCTGCTGCCCGCGCGGACCCCCCGCCGCGTCCGCGGCGACCTCCCCCTCGGCGGGCTGCAGCGGCTTCCTGAGCAGCTACGGCCCGTTTGGGCGACACAGCGCCTGCTGCAGGGCGGTGGCACCTGCGCTCGATGGGTCACGACCCAGAGAGGAGCCGCACTCGCCCGCCGCTCCCTCCGGCGGGGGCGGGTTCACAGGGCTGCGTTGTCGGACCAACCGGACGCTGAGGTTTTACGCGCTGGACGTTGCTCTGAACCGGCCCCTGGCGGTGCGGCTCGGGGCGGCCGCCGACAGGAGCCCGCCGCTCGACGGGCCCTTTGCCACTATCGTGGACCTGAAGGACGAGGTCCACTACGTTCTCCGGCGCCGCCCGGCAGCCACGCTCACCGAGTCGCTGGGTAAGACGAGGAGGAAGCACTTTGAAAGCACTCAGGGAATTTAAGGCATTTAAGGAATTTAAGGCATGCGTCTGCGTCTGCAGAGCAGTTCACCGCCAGAACAACAGGCGGAGTGACGTGTTTTTGTTGAGGACGACCTAGAGAGTCACGTCTATTTGTTTATTTGTTTGTTTATTTATCATAGACTTTATTGCCCCTTGCATCGCCACTGCTGCTTTTCATCGCGGACACATTTGTCCCGTATTTTCCTCCACGACTTTGCGCGCCTCTCGAACGGCAAACCGGCGTCTGCGGCGATCTCCCTCCGTGAATCCAACCCGCTTCTACAACCCGCCAATGACGGCTTGTAGAAGCGCTCATATTTGCGCATTTCTTCCGACAAAAGCTCTTAAATCTGATCCGTTCTCTCGTAAACATCCTTCGTTTTAATGTGCGGCGTCGGGCTGTGAAAGCGGAAATGTGAGACTCCGTAAAGGACGTAGTTGGCGGACCAATCGCAGCCTGGTGCGCTGCGGAAAATGAAAAATGGGTCGACACGCGCAAGGACGCAAGGATGAAAAGCGACGCAAGGGACACGCAGAAGCATAAACCAGGCTTCACTCTCACCAAGTCGTGTCCCCACGGCTGTGACCGCTACACTGACGATGTTACATTAACAACCAAAAACAATCCAATAGTTTACAGACGTGATCCATCTAAAATCAATTTTTCTAAACATCCTAATGGAGACTCGTATTTTTATTTACCAAATGGTTTTCGGGATTAGAGCCTGCGCACAAATGTGTGTCAGTTGTGTGACAACCAAACGACACGCGGTGAGTCTGATCACATGAGGCAAACGGCAGCTTTGCATTTCCTGCACGACCGCAGACGTTTGCATACTCGCAGGGGAATAGTCACCTCGACAGCGTGTTGTTTCCATGTGCTCCTCGCCACACCGATGTCATGCTTTTACTTTCATGTTTCTAATGAACCAAAACACACTTTTCAACATTTCTCAAATGCGTCCATCGATCCGTTTTCACGCGCCGTGCGCGTTTCCTTGTGTCATCGAAGAGGCCTTCATCAGGAACTTCAGCGCTCCGTACAGCCTGTTACAGAGACACCTGGTGGGAGAAGAGGAAGACGGGAGCGCAGGAGACGGGGAGACCAGGCGCCGCCTCCTCACTGAACTCACCACCTCCTCCTTCCTGCCGGCCGTCATGGACCTCCAAAAGGTGAGAGAAGGCGGTTTGAGTTTACTCCCAACGTGGACTTCGGGGAGTTTGCGGAGGTGAATGTGTGCGTTTGTGTGCGCGTCCTCTCCTGCAGGATGTGCTGCTGTTCTACTACACTCAGTGGTGTGGATTCTGCTCCGTCCTCAACCACGTCCTCATCCAGCTGGCCAGATTGTTGCAGGGAAACGGCACCATCACTGTGGCCAGGTAACGTTTTTACGTTGTGGCACTGCTGATATATTCTTTCTGGTTCGTTCATTTTCTGGCCCAACCGTCGGACTAAATGACCCACGTTGTGCGTTCTGTGTAGGGTGAACGTTGCACGTAACGATCTCCCGTGGGAGTTCATGGTGGATCACGTTCCTTCTATTCTTCTGTTTCCAAAATACAGGTAAGAAGCACGCAAACATTGGTATTCCTTCAGTAACACCCGGACATTGCTCTTTAGAACTGAAACGATGAGTCGATTGAATCAACCACAACCATCACTGGTCAGACCAAACTAAAATATTGAAACTGAATTTGAAAGGTTTTGTCACACAAAAACCGTTCTTCTTCTTCTGTTTCGGCTCCTTTTCAAGAAAACCCGAAAGCGTGAAGTTTCCCGACGACCTGCCCATCACACTACCCAACCTGCTTCACTTCATCCTGCAGCACTCCGGCTCCGTGCCGCACGCCGACGAACCGGCGGCGGGCCGGGCAGCCGGCGCCGTCCTCCGCGCCGAGTTCGCGGCGCTCCGGCGAGAGGTGCAGGCGCTGAGTCACGCCCGCCAGCGCCTCTCCCGACAGCTGGCGCAGCTGTGGCGCGACAATCGCCGGCTGACCTTCGACGCCCTCAGCCTGGAGGCGCAGAACGCGGAGCTGCGCAGGGAGAGGCGGAGCTTGGAGGAGCAGCACCGGGAGAAAAGCCGGCAGCTCGGGGAGGCGGTGGGGCGGCTGCAGGAGCTGGCGGACACCTCGGAAAGCCTGCTGAACGAGAACGCGCTGCTCAGGGTGCTGCTGGTGGCGCTGAAGGAGCGGACGGAGGTCAAAGGGCAGGCGGAGGCGGACAGGAAGGGGGCGGAACGGAAAAGAAGCCACGTGGCCTCCTGACCTTTCAAAAGTCTGCGGGGACACCCGAGAGGGGGAGGCGGGAAAGCAAAGAGACCTGAGGTTTCTCTCACGGACCAGAGCAAACGAGGAGGAAATGACGGCCGCGATCAGTACAGAGGAGGTCTAAGGCCGCTGCCGTCAGGGCAGAAGAAGAAGAAGAAGAAGAAGAAGTGGATGCGCAGCGAGGGGAAGCCGGACTGTTGGTGAGAGACAGAATGCTCCCCTGCGCTGTCAGGAACGTGGTCTCATCCACTCAAAGAAAAACACTAGAAATTCCGTGCCAACTGTGCTTTCCAAAATGTTCATTCGGTTGAAGGTTGCAGAGAAGAATTTAACCTCACAGACTCTGCAGCCCAATTCTCTGCATCCCCTGTTAGTTTTGCATAAGAAAGGTGCTTTTCACACAACCCTGTAGCTCATTACATCGGCCTGCATGGTAAAGTCTGTACAATCACTAACTCTATCGAGTCGTACTCGTCACTCATCTAGTTTCTCTTTTACTTGTTTCAATACAAATGACGTTTTCCTCACGGCTGTTGGAGTTTGTAACCATAATTGATTTAACTTGTAGCCTTACTGATCATCGTCACTAAAACATCTACTTTTCGTGATGTTTTCACATTGAAAGGCTTCTTATGGATGGAATGATTGCAGAGGGAGAGAAGTTTGATACATAGTAGCTTATTAAATTTAAATTTAAATTAAGAATTCAAATATGATACTTCAATGGCTAATTAAAGTTCAATCAACATTTTTGAGGATGAGCTTCTTTCTCCAGAGCAGTAAGTGGAAAGATGAGTCCGACCCACACAACGCGATGCAGGTTTCTTCTTTTTATACCCAAAAGAGCTTAATTCTATTCCAGTATTCTACTATGCTAAAAAATAATTTTTTAATTGCCAAAATAAAAAAAATCCCACAATGCAATAAAGGAGTGACATTTATGACACCATGGCGGGTAGCTTTGTACCGTCAATGAAGTATTCTTTTTAACTTACAACAATTATCAATTAATTGCCCTAGTATCATTTTGCAAATGACTTCTCACAAATGGTCACATGAGGTTGCCACGGGTTACCACGGTTCAGCATCCCTGACTGACAAAGGGGCTCTCAGGAAGTGCGTCTAATAATATACGTACTAATGTTGATTCGAAAGGGCATTATTTTTTGGACCATCTGAGTAACGTGTATGACATTTAGTTTTTTTGGGGCCGTATTTTCCCATAAATATTGTTCAGGGGGTAAAACGTGGACGGTCTGATTCTGGCTCTGCTTGTGGAATAAGCACCATGGAAAAGTTCATTAGCATGACATGTAAGCGTGGCGGGAGTATTGGAAATAAAGGATCAAACTGTATAAAAGCACTACGATGCTGATACAAGCTGAGAGGCGATGGAGGTCTTAATTAATTGATTTGCGGTGGAAAGACTACAGGTCAGTGATGTAGGGAGAAAGGGCTACTGATGAAGAGGAGACTTATTTAATACTGAAGATGTGGCACCTGCTCACTGACCTGAAGGTGAGCAGGTGCAGAATAATTGTCAATTAATTTAAAACTTTTTTTTTTTAAGGGATTTTATTCTTTTGTTGAACTGATCTATTTTTACAGGAATCCTTGAGTTTCTAAAATACTATTTCTTTGTAACTCTTCAGGTATTGAAAATGAGATGCTGCAATTGTTTACATGTGAAATATTGCACCTGTTTTTACTGATTAAAAAGCTTTCAACTCGATGTGTGTTTTATTGTAAATTGGTGACACTATTTATTTTAGGTAAATAAAAAATGAAAAGTCAGTGCAATTGAGATAAATATGACCTGACCCTTGAAAAAAAAAGTCATTTTTTGTTGGAAAATGTATAGAAAAAAGTCCAAATTTGTTAAGTTGAAAAATATTGTAAAAAGAAATCAAAGTTTTTGGGAAAGTGAAAACTGATAATCTCAAAAAAGTCACGAAAAAGGAAGTAAAATAGTATCAAAGTATGTATCAAACTTAAAAAAAAAAAATTCAAATATGTTCGGTCAACAGAATGTTTTTTTTTTTTTTTAAAGTCCAATTATGTAATTAAAGTACTAAATTAATTAACGTTGAAATTGTTTATCGGGAATTGGGCCAATGTTCAGTTCAACGATACCGCCAGCTTTAGGGAATTTTTTATCTTGATTGATATTAAACAAGTTTCATGTTGATCCAATTAATTCCCGAGGAGTAGTTTAGTAAACTACAGCAATTGAATTTATCGGAAGAGTTTGTTAAATTACATAAACTTAAGCTGTTCAAAAAACACAAAATGGCCAAATTCCTGTTGGTTTTAGTGTTTTCCTCCAAAACAATTTGTTTTACGCCCCACATACATGCTAGATGTCAACCCAATATTGGGGCTCATCAACAGAGTGCTCTAGCTAAAAAACCATTGCAAACCCAATTTCACGACCTAAGTATAATACTAACAGTCATTAGAAGAACAATCGGTCCTCGCTCCGACCCCGTCGGCGTTATGGAAATGATTTATTTGGTGCTGCTCTAACAGACATGTTGCCTTGCGAAGCATCACACTTATAACACAGCCATCAAAATTCAATTATTCTGAACGTGACAGCTGTCACTAAAGTTGTTATATGTCGTGTTATTCAACACCGTCAGAGTTTTACAAAGTTAGACATGAAAAAGTGCTTACACCAGACTTATGTTTTGTATTCATTTATGATTAGAATTGTATTTGAATGTTATCATACTGCGACTTAGTAAGTGCTTTTTGATTGTGCAGCAATTTACAACATGCATTTATTATTATTAAGATCACACAGCTTTAGGCAACATAGGACTTCACAAAGGCGGCGCAATTTTCAAAATCGATAGTCCATTTCACCATTACCATTAATAATTAAAACAACCAAGGAAAAACAACTAAATGAAGTAAATATATTATGCCGCTCCAGCGGAATCAACTAGTGGATAATTTCAGTATTTACATTGTTATTGCATCATCGTGGCTAGATGTGAAATACAAAAAATTCAAATGTCTTCTTCACTTCCTGGATACATATTGATCAGGAACAAGAATCCACCACGTGTTCCTTCACACAAAGGAGGCGACGAGCAGCGAGAGGAGAAGGAGGAAGGAGAAGCCAGCGTCTGCTCGGACGTTGACCCCGTTGTTCCCTGAAACACAAACGCACAAACTCGCTTTACACATCAGTAAAAATGTAGCGATGGATCAAAGATCTCTGGCTCGAAACTCAACACTTTCTCAAAAAGTCTTGTACTGTCTGTTTTACATTGAGGAGCTGATGACCACTCCCGAGGGGGAGCAGGGGTTCCTCAACAACTTACAGCATTGCAAATTTCCCCCAAATTTGTCAGCTTCACACCTACAAACACAAGGCTGTTCATGGGTCCCCTGGTGCTGCGCGGATCAACGTGGACTCGCCGGCTGAACATAATACGACGCTGAACGGCTGAAGCCGAAGCCGACGGGTCCCAGTGACGAGTCGGCATTCGGACCAGTTGAAGATCCACGTGGCCGACATGGAGGTACAACCGTAGGTAAACCTCTTCAGAGCTCACCTGTGGTGGTGGTGGTGGCGGTCACGGGTTTGTTTGTGGGGGCGACGGTGTTGGTGCTGTTGGTGGTGATGGTGCTGTTGGTGCTGTTGGTGGTGATGGTGCTGTTGGTGCTGTTGGTGCTGTTGGTGGTGATGGTGCTGTTGGTGCTGTTGGCGGTGATGGGGCTGTTGGTGGTGTCAGCCCTGCCTCCCACAAGCCCGATTCCCAGCGTGTTGAGCTCTGACTGGAGCTGCCTGGCGATCCAGCTCTTCACCAGCGGCTGGTCTTCATACAGCTTCAAAGTGGGCAAGTTGGTGCCGAGCAGACCTCTGACCTCGCTAACCGTCAGGTTCTAGGGGAAGGAAGAGACATTTTATATTCGTTGCCAAATAAACACACAACTGTTTCGGTTTTATGTTTTTGTGTAAAAAGGTAAACCAGCTGTGAAGGACCAGAAGAAGCACCATTTTTTACCAAAAGCAGGCGTGAGTAAGAACCTTCACTCACATTGAAGCGGCAGTAATAATTATAGATCTTTACGAACAGGAGTGTGTTCAATCTTGTCGAAAAAAATGACATACACACACACACACACACTCACACACACACACACGCGCGCACGGCACTGACCAGCACAACGTTGCTATCCAGACTGGTCAAGGCACTCATGTCCATGTTTGTGCCGGATGTTGCCAAACGTTGGACGTATGCTAAATCGGCGCCTCCTGCAGGTCCAGAAAACAAATCAGCTGTTATCAAATGAAGATTATCTGAATGCAGCACGGATGTGTGTGTGTGTGTGTGTGTTTGCGTACCGATGAATGGTTGTGTGAGCTGGAAAGTGGGAGGGGAGACAACCGAGCGGGTGTTTGCCGCAAACGCTTGCTCGGCGATGGCGAACAGTACTCGCTTTTTCTCCGAGGTGCAGTTGGACAACGTCAGGGCGCCGGCGTCTCTGCGGGAGAGACGGACGCACACACAGGGTGAGAGACGAGGTGCGGCGTGGTCGCTGGAAACCTCGGTGGTCGCAGGAGGTCACGGGAGCGGAGACGTCGCTGACGAAAGCTCCGATTGTGGCAAAAACTTGGAAAACTTGGAAACTTGAAAATTGGACTTAAATTTCCAAATCTTGTTAGACCATTTATTTTTGGTTTGGAGTAAAGTTTAAATTTGTTATTTGATAGTTATTGATCCGAGGACCTTTTTATTATAGGACATACTGGAACCCTGACCGAACCTCCACCATAAAAACAAACCACGCGGCTCCGTTACATGAACGGCCATCGGCCGCCGTTTGGGCTCCTCACCTGATGCTCTGTTGGGAAATGTTCTTCAAAACGTCGGCGTCCAGGGAGCACAGGTTGGCTCCTCCGATGGCGTTCAGCTCGTCGGTGCCCAGCGTGTTCCCCGGCCGACTCAGGTACCTGGAGATGACGGCCTTGGCCTGCACGACCGGAGGACACATCGATTAACCATCACGGCCCACAGGCGCACGCGAGCGGCAGGTCTTCCCGCTTCACGCGTTCGCTCACCAGGATCGGGTCCCACTGCCCGTCGGACGGGTTCATCAAAGCGGAGAGGGTGTCGATCTGGGTGATGTTCCACGTAAGGACGTCGGCAACAGTTGCCAGGCGGGAGGCGGGGCCTAAGAGCAGGACCTGGTCTTCGGGGACGATGGGGTAAATCTGACAAAGTGAGAAGCAGAGGGATCAGTTTATTGGATTTCATTTTTTTGTGTTTTTTTTAAGTAGAACTTTAAGATCAAAAAATGAGCCCTGACCAACTGGGGGCCTTGTTCTACATTTTATGTGTTCACAGGTGTTAAAATCCATTTATGCATCGGGATCTTGCTCGCCAGACAACATTCCAGCTTTTAAAAAAAAGCTTACATTATTTAAATGGCCTTCTGGTTGTATAGAAATCTATGAGAAATAGATGAATTACTCCGCTCTATGTTCACGGGTTTTATCGCTCGGTTACAAACACGTCCTGTACCTCTCGCAGCTTGCCGAGAACGACGCTGAGGTACTCCTCCTGGTCCACCTTCGCGACGATGGCATCCAGGTTGTCCCTGACGACGGATGCGCTGAGGCAGCAGTTGAACTGAGTTACGTCGTCGTAGTCGAAGGGGAACGTCTCATCGCTGATGGTCACCTGGGTGATGGTTCCTACGGTGCACCCGTTCACTGGAGCAGGTCACACAGCGGTTAGAACAGGACGTCCGTGAGGAGGAAAACCAGCAGACGGACGGAGAGAGAGGCACTCACCGATCGAGCGCTTCGATTTGTTTTTGATCGACTGCCTCAGTTCTTTCTTCAGACTCCTCCTCTTCTGTCGGCCCACTCCGTTGCTCCCGAGCACCTCCAGGAAGTACCTCAGGAACCTCCGCTTCGTTTTCTGCTCGCGGGGACGAAACCCAAAAACAGAAACGTCAGCGTCCTCCTCCCACTGGCGAGCGAGCGGCTCGACGCCTCGCCTCCGCGGGCGCGTTCACTCACTTTGTCAAAGTTATCGTAGAAGGTGGAAGTCAGGTAGAGCGGTAACATCCCGAGGTCCTTCAGAGTCTGTTCGCTCCACTTGGACGGAGCCCTGAAGCGTAAACAAACACCCGTGTTTTTACCTTAAATGGTCACTATTTTCTTCTTTTTTTTTGTATTTCGGAAAAGAAACATGGGATCATTTAAGGTTACTAAGAAGGTTTTCTCGTTTTAAAAGAACGTCTCGCTAAACGTACCCGTACTGCGTTTTCCCGCTCTGGAGCAGAGCTTCAGCCGCGGCCACCTGACCCGCGGAGAGGTCCGGACAACTGGCGAGCTTATCCAAGATGGACGGGTGAGAGTTCTCGATGTAGGACCCGTTGACAGTGCAGCACATGTTTCCCAACACCGATACGTTGTCCTCAGTCAAACTCGTGTTTGTTATGCCCTTAGAAAATGCAAATTACAGATATATATTAACAGAAATATTTGGCGTCTGAATTCAAATCAATTTAACAGGATAATGTCTCATAAAGTCTCTCTGTGTCTGCAGCTGAATGCACAACGTTGAGAAGGTTCTGGCAGCTCAAGGCCTCTTTTACACCTACAATGAAAAGCCTTGTTTTAACCCACTGGTCATGAAAGCGTCCGACCGCTTGGTGAGTTTAGTTTAGTCGTTGATTGCCTGGTTTAATCATCAGTTAACCCGTTTTTAAGTTGGATCGAAGGTCTCATGTCGCCTCTACAGGCCATTGGTATCCAGACGGGTTTAAACCCGGGTTTGGGTTCTGCTTATCCAAGTGCTACTTCGGTTCTGGAAACAATGACTGTTTTTTCAAATAAACTCTATTGCTCTGAATTTGACACGTTGCTTCAACATGAAGTGAACAAAGGCCTCTGTCATCGTTTTAGAAAGAGTGAAAAGTTTCAAACGCCACAACTTGTGTTTTTTCCCTGTTTTGTTTTGAGTTTCATGCTCGTGGTACCGAAGGCCGCATCCAGCTGTTTGACCCATTGGTTTCTTTTCCATGAGACACTTACACATTTAAAAAATCAGTTCAGTTCATGTGATTGCTGGATGGAAAAAAACAAAAAAACACTGTAAAATGTGATTAACCAGCTGTTCCGCGGTTGTGCTTGTGGGCGGACTCACCAGGCAGCTCCGCGCGTTCTCGAACAAGGTGGTCGCCATGAAGCCGAGGGTGGAGGAGAAGACGGAGAAGTCCGCGTCGGCCAGCTGTTTAAAGTAGGACCTGCAGCTGGCCTCCGGCACCAGCGAGTAGCTGTGGAGCCACACGGAGAGATTCCAAATAACGAAAACCGCTCCCGCGCTGACGTTCTTAAAACGAATCCTTTCTTTGTTTTTTACCAAACTCACTTATAGTAGAGCAGCACGTCGGGCGGATAGAGGTCGAAGAGCGTGGCATCCGAGTCGTCTTTGATGTAGTTGTACATGCAGGTCAGCTGTTGGTGAGAAGGGTTCTAAATTCACTATGCATCTGTGGCACGCGTTGAATATTCAGACCCAACAAGGACTCGAAGCCTTCATCGGGACACACGCGTGGTCTCACCTGAGTCTCCACCAGAGCGACCTTGTTCTTGCCTCTCCTGCGACAGGCTTTGATGAGCTTCTTGATCTGCACCACCTGAACACTCCTCACTCCGGTGCACGTGAACCCTTGCAGCAGAGAGGACGACAAACTACCCACACACACACACAGTGTTTGTTATCTACATCTTAAGATCCACCTGCGGGGGCTGTTCTTTATTCAGTACTTGGTGCTCCAGAACTCACTTGTTTGGGCTCCCCAGCACTGTGGTCGCGGATTCCACAGCGATCACATCAAAGAACAACTCCACCTGAGACAGAATAATATCGGGCTTATCGCGGATCTGCAGCAGGTGTTTCCAGTGTGTGCGTTTCATCAATTTAATCCCCCACCCACCTGCTGGCGTTTCCACTTCTTCTGGTTGAGCTTCTCGATCACGCCGCCGCTGTTTGAGAGGCCCAGCAGCAGAGCACGAGGGATCTCTGTGGCCATTTCGTCTGGAACGTTCTGGATGATCACATCGGCGTTTCTGTCCTCCGATACGATCTGGCTCGGGAAGAGGGAGGCGAGTTAAGAGGTCACGAGGTCTGAACGTGTCTCCGCTGGACGGATCTGTGACGTTTCTCCCCTTTTCTTCCTTCTTCCGCGAGGGGGAAAACGCGGGACTCTCGAATCAAACAAAAGAGCCGTCATACCTGATAGACAAAGACCTGCTGGAGGATCTGAGGAGCGGACGCCATGTGCTGCAGGAACGAGGGGTTTATGGACGCGCCGAGCAGCGCTGAGCCTTTGACGTTGCGGATCGCTCCGGCCGGTACGCCCACGATGAGAGAGCCCAGCGAGAGCAGCGACGCCGTGCCGTTGATCTGTCGGGATGGAGGGGGAGGAGGATGAAGGGGCTTCGCTCTGACAGCTGTGCTCCCTGACAAAACTGAATCTGAACCGAATAAGACGAGCAGCAAGCTACCTGGAAGGCCCCAGAGGACATCAGAGACTGGAGGATGGCCCTGGCCTGCCCCTGGTTCCAGCCCGGCACGCCGCTCAGAGTGCTGATGGCGATCAACAGCTGCTGAGGATCTATCGTCTTGATCTGCCCGGTGGACAGGCCGGTGCATTGCGTGCCGAGGGAGGAAATGGTGCTGGCGTCGACGTTGTTGCCGAAGTTGCCCGCCAAAGCCGCAGAAACCTACAACGGAAAAGTGTAAAGGCCTGTTTCATACAAATCTATAACGCAGGACGTCCTCTAAAGTACATTTCTGAACGATAGCTGCAATAATAAACCCAAATAAACCAAATTATTATAGCGAAAAGGACGCTATCCCTCAAAACATCTGCATTCACGTGGTTTCTCTCCGGCTATCTTCTTCGAATATCGCCGCCTGTCTGTACGCTTCACAGCCAACATGCGTGCGTGTTCATCACCTGCGGGTCCACGGACGCACAGACGGCGGTCAGGTTGCGCAGGACCATCATGCTGTCCCCTGCGCTCAGCTGGCTGAACGCCGGGCCGGGAGCGACGCAGCGACACACCAGGGGAAGTCTGCCGAGAGATCGGGAGGAATTGGTTCACACACCGATTGCACCCTTCAGCACGGGCGGATTAAGCAACAATGGGCCCCCTGGGGGGAGACCCAAGAGACCCCCCCCCCCCAAGCAAACAGTCTACTTGCAACCATTCTTTTCTTTTTAGAAAGTTTGGGTCATTTACAGCCGCCATGTTTCTCTCTTTTTTTTGCCGTTTACACTCACAGCAGCGGGTTGAAGTTGCTGTCCTGTTGATAAACGAGCTCCACGTAGTAGTTGGTGAGGTTGAGAGGTAAAGAACTGTGGTTGAGCAAGGCGATGTTCAGAGGGTTCACTGTGAACACCTGCATAACCTGCAGAAAGGACACAGATGCTTTATAAACGCAGGGCGAGGGTTACGGGGGGTAAAAGCATCATCGTTGCATCTAAACTTAATTCCAGTCCCGGTGAACAAAAGCTGACCTCGGCCGACCCGAACGTCTGCAGGTCCTCCAGCGTGAGGAAAGCCATGAAGGGGCCGATGTACTCGGCGAACCAGGCCGTGGAGTTCAGGTCCGGGTTGCTCGGGTTGTAACATCTCGGCGCCGAAGCTACAACGACACGTTACAAATATTTACACGGAGGATTTCACTGGAGGGAAGCCGGAGAGACAAAGAATACATGAAAAACAAGGGTAGCACAAGGCCTTATGCGTTGAACGATTTAATCTCTGGTTTTATGGGGAATGACCTGAGGCGAGGTAGGCCCTGATGCTGTCGAACACCTGTCTCCGCTCAAAGTCTGCGCCAGTGTAGTTGTATTCACCCAGAACCGAAACCCTGAAAAACACAAATCACCATTTAAAAACAGCAAAACATTAAAAAAAGTCAAAAGTTTTGTGCGAGCCACTCGTACAGCTTTTGGAAGGCCAGGCAGGAGGCGTTGTGCGTGCTGTTGGGGCTGATCAGACCCTTGGTGAGGAAGACCAGGTAGTTGTGGAGACGTCGGTCAAACCAGGCGTTGACCTCCGACCTCTCGGAGCTGGCCAGCGCCACGGGCCAGACGCAAGGCAGCGTGGGCCGCCGCACCGACTCCGGGAGAGACTCCTGTAGTGAATGTACACAGTGACATTAAAACTTCAATTAAATTAATTTATATTGCACACATTTCATTTCATTTTTTCTTTTACAACCTGCTCAGTTTTGCACTTTTCCTCGTCACCTCATTGCTGCCTTATCCTTACCTCATTTTTTATTTTTTATTTCATGTACATTTATGTAAATATTGTATTCTTATTTTTATTTTAAAATTGGTCGGCTTTCCGGAAAGGCAAGTACAAGAATTTCAATACACAGGGTGTAAACAGTGTGTAAATGACAATAAAAAATCTTTGAATCTTTGTTACCACGTCATTGACAATGTGTGTGTGTGTGTGTGTGTGTGCGGTACACACGCTATCCAGGAACATCGGGGTCTGGATGTAGTTGCCGTAGATCACGCAGAGCTCCGCGTCATTGTCGACGACGTCGGGGCGGCGCAGGAAATCTCCGAGACCCGACGGAGGGATGGAGTTCAACAGCTAGAGGATGATCAATAAAATACTAATCAATAAGTGATCGTCTCAGCCCCGCTGCCACCGCACCACGCTGCGTCTGTGACACCGACCTGATGCATCCTGTCCCGAGGCATGAGGGACAGGAAGGTGGTCAGGTTGGGGAACTGGAAGCCCATGAAGGACCGTTCCAGGAAGCTGTAGAAGCTGAGGTTGTAGTTGTTGCCGTAGCAGTTGAGGGGCGTCGGTCCTACGAGGAGAGAGTTCAAACACACAGGAGATGAGATCAAAGATGAGCTAAGATTAAGCAGTTAACATTGCAAACATCTTTACATGAACGGTCTCCACTGAGTATAATATATATATATATTTATATAAATATATATATATACATGTATAAATATAAATGTATATGTATATTTATATACATATATATATACATATAAATATATATATACATGTATAAATATATATATATATTTATATTAAATATATAAATAAAATATAATTTAAATATAAATATATATATATATATATATATATATAAATATATATATATATATATATATATATATATATATATATATATATATATATATACACACGCATATATACTAAGTTAATGATACAATGTAGCACTGATGAAGCCTCCACTACTTGGACGAGAGGAAGTATTTGAGAGGGGAAATTGCCACACACATGCTGGTGCCGTGTGAAGTGTTTTTCTAGGTAAACTTCTCTTTACATTTACCGTTTCTTCCCAAAACCGAGAGTATGTTTCGTTGAAACTCTTGCAAAGACACCTTTCAACATTCAGTGTGAAACCACTGGCAGGATTCAATAGCAAGCTCGTGCGCATGCAAACAAAACAAGAAGTCACGCACTGCAAACGTGTTACTTTCCTTTCAGTTCTTCTACCTTTGAGAGTCTGAACGATGTTGTTGTAGATTTCTTTCTGCGTGTCTTCGCTGAGAGATGGGATTGTTGAATTCAAAACCTCAACTCTGAAAAAAGTGATAAAATAGGTCAAGGATTTTTCCTTGTACTGTATGACCACATTGACATTTGATTGGAATCTAGCAGGTAAAACTTTACACTTTTTTAAGACCAAACATCATCTGTGTTCAACGCTCAGGTGTTGAGAAGTGATGATCTTGTGAACTTACCCCTGCTGCTTGATGCTGCAGTTTCTCCCCGCTAGTATTCTGAAGAATGGGGCGACGTGCTGCGGCGGCAGGCCGACCAGCAGGGGGCGCAGTCGGCTGTGGAGCCACAGCGACACATCGGCGTCCCCGGTGGACGGGTCAGAGAGGTTGGCACGATCGAACACGACCTGCAAGAAGGCCGACCTGACGGCCGACGGCAAATCGCTCTCATGACCCTGCAGGGAAAGAAAAAAGGTGTTTTGTCGTACTTTGCTGAAGGCTGAAGTGTTCAATATTAAATGTTCTTTTTTTCATTTTTGGGCAAAATAAAAATGTTTTATTTGTTGCAAGTTATCACATCATTTTTAGTCTCTATTCAGAGAAATGTAGCCGAAGTTCCTCTTACAACACTTTACTTATAGCGCAGATGTCCTGACAAGTACTACTTCTTCATTGCATCTTAAACTTTGACCCGTTGGGTTGCTGGATTTCCTCGCTCAGTGTTTTACTTCCATCCGGGCACGTGGCAATCCTGCTAAGCAGACAGAAGTATTCCCCGCGCTCACCGCGATAGCAGAGGAGAAGTCATCGAAGAAGGCCGGCAGGGATCCGTCGGGGATGTGCTTCGTCACCACGGCAACGTCTTCGGCGGAAGTGAGCAGGCCAGGCGTGGCGGACACCTCTGCCAGCTGCCTGGCCGTCAGCAGCGGTAAAGCCGTCAGCTGCACGCCGACAAAGACACCAGTGAAAAGGTTAAACGGTTACAACGGAAAAAAAAGCAAACGCAAAACAAATAAAGAGAGCATGATACCGAGGGATGAAACAGGAAGTACCGGTGAAAAGTTGGGATAGAGCATCCGCAGGTCGTGGAAGGACGCGAGGAAGGAGAAGCCGCCCAAGTTCCTCTGCAGCCATTCTCCGCTGCTGTTAATGTGTGCGCTGCAGCTGGAGTCTGAAACCACGGACATCGCAGACAAATGGAGACCAGCGGAAAGAATTTCATACAGTGTGTTTAAACAGCCACAGAATTAATTCCACTTTGTCAACGCGTTTGATTCATCGATTGATCACGACATGCGGGGCGGATTTAAACCTTTTTATAAAACAAGGCGTGAACTCACCCGAGGTGCCGTTCCTGCTCAGGAAAGCCTTCATGAAGTGCGTGTACACAGAAATCTGCTCGGTGAGTGTCATGTGTGGCCGCAAGTCGCTCAATACCCGCACCCTGAAACGAAACGAGGGGTCGTGTTGTCAGTGCGGAGCGGGAAGACGCAGAGGGATTCGGACAGGCGCCGAGGTCGGATCGGGACCGGTCGAAGGTGCTGCTCACAGGTGCTGGTAGCCGGTGCAGTTCAGCCCCTCGGTGGTGAGACACGAGAAGAAGTCGGCGGAAGCGGCGGGGAGGAACGCTCGAAGGCGGATTTGGAACCACAGCTGGATGAAGGCGGCGTCGTTGAGGCTGCCCGGCGCAGACATGTCCAATCGAATTTCTCGTATGACGTCCAGAACCATTGAAAGCGCAGGATTCCTGGGGTCCAGAGTCTACAACAACAACAACAACAGTACAGGGAAGAAATAATAAACATTGACTGTGTAGTTCTGATCAGGAAACGGGTGAATGGAGGACGAGTGTTGATTCGTACCGCGTTGGTCAGAAGGTCCAGAGCCGCGTCCAGCACGTGTGAGGCCTTGGAGAGGAGGAGCTTCCAGGCGGGTCCGGAGCCGCCGGAGGAGCGATTGCAAACCAAGATGGCCGCCAGGTCTTGTGGGGTCAACGCTGCCAGCTGTGTGACGGATGAGCAGAACGAACACAGCTGAATGCTGAAGGAGGTTCAGCGCCATTGATTATAGCACAGTTTTCAGTAACTAATCACTCATGTGCTGCACATGAATGTCATTTTCAGGTACTTTTATTTATTTTAAGATAGTTATGCTAATTAAAAGTAATTTTTTACAAATTCAAAATAAAAAACAACAATCAGCCATCAAACCATGATGATATTGATGATGATGTACTATTATAGATGCAACAGCAAATTAGTATAAAGTATGTATAATGAATACTTTAATTCTAGGTTTTTATATTTTAATTTGGTACTTTACTTCAGGCTACAGGACTTGTTAAAAGGGTTTTTCTACACCGTGGTACTTGGAAGAAGTATTTTTTCCAACCCTTGCAGTTTGTCACCATGGAGGAATTATAGATACCTTGTATTTTACTTGGTGGATGAGCAGTAAAACACTGCATCATGTGATTTATGTGTAGAAGTAACCAGTATCAGTACAAGCATCAAATAAATGTAGTGGAGTAAAAAAGAACACATTTATATTTCCGAGACATAGTGGAGAAGAGGTGTTAAATCATCACAAAATGGAAATACTCAAGTGAAGTACAAGTACCTCAAAATTCTACTTAAATAAAGAAAATGAGTAAATGTGGTTAGTTTGTTTTGTTGTCCTACCGACGCACAGGCGAGTTCCTCAACAGTGAAGTCACAGAAACGTCCGTTCATCTGCAGCGTTGTTCTGTGGTTTAAAAAATAAAATAAAAAAAGAATCCAAAATAACATATTGACGATATGAACACAGAAAGCTCAAGCATGACAAATAAAGAGGTTTTAAATCCCACCTGTTCACTCCAACACAAATGTCCCTTTCTGTTGAAAAAAAAAGAAAAAATCAATCAAATCATTCACAGTGATTATTGACATTCACCCTCTCAGTGCTGGATAATGTAATAAAGGTTGAAGCAGTGAGAACTTACCGTTTGTCATGGTCACGTTGCACTTGAGGAAAAAAGGATTAACATGGTTATGAGTCATGGTTTTACCACAAAACAAATTACAAAACACTAACAATAGATAATTCAAATAAATTCATAATAAATTACCTTTCCGCTGTTTATGATGCAACCTGTGAGAAAGGTGTAAATGAAAATTTGTTGATGGTAAAGATTGTGAAATAAATATGGAAATGCTAATGTCAAAAGGTAAATTTGTATTACAGCAAAACAACCCACTTCATTTTAAATATTCAACAAACTACAGCTTGATTCTTTTTTATTTATTTTAACAAGTGAACGCAACACTGACATGTTATGTATTTTTAAGTTGGTTTGTTGAATGATGAAAGTTAACAGTCCCTCCCTTTGTGCTCTATTTTTGGTCACAACCAACTCCTGAGGTAAATATCTGTTAAAGTTAAATGTTGGATAAATATGTGTAAAATAATCCAAGACATGTGCAAAGTATTCCATGCGTATTAAATAGTGAGCAAAATGGATCAATCTTGAGTTTGAACACATGTTGATGGTTTTTCAAACTTTAAAGCTCCTTGAAATTAAGGTCTTGTTTGTGGATTGTTTGAAATGTTAATAATATTGTACAGACTAAGCTGCTTACCTGTTGGCATTTGGTAAGACAACACTATCTTAGTTTGGATGATTAATGACACTGTACTCAGAGGAACGATTGGCGTGAGCATGTCCAGTCTGTCCAGCCTGAAACAGCAACATGTGGGATTCACTTCACAGCTTTATGTCAATATAATTATTTAATAATAATTGATCAATATGAGTGAACTTACAATGTTTTGTACGATGAACAGGAGAGGTTTGCCTTCAAAATACCAAAAACAACGATTATTACCTTCAACAAGCAGTGCAGAGTGTAAATAGTGAATAAATAGAGATCTTTTTTATACCTGGTACAGGGATGTATAAAGGTCCAACAGGAAAATAGGAATTTCATTGGGAGACCCAGTCAGGCGATCAAAGATCTTGTTTATGATGATGTCTTTCTCTGGAGAATCAGGAAGAAGGGACACCAGATGTGCAGCCTGCACTGGAGTCAGGAATTGTACGACCTCCAGCTGCAGGTGGGGGAGGGGACGAAAACAAAAGTTGACTTCTTTTGAAAACAATCAGGTAAAGTTTTTCTGAATTCTCCATATCAGCAGAAATTGAATCTTACAAAGTTCAATTCTGGGCTGAGTTCAAGCAGCGTTCTGAAGTCCAAGAGACTTAAAAACGGACCCAGGTTCTTCACCACCCACTCCGCGCTGTTGTTGGATGCAGACACACAGCCCGGACCTGGAGCACGTCGTTGGGATTAAAAAAGACATCCGGCATCTGAAGATATTTCATTAGAGCCACAGCGCTGCGGTCGTTTGGATCGTGCGGCGAGTACCTGAGTGCGGCTGCGACAGGAAGCGGAGGATGAAATCCTTGAGGACCACTCTTTGTTGCCAATAAGCCAGGTTGTCAAATCGGTGGATAAATTCTTGCAGTCTGACGAATGAATCAACGACAGAATGAAAAGTATTTATGTAGATTTACATTGTAGCTTAAGCTAGAGATAAAAAAGGGAAATACAACTCTCCTTGTCATCATCAATGGGGCACAAGTAAAAGAGAAACCAGACGAGAGACCTCGTTCTAACTGAATAAGTCGGGCTGTACATTGGCCCTTTACATCCTAAGCTACGGCCCTCTTTAGAATAAAATAAACTAACCTGCAGTGGCTCTGTGAGTTTGAGGAGAAATCGCTTACATTTGCTGGTATGAATGACAGCTCAGGTTCCTCCTGGTCAGACAGTGGAGAAATCTTCCGGATGCAAAAGGCAGGAACGCGCTCAGACGTTTGGAGAACCACTTGTCGACGACGCTGCTGTTCATCAGCTGTTCGTCCGTCAGAAACGCCACTCTGATATCTCCAATCACGTCCAGAACCGCGGACGCCGATGAACCGACCACTGCCGTCGTGGACTGGGCGACGGATAATTTGAATTAATGCAGAACTGTAGCCGCCCTCCCTCAATCTGTTTCAAAACTGATACACTTGTTGGGCCCGTTGACGTTTTCATCGATTCTCAAGGATGTTCACACAAAAAGATACTGACCTGGTCGGCCAAGATGTCCAGCGCCGGGTCCAAAACGAAGGACAGCTTGGTCAGCAGCAATTTCCACAGAACTCTGGAGTTCTGGCTGTTTCCCGGCAGATTACACTTCAGAAGAGACACCATCTGATTGGCTGTGAAGTTTCCCAGCTGTATGTGAGACATGGCGAATGGTCATTTCAATGCTTTCGTATTTATACACTGACAATTGTTATGTAGGTTATCAAAACATTTTAATTTATATTTTACTTTATAGTTCATATTGCATTGTGCTACATTATGCATCTACTTCTTCTGGTGTACACTATTCAAGTAGGTATTATTCTGTACTTTACTGCTGCTTATAACAGAACATCACTTTGCTGTGACACTGTATTGTACAAATATTTTTTTTCTATGCTTACTGTTATTGTATATAACATTTATACAGGATACACACATGACACACATGACTATAACACACATTATATACGATCTGACTGAAGCTCTTTAAACCATAGTCACCTGTGCACATGCATATGTTTCCAAGGTGTAACTGCAGTTAACTTCCATAGATGGGTTCATATAAGAGAGCAGCAAAGAGCTGTGAATGCATATAAAAAATAGGGGAAAAAGAAGGTCAAATACACAGCTAATGAGACCGTTGTTTGTCATTTTGGACAGATGTCCTAACAAACGGGATACCTGTTGACTCCTTCACAGACGATAGTGCCTGTCAGCGGAGAGAGAAAAAAAGTCAGATTTTTTGCACTGGAGGGATTTAGAGTAACGTGACGCGTAATAATATGAGACTTTACATCTCAAAGAGCTCTTACCGTTGTAGGGGATGTCTGGGCACTGTGAAGGACAAAGTTAATACGTTTCATGTATGACAATTTAAACATGAAACCAAAACATACAAATGAATGAGATTCACTTAAAATATTTGAAAGAATTCTCACCATTAAGTTTGCTGGAACACACTCTGTCCGAATCAAAACAATAGAATAATATGCAGTCAACTACAGTGGGCACATGACAACACTTATATGAACTCATATGAATGGTGCCGTTATGTTTCATCCTGAATAGGTTCTTCCATGTGTACGTGAGAAAGAGACTGACCATCTGGCGCCACGCTCATCAGCTCTCCTATGAAAGTCCAGATGTCGGGTTCGATGTCTCGTGGCACGAGAGGAATGGCTCCGTACAGTCGCTCGAAGCTGACGCACAAATGAAAGAAAAACGTTACAGGAGAAAGAATTTAGAGAGACGCCACCAATTGACGGCTAAATATTTGCATATTGTGTTTGCATACACTAAGATGATTGCTTATGTGTATACGTCAATTGCCGTACTGTATGAGTGTTTACTTCTGCCTACTCCTTTTCAAACATTCACTTATTTAGATTGATGATTTACTGTTTTATTCATTCAACTCCATTGTTTCCAGCGTACAAACATTTACACACCGCCCAGTGTAAAGTATTCCAACCAGCCTGACAGGAGACAGGCCGACACACATAAAAGATGATCCTAATATGATTATAATAATACTTTTTTTTTTTTAATAGTGTGTTTCGCAAACTTAACGAACATTGGTAACCAATTGTGACGCTTGCTTAGAATAGATTTATTGATTTCATTTGGTTGTATTTGCACTTGTGCAATCATGATTAGACATAGTGGAGTAAGTACATATTTAGCTCTCAGATGTGGTGGAGAAGACTCTTATATAATATAAAACAATATAATAATTGGAAATCCAAGTAACTCATATAAGTGCCAAAGCACACTACTTGAGTACCTATTTACTATTACTGGGATAATCTGAAGACAACGCTGAAATACAATCTAGCTGGAATCCACCTCCAACACAGTGTTGAGTTAAAAAAAACATCAGAAAGTACTCACATGTGTTCGTACACGTTGCACGGTGGTTTTTCCTGACAAACGAAAATCGTACAATTAATCATCTGCTACGGTTTAAAGATCTTTCCAAAAGCTTTAAGGTCACGTATCCTTGCAAAGCCGTTACCTGCGGGAGGAAATATTGCAGGTAGTACCCGACCTCCACAAGCTTCTCCCTCTCAGGGGACTCCAGCAAGAAGTCAAATACTCCGTTGATAACCACGTCTCTCTCGGGTGGAGTAGGAAGGGGCAACACCAGCATCTCTGCCAGCTGCCTCGGGGTCAAGAGGGGGAGAACGTCCAGCTGGACAGAAGGCAGCAGGGCGGAAGGGATTAACGACGGAGGCTTCGGTGGGGGTTTTTTTGAGAAGAAGGTGGGTGTTTTTTTACGGACTTACTCCAGAGAAGTTTGGGTTGAGCTTGTAGAAGTCAGCGACGGAGGCCATTTTCAAATAGGCACCGAAGTTCTTCGTCAGCCATTCGGCGCTGTTATTAGCCGACATGACACACCGAGGATCTGATGCATAGTGGATTATTAGATTATTATACATTTATTACCAATTTACTACTAACAACATTTACTTAAGAACTGCACTTCTTTGATGGGGACTTAAATAAATATATTTCCATTTCATGATACCTCATTCATTGTGTGTAAAATCTTTACTTTCAAAGTAACAATGTAATAAACATAGTGTAGCAAAAGTTTAAAAACAGTGTCATAGTTGTAGATTAAACTTCCAATACTTCCCTAAAGTAACATGGAGGACTTTTACGTGTAGCAGAATGTTGCTTACTTTACGTAATAAGTTGTTCATTAGCCTCTCTGTTATTTTTGCAACTTTTTGTAAGGTGATTTCATCCGCTAAAGGTTTACTTACCAGTTGTGTTGCTATTCAACAGGAACGGATAGATGAAATACAGATAGATGTAAGTGTACGCATAGTTGTCGTTCTCGCTGAATGCTGCCACACTGCACAGATTGAGAAAAAAAATTAATAAATGACATTGTACTGTGTGTGTGTCAGTGTGTGTGTCTCATCTGTTCACACTCACAGGGTTTGGAAAGCTGGGCAGGAGAAGTTCTTGGCGCTGAGGCAGGACAGGACTTCCATAGGTACGATAGGCCCCAGAGGCACCACTTTGACCTTGAACCAGAGCTTGATGAAGCTCGGGTCGTCCAGGTGTTCCCGGTTCAGAGACGGGGCTTCCGCCTGGCTGAAGAGCTGCTTGACGTCGGACACCACCGCGCTCAGGTCCTACGGGAGGATGAGGTCGATGGTTTTGAGAAGCAGTTTAAAATGGGAAACCCATTATGTGCTTCCATTATGATCCCCTGAGAAACTAAGATTATTCAATATTTTTATTTTATTTGACTATTTTTACTAAAAAAGCACTTCAGCCTCACCGATGTGAGCAACTCCTGCATCAGTGAATTCAGACGCTGCGTCAGCTCCTCGATCAATCTCACGACCGTCTCCTCGGACATCGTCAGGTTGCTGTCGGCGGCGCAGTGCAACACGTTGGCCACGTTTGCCACGGCGTCGGTCAGCTGGTGAGACAAAAAAAGCCGGGAAAGAACAAGGCGCTCCTCGAGATCAGTCTTCACGATTAAACGACAAACGCAATCTAAACATCCTGACAGTGATTCATCGCAGTCAGAGGTCTCTCACCCCGCATTGGCTCTTATCGAGAGTGATGCTGCAGACGTCCTGGATTTCAGAGGTGTCATTCTCCATGGCCGTGGTGTCGTGGTCCAGGTAGCTGCACACACAACCGGGACACAAACATACATTTAAAAGACTACGACCACACCATCTGACAACGCGACACGTCGACCGGGTGCTGATGCATGTGTGTGTGTATATATATAATTTGTAGGGCTGTCAACATGAACGCGTTAATCTATGCGATTAATGTGACCGAGATTAATCCAACAATTAATCAATTAATTATTTCCGGTATTAGACTGGAAGTAAACTTGAAGTCGACCGCGAAAACAAAACGGCCGCTAGTTACATCGCAGAAAGCAAGACGGTAGAGCGATGCGGTGTTTTGCATCGGAGATAAAACAGACAGAAGCGCGACACACAGCTGAGAACTGTGCAGAGGAATTCCTCCACCAGAAGCAGGGTGAGTGGCAAACGGACCACTTAAAGCGCCGCTATGCTAAGCTAGCTGCTATGCTACTTCCATCTCAACATCTAACGTTCCCCTGCGCGGCACACAGTCTGCAGAGGACCACCGCTGTGTGTCTAAAAAAACGTGGTGGGGAAATTGTGCGCACTTCAAATACTGAATGTTGTACTAGTTGGGAGCAAAGTGCTAATTCAACATATTCTGCCTCCAAGATGATCAAATGTGTGTAGTTTTGTGTTTAAAATAACATAAGCGATTAAACAACGGTGTCTAAAATACACGTCTTTAAAAACAAACATTCATTAAAAACAAAATTGTAACAACAATATTCATTGATCGCCTTTAATCGAGATTAATGAAGCTCAAAATCTATTGACAGCCCCCATAATTTGTATTTTTCAATGTCACATATGTTGCTAAGAATTCATTACGAAACACCAAACAATCACAATTCGTGAAAGAACAACAGCTCGACTCACAACAACTCGTGGAAGGCCAGCGTGATGTTTTCATGCATCAGGGCGGCGTCGCTCTGCAGGAACCTCCGTAACACCGGCACCACGACGTGCTGGTACCAGTCCTCCACATTGACAAAGTCCATCTGCGGCATCTCCGGAACCGCGGATGCGCTTGGCGGCCGGTACGCGTTGGCCAGCTCGGCCAGAGTCCAGTTGAACAGGAACTGGGTCAGAGTGGTGCCTTTAATGTCTGACGCTTTCCTCTGGAGGAAACACAGCAGGTTGGGAGTTATTTCATTCGCCGGGTGTGTGCGCGTCCATCTGCATGAATTCTGCTTGAATTCTGTAGCCTCTGTGTGTGTGTGTGTGTGTGTGTGTGTGTGTGTGTGTGTGTGTGTGTGTGTGTGTGTGTGTGTGTGTGTGTACCTCTCGAGTGAAGGACACAAAGTCACGAACGAAGCTCCCAATGGGTCTGGAAGCCGCCATGACGCCGCTTAGAATCTGAGTGAGGAAAGAGAATTATTACATATTCTTTACCAAAACAGAGATTTCCCGTTAAACATTTACCTAAATACAGTCGATGGGCATTTAATCCATTGCTGTTATGAGAATATTAGTTCAAGTAGCATTAAATAGTAATCATTTTAAAAAATGATATCCTGTGTGACTGTCCCAACATGACTGAACCCTTGAAAGTTTGAAAACAAATATCTAGGATTTGAATAAAACCAATAATCGTTTTCGATTCAGTCCCCTGAAGGGCGACGTAGCACCGAGTATCCAGAATATAATACCTGTCTGAGTTTGTTCAGTGGGGACGGTGGTGGCTGGGGGTTATATGTGGGTTTTGGAAGGTTAGTCGTGTGGTTTCCAGGGCCGGTCAAGTTGTGCCCCTCGCCGGGATTCGTCCAGTTCTGGCCGGGGCCGGCGGTGGGAGGAGGGCCCCCTGCTAGCAGGCTGTGGAAGACCAGGCTCAGGGAGCCGTTGTCTAAACCGCTGACCTCCGGCCTGAGCAGCAGCTCCGCCTTCTGCGCCGGCGACAGCAGGCTGAGAACCTCCAGCTACAGGCAGGAGTTAGGTGAGGAGAGCAGGGGTTTAAGATGAGGAAGCAGAAGCGGCAGCGTGAGGTCGACTGGTGTCCTCATCCTGCAAGGACAACAACATCAACTGAACTCACCCCGCTGAAGACCAGGTTGAGCGTTGTGAAGTCCTTCATCCGGGCCTCGGCTCTGAAGGCGCCGAAATTCTTCATCAGCCACTCCTCGCCGCTCTGCTGTGGGCTCACACAACCTTCACGGCACACGGCACACACGAGATGTAAAGCAATTCTGCATGTTGACAAATCGGAAGATCTGAATGTGTTAAGTTAAAACTCTACCAGCTACTCCGTCCCCGGACAGGAAGGGGTACATGAAGAATGAGTAGATCCACTTTTGTCTGACCGGATCCATCTCGGAGTAATGGAGGCTGAGCTCCTTCACCCTGCAGGGAGAGGGGGGGGGGGGGGATGCTGGGGTGAGTCGCCGTCACGAAGGTCACGGGAAGCGCGCGTGCCGACAGACTAAAAACCTACACAGTCTGGTAGGTGGCGCAGCTGAAGTTCTTGGTGCTGAGGCAGGACAGGAAGTGCCTGGAGACGGATTTCAGCAGCGGTTTGATCTTGACCTGGAGCCACATCTGGACCAGGGCTTCGTTCTGGAGGGGGTCTGCTGCGGGGTTTAAAGCCAGCTCTCCCTGCAGGCTGAGGAGGGGCACTCCCCTCGTGCTGGACCTCTGGTTGTGGCGATGGAGGAGAGGAGAATCTCGTTTTAGTGGGAGGTGAGTTCAGAAAAGTAAGAAACACTTGACAGACGCTGCAGGCGACCCGCAGACACCGGACCTGGAGTGAAAACATAAACAGCACGACCACGGAAACCCGGAACTGCGGTGACTTTTTAACTGCATTCCTTCCGTTGTGTGTCAGTGAGGAACAATCCGTTCCCACGCTGCTAGTCTTAAGCCATACCATGAAGCTGTACACGTCCATCGCCCCCGCCAGCATTCCTTTCAGCCGCCTCGCGTGGTCCGCGCCCGCGTCGCTCGACGGCAGTCCCACGCACTGCAGGAAGCGAGAGGTCGGCTCCTGGCCCTTTGAACGAGGTAGGGGGGGGAAACAGACTTGAAAAGCTGCCGAGGAGGAAACCAGGAGCCTCGACGTCGTGACATCGTGGTTTCATGGCTGACCATTGGCTGTGATTTGACAAAAGAATTTCCTAAATGTTTCACCACCACAGATTCCTGCCTGGATTCCACACCCCGAGGTGGAATTAATGATACACCTGTGATCCATTCAACGCCCCCGCACACACTTTCTAAAGCCCTCAAAACCTCACACTCTTTCTCAGAGGTATTAATCACACATTGTCTGTATAGGCGCTACGGCAGGTTAATGTAGAATGCCGCGGCCTCGTATTCCCTCAGTGGGTTCCTACGAGGAGAGCACGAGGTCACGATTTTAAAATAGTCCTTTTTTTTTTGTATTCTCACATGGAACCGCCCTCGACTGAGGTCCTTTACAGCTGCTTCCTTCTATTTCTGAGAATTTTCCCGCCACACCCTCACTGAATCTCATCCGCAAACATTAGAACGCGTCCAAAGTTGGACAGATTAAAATCAGAACATGACGTTTACATCTTAAACTTCGAGGATTTTTGAAGATCAACCAATATAATAAGAGGAATGCAGATCTTGTTTCCGGTGTGACTCTCCTTGTTGTCTTATTATTTGTTTGCGCTGTATAAATTGTTATCATCACTCACCTGACCACATGTTTCTTTTGCAGAACAGGTTTCATTCCTGTAGATTTCCAAAAGGCGGAGGCGCGGTTAAGTGACAAAAGATAAATGAACAATTACAACAGGGTGAGGTCCTTACAAGGGGAAATATTTAATCTGCCACTGGTTTTGTAATAATAACAGTGTTTGTGTTCGCATTTTTCCTTTTCTGACCTCACCTTTGTGCGACTGATGGCCCTGCAGAAGAACACACAGTTCATTGTTAGAGCCCACACACTTTAAAGGTGCTTAAACAGGTTATTCTATCATGAGGCGTTTCGTTTTATTCTGATATAGTTCCTAATGCTTTACATCTGTCGTTCATTTTCGAACCTAATCTACTTATCTGATTACATTGTTACGCTTATATATGTTTATCCTATTTGACCTTATTTTATTCTTATATTGCACCAGATCATCCAGTTAAATCCCTCTGTGTAACATATGCGGCAATGAATGGCTGCTGATTCTGATAGTTTAAGCTCATATAAAGAACGGGCTCAGGAGGTTCTGAGAGGCCGACCAACACCACGTGGATTTACATCGCTCGATGGCCTTTGTATGAATAAATACCGAATGAGATCAACTTTATCCTTTAAACGACGAGGCTCCCTTTGACGTGTAGGTTAGGTAATATCCACAAGTCCAGTAAAAAGAACGGAACCTACTGCTCAATAAGGGAATACTTTACACCCTGAAGGACCTTTCTTGACAATAGATCTGGACACTCATACGTTAAAAGAAGGCACAAAATCTTCTCTTACCTAAGCAGCTTCCCAGTAAGTAAAGCAGTAGATACAGATAGCTGGATGTCATAATGTGGCGAGTCTCATGGGAGGAGAGGCCTCCGTGTTGGGATCCACTGGGGAGGTAATGAGAGAAAGCGGTCGACACAGTGAGCCACCAACGAGCACTCTGACGCTGCAGGGCGGACCAGAAAAACAAAATGAGCAGCGGTCCATCGCCGCGGTTGACGACGGCGAGTGCGGCATTACGAGATTCACGTCACGTCGTTTTTTGTTAAAGAGTCTGGCCACTTTTTTTTTTTCTTTTTTTGAATCCCAAGGATTATTGTATGTTCAAAAAACACACAGATCCACTGAGACGTTTTCATCCATTGACAATTGTTGTCCAGATGCTTTACATGTTGGATTCATCTTGTGGAAGTGAAGCCTGCGTGTTTGGTGGCAGACAGGAATCAGGGCGCGGCAGCGAGACCATTGCTTTATCTCCGCGTTAGAGGGAGACACAAAAGAAACAGTGGAAAGAACGCAGAAACTCTACACCTTTCCCGTCCAATCAATGAACGACATCAAAAGAACATCTGTAAAACGTCACCTGTACAAAGCACGACGTATTCGTTACTAATGCCTCCAACCCTTAATTCCATAAACCCTCCATAACCCCCAGCAGCCTCACGGTAACACGGCAACAAAAAAAAAACGTGTTTTATTTGCCAGTCAGGATGACTTTGCATTGACTTTGCATTGACTTTCAATCCGTGCCAGGTAGTCATAACCGAGTCTCAACAGTAACAAACCCGCTGCTACACACTCAGCGGACACACAACATGAGCGTGTTATGATGAACTGCTTTGCCAGCATTGGTCTATTGAGACCCCACTCCAACACGTCAGCGTGTTTAAACGCCACTAAGCGGCCCAACGGGCGGATGGAAGTGTTTTTTTTAGAAGCCTGCACGGACAGAGAGTATTGCACCGTGGCGAGTGCTTAAGTGCTGCTTGTGTAATACGAATCAATGTTTGCCCTCCTTCTCGGCTCGCTTTGTCTCTCTGTTGTCCTCCCCGGCGGGTCCTCGCCTTTGTCTTTTACTGTTTGGCTTCATGCAGGTAACGTACAGCAGACTAATCACAGCTATGATAAGAGCCGCCGACTGCTGCTCGAGAGTAGGTTTGAGGAGAGCATTTTTAAGGCCTATAAATCCAAAAAGTTAATCAAGTAAAAGGCTGTGTGTGAGGGGAATTACTCACAGTTGTTTGCTTTAATGTTAATATAAAAAATGTAATCTGGTTTCTTGATCCTAAATGAGAGGAGTCTTGTGACTGTAACAGCAACATATTAATATAAGTGCGCGCACACACACACACACACACACACACACACACACACACAGTCACATTTTCAGGACGATTTTGGATTAATGTCCTGGAGACTTCACCTTAACGTCGACCAGCCGAATCCAAACCCTCGACCAAGTCTTGTGTGTGGAAAAAGGAACTCAATGAGAAGCGTGACGCACCTGTGAGTCCCTTCCTCATAAAACCTTCACCCACTGATTCCTTCCTCAAAGTCATTCATTGCAACACACACCCATGAATCGTTGAAGTGTTTGTTCAGGATCATTCCCCTTGATCACACATCTGTTTCTTTAGCAGGTGAAAGACAAATATTGTTGTATAGCCACAGTTTCCAAATCCAAAGCGTAGAAAAAGTGGTGTGAAAGTGCAATAAGGCTGGTTAATCAGGAATCAGGAATCAGGAAACATTTATTTACCAAAATATGCCAAACATACAAGAAATTTGTCTTGGCGGTTAGTGCGCGACAGTAGACAGACAAGACAGCAGTGCACAAGTAATAAAATAAAGTAAAATGAAATGCTAATGCAATGGGTTAGTAGAATAAGGCTATGGGTTAGTATAAAACAAGGGAATAAAGTTAAAAATTTTAAATATTAAAAAAGTTAAAAAGAAAAATATTAAGCATAAAGTGCACTAACGAACAAGTATATACACACACACACACACACGCACACACACACAAACACACTTTCTCCCATTTTCCTTTTAGTTTTTTTGTATTTGAACGATGTAAAACAAAATAGATAATTATTTTCGTCAATAATCGTCAACTTTACAGGATGTTGCTCACTTTCACTCAAAGTACAAAACTGCGTCAGAGTTATTTCCATTCCCTCCCCCCGATGTAAAGGTAGAGGTGACATCACTTGGAATGTCAGGTCACATCAATCGGGAAGCAGAGATTGAGGTACTTTGAATATTTCCGTTTCATACTACTTCACCTTTTTAACCACCTACATAACGATTCATTTGATGATTATAGTTACTTTGCAACGGATTTTACTGGTTATGATCCTGTAGAGTTGACAAAATAAAAAGCAGCAGTGATACTAATGTATTTAATCACAAGTGTAATAATGTATTACCCTGAAAGCATTTCATATAAAAGATACTTTTACTTACATATTTTAGTTACATTTACTATTGTACTTTCAGGACTTTTGCTGGTAAAGGAACATTTTTTACAGTTGTGATTGACTACTTTTACTTAATAAAATTATTTTTTCTTAACTTTCTTAATTTTTCTCATGAATGAAATAATACAATCTTAAATAATTCCGTCAGCATGTATTACTCTACATGTTAAAGTCACCTTTTAGACTTATAGGTTCGAGCTCTCCCACACCCCTTTTTGCTGAGGAAGTATTTATTATTCCCACAGCTCACATCCCCAAACAGCCTGTTGTTGCCAGACGCACAAAAAGGACCAGGTGATGGCACCTGAAGTGTTCACCCGCTTAACCGCAAACCTGGATTCATCCAGCGCTACATAGAATTAACATCCTTAACCCCCATGACGATACGATTTAAAGACTTAGGATCCTTTTAAGTTACAAAACAAAATCAGAGCCAGACTTCTTACCTAATTCTCGGTTGCAGCTGCAGGCAGAACTCGTTCTCTCACTTCTTGACACCTGAGACACGACTGCGCTGCTGCTGCAAGGTGTGTTTTGCTGGTGACGATGACATCGCCGGTGTCGCTGCACATGTGGGCTGGACGCGCCTCGCTGCTATTGGTCCGTTTGTGTAACTGCGCGTGCACGTGCGCTCTTCTGTGCGGAAGTGCCAGAGAGAAAAATAACTTGAAAAGAGAAACAAAGTCACAAAGTAGGAAGTACATATATATATATATATATATATATATATATATATATATATATATATACATTATCTGAACGAGTCTGAATATATATATATATATATATATATATATAAATGTCAAAGCCTGACAATGATCATGGGATCACACCAGCATAAGACGTGGGTCCACGGAGTAAAAAGTTGTGAGTTTGTCTCGTTTTTTCGATTTAAAACAAAAAAAGAGAAAGGAGTGTTTTCGTTTTCTGGTTTTTACGGTAACAGGGACCATCAAAACGTACACGGACCGACAGGGTGTCACCTCGGCCCTCATCGCCAGCTCGAATATTGCGCAAAGTTTCCTGTCCGCGTCTTTCAAACTTCACTATTGTGTTGACAAAATAAACAATCAAACATGTAATCACCCAGCAAAGTTAGCTGTGCTGAATAGAGGGACACATTCTGCCGGGGTGACTCATTGTGCGCGCGTGTGTGTGTGTGTGTGTGTGTGTGTGTGTGTGTGTGTGTGTGTGTGTGTGTGTGTGTGTGTGCACGCACACACTTCCAGGTAAGAAGATCGAGTCGAACTAGTTTTTATTACCAGGCATCTAACAAAACCCCGATTAGCATGATGGGAACTAATTTGTCATTTCGTCCCACAGTAGAATGAACAGCTGCTTTGAACAGGAAACAGGACCTAATTAAAAAAATGCTGACGTAAAAGTAAGCTGATTACTCACAAAATGAAGTTAAAACCACAGCACGCACTAACTTTAAGCAGTAATTTGGGGTTATAGTTGAATAAGAAAATAACATTTTAAAATTCTGTGAGATTATTCGACTTTTATTCACGTTTAAAACGTGATCGTAGATTCAAGGGGGAATGTAACTTTCCTTGTTTTAACACCCTTGAACCAGAAAATTAACTTAAACTTAATCTACAATCAGCAGAACTTGTTTTTATATAAAACCGCTCTGAATATGTGACGTCATGACTTAGTAAGTTTTTTTCCTCAGTGGCTCTCTACGCCACCCAATTTGTTTAAGGCCAGAAGAACGAATCCTTTCTCCCAACAAAGAATATCTGCTAACGATTGGTTCAGAAAACTGAACGTTATCCAAACTCCCAAAATTACACAGGATTTGGTTAGTAAGTATTATTCACAAGTATTCTCACTGTACTGGATGCCTGTTATTTGATCACTCTGAAGTGGTTAATTCAACTGTCAGTTTCACCGCGAGTATCTAACTGCTACTGACATTAAGTAATAGAAGTTTTATCACAAAGCAGGCGTTTTTTTCATTTCCTGAATCAGAACCCTGCAAATATTAATATGAAGCTCAAACTACAGTACAACTTATTCCTTCTTCATTATTTAAGAGATTATTTTCTACTACGAGAAGGTTAATCAAGAACTAAACAACTTTTTCCTTTTAAAAAACAAGCACCCAAACACATCCTAAAAAATTCCACAACATTACAACGACACAATAGAAGAGAAAAACAATACCTATAAATAACACACTGAGTGCATACATATACAGAAATGTATGCGTTTTATTGGGGACGTGCCTGAAACCCGATATTGTCATTGCTAACGACTGCTTCCTGTTTTAAAAATGAATCAACTTGACAGGTTGAATGTGACAGAAGAAGAAGTGGCGGATTCCTCCGCAGGGAGGCGCTGTCCGTCTTCCGGTCCCTTTTCCCACGAAGAAGAAAACGCACCGAAATCCAGTTTGACCCAAACGGACGCCTCCTGACCTACGAACCAAACACCGCGCGCACGCGAGGGACACTTTGGGGAATAACGAGGTCTCGTGTGTTTTTGTCATGCCGTCATCATTAAAGTGCGCTTTCACCGTGACTCCCGTCAACGTGTCTAGGGAGCTGGAATGCTAACCGCCGAGCTAACGTTAGCATGCCGCTCTGGAGATGTTTGTGGAGGCGGTCGGCGGGCAGGAAGCGGCCGGTTGAACTCCGGCTGAACGTCACGAGGCGCTGCTCGTCGGTTCAGGGGGAAGTGAGGGTCAGGTTCGCACCCAGTCCGACAGGTAAGCGCCCGCACCCGAATGCGTCACTGCCCAGGTGATCCAGTTAGCTGACGTTAGCATCCACAATCCTCCCGCCAAAGATCAACTGATTTCTCCATCACTGTTCACAATAAACGCAAAGCGTTGTGCGGAATCGCTCATTTCAGAATGATTAATGCTATATTGCTGGATTATAGTTATTATAGCTTTCATATGATACCTCATATGGATGCATCAACACCATCGATCAGATTATATAACCGCCATTTAAATGTCCATGTCAATTTTCTACCGGATTTAATTGAAATTCCCTGACATTTTAAAGATTTGTGGGGAACAATCCTCCACAGCCATCAGTGGAATCTAATTCTAATGATATTATCGTAGCCGGATCTTTGTCTTGAACTGTGCTGAAATATCAGGTTTTAAAGGAAATGTATGCAAACAAAAGCTGCCTGGCATTCAAACATTCATTTTAGAATTATAATTGCAACTTTTCAAATGAGATTTGGACCTACTGCAGCCCTGGTTAAGTCTTTTGCTTCATTAATCCAGTTCTGCGTCTCTTTGGATATTTTTGATTGATCTGGTACATTCTTCTGTCCCGCAGGTTTCTTACACCTCGGGGGCCTCAGAACTGCTCTCTACAATTACATCTTCGCCAAGAAGTATGGCGGCTCGTTCATCCTGCGCCTGGAGGACACTGACCAGAGCCGCCTGGTTCCTGGCGCCGCAGAGTCCATCGAGGACATGCTGGAGTGGGCCGGTAGGAAAGGGACAACGCGACATGAAGTCACGTTGTCCATCGGGGTGATTGGTTCATCTGATCTGTCGGATCAGCCCGCTGGGACTTTACAGACGCTCACTTTTACCTCCAGGTGTACCTCCAGACGAGAGTCCTCGCCGAGGTGGGCCTGTCGGTCCATACATGCAGTCTCAGAGACTGGACCTCTACGGTCAGACGGCCCGGCAGCTCGTCGAGAGCCATCACGCCTACTACTGTTTCTGCAGCTCTCAGAGACTCGACCTGCTGAAAAAAGAGGCCTTAAGGACTGGACAGACACCGAGGTGGCTGCAGCACGATTGCACGTGCAAATTAATGGGTTTCGCCTCATGACTTTTCGAGACGGTAACACGCAGCCGTACTACAGGACGTCTTTGTCGGCTTCAAAGCAGCGTCTCTTTCTCTCTGCCCCTCCCTCTCCCTCCCAGGTACGATAACCGGTGTCGTCACCTTCAGGCCGGGCAGATCCGAGAGAAACTGTCTCGAGCCGTGCCACATGTGATCCGGTTTCGTCTGGATGCCGGGGTCGAGTCATTTCAGGATCTGATCTTTGGGCGCAGTCATCATGAGGTGGCCCAGGTCAGATTTGTGGAATTTCACTGTGGTTCCTCCTAAAATATGGCGGACGGTCACTCATCATTTTAGGGTCTGAGGACCAACGATTCTCCCTTTGCTGATTTTATGCACGTTTTAATTCACTCACTTCCTCTACTACACATACTAGAAAACATGTATGTGTAGAGGGCTACACATACATGTTTTCTAATCAAATGGAGTGATGACGTTTTGCTCGTAAAGTTACTGTAATTATTACCTTTTAGTTATCCTATGTTATAGGTGGAGGGTGACCCTGTAGTGATAAAAGCAGACGGTTTCCCCACCTATCACCTCGCTAACATCGTCGACGATCACTACATGAGAATCAGCCACGTGCTTCGGGGGTCTGAGTGGCTCATCTCCACCTCCAAACACCTCCTCATGTACCGTGCTCTCGGGTGGCAGCCGCCCACCTTCGCACATCTGCCGCTGCTGATGAACAAAGATGGCACCAAACTGTCCAAGAGGCAGGGGGACATTTTCATTCAAAGCTTCCAGAGAGACGGAGTCCTGCCCGAGGCCCTGCTGGACATCACAACCCACTGTGGCTCTGGATTCAACAGTGAGTGATGGATGAGTTTTTCATTTTCACACATGGTTTAGCGATTCCATGCATCTAAATGGCTTGTGTTGCTTCACAGCCAATCGAATCGGACGGCAGATGGACAACCTGATCGCTGAGTTCAATCCGTCAAAGATCACAACTCATTCTGCTCTGTTAGACCTGGAGAAACTGCCAGAGTTCAACAGGTTAGTTGGAACTCTTTGTTTGCTCTCGTACTGCATAGTCCCGTTTAGCATGACGACAACGAGGCAGCAGTGCCGCTCTGTGGAAAACGAGATGCGCGTGTATCACAGTTTTTATATTACCAGACAGCTGTGGATCGTGTCTCTCACTGGGATGTTTGCACCATCATCAGCATTTTCTCTCTTAAATGGTAATTGTTGATTTATTAGTGAACTCTGTGATTGTGGCAGAATTCACCTGCGGCACCGCATTGAAGACGAGGAGCAGTGTCAGCTGTTGGTAGCGGACCTGCAGGGACGGATCCAGCGGTCCTGCACGGCAGAGATCCGGGATGAGCGAGTGCTACATGCGGATTACATCAGGCGGGTGCTGCATCTCCGTAAGGTGACCGCAACCGCGTGCTCGCTAAGATGCATTCAAACCATGTTACCGCGTGTTCACGGTTTATTTTTGACATGATAAATGCTTCACGTTTGTCGATGTGTTTATGTGACAAAAAAAGCAAACATGGGAGGAGTTGAAGGGGTTTAGATTGTTTGCCAAGATAATCTAATTGTGTAACTAATAGCTTTTAGTTTTCCTCAGACTTCCTACTTCGTGTCTCTTACTACATGTGACACGACGTGGCTTGTACTCTTATGTCTCAACACTGCTCGTGTGTCTCTCACAGTAATAGTGAAACCGCTCTCTTCCCCTCCACAGGGTCACATATCCTCTCTGAAGGAGCTGCTGAGTCCCGCGTACTCTTACCTGTGGGTCCGTCCTTCCGTCTCCAGCCAGCAGGTGGCGGCGCTCACCACAGAGGCCCAGCACATCGCTTCGTTGGTCCTCAAGTATGTCGCATTCATTACACGTGTCCTGCGGCATGCTTTCAGCTTGCAGGGTTGTGGAGATTCCCGTGTGTTTGCGCGTTGCAGACTGATGGCTGAGCGAGACGGGGAGCTGGCAGTGGACGGCCTCGGTAAAGATCTGAAGACGCTGGCTAAGCAGGCCAGAGACACCAAATACGGAGACGTGATGAAGCTGTTACGTCTGGCTCTCAGTGGCCTGCAGGTACGGCTTGGTGGTGGTGGTGACGACCCTGGCATTAGTTTTCCTCCATTTACGCATCAGAAAACGGCCTTAAAAGGGGCTTTCATTTGCGAAGATTATCGCATTGAACACAACATATAAATATCATAAATGTTTGTTTTCCGCACAGCTTTATTTGGGCAATAATCCAAATTACAATGGCAGAAATCCCATTAAAGTAAAAAGGTTTTCAGTGGTTATGTTGCATTGTGGGTAATGTATGCTCTGGCGGTTGAGAAGGGTGTCTGAACATCATGGTTCTTCAGTTGTTTTTTTCGACTGTGAGAGGAACTGATTTTTTTTTTTTTCAAACTCCACCATCCACCTAGTTTTAGCTTTTCAAAAATGACTCACTTTAGACGGACTGTTAGAATCGCCTTTTTTTATTTCTGTGCACGCCGTGACTAAGCTCGACTCTAAAATAGCATGTTTGAAAATGACAGTGGTGACTAAAGCCTCAGAGCGTGGAAAGAGGAAGCTCATTCCGATTCTTTCTTCTGGAGGGTTTCCATCTTTTATCCCTGATGTCGGGTCAGATTGCGTTACTCGGATGACCTCTGATCCCACTCTCTCTCCTCTGGACCTGCAGCAGGGGCCCAGCGTAGCCGAGATGATGGTGTCACTGGGGCCCGCCGAGATCCGCCATCGACTCCAGAAGCTCTCGCAGCTTTCGGAGGCCGGTTGATGAAGACGCGCCGCTGTTAAAGACGCGTGGAGGGAAGGGTTGAGTTACCTGATCCAGCCGAAGAAAAGCGGGAAACGTCTATTAAGGACTGCACTCCAGAGACGCACGTTAATTTGAACAATGCTTGAATTGTTATAAATGTTTTATAAAAGGAATGAAAGTGATTGTTGACGCGTCGTCTGCTTGTTTCTGTGCGGTTCTGGACCAGGAGACACAGGCGGCTGAGGACGGGAAGTACCTGTGTTTTTAGGCAACTGTTCTTGTGAATTTCTCCTGCAAATTGTTAGAAAAATCTTTTAACGGACAGATTTATATTTCAAATAAGTCCAAGAAGTCACACTAAAATATTAAGTCATAGCTCTTTTTAATCAACATTCAATTAAAATCAAGTTATAATATATTTTATTAACAATCAAGGCTTTATTGTGGGGGTTTTTTGGTCAAAATAATTTCAGTTGTGAGAAGGGAGAAGATTTATTTTAGGATTTTACATCCAAAACTACTCAAAAGCCTACAAAGTACTTCAAACTACCTCCACATCAACTCGTAGCTGTGAAATGTGAAGTTCTGATAAATACAAAAATATTTACGAATTCACTGCTGAAACGCTGCGTATGGTACATTTCATTTTACGGGTACTTTGTAATGTGTAATACTAGTACTAAGGTAAAGGAAGCTTAACCACCGATGTACAACATGTATACTTGTCAGTAAGTAAGTGTACTTCTACTCGCCCCCCCGTCACGTAAAATATTCACATACAAGTTTCACTCAAATCCAAAAGCTCAAGTGGAGTAAAAAGTAGTTTGATCGTACAAATGTAGAGATAATATGGTCTGCGTGTGACCGGGCGTGTGTGTCACATGTCACAGCGCACATGTCACCCCCTGGCCCCGCCCCCCTCCCGGCCCCGCCCCCTCCCCCCCCGTAAAGAGACGCTCTCTGCTCGGCCGCCAAACTCCTCTGAACCCGCAGGAGACGGCATGGCGACCGCTGAGGCAACGTTACAGTCATGGCTCAGTAAGTGGACCGGGGGGTGGTCGCCATTTGTTTGTTTGTTTGTTGTAGTTTTATTCCGGTAAACACGCTCTCATCGCGTGACATTCTGAGCCAACGTCTACAGCTCGCGCCGTCGGTTTGACGTCATTACGACGGTAACGGGTCGCATTAGTGATTAACTTATGAAAGTGTTTTTAAAACAAAAAATTGTGTTCAAACTTTTATCCAAATAAGTGTGTTATTTGCGCAGGTAGGCGGTTGAAACAGGAAGTCCGCCTGTTGTGTCTGCGCTGCGTGCACGCGCATTGTAGCGGAGCGTTCGTGAACGCGCTTCAGATGTTAAATAAAATGTTGCTGCAAATGAAAACCACTGATAATGTGGTCTTCAATCCCCTTCAGGTTACCTAAAGTTTGATTTACCCTTTGTTTGTATTTTCTAAATTCTTGTTGACAATGTGGCTCACGATTAGAGATAAAAGACGTTTTTACCCAAAACAACACTATTTATCCCAAACAGTGTGACATCATCAAAGTAAACAAACTCCAGTCGATAGATAAATGAAGGCATGAGAAATCCCATATTTAGATTTATACAACTACGTGCACCTACAACTATGTGATCAAGTATTGATTCCTTTTTATTTCTGTGTACATCTCTTCTTTCATTTTCATTTCCTCATTAGCTCTTTTGTCATAACTATTTGATTCATTTTAAGGCTGTTAGTGGAAATTTGTGTTGCAGACCAGGCCACCGACCCCAACAACCAGGAGGACCGATGGGACTGCATCCAGGGCTTCTACCAGCTCGTGGACCAGGAGGCCGGCGGGTAAACGGATCACAATCGCCACGCGGTTATTTTCTCACATCGTCGTCTGGCTTCTGAAGCCCAGCAGAAGTTTTCAGGGGGGGGGGGGGGGGCTGCGTTGCGTTCAGGAGTCACTTATCATTTGAGGAAAGCGTTACTTCACATCCTCGTTGCAGAAACGGTTTCTAAGTTACACCATTGGGCAAAGAAGGAGGAGCAGGATCTCCGCTGCACCTTTTTCCTCTTTGACTCCTCTCTTCAGTATTAACGTGTTATAACGTCTTAATTCGATGTCAAAGGTCAAAGGGTTTTTCGTTTTCACTCTTTCAGCTTTGATCAAGCATTGCTTACTAGTTGAAGCTTTACATAAAGTACTTATTTAAATGTCTGTATTACAAGGTTCCTTAGTGTTCTTTATTTGAATGTAGATTCGTTATTTCTACTTTCAGGCCACAGGCAGCCATTCGTCTTCTTGCCCATAAAATCCAGTCCCCTCAGGAGCGAGAGGCTCTGCAGGCTCTGACTGTAAGTTACCCGACTCTCGAACACGGACAGCACACGTTGGGTATTGTTAGAAGAAACAAGCGACTTCCTTTGCCCATTTGTTTTTAAATGTACACAAATCATTTAGCGAGATCGGCAGAGCAGCGTCTTTGTGAGGAACATCTGTGACTAAATTTCCTCACATGGCCCAAACGCACACCAGTTTTGGAATCCTGCGTGCCGTTTGTCGCCGCATTCGAAAGGGAGCGACTGCGTTTAACCACATAACGCTTCATGTCACGTGACATCTGAAGGCGGTTCACCGCGAAACCTGCAGTTACACATCTGTCCTGCCTTCTGCATTGTGTGAAGACAAGGAGCGCTCGTTTCTCTCATCTGTGCACGCCGATGCGGCCTTCCGTTGATTGTGGTTTTGTTGTTGTGACTTGGTGCTTTCCAGGTTCTCGAGGCGTGTATGAACAACTGCGGGAAGAGGTTCCACGGCGAGGCCGCCAAGTTTCGCTTTCTCAACGAGCTTATTAAACTCTTAACGCCAAAGGTTAGCGACGTTTTTTTGGTTTTTCTATGTATTTATTCTTATGAAAAATATACAAATAAAATAATAAAAAATCTAGAGCATTTTGCAATTCTTCACATAAGATGGAAAAGTAACATCAAGAAATAGCTAAATGGATTAATTTCCTTTTAACAATATAAAAAGACAGATATGAATTTAAAAAGACACAATATCAATTGATTCTATTCCATTTATTAATGATGTCGATTCATACAAGTAAACAAATTAGTCAATGAGCGCTTTATCATGTACTACGTTATAAAATAAACACATACATTAATATATATAACAGCTGGTCGATCTTTTGTGAGCAGTACTTTGGCGCGTGGACTCCGCAGAGAGTGAAGGACAGAGTGACCGAGGTCCTGTACGGCTGGACTCTGTGGCTAAAGGACGAACCCAAGATCCAGGAGGCCTACAACATGCTGAAGAAACAAGGTCTGGATGCAACACACACACGCCTGCAACACACACACACACACCTGAACCCAACCTCCCCGGCCACATTCCCCCGTTAACAACGCCACATTCCGCTTCTGTTTGTTCTTTCAGGTATCGTCAAGAAAGATCCCAAACTGCCAGACGTCGTCATAATGCCGCCCCCAACGCAAAGAACCGCGGACTCTGTTTTCGACCAGGAGGACAAGGCCGCCGTGAGTGTGTGTGTGTGTGTGTGTGTGTGCGCGCTCGACGTCCGCTGACGTCGCGTAAAGTTTCCTCCTGATGAAATGAGTTGTTTTCTCTCATCAGCTGTTGGCCAGATTGCTGAAAAGCGGCCGTCCCGAGGACCTGGAAACGGCCAACCGGCTCATTAAAAGCACCATCAGAGAGGTGAGCGCTTGCTGACGGGGGCCCGTGTTTGCATGTAGCTGTAACATACGGATGAGCTTAGCATTGATGTGTGTGTGTGTGTTTCAGGAGCAGGAGAAGGCAGAGAAAGCGTCAAAGCGTGAGTCGACTCTGCAGGAGGTGGAGAGCAGCACCAAACAGCTCAGAGAGCTTCTGGGCCGGCACGCGGCCGCTGGGACCTGGTTGCAGCCGAGCGACGAGGTGAAGGTGCGTCTGACGTAGTCGATGCCGATTAAACAGTCACATGTAAAACCACGTCAGTGGAGAATAACGTCGAATTAAGACGCCGGTCTCTCCCTTTGAGAGCTCCTCATTGCTAAATGGAAAGTCTGGTTTCATTAAATACGAAAACCACAGCTGAAAATGTGTTTTAAGTCAACAGTTTCGTGATGACGTCTAACCCCCCCTCCTGCAGGCCGTGTACGAGCGCTGCGATGGACTGAGGCCCAGCTTGTTCCGCCTGGCCAGCGACACCACGGACGACGACGAAGCTCTGGCGCAGATCCTGTCGGCTAGCGACGAGCTAACGCTGGTCGTGAACAGCTACAAGGAGCGAGTGGGAAAGCGGGAGTGCGACCGGAGGGGAAGTGCAGAGGGCACGGAGGGTAAAAGTCACGGTAGGCCCGGGGGTTTCGTCCGCCCCCCCCCCCCCCTGCGCTTTGCGCGTTTGTCTCCGCGCCGCGCGCCTCATACTTGGTTTCCGTTTCTTTTTCTAATCGCTCCTCCAGCTCCGAAGAGTCCCTCAGAGATCAAAAGCTACCGCCTCATCGACCTGTCGGCTCTGGACTCTCCGCAGACGCGCAGAAAAGCCGATTCGCCGCCGCTTTCCTCCCTTCTGGAAAGTGCCTTCCACTCGGCAGATAAGCAGGACTTAAATGAATCAGGTGGGCCGGCGCTCGAACCGACATCTCTAGGTTCCCTCTGACAGGGACGACTCGTAATGCGATGAAGTTCTGTCCTGTGATTCCAGAGTCAGACAATCCGCTCTGCAAACGGACTCCAGAGACGGCGAGTTCGTATTATGAAGAACTTCTACAGGTTCGAGCTCGGAAGTTTACACGCCAGCTATTTGCTCTTAGAGACTTTATCCTGAAGTGTTTTAACGCGGTTTTATCTTCTTTTGTCAGTTCAATGGAGCGATTCAGATGAAGAGCGCGGAGCAGAACGGCGGCGGCGGCGGCGTTGTGCTGAGGGCCCGTGGATGTGAGGGGAGCGTTTGGTAAATATGGAGCAAAGTTTAAAATAACTAAAGCTGTAATCTTAGAGACTTCAGATATATGTTTATTTGCCGTTATTTACTGTCCTTCTAAAATGACCTTTTCTTCCATCGGGTCGCTCCCTCACAGTCAACAATCACCGTCCAAGTCGCAGAAGCGATTCAGTGAAACGTCTGGATATCCGGGGCCATCAGAGGAGAGCTCGCAGGCGCCAGAACTCCTGAAGAACATCGTCGTTCCCATAGAAACCATCAAATCTGGTAGGTTCATTTAGCCGGCTGGACTTCACGCTTCCTCCGCCGCTGGATATATCCTCGCCACGTGTTTCTTTTCTTATTTTTTCCCCTCGTTTGGCGGCAGGAAACCTCGAGCCGATCACCGTGTACGATCACGCCGGCGTCCACGTCTCGCTCCATTTCGCCCGGGACTCCCCGCCGGGGCGCCCGGGCGTCGCCGTGGTCGTCCTCTCCGCCGTCAACACGTCCGCCCTCCACGTCAAAGGCTTCCTGTTCCAAGCCGCTGTTCCAAAGGCACGTTCACGTCGCTCGCTCTGCGGCGTTCACGCTTTCAGTCTCACCGAGACGCCGGCGCCTCCCAGTGGACGCGCAGACCCGCCAGACCGATTCTCCTGCTCTCTTATTATTCACACTCACCGTTGGAAGATGTCCTGTGCCAACGTGGTTTCCCTTAAATGTCCTGCAGACCGTGTTGCTGAAACTTCAGCCCGCCTCAGCGACGAGCCTCCCTGCGTACAACCCTCTGCTGCCCCCGCCGGCCGTCTCCCAGGTCCTCCTGTTGTCCAATCCTCACAATGTGAGTTTGTAGCTGCACGGCGCATAGCGACCTAGTTGTGCCTGTGTGGTAAGTTCGTTCAGTGGTGGTTCGGGTCGTTTATTTAGAATTAGCAGTACTACATTTGTACGAACGCAGGTCAAAATATACACTAAAATACAACCAGAGGTAAGTACTTGTTATGCAGAAGTGCCCCGCTGAGTGTCAAAATGTGCTACCAATAAATTTAAATTCAGAAAGTCACAGCGTACTATGTCATAAAAAGTCCCAATATAGTGGGTTATAAAAAGTCTTCGTGTGGTACGTCATAATATAATACATGTATCAGCTTATCTCTCGTGTTCCTTCCTGTCAGCGGAGGCTGCGTCTCCGCTACAAGCTGACACTGACGCATGGAGGCCGTCAGCTGACGGAGAACGGAGACGTCGACAACTTTCCCGACTGGACCTCTTTGATCGGGCCCCCGGAAAACTCCTCGCACTGAAAAGGACCTTTTACCTGAAACGCTAGACGCCGAGAGCAGAGGATCAGGGCTTCACAACAAACCAATACCAAAGCCGTGTTCTCTTAGACGTAAGATGATGTGTTTTTCTGACCTCAGGAGGCTTTTATTACTCTAGAAGGTGAGTAAACTCTATAGCTCGTGTTCAATGTCAACCGCTGAGAGCTGAAACTCTTCTCATGTCTGACGCCAGTATTTACATGAAAAAATGTATTTATTTGCTCTTGTGACGTGAACAATTCCAGTGGCTTAAGATGTGATGTTTTTAGTTTGTATTTATGTTAAGAATGAGGTTTTCTTAAGGAATGAACGTTGTATTTGCTACATTTGCCTCCGTGATGCAGCGATTCCCAAAGTGTGGGCCGCGAGAGGTCATTTTCAATAAATAAATGAAATGTTTTTAATTTTCAATTTTTAAAGGTTGCTATTAATATAAAAATATGTCAATATTTGTGTTGATTCAGCTGATCTCTACCATTAAAACTCTGTGAGCGATTGGAAAACCAAATATTATCAAAAACATCGAGGGCAAACAAATTACGTCTCTAAACCTCAAGACGTGTGGCGTGAATAAATGTGCCGAAAACAGCAGCTAATTATTGCAGGACGAATTACATTGAGTGATGTAATTAAGTTTGAGAACGACTTAGTTGGTTAAATAACCTGTGAGAGTTTACACGTGAATCTTTGTTATTTTGTTCGTCATCTCTTAACTGTCACATGGTCAAACTTTTTGGGAAGCCAACGTGAATGTTTCTCTAAACTTGTAGTTTAGTGTCTGTTTGTCCAACGGTGTGTTGCTCTGCCGCAGGTCATTGATGGAGACTCACTATTTAACACAGTGCACATCAAAGCTCATTTTCAGTCACGACAAATCCTCCAAATTCAAATAAACGAGAAAGATATTCATGAAAATCTAATTACGCGCAAAAAATGATTAAATAAGCAACTGCAGGTTATGAAATATTTTCCTGCACACTAATATGTGATATACCAAGACTTTATACAACTTTGTTCTAGGAGTACTTTACTGCGTCACATATTTATGACAAACTACTTAATCACTTTTAGGACATACTGTACTATACTGTTATACTATGACTTATTTTTAATTTTATTTCAACAAACTATGCTCTTTTCAAAAAAAATTCATCCCTGAGTTTTGCTTTAACACCTACGACTTTTCTTTCAACGTACAATTTCAAAAATATATATTTGAAATAGTAAAAAAAAAAATGAATCGTAAATTACATTTTTCAACATTTTCTTTTTAAAATCATGTTTTTTAACATACTTTTCAGAATTTAGCCTCAAAAAAACACATCCATCAGCTTCATCGATCATATTTATTATATGACATCGGGAGATTAAAATACATGTTTATTATGTACACATATGAAACAGGGGTTTTAGATAAAGTGCCAAATTACATTTTTACAAAAACTAAAGAAAAGAAAAAAAAAGGGGGGGGAGGATTTGTGGAAGACCGTCACACGCATCATGTACCCGTGACCCCAAAGGTCACCGTTTAGAAGAAGGCTGAGTCGCTCAGTGCTGGTTCAGGGTCAGTTTGGAGTCTCAGTCTGGTAGCGGTGAAACTGTTCGGGGGTTTGGGATGAATCCCGGGAACAAACATCGAGACACACGACAGGTTCGGCCTCTAGAGTTCGGCTGCAAATGTTGTCGCAGCGGTCCGGCGGTTAACGTTATTACGAGGAGGTTAAACTGTTCCCAGACCAGCGCCCAAAAGTCCTTCTCAACGTTTTTGTAGTAAATATAAGACGACAGACATTTTCCAGACTTTTTTTTTTCTCTTTTCTGACAAACAGGAAGTTGACATTTTCATTATTTTTTATAACAGCTGTTGGTCGTTGTGTTCTTAACAAACAAGACAGTGAAAGCGAGATGGCGCTTTTATTATTATCCTCCGTTTCCTCCGCCGCGGCAGTGATGGATGCACAGACACTCGGTGACGAAGACGCAAAAAGTCTTTCTATCGCCGCCGGCCGGTCAGGAAGACGTCTCCTAGCTGTCCCTCCGTCGACTTTGTCTCAGGCGTCTGCAGTCGAGCCTTCGGGCCGAGAGGCGAGGACGAGCGCCACGATGCGCGCGTCGCGCTCTCGGGCCCCGTTTCAAAAACCTCTCGCTTTTTGTTCACGGGAGTCAGGTAGGTCATTTACGCCAAACTAACATGCCTCTTCATCTTCTTCCTCCTCGTCTCCAGCTTCTTCCTCAACAGGAGCCTCCTCTTCTTGTTCTGGTTCTCCGACCTCTTTCTCAGCTTCCTCCTCCATCTCGTCCGTCTCACCCTCTTCTGGTTGTAGGTTCTCCTCAGGATTTGCTGCCGCCTCTTCTTCTTCCTCTTCTTCTTCCTCTTCCTCTTCTTTTTCCTCCACGTCTGCCTCCCCATTTTCGATTCCCTCTTCGCCTTCTAATTCCCCATCTACCTTTTCCAAAGCTTCCTCACCTTCATCTTCCACAGTCTTTGCCTCCTCATTTTCTGCAGCATCCTTGTCTTCCACTTCTCCTTCTGGCTGTTGATCTCCTTCCTCACTCTCTTCCTCGTCTTCGTTAGTCTCCTCTTCCTCCGCTGCATCGATCACTTCATCGGTCTTTTCTTCTTCTTCTTCTACTTGATCCTCTCCATGTTTCTCTTCCCCTACTTCCTCTTTTTCAACAGTCTCTTCCTCCTCTGCGTTCTCCTCCTCTTCCTCCTCTTCCTCTTCTCCTCCACCAGTCTCTTCCTCCTCCTCTTCTCCACCAGTCTTCTCCTCCTCTGCATTTTCCTCTGCTTCTTTTTCTTCTCCTCCACCAGTCTCTTCCTCCTCCTCTCCTCCACCAGTCTCCTCCTCCTCTTCTGCATTTTCCGCCTCCTCTGCGTTCTCCTTATCTTCTTCTTGCTTTTCCTCTCTGTCACCGGTCTCCTCCTCATCCTCATCCTCTCGGACTCCGATATGTCGGCCGTTATGATTCTCCTCGTCCTCCTCCTCGGTTTCCACCCCGCCCTGCGTGCGTTCCTCCCCCCCGTCATGGCGGCTGCTGCTGCTCCTCCCGCCGTTGCTCCTCAGGTGCAGGTGGTTGTGGTTGTTGTGCTCCAGGTCCTCCAGGGTGAGTTCGAACTGGAAGCGGTCGTGCTGCAGGTGTCTGTCGGGGGGAGGAGAGGGCGACTGGGGCATGGTGCTCAGGTACCACTCCCTGTTCTCCTCCAGCGTGTCCAGCAGCTCCTGGGCGTCCGGGTGCACCAGGTCGGCCCACGTCTCCCACAGCGGGTGGACGATGTAGTCGATGAAACCCACCTGGAAAGAATCACACCTGAGATGTAAGCGGTGTGAAAACAAACGCTCGCACATGTAGGGGAATCTGTCACCCTCATGTGTAGCCAGTTAGCTTAGCATAAGTACTGAATGATAAATGATATCTTTGTTCAGTCCATCCCGGTGAAGAATTGCATTTTTGTATCTCAGATGTTGTTGTTTTCATTTTATTAGGTGGTTTGTTCTGTACACATGAGGGACGTTGCTCTCTTGTTCTCTCTGCGGGTTTAAACTTTGATTTATGATGACAGGCTAAAAATGAAAAAATTTAATTAAATTGAAAAAGTTCAAATTAACCGGGCACAGCCAGAACTGCTGTTAACGTTTATTCCCAAAGATTTATCGTACAAATACTGGAATGGTACGAATCTTCTCATCTAACTCTTGGCAAGAAATAAAATTAAGCTTTTCTTTTGAAGTATACAGACATCCAACTGGCAGAATATCTCAAAAGATTATTTTAACAAAGTACAGAACCTGTAAGAAGAAGCTCAACGGAGCAAAATGTTGCTGTTAAACGTCATGGACACCAAACGAGGCAGATGGACGTTGGCACGTTAATGAGATTTTAATACACGCATCCCCCCAAAAAATGATGTATCTTAAATGATTCCAGACATTGTTCCTGTGCCAGATTTATGAAAAGAATACGTTTCCTGTATAAGAACCCACGTTCGCCTCTTTCTCTTGAAGCAACATCCAGAACCTGAGAGTCGATCGTAATAATTTTGTTGATCCTCTGATTTATGTTCTGCCGCAGCTGCACGTGCATTTAATTACTTTGACTTGTAATAATATAGTTTTCATGATATAATAAACTTTTAAAGAAAACCCCCTGACACAGTTTCCATTTAGTCTGCACAGATCGGGCGTCACCTGACTCTTCTCCACGGACGCCGTGTGTTTGTCGCACATGGCGCTGATCTCCATCCCTCGCTCTCGCTCCTTGTCGCCCTGTCGGAAGAACTCCTCCATGATCCTCTCCGTCCACTGTCTGTATATCGCCAGCGTCTTGGTGGGGTTGCTCAGGTCCGCGCAGTGCACCATGTTCCTCAGCACCTGAAGACGCACACACACACACGCGCGCGTCGGGGCAGTGAGCGCGCGTGAGCGCCGCGTTCAGGCGGTCGGGCGGAGGACGAGTTACCTGTATCCGTTCCGTGTAGTGGTCCAGGAGCAGCACGCCGGAGCTGGTCACCTTCTTGGTCTCCACCATGGTCTTCAGATCGGCCAGGAGGGTCATGTGTTTGGACATGTCTGTGGCCAACACCTGCGAGTAGAAACGATCCAAAGTGATCAAATGAAACCACCGCCGAGGATCTGGGACGAAAGATCGTTGGTCGTGATGAACGTCAGTGTGTGTGTGATCGACTGTAATCTGGTCAAGTTAGACAGAAACCGCTATAACAACGTGACCGGTAGAAAAGGTCCCGACCATATCGATGACGAGCTTGCGGAGGCTCTGGCGTTGCCGCTTGGTGAGGTTCTGGAAGATGTCGCAGTTTTCCTGGTGCACGAGCTTGAAGCCCACCGCGAGGTGGTGGTTCTCCAGGACGGACTCGTCGTTATACATGAGGGCCAACTCGGAGTCTGGGCACAGTGCGGAGAGACAGGGGTTACACCGTGTGTGTGTGTGCGTGTGTGTGTGTGCGCGCCTACTCACTAGTGTTGATGAGGAACTGATTGGACACGCCGGGGTGATCCACGTCGTGGATCGCCGCGGCGAACAGAGCGGCGAGGATCTCCAGGTCGGTGAAGACCGCCTGAAAAGGACAAGAAAAGCAGTTTGAGTAATAAAACCAGATGTGTGTGTGTGTCTGTCAGTCAACCTACATCAAGAGCCGGTGTGGACAGGAGGACGTGTGTGGACTGGGCGACATCAGCGGCGTGGAGGCTGTTGTGGTACGGAATGTTTTCATGATAATGGTCCTCCAGGGTCATCACGTAGGTGACGAAGGTCTCGACCGGGATACGAAACGTCTTCAGCAGCTCTCGCTCCTGATGAGGGAGGACACGGAGCCACGGCGTCACGCACACGCGTACAAACACACACACACTCACACACACACACACACACACTCTGTCTACCTGGAAGATGGTGTACATGATGCAGCTCAGAGGCCTGTTGTTGGAGAATTCCGCTACTCTGAATATGTTGAAGCTCCATTTGTCCAGATCCTCCAACTCCTGCTCAAACACCACACAGAGAGACATGATGTTATAAGGTTCCTTTCTCTCTTGAATATACAACCCACAATTTTCAGCACATCCGCGTGTTGCTAGACGGATGAATAACCCATTTGGTGAGCGGGATTCTGGCCTGACCAAAGGAATAAGAAAATTCCAACTTCATGAGATGCAGAAAGGTTTGGGTACTATGAGCACATCGGCTCTTTAGAGGAAAAAAGCACTAAAAAACATGCACGTCCCACAGGAAATCTCCCACTTCGGCCTCAATGCAACTAGCGCCTCAGCCGTAAATCATTAAAAGTAGAAAAGTGCAGGAGACGAAACTTCCTCCAACTCCTGGAAGGGTCACCTGAGCCCAGCTCGGGATAAAACGACCCAAAGGCGAAGCAGCAAAATCCACAGATTCTATCTGGTATTGACGAGACACAAAGTGAGCCAGGCAGAGAGAAGACGAAAGGACAACGAGACCTTGGCGAGCTCGTCCTCGTGCTCCGTGTTGACGCCGAAGCGAGGCATGGAGGAGCTGGACAGGCTGGAGCTGTGAGACAGCTTCCTCACCCCGCTGATGTGACTCATGGACTTCTCCTTCAGGGTGGGAGACGGGATCTCCACGTCGTTCTGCTTGTCTGCAGGTTGGATGGACGAACACACACACACACACACACGCGCGGGTCAAGGGGTTTATTGTTTGTTTGTTTATCTGTGCGCGGAGGTCGCGGATCGGACGAGGCACCCGGGGGAGAAGCGACGCGGCGGCCCCACTCACCCATGAAGGTGCTGGAGATGTACTCGGACACCTGGTTACCGGAGCGACTCATCTCGGACAGGTGGGACAGCTCTCTGTTCAGCATCCTCTTGAACTGTGGCACAGCAGACACCAGTCAGTGCCGACACAAAACTCTATTTTCAACAAATATATAAACGTTGACGGTGTTTCTCGGGCTGTGAGGTTTGTTTTTTTTCCGCAAAAAACCTTGGTGGAGGCCATCTCGCTGACGGAGCGGTGCGTCTGGATGGTCTCCAGCTGGTCCAAGCACCAGTCCAGCTCCTCCAGCGTGTCCAGGGCGAGCTGCTGGTACTGCTGGTCCGACAGCGCCGCCCGGGGACTGACACACACCCCGGCCAGGGGAGACCTCCTGGGGACACGCGGCGGCGCGCTTTAGGTGGAGCTCACAGACACTCAGCGGGTCACAGGTCAAGAGAGGCGACTGAATTCATGCACGATTACCGTTTGTTAGACTTATAAAATTGCTTTCACTCTCATTTTTCTTGTACTCCTTTGAACGACTGCTTTAATACAACAGCGAAATAAAGCTGTATTGAATTGGACCTTTGGGACGGAGATGACACAGCATGAACGTTCTTCCCTCTTTCTCTCTTCGTATTAAAAATAAATACGTGATACGTGTGCGCGGCCTAATGCAGGGTTTGAGTTTGGGGGTCACGAGATGAAAACCGAAGCTCAAATTGTTAAAAGATGTTGCCGTAGTCGCAAAAAGAGATGATGGGACATGAGATGCATGCTCGTAAAGACAAATGGCTTTATTTTAATTCATATCATATTCTGGAGTAAAGATTAGCTGAGGTGGTCACATGACCACAGCGTTGACACGAGGACTTGGTACTGACTTGATCGGTGGTGTGGAGACGTTGGCAAGAATGGTGAAATTGCTCCTCACTGATCGCAGACTGGCCAACACCTAAATAATAATAATAATAATAACGAACAATCAGAGAAATAAACATCCTGATGGTTAGTTTTATATGAAATATTTGACACGATGAGTTTCTCACTTGAGCAAAAGGTGTGACGATGAAGTCCTCTCCCACGTGCCTGAGAGGTGAAAAGAAGATGCTTTTTCAACTCCAACCATTGGACACACTGCAGGTAGACACGACCCCCCCCCTCCCCTATGGCCCCCCAGCTCATTATCTTTGTCTCGAGTCTCTCTCACCCTTCGCTGGCGAGGGACGAGTTCCTTGAGACCGTCTTGGGCGACATGTCGTAGTCCGAGTCGGAGCGGTAGAGGAAGGACTCCCTCCTCTGACCCGGGGCGAAGGGGGTGTGCAGGGCGAGGCCCGGACTGTGCGAACCCAGAGGGGTGTGACCCGGCGACACGCCATTCTCCGCCTCGTATCTGCATGGAGACGGGACCCGGACCAGGGAGCATCCAGCAGGAGCTTTGTGCAGGGAGCAAATGTGTGTGTGTGTGTGTGCGTGTGTGTGTGTGTGTGTACCCGTCGGCGTCTGCCTGTGTGATGGAGATGCGCGGCGGGATGCGGAGGGGGAGGGTCGTCGGCCGCGTCACGTTGCTCAGGACCTCGGGTGAGCGCGTGCGGTCTCGTGGGCGGAGCCAGCAGGGCACCTGTGAAGTTGGAGGGAAGGGAAGTTGTGCGGCTCCGTTCGGCTCAACGCTCTCATGTAAAAAGCTAAAAAGATATTTTTTCGTCCAGCGAATACTTGTTGACCAAATCATTTGTGTGTGTGTGTGCGTTATTGTCCTGCGGTGCAGCCATGATATTTCAAACATAAGTGCAACAGAAATAAAATGACTGTAATAATTCAGATTTTAGAGCTGTTCACACCTCAAAGGCACAAGGTCCCTTTTTTAATTTGATCTGCGAACGTGTCCACATCCAGCAGACAGGAAGGGACATTTATTTGCTAAACGCTCGCCTATATTCAACAACTAACTACGACAACTGTTGCTGTCCGTTCACACTTTAAATGGATCCGTGTTCCTCTAAGAACGCCGTTGCTGCCACAACAGAACGGTCGAGTTGCAGAGCAGTGAGCCGCTGAGAGAGATCCGTTCCCATCACACACAGACATTTGATCTGTTGTTAATCCGCCTGCATCACGTGCTGTCATCATGTTGTTGCATAGTGATGCATTTTGAGCGCAGACGGGTTTTCTCTTCTTCCTGTTGTGCCCAAATCAAAGGAAGCCAAGAATCGCCACTGCAGATCGACGAGGACGAAGAGCTACTGTCCTTTCTAGCGTGTTGCTGTTGTTTGTACGTACATAAACATGCCAAATCAACACGATGGTCACTAAATACAATGTTGACATGAGGGAGATGGCTTGATACTGGCCCCATGCAGGTCAATGACCCCCCCTGTCGGGTACCTGGAGACTAGACGAGAGTCTCCTGCTCCTCCCTCTGCGCAGCTCATCCCCGAGTGTTGCTCCGGACGTGTAAGATCGGCTGATGCGAGATGACTCCGCTTTCTCGCCAGCACCTGTCATGTCTGTGTCTTTACCCTGTGAGACGGGGGGAGGGTGTGGGGAGGGGGGGGGGGGGCAGGTGACGGGAGCAGGGGAGACAGGAAGTGAGAGGCGAAGCGTCGTCAGAGGATCACGTTGGTCCGTGCAGTGGTCGTTTAACCGCGTTCGCCAAACCGCGGTAAATATTCAAATACCGACGAGGAGAGGAAACTGCACCAAAAACACAGACTATTAATCAGCTACGTGTGTGTTTGTGTTTACATGCGTGCCGCTGTGTTTGGCCACATGCGTGTGCGCGTGCGTGTGTGTGTGTGTGTGTGTGTGTCTGAGATGAGGCCTCTACAGACTGAGCTCTTGGAGGCTGATCTGCACTGCAGTACCGTAGCAACTAAACACTGGGGGGGAACGGTAGCAGTTGCTAGGCAACAGTGCCGTGTTGCTTGCATGCTGCGTTTGATGTCGTCCAGATGTGGTAAGACGCTCCAAACCCCCGAACCACACACGCCGACATAAACAAACGTAAAGCCACTCGCTGTAGAGAACTTGAATATTTTGCAGACAGTTTTATATCCTTCGGTGGAATAAAGATGGCTGATTAAACACGGAGCCCTCGTGAAGCTGGGGCTCATTTGCATACCGGACGAGGACTGACTGAGTGCTTCACACTATGTAAATGACGGCGGCAGAGGACAAACTGTCCACTCTGTCTTCTGAGTGCGTACACAGACCTTGAAAACAAGAACAAAGGGAGCCTCGGATGGATGTGTGAAAGTCACGAGGTGTGTGTGTGTGTGTGTGTGTGTGTGTGTGTGTGTCATGGTAAGCGTTCAAGAAAAGCAAACACAAACACACAAACACACACAGTAAAGTGTGACCGGACCGCTCGGCCCTTTTTCTCGGCGCTCTCAGTGGAACGAGAGACGAAGTGAGCGGATCCTCGGGTTGTTTGTTGTTTGTGTTCTCACCTCTTCTGCAGTCACAGACAGCACGCTGCGGCTCTTCTTCATCCTGATTGGCTCGTTCTGGGCCCCAGGGCGGAGCGTTCCGGAACCCAGGCAGCAGAGCAGATGGAGAGCCAGGACCGGAGGAGGTCAGAGGTCACAGCAAGGTCAAACCGGGGTCAGACCGGGTCGCCACCGGCCCCCATCGGAGCCGACTCACGCCGCGGGTCCAGTCGCAGGTGGACGACCTCTGTTCTGATCTCGTTCTCGTATTTTTCCAAAAACGCCAAAAAAAAAAACGTGGACGGGAAGAAAAATCCGGACGAATGTCCTCACTCCATTTTAGTGTAAACTACGAGTTTCTGGGAAAAAGCACGTCCGCCCCCCTCATGCCGTCTTGCTTCGGCCGGTCGAGCCAACGGGACGTCGCCACCGAGGAAAGCCTTCTCCCGAGTTTCCTTAAATGTTTATCCGACTTGGATAACTGTTCCCATGACATTTCCCAGTTGTAAACCTGATCCCACATGAATGCAAGAATCAGCAGAGCGGATCCAGCTGGCGGGAGGATCCCAGGATTCCCTCCTGTCTCAGATCAGATCGCTCCGATCCGCATTCCGCACAGGCAGAGGTGGCAGGTGGGGTTGGCTCATCGGAGGATTCCAGATGTGTAAACTCCGGGTGACATGGGGGCGTCCATCAGCATCTCCTCCCGTTGATTCCCCTGTAAGGAAGCAGATGTGAAGAGTTAACAAGCGCGCTCATGCTCTCACGTTTTTTTGAGGCATCTTCCCTCCGTCAGAACTTGATGTCCTGCTTTCACTTGATGCATCATCAGATGTGAAAGAAGCCTTTCCCCAAACACGGCACGCTCATTCACTGAGCTCGGAGGTATATTTTGGGTTTGAATGCCCATTGGGGTTTTTTTCACCAATATGAGGCCAATGGGCGAGCAGAAAAAAGAAAAAGTTGCTGACTAATACCCAAACAAGACGGGTGGACCAATGGAGGGCTGCCCCGAGGAACCGACGCTGTGACTAATTCTGAGCAGATACTGCAACACTGTCACAGCGGTCCGGGATGACATGATTCCATCGGTTGGGACCGTTTTTCGGCATATTGGTGTGCCTCCGATCGAGCTGGTCCACGGACCGAGAGCGGTGGACGGGACTCTATTTTATTTATTTGCCAGGGGTCATGAAGAAGAACACACCCACCCAGCGGAAGCCCTCCCACATCAACATCAACAGTCTGCACACATTCACAGGTGAAGAAATGCCCCAAAAACGACTTCGGTGACACAGTGACATATATCTGCATGGACAATGACACACACACACGCACACGCACACACACACACACGCACACACACCACGCACACACACCACGGCTGCCATCAGCTCCGCTACAGATAAAAGCTGCTTATAAAACCAAGCAGCGAAGCATCAATATGCAGCTCAACCAGCAGCGGCTGTTCTAACACAAAACCCAGATACAACAATATATATATATGTAATGACACAATGAGACCATGCGCACACCAGGACAGCGCCACTGTCACGCCTCTGCACGCGCACGCACACGCACAGTCAACGCGCGCGCGCGCACACGCACAGTCAACGCGCGCGCGCGCACACGCACAGTCGAGCCGCCGCATTTAAGAATAAAAAACACGCTCACCTTGATCGCCTCAAGATCAATGGCGAGATGGGCCCCGTCTTGCTTCTCATACTCGTCCGTCCTCCCCCCACCCCCGCCCCCCCCCCCCTCCCTCCATCCCTCCATCCCCCCATCCCTCCCCCCCCTCTCTCAGCCTCTCTGCAGACTGTGTCACCAACGGAAAGGAGAGAGAGAGAGAGAGAGAGGAGAGAGAGAGAGAGAGAGAGAGAGAGAGAGAAGCCGCTCAGGTCCTCATGAATATCCGCGTCTTCAGCATCCCCCCCCTCAACCCCCCCGTGGAGAAGCCCATGTCTCCTCCCTCCTCCTGCACAGTGTGTCCATTAATCCCGCACAACAGCTCCTCCCCATCGGCAGCCCGACCCTTTTATTCACTGCTTTATCTGCTTCGATGGGGCGTCATTTCCCCCCATTAAAGTCTGCCAAAATAACAGGACAAACAATGACAATAAAGGGCTCATGCCCCCCCCCCCCCCCCCCCCCCCCCCGTCTCAATTGTGCTTTCATTGGATTTCATGGATTCATGCTTGTTTTTTAATACATTGTGGAAAATGTGTGAGCTGGAGCTGCAGAGCAACAAGCAAATACACCCCATGCATGTTTTTATGATGCAATAATAATAATTTTAGACCAAACATGGAATCACTTCATTGAGAAGATAAAGAGCTCTAGAACATTGGACAATTGTAAACGTTGCTTCAATGTAGTTTAAATGAATGTGGAGTAGAAGGAAGTCCTCTCCTTGGAGCAGCTGCAGAATATTTTACATTTGCTAAATGAATAAGAGGCAGATTACTTTGAATGATGATGTCATAAGCAAAATGCCGGTAAGACATCAGATGATCTCGGTTCCCCTTCAGGCAGAAAAGAGGTTCCGTTGATCCGGAGTCACACATGAAGGTCGACCTCACGTTGCTCCTCACACAGATGAACGGAGGCGCTTTTGTTCTCCTCCTCCTCCTCCGCCTTTAAAGGCATCATCCACATTCGATTTATCACGCTGACTGTTTTCTATTCACAAAAGTCACTTCAGGACATTAAAGTCAAAACCACCGATTAAACACGACGGAGCAATTAATTATGAGAGGGAAGAATATGAGTCAAGAAATGAGAGCAGTTTGTAGACAACACAAAAGGTTTATTGCACAAACACAAATGTGTTCTTTAAATACAAAATAAAACCAATAAAAGGACAAAGAAACAATTAGACAAAGTATTTTACTTGGACTGACTCATGTCAACGTTATTCAGCTCACGCTTACTAAAACAAGAAATACATTCATAGTGTAGCCGTGTGGAGCTTATAATTAAATCTATAATTATTTCCTGAGGAGGACGTCAGCATTCATGTGTTTAAGTTACAAAGACGTGATCGTTACAACACAACTTTATTTTTCTACACAAAAGATCAAAAACATTGGACTTCTATTTTATTTTTATTTATTTTTTACAAAAGTTGATAAGTAATAAGTTTTTGTAGTTTGCACAGCATAATAGACGGTGGTCAAAGGTTCATGGTCCAGGCCTCTGATGCGGCCTACGGCCTCAAGGTGGCGCCGTTGACCACAGAAGGAACTGCCACAGAAAGCAGATCGTTTGGATGATTTGTTTTTGGGTGCATCTTTTGTTTTTTGTGTCCAAGGTGTTTTAATCCCGTAAGCTGCAGACTTCATTGTGAAAAAGGTGTGAAGAGAAGGAAGACGGATTTATATAAATAAATAAATTGAATGAAGACCAAGCGGCCAACTGGGATGTCAAGATCGTCAAATGCCAAAGAACTAAAATAAAAATCTGAAGAAGTGGCTGCTTTTGCGACGGCTCTAAAGTGAGAGCTTGTTTGAATTAATTAATGATTCATATCAAATCAGGTTTCTAACGACGTGATATTCAGAGTGACTAAGTGGGTTTTCATCATTTTGTTTCCTTGGTGGCACCAAAGTAGCTTCAATTGAAAAATAAAAAAAAGTTGAGGTGCTTTTGTTTGAAAACTTCATAAGCTTTTCTCCCATTTAACGCGTTTTATACCACACGCTGGTTTAGATCATATGCTTATTAAATACGTTTAAAGCGTTACTTTGTCGACTAACATGTTCACTCTTTTATTAATCGTCTCCTTCATCTGCTTCTACTTCGTCACCCCCCCCCCCACTGACTCAGGGACCCACAGTCCGGAGTCGATGCACCTCTGCAGGTAGTATTTTCCCTCCCGTAAAGGACAAACAGAGCGACACGAGTTCAACACAAAGAATCAAGTGAACGTAATCGGATCCGATCAGCATGCATCCTCCTCTTATTCAGCGGACACGCTCACCTCCATGTGCATCTTCCCGATGGCTTCCTGCAGCATCGCAATGTTCTTCTCATCAAAGCTCTTCTGCATTTCCTGCAATACAGAACAGAAACGAACGCGGTCGATGCAGCACTGAAATGTTTATTAGAAAAATCTTGAGGTTTTAGGACTTAAATTCTTTATCTTAAAGAGAAAGGTTTAATCTCGGGGGAAGAAAATGATGTACAATGATGATTTACTGCGCACACGCACACACACACACATACACACACACACACACACACACACACACACACACACACACACACACACACACACACACACAGGATCAATTTAGATCAACGGAACGAGCAAACAATGACTTGAAAGGCTACAAACAACTAAAGGACTCAGGCAGACAGACGCCGCTCATGTCAGAATCCATTAACATGTTCTCATGATGAACAGGATGTAAAGACAAATGAAGAAAAAGTAGAAAGTAGGTACATCGACGCGCATGTCGTCCCTCTGCTGCTTTAATTAAACCGCATATATTTACTCATGTAAACCAGCTTTTAATGGGGTGGGGGGGGGGGAGAAGAAGGGGGAGAAGAAGGGGGAGAAAAAGGGGGAGAAAAAGGGCCGAGACGTTCGGCTGCGACGCCGCACCGACCAGCCGGGAGTGCGGGTGGGTTTTTTAGCCACGAGCCGACTCGCCGATGACGCGCAGCTCCGCGCGCCTGTAAATCAATCAATGACGTCATCAGGAAGCGCGGTTTGTTTGTTTTTATTGTGACGGATTACTAACCTGATAGTAGTGGAGGGAGTACAAGACTACTTCTTTTATACAGTCCATGGGCCTAATACGGGGATTATAGGGTAGTGTTAGTCAGCCGTTAACTTTTAATATTATTTCAGATATGCAGCAAAGGTTTACTTTAAGACAAAATGTATCAGAAAAAAATCAGGGTTTGGTCAAAATCTGCCGAATCTAAAACAATTAGAGCGATGTCTTTAAGACATCCAAATTAAGTAAAAGTATACTCCAAAAGACACAAGCGGTTACTTGATGGTGAATAAGAATAAGTATATTCCGTTATTTAATAACCTTGTGAGCTTATGATTTCACTGCTAAATTTACTTTCTATATCCAGTTCTCTCTTTTCTTCCTCATGAGAGGAGCTGTAGTTATTGAGGAAAGGAAAATGTTAGGAGTGAAACATTTCTGTGATCTACTGCCTGATCTCTGCAGTTTCCTGTGAAACCCCAGAGATCAAAAAGCATCCAAAGTTCTGAACTCAGCTAGCGGTGAAGAATCCCATAAACAGGAAATCTGTAATCACATCCTCAACTTCCATCAGTACCTTTTACTCTGAAGTTCAGATTCTTCCCCTGGATTACTGCAATATAAGGCTCTTAACAAAAAAATCATTATCTTTGATATTTAACATAAGGTTTATCTATTTGTGGTGTTTTAGTATGGTGTCTCCATTAGCAACAACTTTAAAATGCAATAAAATAACAATAGAAGAGACTGTGGTGCATCTCATTGTTATTGTTTATTTGCATGAATGAATATAGATCAGAGCTTATTCATCATAATAGAAGTTCAAGTGTGAGTTCATCATCATAAAGCTTTTTCTCTGTATATGAATTCCTCTTTTCAATACAGCACACAAACACATTCACAGCAAATACATGCAAACGGAAACCGTGTTGAAAATTGTTTTATATGTATTTCTTGGCTTGCTTCTTTCTTTAAGTACTTTAGAACAAACAAATTCTCTGACATTGACATTTTAGTTCATTAGACACCATCAGTGGAGTAATGACAGGAAGTGCCAACAGCCTCAATTCGCAGTGGGAACAGCAGAGTGACGCATGTGAGAGCGGGAAAAAACCTCCTTCAGGTTGTACTGTCCCCACCGATTCTGTCTGTAGCAATAGTATGCAACCAGGCCCGAGGCCACGATCACAAGGACAACCGCAACTACGACGGCAATGATGATTCCCGTGGGGTTTGCTGCAGAAAGTTGGGTGAAGAAGAAAAAAGAAAACGGGGGAACGTTCAACGTCGGAACAACAGCGAATACCAAAACAGTCACAATCAACCTGGAGCCTGGATGATAAAACTCACCCTGAAGCTCCACGTCAAACTCCTTGGTGACATTTCCCAGCAGGTTGACCACTGAACAGGTGAACTTCCCCCCATCCGACACAGTGGTGGAGTTGATAGTCAGAACGTCGGCATGGGAGGCTTCCCTTCTCCCTGACGGGTACGTCCAGGTGTACGTGGGGGGGGGGTTTGCTACAGCCGAGCAGTTCAGTCGTAGAAGTTCTCCTTCCCGGACTCTGATTGTATCTGGATGTGATGATCCCTCCAGATGAGGCTGATCTGTTGATTTTTGATTGAGTTGTTACAAAATGTAATAACTGTGACGTGGGAACATTTTGGTAATGTTCCTCTGCAGGTTGATGTTCTCTGCTCAGACTCACAGTGCACAGTAGCAGTGATGTTTTGTGACGTCTCCACTGGAGGGAGCTTTGGTCCTTCAGGTCCCAGTTCCAGCTTGGCTTCACACCAGTACTGAGCTCCATCTTCTTCTCTACCCGGGCTGATGTCCACACTGAAGATCTGAATCACTGGTTTCTCCACCGTGGTGTTATTGGACTGTGGTTGACCCAGTGCTGTCTGTCCTCTGTAGAAGGTCACACGGAGGTCCTTAACAGGAGCCACGTGCTCTACTGTACACTGCAGAGTGTACTGACGCCCCTCCAACATCGGCCCAGTGAGGTTAACAAAGCTGATGGACACTTTTTGTGGAGGTTCTGTGGAGACAGACACACGCTTAGAAACAAATATCAAATCCCAGAGACGGTTTATTGCTCATTTAGATGTTTCTAACTCACGGTAGACAGTAACAGGCAGGAAGGTACAACACTGGTGACCAGCATCATCACTATAGAAACACAATGACGACACCGACCACTCAGTCAGTGAATCGACTGTCCATGAAATCGTGGTTCCGTCCTTCCTCGTGACTCCCGCGGGGCTTTCCACACCATATTTATTTTTGACACAAGCGTGCTCACACACAGAGCAGTTGGCAGAGGTGGGGTCACCGAACTTCACCACCAGACTGGATGGAGTGAAAACTGGTTTATCTGCACAGTTTGTATCTGTAACGGAGACAAGGAGGTGGTTTTAAACCGCTTGATGGAAAAATAAACGTAACTCAACAAGAAAACATTTATAAAACACAATTCTACATGATGTTTTTAAACAAGGTATAGCTGCATTTCTACTCTTCTGGAAACTGACTTCAGACTAAACACGTCTTTTTACAATGTTCACCCGCTAGAAAACTCTTCCACAGAATAGAACCACACCAATTATGATTCATTAAAAAACATGTAAAATCATTTCTTTGGTCTAGAAATAACAAAAATACTAAGAACTTAAATACAAAATGACGACTGTCGAAAGATATCATTTAAGTTAAATAGAATTTAAGGATAAAGGCACCGGACAGAAAATTATAAAACGCTATAAAAGTTTTCATATTATTTAAGTACGTCTTGAAAGTGAAGCTGCCTTTAAGGTTGCACAACCAAAATGTACTATATATATATATATATATATATATAAAATATAAAAATCTTGTTTTTTAAGGCTGTTCGAATAGAAAACTCCCCACTTACCACAACCGGACACATGGAATCTGTGCAGGAAACTCATCGAGGAAACGACCAGAATAACTAAACGGGCAAACATCCTCCCAAGTTTTTTTATTTAGATAAAAAATAAGAAACAACATAAAACCCAGAGGCTCCTGGAGAAACACTGAGTGCGCTCTGCTTTTCCTGGTTTTATATCGCAGTCAAACAATGTTGGCAGGCAGCCGGTCTTCATTTCTGGCTGCGTCCCAATACTCCCAATGGTTCCTAACGGCTCTTATTAAGGCAGCCACTTACAGGACTTTCGGCTCATTTCACTCCGTTATGAACCTTCCTAAGCAAAGAGGACTATTCGGATGCAGTAGTTTGTTCTGAATTCCTCGTGAATTCTACTGACGTTCTCCGTTTTTTTTCTGGACAATTCAAATCCTACACACACGCACACACAACTGGAGGTTGGGTATTTCGGGGGGACAATGTAGAAGTTTTGTGCTTATAATTCACATGGAAACATTTTGAAGCGCAGAGCAGTGAGCAAACATTCCTCAGCTTCCCGGTGATCTTTATCGCCCAGTTTCCTGAGAGTCCTCTCGCGAGCGCTGAACGCTCCCTACTGTAACACAAGTGTGACCTCTTCTGTATCAGTGCTGGTACCTCACAAGCTGCCTGCTTGTTTGCGTTTCTTTTCATGGAAACCAGCAGCAGGACGACACAATCCGAGAAGAGAGAGAGAGACTTCATTCCTTCAGTCGCTTAAAACCATCCGAACCGTTTAATCAGGCTTCCCGACTACAAACACAAACTCTGCAGACATTAGAAACAAACATCCTGTGGACGTTTTACACGTGAGGGGGTTGCGGTATGAAAGCGGATTTATAATACAATCACATATTGGCAAATTTGACCTTTCTCCTTTCACTGTATGTTTGAAAGGGGATTTTTCATTAAAATCTTTTATGAAAAAAAAACACATTTTTGGTGGGATTTCTCTCCTGTTCCGATGCGAGGATCCGGGGACATGCTGCGAAAGTGTGTTTTTAATATTAGGGATACGTGCCTTCTGGTGCAAAATAGTGAATGTAAATATAAGTTTAGTTTTCAAAGAAAATTCCACCATTTACTTTGAACAGAACCTTTAACTAAACAATACTGTTATTGCATCTGACAGTTTCTCAGCACTGACAAGCAGGATCTGGTAGATCATCTCTCAGAACTAATGGAATATTCCTCATAATGTACAGGATGGAAATTGGAGGCTGAGCTACACAATTCATCTGGGTTCCAGCTCATGTTGGTGTGGAGGGGAATGGACAGGTGGATGTTGGTGGATATATAAGGCATCTGTACTGGTCACTGTCAGGTCTATTGGGGAATCGAGCAGATAAAATATACAATTATTACGTTGTTGAGAGAAACGGATTTAGTTAAACAAATCTAGAGTTTTACTTATTTATTAATTTATTTTATTTATCTATTTTGGTTCTGCATAAACTTCTGTTCCACACTCCAGTCCAGATGGTGGCAGAAAGATGGTTTGCTAACCGCTAATAAACACAGAAGAGGAAGATATGATATGATAGTAGTGGAGGAAGTTCTAAATCCACATTTACTGGATTAGGACAAAATGTATCATGAATCAAAAATCAGGGTTTGGTCACAATCTGCCAAATCTAAAACAATTTAGACAATTAGAGATTCAAATTAAGGAGAAGTATCCTCCAAAAAACACAAGGTTTTCTGATGGTGAAGAAGACAATATATTTCCAGTTTCTACATCCAGTCGAGTGCTTTTTTCTTCCTCGTAGGAGGTGTTGGGTATTAAAATATAAACATGCACGCTTACGCTAGAACGAAATTACACTTGAACTATAAATGCATAGTAATAATGGGTGAAGGCCGCCTAAAGGCCAGATTGCACAAACAACGTCTATTTAAAGTCACAAAACCAGCACATGAACATGCAAAAAGACGCACACACTATCTGTAAAATGCAGTTCAACAGGAACCACCGGTTCCCCTTTCTAGGAATAACACGTCCACACCTAGAACTACGCCGGCTGCACATATGCAAATCATCTTGCACACATCTTGCAAACATCCCGATGTGAAGAACTCATGAACAACGGGATGCGTGATGATCCGAGAGCCTGGAGGGATGGACGTCCCTGTGCTCCAATGGGGTTCTCCCAGGGTTCTAAGCAGGAGCCGCCTCCATCTTAATAACCAATCAAAAAGGCTCTTAGAGACGATATAATACGAGCGCACTTTGTATTAAGCGCCTTTTTTCATGTTGTTGTTAAACTGCCTGAAATAGGTCCGTGCACGTTAAACTGCAGGACAGAATACTCTTGTTGCAAATAAACTTTGTCATATTGCTTTGATTTAAGTCTCCAGTCTAGTCCTTGTTCTGCTCGCACGACAGAGGGCAGCAGTAGTTATTAAGGTCCGGAGTGAAACATTTCCGGCGTCCATCTACTCGCTTCCCCAATAAAGTAACAATAGAAGAGACTGCGGCGCATCTCATTGCACAGTTGCAAGTATGTTTTTTATTTGCATAAATAAATACAGATCAAAGCTAATTCATCATAATAGAAGTTCAAGTGTGCAGCTCGCCTGCATGAAATCCTCTTTTTCAGTGTCACAAACACATTCACGCCCAATACATTCGTACGGAAACCGTTAGTCAGTGGGCGGATACTCACAAGCGTCGAGTCGTTCTGCTGCTGTACGGAAAAGTCACAATGTCGTTTGATTGTTAAAAATAGTTTTCTATGTATTTCTTTGCTTGCTTCTCTGTGAAATTGACATTTTAGTTCATTAGACACCATCAGTGGAGTAATGTCCGGAAAGGTCAAAGCAAAGGTCCATTTACGTTGTCGTGCCAACAGGCTCAATCCTCAGTGGGAACAGCAGAGTGAAGCGTGTTGGATCCTCCCATCCGCTTCTGTCTGTAGCAATAGTATGCAACCAGGCCCGAGGCCACGATCACAAAGACAACCACAACTACGACGCCAATGATGATTCCCGTGGGGTTTGCTGCAGAAAGTTGGGTGAAGAAAAAAGAAAACGGGGGAACGTTCAACGTCGGAACAACAGCGAATACCAAAACAGTCACAATGATAAAAGCCTGGATGATAAAACTCACCCTGAAGCTCCACGTCAAACTCCTTGGTGACATTTCCCAGCAGGTTGACCACTGAACAGGTGAACTTCCCCTCATCCGACACAGTGGTGGAGTTGATAGTCAGAACGTCGGCATGGGAGGCTTCCCTTCTCCCTGACGGGTACGTCCAGGTGTACGTGGGGGGGGGGTTTGCTACAGCCGAGCAGTTCAGTCGTAGAAGTTCTCCTTCCCGGACTCTGATTGTATCTGGATGTGATGATCCCTCCAGATGAGGCTGATCTGTTGATGTTTGATTGAGTTGTTACAAAATGTAAGAACTGTAACGTGGGAACATTTTGGTAATGTTCCTCTGCAGGTTGATGTTCTCTGCTCAGACTCACAGTGCACAGTAGCAGTGATGTTTTGTGACGTCTCCACTGGAGGGAGCTTTGGTCCTTCAGGTCCCAGTTCCAGCTTGGCTTCACACCAGTACTGAGCTCCATCTTCTTCTCTACCCGGGCTGATGTCCACACTGAAGTTCTGAGTCACTGGTTTCGTCACCGTGCTGTTGATGGACTGTGGTTGACCCAGTGCTGTCTGTCCTCTGTAGAAGGTCACACGGAGGTCCTTAACAGGAGCCACGTGCTCTACTGTACACTGCAGAGTGTACTGACGCCCCTCCAACATCGGCCCAGTGAGGTTAACAACCCTGATGGACACTTTTTGTGGAGGTTCTGTGGAGACAGACACACACTTAGAAACAAATATCAAAATCCCAGAGACGGTTTATTGCTCATTTAGATGTTTCTAACTCACGGTAGACAGTAACAGGCAGGAAGGTACAACACTGGTGACCAGCATCATCACTATAGAAACACAATGACGACACCGACCACTCAGTCAGTGAATCGACTGTCCATGAAATCGTGGTTCCGTCCTTCCTCGTGACTCCCGCGGGGCTTTCCCAACCATATTGGTTGTTGACACAAGCGAGCTCACACACAGAGCAGTTGGCAGAGGTGGGGTCACCAAACTTCACCACCAGACTGGATGGAGTGAAAACTGGTTTATCTGCACAGTTTGTATCTGTAACGGAGACAAGGAGGTGGTTTTAAACCGCTCGATGGAAAAATAAACGTAACTCAACAAGAAAACATTTATAAAACACAATTTTACATGATGTTTTTAAACAAGATATAGCTGCATTTCTACATTTCTAGTCAAACGTTTTATTTTGGCCTATTTATTCACATAATTGCAACTACGTCACTAGAGACTAATAAAAGGAAGGTCTTCTACATTCTCTGATAGAAGATTATGAAAATATAACGAGCATACTTCTCGCTAGAAATGCCATAGAAATGCATAGAAATGCTGATGCTTTCTTAAAATATTGTGTTTTTCACAGATAATCGACCGACAGGCTTCTTTTCTTTTTTTGAGCGGAGGGAAAGTTGATAGTCACGTGACCTCGTTGCAACTAAAATACCACGTTGGTCCTTCATATACATTTATATTCTTTTTTCAATGGGTGAACAACAACCTCACAATGTGGTTTAAGAAAAGACATTAAACCGGTCACTTTCACTTTCTGTTCGCTGGTGCACTTTATTTTTAGCTCTTAATTTTAACTTCTTCTTTTTAAATGTTTTTTTTTTTAACTTGTATTCCTTTATTTTTAAACTAACCTATAGCCTTATATTTCATTATATCGTATTTGTTTAGTGGTCCACTGTCGTACTGTCTGCTGTGTGTCCGACGTGTTATGGTGGTAAATGTTTCCTGATTCCTGAACGAGCTTCAACCTAAACGCGCTCACTGCTCACGAGGCAGCGGGTGGAACACTCACCACAACTGGACACACGGACGTCCCGCAGAGAGCTCATCATAGCAGCCATCAAAAATAAGCACCAGAGAAGCATTATTCCCAGTAGGTCTTTTAGACGAACAAAATGTCTGGTCCTAAAAAAAAATAACCAGCCGGTGATCCAGAGAGACTGAAGTGTAAAGTCTAAAGTGTAAAGGAAGGAGACGCCGAGTGGGTTTTACCGTAAGAACTAGAAAACGAAAACACTCTTTTCTCTTTTTTCGTTTTTCATCATAACCGGTAGGACGGAAGTGGACAGTCGTTTTCTCGTTTTTCCTTTAGAACCAAAACACGAGACAGACCGACAACTTCGTCTGAATTGGACACCGGGCAAAGTTCAGGAAGGCAAGTGAGCTGTCGTGAATTCCGGTGTCGTGGCTGCAGAATGATTTATAGTCATGATCTTGGGGCGGGATCACGACACGAGTCACTCTGACAGCAACAATTGGACAATTAGAGATTCAAATTAAGGAGAAGTATACTCCAAAAACACAAGAGGTTTTCTGATGGCGAAGAAGACAATATTTTTCCAGTTTCTATATCCAGTCGAGTGCTTTTTTCTTCCTCGTAGGAGGTGTTAAGTATTTAAATATAAACATGCACGCTTACGCTAGAACAAAATTACACTTGAACTATAAATGCATAGTAATATATTTCCCTAGTTTTCCTTTCTATATCCAGTCAAGGAGTGGTTTTTTTCTTCCTCGTAGGAGGGCAGCAGTAGTTATTAAGATCCGGAGTGAAACATTTCCGGCGTCCATCTACTCGCTTCCCTCTAAACATGATCTCTGCACGGAGTTTCCCTTGAAAACCCCCCGAGATCAGAGAGCACCCAAAGTTCTGGGGAAGCTCGGCTAGCGGTGAAGAATCCCATGAACAGGAAATCTACACTCGCATCTCACACTTCCATCAGTACCTCTCACACTGAGGGAAGTTCAGATGCTTCCACTGGATCACTGCAATAACTTAAATATCATTATTGTAAGGTTCATCTATTTTGTGGTGTTTTAGTATGCGGTCTCCATTTGCAACAACTTTAACATGCAATAAAGTAACAATAGAAGAGAATGCGGTGCATCTCACGCATCCATCCATCTTCACAGCACTTATCCTGCACAGGGGCCGCGTGGGGCTGGAGTCCATCCCAGACAAGTTCAGACGAGAGACGGGGTCCACCTTGGATCGGCCCGCCAGCCAATCGCAGGGCTAACACAGACACACAAGCATTCACACACCGTTGTACAAAGTTATTGTTTATTTGCATAAATAAATATAGATAAAAGCGTATGCGTCATAACAGAAGGTCAAGTGTGCAGTTCATCGTCATAAAGCTTTCGCCTGCGTGAAAGCCTCGTTTTCAGTGTCACCAACGTAGCGCATCAGTAAAGCACACAAACGCATTCACACCAAATACATTCACACGGAAACTGTTGGTCAGTGGGTGGTTACTCACAAGCGCTCAGTCGCTGTTCTATTTAAAACACATCTCTAAGTAGGGAGCAACACAACTGAAATACAACAAAGAGAAGCAGCAAAGCCGCATGTTCACCGGCTGCACAACTTGTTTCAGCCACAAGTGGCCAAACAAGCACCAAGTAATGTACGGAAAAGTTACAATGTACTTTGATGGTTAAAAATGGTTTTCTATGTATTTCTTTGCTTGCTTCTCTCTGACATTGACGCTATAAGTGGAGTAATGACAGGAAAGGTCAAAGCGAAGGTCCATTCACGTTGTCGTGCCCACGGGCTCAATCCGCTGTGGGAACAGCAGAGTGACGCGAGTGAGAGCGGGAAAAAACCTCCTTCACGTTGTACTGATCCATCCGCTTCTGTCTGTAGCAATAGTATGCAACCAGGCCCGAGGCCACGATCACAAGGACAACCGCAACTACGACGCCAATGATGATTCCCGTGGGGTTTGCTGCAGAAAGTTGGGTGAAGAAGAAAAAAGAAAACGGGGGATCGTTCAACGTCGGAACAACAGCGAATACCAAAACAGTCACAATCAACCTGGAGCCTGGATGATAAAACTCACCCTGAAGCTCCACGTCAAACTCCTTGGTGACATTTCCCAGCAGGTTGACCACTGAACAGGTGAACTTCCCCCCATCCGACACAGTGGTGGAGTTGATAGTCAGAACGTCGGCATGGGAGGCTTCCCTTCTCCCTGACGGGTACGTCCAGGTGTACGTGGGGGGGGGGTTTGCTACAGCCGAGCAGTTCAGTCGTAGAAGTTCTCCTTCCCGGACTCTGATTGTATCTGGATGTGATGATCCCTCCAGATGAGGCTGATCTGTTGATTTTTAAATTGAGTTGTTACAAAATGTAATAACAGATTATGCAGATTATTGGGTAAAAGCGGTTGGATAATACCTAACAAACTGCCATCATTGTCTCAACACCACCACCATTCCTCAACAAAGCAACGGTATTAATGACAATGAACGTGTCACGGTTTGGGTTAATGTCTGGTTTTATTTTGTAGTTTCTTGCCTCTGTTCTCCCAGGGTCACGTCATTTCCTGCCTTGTCCTGTCTTCCCCTGTGATTGTCTGGCATGTCATGATTGTTTCCACTCACCTGCACCTCCCTAGTATATTTAAGCCGCGTGTGTCTGTTGTCACTGGTCGCGTCATTGTTCCATGTTGATGGATGTCAGAAGCCCATGTCCATGCTCCGTGTCCTCGTTCCTGTTCCCTCACCCCGTTCGGCCCTTTTTGGAGTTTTGAGTTTTGGAGGTTTTTGACTAAAGTCCGTTTTTGTTTCCTGCAAACTCTGCGTTTGAGTCCTGCCTTTTTTCCCCACGCAACATCCGTGACAAAACGTTCCTTTCTTTTAAGAACCATTGTGGCTGAATAATGACTTGATTAGAGCTTTCAGGCTGAACCAAAACAGACACCATGAAGGTCTGCAGAGATGAGGAGGACGGTGGAGTCTGATGATAATCACCTGTGGTTTTTCCACACACACAAATAGTCATGTGATCTATTGATGGTATAAAGATGTTGCGTAATGCAGACCAGCATAATAACCACGTTGAGGAGTGTTGATGTTGTCTGCTCAGACTCACAGTGCACAGTAGCAGTGATGTTTTGTGACGTCTCCACTGGAGGGAGCTTTGGTCCTTCAGGTCCCAGTTCCAGCTTGGCTTCACACCAGTACTGAGCTCCATCTTCTCCTCTACCCGGGCTGATGTCCACACTGAAGATCTGAGTCACTGGTTTCGTCCCTGTGCTGTTGATGGACTGTGGTTGACCCAGTGCTGTCTGTCCTCTGTAGAAGGTCACACGGAGGTCCTTAACAGGAGCCACGTGCTCTACTGTACACTGCAGAGTGTACTGACGCCCCTCCAACATCGGCCCAGTGAGGTTAACAACGCTGATGGACACTTTTTGTGGAGGTTCTGTGGAGACAGACACACGCTTAGAAACAAATATCAAAATCCCAGAGACGGTTTATTGCTCATTTAGATGTTTCTAACTCACGGTAGACAGTAACAGGCAGGAAGGTACAACACTGGTGACCAGCATCATCACTATAGAAACACAATGACGACACCGACCACTCAGTCAGTGAATCGACTGTCCATGATATCGTAGTTCCGTCCTTCCTCGTGACTCCCGCGGGGCTTTCCACACCATATTGGTTGTTGACACAAGCGAGCTCACACACAGAGCAGTTGGCAGAGGTGGGGTCACCGAACTTCACCACCAGACTGGATGGAGTGAAAACTGGTTTATCTGCACAGGTTGTATCTGTAACGGAGACAAGGAGGTGGTTTTAAACCGCTCGATGTAAACATTTTATAAAACACAATTCTACATGATGTCGTTTTTAATCAAGATATAGTTGCATTTCTACATTTCTAGTCAAAGGCTGAATGAATCATTAAGGTCATAGGTCAAAGTTTCATACCATCGTTTGAGGTCATTCAAACGAATTCACTGAGTGTCACATTTTGACTTAGAGATCTGACATTAGTCCTCTAGCAATGTGTGATGAAACTACTCCAATTCCAAACAAGCCGTATTTATAATGTCTACACATTGTGTGTGAAGTTTAGAATAATAATAGTTGAACAACAACTTCACAATGTGGTTTTAAAAAAGCAACAAGTGCTGCTTCAAACAAAATACTTGTACTACTGACGACGCAACAGATGTGCTGTGTGTCCGACGTGTTAAGGTGGTAAATGTTTCCTGATTCCTGAACGAGCTTCAAACAAAACGCTCTCACTACTCACGAGGCAGCGGGTGGAACACTCACCACAACTGGACACACGGACGTCCCGCAGAAAGCTCATCATAGGAACCATCAAAAATAAGCACCAGAGAAGCATCATTCCGAAACAAAATGTCTGGTCCTAAAAAAATAACCAGCTGCTGATCCAGAGAGACTGAAGTGTACAGCGTGGAAGCCGTCACAAAAGGAATGCAGAGGAACGAGACACAGAGCGGGAGACACGTCTTTGTGGAATTGAAACCAGTCAAAGTTCAGGAGGTTCTTCAGAGGTCCGAGAGTTGTGGGAAATTCCGGTATTGTGGATGCAGAATGACTTGTTTTCATGATCTTGGGTCACCAAGACACGAGTCACTCTGACAGCAGCTGCCCCCACTGACTCATTTCAAAACGAAAGCAACAGAACAACCGAGCTGATCATTCAGGCTTTTGCTTTTGGTCTTTGGTAGAAGAGGAAGCAATCTCCTCTTATCTCTTTGGGAAACCAGTTCCTCGCTCTACTTTGTGAAATTCATGCTCAAGAATCTGCTTTCACATCCACAGATAGAACCGGTGACCTGCAGCCTCTCTTCTGGGTACACGTAATGCACACGTATGCACACGTACGCACACTCACGGTCTACTTATTTTGACCTCCACATATTTCAAAACTTTATCTATCACCTCTCTTGTGCCCCCCCCGCCCCACACCCCACACCCCACATACTCACACACCCACACACAGCCACGTTCCACGTCAGCGAGACATTTCAAAGGCACTTGGTGCCAGCAAAAGAGCAGCAGAGGCAGGGAAAGGGAGGGGGAATCTATCGGGGGGGCCCTGATGACCCGCAGTGAAGCGACGCCACACCGGGACCACTGCAAAGGGACGAGGCGCTTCACCGACATCAATCAAATCGCAACAAAAGCAAACTTGGCAGATTTTGCGCCCCAAATATTTTCCTAATGAGCAGAAAAAAAAACGTCCCGCCGAATTACATCAAGGGACATTTTTTAAAACACGGTCCAAATGATGATGATCCAACCATGTTTTAGTGATTGTACGAGCCTGTTGTTGTGCATCCTGATAGGATGGGATATATGATCATTTCGCTCTGGTCCCATTCTACCCAGATGTGCTCTGGTTCTATTAATTATGACCATTACAATGAAAAAAAAATGACCTTTGGTTCGAATCCAACAGAAATACCGTCCATCTCTGACAGCGGCTAACAGCGATGATTCACTTTGAGCACTTTGACACTTAAGATAAGCGGAGACGGGCTGAACCAGGACCTGGACCTCGTTTGACTGTTTGAAATCACTGCTAGGTTTACTGAGTGTGAATATGTTGTATCTTTACATACTAAATTAGCAGAAAAGCAACACTGTTTGATTTAATTGACTTTTAACTTGGGCCTAAAGGGAAAATAGTGTTTGAGGAGGTCTTAGTCCACAAATTATGATTTCCTCTCAGCCACTTGCTTTTCCCCTAAATTGTGAAATCACCTTTCAAGTTTAGAGTTTCCAGTTCTGCAAAGTAAGCAGAAGTGACACATTGCTGCAAACTAATGCGGACGAGCTGACGTACTATTAGAGGAAGTTGACTGGTTCAATTTAAAGTCCCGCTTTAAACTGAAAACAACCACCACCGTCAGTACTATTCTATGAATACTATTCTATGAATAGTACTGACGGCTAATAGAATGGTCCAGTCATGCACTTTAGTCACGGGTTAAATTTTATACTGTTAAAAACAGTATAATAAGTATTAAAAAATGTAATTAAAAGGGAATCTACATATGTATAAATGTAATTTATTTTATGGTCTCACAGTTTCATTATCAGCCTCTTGTTTGTTTTTTTGGCATTCCAACTGAAAAGTTCCACCCCGGACAGTATTTCACAAGGCAATGTACATCTTCACATGGCTTTTATTTTCCAAATAATAATGAATGAATTCAGGAGGATCATTCAAAAACAGACACGATGACGTCATAGGTTAGCGTAGTCTTCCACCACCTGGTGGTGAAACATCAGAACTGCATGTGAAGGCTGCTTCCTCACAGTCGAGGCCAGGCGGTTATTTATGGAACTTTTCACAAAACAATCAGAGCGGTAGAAACATCCCCTCGAACATCAGAGTAATCAAATGTATTTCCTTAAAAAAAAGTAGTAATCTCAAAGTGAATTTTTCCATGTGGATTTGAAGATGACAAAGAGGACGGTGCTGATGCTGATGGTGATACGGAGCATGTCGATGTGTGAATGAACATTCCCGGCAGTAAAGGGAACAGATTCAAAAAGAGGCAAATATTGAGTTTCTGTTTGAGAGATTTGCTTTTTCCTCATTGATGACCGAAGCTGCAGCTCAGCTCGGACATTCACATTAAACCAGCCAGTCTCGGGGTCACTGGTGACCACTTTCTTGACAGTAGTTGGAATAAAGTGCTGCAGCCCAGGGACAGCTAGCGTAGCTTAGCATAGAGCAGTGACCAGCCAGGTCGATGTGTCCTTGGGCAAGACACTTCACCCAACGATGCTCCTGTAGCCGCCACGACAGCGTGTGAATGTTAGTTGCTGATGGGCAGGTGTCACTGTGTGTGGTTCTCCTGTCATCGGTGTGTGAATGGGTGAATGATGTCGTAGTGTTAAAGCGCTTTGAGTGGTCGGAAGTCTAGAAAAGCGCTGTACAAGTACAGAACTTTATGTTTTACATTACTAAATGTCGTTATTTTAATAAAAATTCAGCATGGACCATTTTGGTACATTTTTCTTCCTCCAAGAGTTTGAGAACCACTGGCATAGAGACTGGAAACAGGTGGAGAAAGCTGATCACAGTCTGATGAGTTTTTCCACCTTTTTCCATAGAAAATCCCTTCGCTTTGAGAGACGCTAAAATATTCACATCTTACACGCACGAGCAGAACTGTTTGTTAAACTCTCCGAAAAATATAAAAGTATGCTCCATGAATGCTTTTGCAGAAGAGGATTTTAAAGAAGCATTCAGACAAGTCTCACTTACAACTAACGTCCGTAGAATAAACCATTTGTTTTCAGTTTTGTTTTATACTCTTTAGTGGCAAAAATGTTCCTGGGCAATTTATATTCGACGCACACGTCTTCAAACCAGAGCGGTGAATAAAAGCATGAAACACATGAAGAACCTGCGAAGCACCGGGCCGCCGCTGCTGCAGCTCGGCGCGCTTGTTGGCCTCACGGTGGTGGTGGTGGTGGACGGGGGCGTGGTGGTGGTGGTATACGGGGTGGTGATGACCTTCACACCTACGGACACATGACGAACATCTTTGAAGGAAGGATTGTGTGTGGAAATCTAGTAATTAAAGAGGACTCAAAAAACAATTAATAAAATGTATACTTTATTATTTTATTTTATTCCTTTACCTCAAATCTTTTTTTTCACTAGATGAATATCGTGTGTCACGGTGTGGGTTCATTTTCCTGTCTTATTTTGTAGTTTCTGCTTCTGGTCTCCCTGGGTAACTTCACTTCCTGCCTTGTCCTGTCATCCCCTGTGATTGTCTGATTGTTTCCACCTGTGTCCAATCACCTGCACCTCCCTAGTGTATTCAAGCTGTGTGTGTCCCTTGTCACTTGTCGCGTCATTGTCTATTGTCTATATGCAGCAGCATATGTGCAAACCAAAATAAACACTATACAGACTATGACATTTGGCCTTTTGTGTGTGATTATCATCAAAGTACACATCCACATTTGCAGACCTTCTGGCTGACAACTACCATGTGGAGAAGAAGAGAGATGGAACCAGAACTCACCCTGAAGCTCCACGTCAAACTCCTTGGTGACATTTCCCAGCAGGTTGACCACTGAACAGGTGAACTTCCCCTCATCCGACACAGTGGTGGAGTTGATAGTCAGAACGTCGGCATGGGCGGCTTCCCTTCTCCCTGACGGGTACGTCCAGGTGTACGTGGGGGGGGGGTTTGCTACAGCCGAGCAGTTCAGTCGTAGAAGTTCTCCTTCCCGGACTCTGATTGTATCTGGGTGTGATGATCCCTCCAGATGAGGCTGATCTGTTGATTTTTGATTGAGTTGTTACAAAATGTAATAACTGTAACGTGGGAACATTTTGGTAATGTTCCTCTGCAGGTTGATGTTCTCTGCTCAGACTCACAGTGCACAGTAGCAGTGATGTTTTGTGACGTCTCCACTGGAGGGAGCTTTGGTCCTTCAGGTCCCAGTTCCAGCTTGGCTTCACACCAGTACTGAGCTCCATCTTCTTCTCTACCCGGGCTGATGTCCACACTGAAGTTCTGAGTCACTGGTTTCGTCCCTGTGCTGTTGATGGACTGTGGTTGACCCAGTGCTGTCTGTCCTCTGTAGAAGGTCACACGGAGGTCCTTAACAGGAGCCACGTGCTCTACTGTACACTGCAGAGTGTACTGACGCCCCTCCAACATCGGCCCAGTGAGGTTAACAACGCTGATGGACACTTTTTGTGGAGGTTCTGTGGGGACAGACACACGCTTAGAAACAAATATCAAAATCCCAGAGACGGTTTATTGCTCATTTAGATGTTTCTAACTCACGGTAGACAGTAACAGGCAGGAAGGTACAACACTGGTGACCAGCATCATCACTATAGAAACACAATGACGACACCGACCACTCAGTCAGTGAATCGACTGTCCATGATATCGTGGTTCCGTCCTTCGTCTTGTCTCCCGCGGGGCTTTCCACACCATATTGGTTGTTGACACAAGCGGGCTCACACACAGAGCAGTTGGCAGAGGTGGGGTCACCAAACTTCACCACCAGACTGGATGGAGTGAAAACTGGTTTATCTGCACAGTTTGTATCTGTAACGGAGACAAGGAGGTGGTTTTAAACCGCTTGATGAGTAATTAGTCAGATACTTATAATGTATAATCCGTCCCAAGAATATATTGATCTATAAATAAAATAAACACAAGACTGATTAAGACTTAAATGCACCTTTGGTCCAATTGGTGTTTCCTCTGTGGGGGCACCGCGCCCTCCCAACAAAGTCTGGATTTTCTTTTTCATTTACAACTCATTACACGTGCGCGCACACAGACACCAGCGAGCAGCGAGCGCGCGTCCGCCCTCAAGAACCAACGGGAAACTTCAGACTAAACACGTCTCTTTACAATGTTCACCCGCTAGAAAACGCTTCCACAGAATAGAGCCACTAGAATTATGATTCATTAAAAAACATGTAAAATCATTTCTTTAGTCTAGAAATAACAAAATACTAAGAACTTAAATGAAATTCAAAATGACGACTGTCCAAAGATATCATTTAAGTTAAATAGAATTCAAGGATAAAGGCACCGGACAGAAAATTATAAAACCTTTCATATTATTTAAGTACGTCTTGAAAGTGAAGCTGCTTTTAAGGTTGCACAACCAAAATGTACAATATATATATATATATATATATATATATATAAAATATAAAAATCTTGTTTTTTAAGGCTGTTCGAATAGAAAACTCCCCACTTACCACAAGCGGACACATGGAATCTGTGCAGGAAACTCATCGAGGAAACGACCAGAATAACTAAACGGGCAAACATCATCCCAAGTCCTTTTCTTTAGATAAAAAATAAGAACCAACATAAAACCCAGAGGCTCCTGGAGAAACACTGAGTGCGCTCTGCTTTTCCTGGTTTTATATCGCAGTCAAACAATGTTGGCAGGCAGCCGGTCTTCATCTCTGGCTGCGTCCCAATACTCCTAATGGTTCCTAACGGCTCTTATTAAGGCAGCCACTTACAGGACTTTCGGCTCATTTCACTCCGTCATGAACCGTCCTAAGCAAAGAGGACTATTCGGATGCACCCAAAGTGGAGGCCGATATTTTAACTACTGCGTAGTTTGTTCTGAATTCTGCTTTTTTTTACTATTTCAGCTCCTGTTTTTTTTTTAAGTTTTGGAATTTAGTCTACATAGTCTCACGAAAGTGTGGTACTGTGTACTCAAAGATCTCCAGACTTGTACCACACCCACACACACACACACACACACACACACACACACACACACACACACACACACACACACACACACACACACACACACACGTTGGGTATTTCAGGGAGACAATGTAGAGGAAGTTTTGTTTCTACTCCTTATGAGCTGTGAGCAAACATTCCTCAGCTTCCCGGAGATTTTTATCGCTCAGGTTCCTGCGAGCGCTTTGAAGTGTAAAACACGTCTTCTGCATCAGAGCTCGTACCTCAAACCCATGGAGCCAAATCCAGGTCAAAAGTTTTGATCATTTGAAGAAACAAATGTGAACCTGAAAGTTGTTTTGTTGTTGAACATTGAAAAATACAACAATGCATTAAATGAACAAAACTTCTGACCTGGATTTGGCTCCATACAAACTGCCTTATTAGTTACAACTTGTTTGTTTTTTCTCTCAGAAAACAGCAGCAGGACGACACAATCTGAATAGAGAGAGTTCATTTTAACAGTGGATTCATAATACGATCATGATGGTTGTGGCCGATTTGAACCTTCTTCTTTTACTGTGTATTTGAAAAAGGAATTTGTAGGAACATTAAAGGATTTTTTGGGGGGGGGGGGTTGTTTCCTGTCGCGATGCGAGGATCCTGGGACACTGAAGTGTGTTCTTAAACTTAAGGGATACACACATTTCTGGTGCCAAATAGTGAATGTAAATACAAAATTAGTTTTTAAAAAAAAGAAAAATTGCTCCGTACTTTGAACATAACTTGTAACAAAGACCCAGAGAATGTATCCACTGAGCAGTGCAGCAACGCGTGAACGATGAAAGATCGTGAGACGTGTAGAACGTAACAATGTAACACAATGCACTTTTAATCATTTTGAAAAAAATATGTTGTATACAAAAAAGGAAGGTAGAGCTGTTTGTCTTAGAATGACTTTATTTGGATTCCGATGGGAACAACAGATAAACATACAAAGAATGTAAAAAAAAAGAAGAATCCTCGTAAAAGTAAAATCTGTCCCGAAGGACCCGTTGACACGGAACATGAAGCATTATTCAGGTCGGGGAGGACGTCCACTGCGTGTAATGGGTGTGGCGTTCCTCGGGTATCGCCTTGCCGAGCCGCAGCAGGCAGCTGATGGTGGGCTCGTAAAACACCAGACCCGGGTCCTCCACCGGGGTCTCCGCGCTGGTGGTGTGCACGGCGAGGGAGAACAGCGAGGCCTTGGGAGGTCTGGACAGAGTGTTCCTCGTCACACAGCCCAGCTCGATGAGCGCCTGCGGAGGAGACGGTTAAAAGCGTCGGCAATTCAACCTTCCACCTGCTCATTTCCCGGGTGTCGACTCCTACCTGCAGCAGGTCCAGCACCGCCATCGGCTGCAGCTTGTCCTTGTAGTGCTCCACCAGCGTCTGCTGCGTGAGTCCGGGCCGGGACATGACGTGGTACATGACGGCCTCCAGCATGAACTTGCACACCTGCCGGTTCAGGTTGCCGTCGACCATGCGCCACGGCCGGCTGATGAAGCTCCGGTTGCTGCTGTGTGGGGGGGGTTGGGGGGGGGGGCGAGACGGCGAAGGTAGATGAACACACAAGGGGACGGGGGACAAGGACGTCGTTACCTGTGATTAGATAACCGGCCACTTACGGGTCATCGGCTCCGGCCGCAGAGCCCGCCGCTTCCTCCCCCGCGCCGTCGATACTCTTCAATCGGACTCTACGAAGTTTCCTTTCTGGCCGCCTTCCTTCCGTCTCCGCCGCCTTGCGCTCTCCGTCCTCTCCAGGCGGCGACGGCTTCCCTCCCTCCGCTTCCGGGTTGGGGGATTCGTCTGCACCCCCCTGGTCCGCCCGCTCCCTCTGCCCCCCCGGCTGCTCTTCCTCCCTCAGAGCCTCTTTCGTCGCGTCACCCGATGTTCCCCCGGGTCCGTCCTCGCCTGCCGGTTCGACCGGAGGAGATTTTTTCGCAGGCGGCTCCCCGGCCTCCTTTGGCGCTTCTCGCCTGGATCTCTTGCGCAGGAAGGGGATCTTGTGCCCTTTCTGCAAAAAGGGGAGTCTGTCGCAGGCGGTGCTGGAGTTGGACCAATGCTTTGAGTTCACGGTCAGCAGCCACGGGTCGGCGTGCTGCAGGAGCACCCAACGGGCGCCCAGACCCCCGACTTTTGACACCTGGCCTTCTTCTTCCAAGTCCTGCATGTACTTCTGCAGGCTGCGGGTGCGTCCGGCCCGCGGCTCCTCCAGGTGTTGGTGCCCCCGGTGGAGGTCGCCCACGTCCAGGCCATTCTCACCAGCTGCAGCCAAGCTGCTCCGGAGCTGCACACACGCTTCGATGTCCTGAGCAGTGTAGCCCCTCTGCTGGGTCAAACGCGCGTGACACTCCTGCAGCTCGCCGGGAGACGGCGAGGAGGAGCAGCGGGTGAAGGCGGTGAGGACGGAGGGCAGCTGGCGCACGCCGCTTTTTCTCAAGTCCAGCGGTGAGATTCCTAACGAGGAAGGAAAACAACAACAATTGCTCCCTGCAGATTAAATCACCGTCTGTGTGTGTGTGTGTGTGTGTGTTTCGTGCGTTGACTCACTCTCTTGAGGGAACAGGTGGTGAGCAGGTGTGTCGCGCAGCTTCAACCGCACAAAACACGACTCCACCACGATGCTGTCGGTGGTGTTGAGGTTACGTAGTTTGACTGGAAACGAAGCAGAACCTCCATCACTTTCCTTACCGACCAACTAAATAAACATTTATTGAATTTACTGAATCAATAAACTGTTGCACCAGGCGAGGAAAACATTCGCTCCATTGTTATAAAGAAACGGTCTCCACCTATGCCAGGGGAGCGGTGCCCGCGCATCATCAGGTACTTGGTGTGAGACGCCTGTGACTTCACTTCTAGCTTCTTCTTCCCGTCACACTCTTCAGCATCATCTTCGTCGTCGTCCTCCTCTTCTTCCAAAGCGCCGACGCTGGAAAACAAAACGTTTCCCTCAACATGATCTTGCCAACAGTGTTAAGAAGTAGTCCATCAAACTCCTCCGGGAGACATTTAATACGCACGCCGTACAAAAAAAGACATAATAAAAACTCACCTCTTGACGAGGCTGGTGTCCAACAGGTTACTGTCCACCACCACCATCTGTCTGGGTACGGAGACGAGGACGCTCAGCAGTCCCAGAGACATCAGGCTGAGAGACACGGCGCAGCCTCCGTCCGCAGAGTCCATGGAGAAGAACATCATGTCCGACACATCCGGAGACTCCTCCCCTGTGGGCGGGGCATCGTCCGCCTGCTCCCCGCCGGGTCGCTCTTCAGCAGGACCAGCTGGGAGACCCTCCGCCGGGGTTTGCTGGTCGTCCGCTTCGCCCGGCGCCTGGGTTTTCTCGCTAGTCGCCTCCTCCATCGCCTCCTCCGCTCCCGGCGCGCCGGTTCGGTCGCCGTCGTCGTCGTCGTCTCCTTCCGTCGCGGCGTCGACGATTGCCGCCTGCGCTTCCCCCACCGGTCCTCCCTCGTCTTTCTTCCTTTGTTTCTTCCCCGAGGCCGCTCGCTTCTCCGTCGCTTCCTCGCCGCTCGGTGACCGGTTCACGGTCTCGTGGAAGAACTCGACAGCGGGTCGGTCGTCTCCCGTCCCGTTGCGGAGGAGACCCCTCAGGAAGCGGAGGGAGTTGCTGACCAGCGAGTGAGGAAAGCGCCACGAGAAACACCTGTCGGGAAGGAGAGAAGGAGGAATTACTACAAACATAAGGAGGTAAATTAAAAGAGAAAAAAAAGGGAAAATAATCTGTTTTTGTGGAACTAGTTGATGTTGATGAGGTAAGTACACAGACCACCATCCTCAATCAACACATCAGTTTAAATGAATATTATATTAAATATGTTGCAGTCTTTAGTAGGAAGAAGGGACTTTTAAAAAAGGGAGCAACTACTGTGAAGCTTAGAAACTGTATTTAGGGCCCAGCTGCCGAAATGTTGAGGAATAACACAAAGAAAAGGTCCCGGGTACCAGCAGCATTAAGGTAGCGTATGCTTAGAAGACTCTTAGTTTTCACTACATTTGGAAGGAGAAGTGGAAGCTCTTATTGTGGAGAACCAGGAAGTGTTGTCGTTGTTGAGCAATGATTTATTTGTTCATAGCTGTGATACTGCAGGGGACAAGAAAATCCAACATGTAACTGCTCTTCTACAAGTAATATTTACTTATTTCACCGCTTGGAACAGGACTTTGTTTAATCCTGTAGTTCTAAATAAGTCCAAACCTATGGAATAAATGAGGGTACAGCCGTCTCCCGCATGCTGTGACGATACATTGTGAGTGAGTCGTACCGGTGGTAGGAGTGGGACAGCTGGTAGGACATTGGCAGGAAGGGCAGCGCGCGGTTCTTCTTCGGCCCGAACAAATGATGGATGCGGCGGCGGTTGACCAGACCCCTCTTCCTGAAACGGATGAAGATCTGGCACAGCAGCTCCTGCTTGTACTGACTGTACATGTGGAAGGTCTGAGGAGAGCGCGGCAGGTTAGTCGGAGGGGTTTCGTACCGCACAGCGTCGGATGAAAGGACGACGGGTCACAAGAAGCAGCTCCTGTGTCATTTCCTGTTTATTTCTATTCAATGGTGGTTTAACACTCAAGTCTATATTTATACGTGAAGCACTTTGTTGCGCCGTGAGCATGAAACGTTTATTTTGGTGCAAAATTCAAAGATCAGACCATTAAAATATTATTGTTCCCCGTTTTATCGCCAACTGCACCTCGAATGAACGTGAGGAGCTAAAGCAAAGATGGCCGCACCTGAAAGGACCGGGACGACTTCATCTGAGCGTTGGTCATGGCCAGAGTGCTCTGGATCAGGTTTTCTAACACGAGGGTATGAATGTCATCCGTGCTGCAGTGGACACAAACAGACAAACAATCAACCACAACAACTCAAATGTGTCGATATGAAGAAAATCGGATCCTCACCAGTTGAGGGTGTCTTTCCTCGCCACCTTCCTCACGCTCTCTATCGCCGACACCTTGAACCTGCAACACACACACACACACAAACGTTACATCCTGCATTCAGCCTCCTCTTCCTCCTCCTCCTCCTCCTCTTCTTCTTACCGTGAGAAGAGCTGTGGTTTTGTGTCCGGTATGACCAAATCCGTGGTGCTCAGAACAGATCTGAACTTCTCCCTGAGCAGTCTGGCATACTCAGAGAACGACTTAGCACAATCCTGAAACAACAGAGGCAGAAATATGACACACACACACACACACACACACACACACACACACACACACACACACACACACACACACATCAGAGAGCTTCAAAGACACAACGCACATCTGAGTTCTCCGGATCAGCAGGTTTCTTGGACTCCAACAGTTTCATCAGAGGTTTGTCCTGGTACGCCTCAGCCAGACAGATCCTAAAGGACACAGCTGTCAATCAAACTGCACTCCTTATGTGAGGGGGGGGGGGGGTTGTTTTGTATCATTAGGACCTACCTGTAGTTCAGAAGAGTCTGCGGGTTTTTCAGGATGTATCGGGTGCGGCGCCCGACGGCGACGGACGTTTTATCCATCGATGTCTCGTACTCGGCCTGGAGGAGGTCTCTCACCACACAGTACGGCACGTACGGCCTTTTTAACTGGAACGAGGACACACAACTGGTCAGGACTTTTAGGTGCTTTGGTAGAATGTTCGCCACATCTGAATTGATATCAGCCCCTTAAAAGCATTTCAGTCTGCTTCTGCCATCTCTGAACTCCAATATAAAACCAGGGGGGATTTGTCACTGCCCATAAAGCGGATGAAGAGGCCTCTACCAGGAGAGGTTCCGTTAGAAACCAGCGCTTTGTGCGGCGGCGTGTGCGTACTTTGCTGTTGAGCAGGTGTGCGGCCACCCGGCAGAGCATCATCAGCGAGTCCTCCTGCACGGACCAGTAGACCCGCTGCCGGGTCATCATCTTTATGGCTCGGTGGTCCGCCTCGTCGTGAGCAGGGGTGCGCTTCTTCGGCTCTTTTAGCCCAAAAAAACAAACAGAAAAATAAACACACACACACACACACACACGCAGTCGGACGGGCACGCGATCTTCAATCGACCCTCTCCGGTCTCTCGTCTTTTACCCTTATTCTTGCGTGGAGCTTTGACCGCCTGCTGTTTGATTCTCTTCCTCTTCTGTTTCTTCCCTCCGACCACCCGCTTGTTTCTGGTCGCCGGCTCGACACCCAACTGGTTAAAACACACACACACACACACACACACACACACACACACACACACACACAGAGGTTCCTGTGAGCTCTTTGCCCTCAGCTGGATGTTAATAGAGGCTGAACTGTTCGGATGAGATCAGAGTAATAATGTCCTATTATTCTGTGCATCACATTACTACCAATGTTCAGAAAACACACACAGCTCAATCAACAAAACGGACTAGAACCGTCATGAAGGGTCCTAGAAGGGACGTTTGTGTTAGACTACGTCGGTTTTATCTGGGTGTAGCTCATATATATTGAAAATAAAACAAATAAAAGAGCCATTTGAAGGCATACCGTCACAATCTCTGTAATCAGCGGCCTCTTGTTGGTCACGTAGCGAGGTGCAGTCGTTCCCCCTGTCACACACAGACGCACAATCACTGCTTCGTGAGTGACGTTTTCTTTTGGAGGAAATCAGATTTTTTTAAACTTTAAAACAAATCTCTAATCTCTTAAGCGGCAACTCACCGGCTTTAAGCACAATCCTGAAAGCGTTTCTGGTCAAGAGACTCTTCAGGCGGATTTTGTTCTCCTTCGACACGCTACCGGACGGGGTCTGCAAAACAAAACAACCCCACACAAATAGCAAAAGATAGATGGTCACAACAATTGAGCCCCGTTCGATATCGCCGAGTCTTCCACATACAGACGCTCACGAACCGATTTGGACATCAGAAGGTGATTGGTCCACAGCCAGTTGCGTTTCAGATGAGCGAAGAATTCAGAGTCCAGACCTGCGGCTCCTTTCCCGTCTCCCGGTGTCGACCAGTCGTCAGACACCTCACGGGAGCCCCTGTGTGTGTGTGTGTGTGTGAGATACACATCTCATCAATGCTACACACAGGGCTGGATTCACATTACTCCAATTATATGATTTTCGGTTTCTCATATTTGTCCCCTTCTTCTATAAAGCACTTTGAATTTCTTTGTTGTTATAAACATTTAAAAACTGCTTTTACAGAGTAAAGAGACATCAGACTTACTTTAGCAGGTACGCCAGTCCCGCAAACACGTGGCGTTCATGCAAAAAGGAAGGTGCCGTTTCATTATCTGCGCTTCTCTTACTGCGGACTATCCCTGAAGGAGCAAACAGAGTGAGACGTCATTTGTTTTGTGGTCACCGGTGCTGGGAGTGATTTTGCTTTCACGTGTGTGTGTGTGTGTGTGTGTGTGTGTGTGTGCGCTCGTACCCAGCGGCGTGTTGAGGCAGACACACATCAGGTCAAACCAGTAGTTCTCTACGTCTTCCGAGGTGTTAAACGTGTACCGGCGCCTCTCGAAGGGTTTCTCAGGCGACTCGGTGACGAGCCAGTAGTGAGGGTCGGCGCTGGTGGTGTCGACGATGGTGGCGTGCCGCCTCAGGTACACAAACACCTAGATTAGGGCAGATGTTTGAGACGCGTGGAAAGAGAATTCACTTAATCTGGCTCAAGAAAAGAAGCTTTTCTTTCTTGACGCTTGGGTTGAAACGCATGGAATAAATAAATGTGTTCTGTCCGTATTCTCCGTGCGGTGTGGATGCAGCGTACCTGGTCTTTGTCCGTGAACTTCTCCACAGGACCAAACAGCAGCAGGCCCATGTAGACCAACTTCTGCAGGTTCACATGGAACGAAAAGATGTATCTCCTGAAGTAGAAAACACACAAATGCTCCATTTAGAATCAACAACAATCAACAGGCAGGAGGGCGGGGGGGCGGAGGTGGGTTGGGGGGGGGCGAGGGGGCGTCACCGTTTGTAAAGCAGCTGTCTCTTCATTCGGGCGGGCAGCGCTCTGATCAGATGGTGCTGCTTCACAGGGTCGCTGAGATATTCCTCCAGTCCATCCACCTGTGGGCACAAGTCAGCGAATGTGTCTCTATCTCCTGCATGTTTCATCCTCTACGTGCTGCAAGATGCACATTCCGTTTGTTATTGAAACATTTTTAATATAGGAAAGCTTAGACTTTAGGAACGTGCGTCAACATTATTGGTTTGTTTGAGCAGCGTTGAGTTATTTAATGGTGCGCACAACAAAGGCTGTCAAAGTAAATAAATAAAACTATTCACGATGGAATCAATTAAATCCCAGAATAGTATTTTAATAATGCTTTAATTCAAAAATCCATAACCTGTAGACCCGAGAAGATCCTTGAAAACGTTTCCCTCACCTTGTAGTTGACCTGTATGACTTGAATGAAGATGGAGAGCGGCATGCAGAGGAGCAGGTCGCCCACCATCGCCCAGCCGCTGATGAACCCCTTGTGAACTCGCACAGGAGGAACGAATTTCTTCCAGGTATCTTCATCGGCGTACACTATCACAGCCGGGGAGAACATGGTGGAACAATGGAAGGGTTTGGACGGGGAAAGAACACAGAGAGAAATTCTTACGTGTACCTGATGTGTGTGTGTGTGTACGTGATTTCTAAACAGAATGCGGGGCTCAAAGAACCTCAGCTCAGACCCTTTTACTACGCGCGGCGCCCGCTCACCTTTCAAGTCGGACTGAGGCCGCGCAGACGTCGCTTTGTCCTTCACCTCCTCTTCATCGTCCGACGATAACGCCACGTCCAAGTCGGCCGCGGTGGAATCGGCGGGCTGCCCCTCCGGCGGCCGCGCCCGTCCGTTTGCGTCCGCCGGCGCCTTGGCATCGGAGCCGCTGGCGTCCGCCGGCGTCCGAGCGGCGGGCCGGACGTCGGTGGGGTCGTTTATTGCCGGGTGCCCGTAGATCACGTGGCAGAGGAAACTGTGAACAACTTGCAGGCGATGCATCTTAGGCTGGAAACCCAGCGTCTTGCCCAACCCCCGAACTGCAAAGGCAGAGAGAAGAACGACGGTGATTTAGAATTCATTGTTGCTTTGCTTCTTCCAGATTACAAGCCTTGCAGCAGATTCTTCTACTGCGCCCGTGACCCCCCGACCTGTTTTGGGCCTGAAATCGTCTTCTTTTCTCTTGTCTCTGGGTAGGTTTTCACACGCGGCGCCCTTGGCGTCCTCGGGCCCCGGGCTTTGTTTACTGGCGTCCTCTTCCTCGTTTTTCCGTCTGCGGGACGAGCGCCAGTCAAAAAGACAAAAGTCAAAAAAGGAGACAAACGCCGGGAGAGCAGCGACCGTGAGACGTCCCCCCCCCCCGCCGTGTTTCAGGGTTTGTGCTCACCGTACAGCCGAGTAAGAGCTGGAGATTTTGAAGCGGACCTGTTCGATGACGCCCCTCACTACGTCATCGCTGGGCTGGATGGACGGATGAACGATCATCTCCAGCTGCAAGAGGAAGATCATCACACGGCGAGAAGGTGGACGTAGGAACAAGAGTTGGGTGGCCTTCTCCTAGTTTTTGCATTTACTTTTATTCAGTACTGTACCGTGAGTGGACCTCATACTCTGTCTTTACAAGACATCATTATGCACAACTAACATCATTTCAGTTTCACTATTCGTCTTACTGTTAAAGATGTCATTCATTTATTATTCTTCGCTTTGTTCTCAACAGTAATATTCTGCATGAACAGCATTCTGTTCAATGAAGGCGACGTACCTTCTTGTTGATCCCGTCCTGAACGACGGTGGTCTTGTACACCTTCAGTAAACCTTCCCTGGACAGACCGTCCACGAGACGCACAACAGTCTTCCTGCAGCACTTTGTGTTGAGCCCATTCTTCTTCTCCTCTTCATTGATTATCTTTTGAAGCCTAAAAGGAAGACATCAGGTTGCCTTTACATTTTTGGTTAGTGGGCAATAAAATCATTTGGAATTAAATTGGGAGAGTTCAGATGTCTTGGGGGTTGAATAAAGTATTAGTTTTCTGAGAACTGAAGAAGCTTTTTTCGTCCACTTTCTCCTCAAAGCCTCCCGGGGGCATTGAATATTAAAACCAAGGCACCATATAAATAAGTTCCTCATGCAGGAGATCCCCCTGTGGGTTCAAATGATGATGCATTCAAGGTAAACCCACAGGAAAAATCCCTCGACGATTTTGAAGGTGCGGACCGCCTCGATGATGAGGTTCCTCCTCCGCAGCAGGCGGTACGTCTCGTGAGATCTCGCCAGATACCGACTGGATTTTTCGCGAGTCTGCGGGAAGACGATGGAACACTCATCCCCACGGATCGAAAAAACACAACAAAAAAAAACAGTGGAAGAAATCCCACCGACCTGCGGCTTGCAGACATCTGTAACAAGCTCAATGTTGGTGTCGTCTGGATTATCGGCGGCGTTCAGCCCCTCGAGTAACGAACTGGATTCATCCTCCTTAAAGAGAGCTGGTTGGAAAAAGAGAAGAATCGAATATAAAAACACTGCTGTATAAAAAAAATAATAAAAAAAGGTGTCCAGTCCAGCGACACGGAGGCACATTTCCACTTTAACATCTGTTATAATTTTAAAAAGACAAACATTCTCCCAGAAAACCAAACGTTTGCTCACCTGCTCGCGGAGTGGACTCCGAGTCGGGCGTCGCGCTGCTGGTGCTCTCGCCGCTGGCTGGAGTTTCACCTGAGCGAAGACAGAAAATGAAGAAGTGTGATGAAGTATGGAAACCAGGTGCTCTTGATGGATCCATCTGTGTCCTTGTTAGTTTGTAATGAACGCCCTCGCGGTGGAAGGTTGGACGAGTGCTCACATTCGGCCGGTGAGGTCCGCGCGGCCGCCGTCTCAGGTTGACTAGTTTTCACGGCGCTTTTCCTTCCCGCCTTCTTTCTTCCAACTCCCGACTTTCTTCCCGCTGCACCTCCCTCTCCGTCCAAGCCTTCACCGCTTACATCCGCTGCTTCTTCTCCGCCGCCGCCGCACGTCCGCCCGGCCTCCTTTGCGTCCTTGTCCTCGTCTCCTCCTCCTCCGCCGGCTGTCTGAAGCTTCTTTGCCGCTCGGGGTTTGGCGTTTACGGCCCCTTTCGACGTGGAGGCTGGCGGAGTTTCCGGGCCGGGAGGTTCACGCTCCGATGTCTGCGGCGACGAGTAAAGAAGCTTCTTCCGCTCCTGCTCCTTAGCGACCATTTGGAGTTGGTTACTCACTCCCACGCACCTGTCGAGGGAAGCGAGCGGAACCACGTGCGATTATTTTACACTATGGGGGGGTTTAATATTAGAACTTTGCTTGTTCATAGACACACACCTGTGGCTGATGTATCTTGTGGTCCGTTGTCGACCCTCATCCACCATGAATCCCTGCAGGAGGATCAAAGTCACACATTAAAAGTTATTTTCCGGAAAAAACGCATTCACAATGTGAATCGGGTTTTTGTATAAACCACTTGACTCCTTTTAACTCTCAATTTTGGGAAACATTATGAAAATCGCTGTGTTACACACCACGGTCATTTGGACAGAATGCTTGCAGTGCATATAACATTAACACCGAGTGTCAGGAAAGCAGTTTGATAGTCAAAAACTATTTGAGGAAATGTATTGAAACATGTCAGCATGATAAACACGGCTAAGGGTGCAGGTCTCACCTTAATCAGTGCCTCCCTCTCCAGCCTTCGACAAATCATACGAGATTCCAGCCGGCCGACATTCATTCTCAGCCCGAGATCCGTCTGTTTTATTCCCTTTGAGCCGGCGGATAACACTGCATTACAAGCGAAGAGCGGAGGCGTTAGCAGAGCAGGCCATTTGTTTTTAAATGGACTCGAGGGTGAAGTGCTGACAGAAGCCTCATCGTTGTCCTACTCTACGACGCGTGGCCCTTCTAGGCAATAAGCTACTAAACGTTGGTCTTTTTGTGTCATTCACAGGTTCCTGGTCTCACTCAGACTTCTCAGGGACAGAAAAGGCTTCACTGCCGTCGCCACAGCATTTGAGCAACGTGCTGAAGGAAGTAATGATATCAAGAAAGAACAATGTTGTCCCAAAGGTTTCACAGAAACTGAATTTTTTGTTTTTATAAAACGGGTGAATCTGTTTTGTTTCCTTGTGTATTTGATCATTTTTCGGTCGGTTTTATTAAGAAAAATAACGCATAAAATGACTTAAAAGTTGGTTGTTATTTCCTCTTTGCTCGCATGTGTGAATCACTCTGTGACCCAACGAAAAGAAATAAAAAAAAAAAAAAACGACTGACGTGAGGCCGCCAAGTGAAGCTGAAAGCAGAGCAATGGAACCTACCGATGTGATAAGCCTGCGTAAGGACGTCGGTCTCCATGATGCGCCCCTCCAGAGGGAGAGCTCTATTGGCGTAATCTTCGTCGTCGTCCTCGTCGTCGTCGTCAGCGACGCCCTTCCCTGCGTACGGCTTCACCTGCTTCAAACAACGCACGAGCACCTTCTTCCCTGCAGGGCAAAGTGAGAGGATGCAGTGCATCGGTGAGGCGCGGGGGGGGAGAAATGCTGCGAGTTCAACGGATGTTCATGCACACAAGCAGTTACTCTTAACACGGGAACCACTGACCAGCTGGTTAATGAGCTTGTGGGGAAAGTGACCTATGAAATATATATGGAAATAACTATATTTGTATGTCAAGTTACGAAAAAAAGAGACTTTACTTTTTACCGGAATATATAAATATATCATTTTGATATGTTTGGGTCACCAGAGTGTAAAATAGTAACCTTTCAATCAACAATTCAAAGAGCAGTAAAGTGATCTGCAGTATTTTGATAATTGGTTCATCATCCGATCATTGTTCAGCCTTGGTTTCATGAGGTGCTCGTACGTTCCGGTGACTCAGCGGCACGTTTACCTGATTTGTTGGTGCAGGGCCCGGCTTCGGGGTCCAGGTCCTCCAGAGGGTACTGGCAGTGCTCAATCAACTTGGCAGATCGCATGTATCGAATTAAAAGCCTAAAGCTACGTTCGTTGATGCTCTGTAAAGAAAACACACACGGTAAGTATTCGCTAACAGAGAGGCGACCGCACGCACGCACGGACCGGCCGACGGACACTCACGGAGAGTTGTTCTTTGAGAACCAGCACGCTGACAAAGTGACCAGGCGACTGCAGGAGGAAGTTGGACACGTACTCCATTAGCATGTCGTACTTCGTCCTCCTGAGAGAGAGAGCGGAGACGGGGTTAAGGAGGACGGATGAGGACGGATGAAAAACAGAAGTTTGATACAGAACCCGAGACGTCACTCGACTCAAATTAGAGGAATAGAAAGAGGGAGGTACAGGCTCCTCCCCCAACCACCTCTCTATTGGTGCACAGCGGCGTCGAGACACAAACAGACCTGTTCACATGGAAGCGTTTGAGCAGCAGAAGAATGGAGTGTTGCTGCTGCCCTGAATGCGCCCGCGTGATGTGGGACTGCATGGTGATGAGCCCGTGTTTGACCAGCGCCTTCCGCATGTAGTGCAGCTTCCCGGCGTCGATCCTGTAGAGACACAACGGCGGGCTGTTGTGAGATCGGGCGGTAGAACGGAGGTGCAGCGGAGACGGCGTTGGCGTGCGGGTGCGTCCGGTACTTGAAGGTGCTCCCGTGCAGGTCGCTCTGGAGCTCGCCCTGCCAGCGGGCCCGACCCACGCGCTCCAAGACGCAGAAGGAGAAGTCGGTCAGTTTCAGATCGGGGTCGCTGTCAATTCCGATCAGGGCTCTGAATCGCAGCATCTGGGACGCCACGACGACAAGCTTACGGCCGTATCTGTGGAATAAAGGGGAGGGGGGTCAGATGGGGTCAGGTGGAGAGTGTCTTTGGAACACGTCTCTACAAACCTTTCCAAAGCCTCCGGGAGGTCGAGCAGCGGGGCGAGGGACTTGGATCGGACGTGCTGGGTGACGTCTGTCCTCTCTTTGAGGACCGCGCACGAGCCCTGTATCCCATGCTGGTTTTCTGGAGTAATACTGATGGGGTAGACGTCTTTTGGCGCGTCAGAAAACGACATTCTCCTTTCAATGCCCGTGTCTGGGTCGATGTTTTTGAACCTGAAACGCACACCGTCCACGTGCATGGAATCACAAACCATGCAACAGCTTATATAGAATACAGGGACACAGATAGTGGTGCTTTCTAATAGCGGTGTCCGTTGTGTTGGTAAATCCGGAACTATAGTTCATGTTTTGGGGTCGGTTTAACTAGAACGACATGAGTCAAACAGAAAAGGATAAACTCACCTGTCAAACAGCTGCACGTCCCCTCTCTCCTGCGGCAGTTGGTAGAACTTCAGGTCGCCGTTGTTGAGGAGAGACCTCCAGAGGAAGTCTTTGGTGCAGTCGTCGAGCTTGAGGGGGAAAGCTGGCTTTCTGCCCTCCAGTCGTATCCAAAGAGAGGGAATAGTTATCCCGTCCAGTCCCTCCAAAGCCACCTCATCCACAACTATACTTAGCGGCTCCATAGCGCGCCACCACGCACACCGCCGCACTGGGCTAAAGCCGCCCGCAAGCGAACATGCTAGCTCGATAGTAGCGTTAGCTAACTGACGTTAGCAGCTTGTTGCGCGTTCATACGATTCGCCGGGTGGAATATCGAGTAAAAAGGATTATCTCCGTGCTGAATCTCGTTGGGTGAATTTACTTTAAAAGATTTAACCAAATGTGTTTACAAAACAACGCTTCCTCCGAATAACGTTACGTCGTGCATTTCAGCGTACGTGATGACGTCAGGTTTCAACGTTGAACTCACGTCGAAGTTACGTCTGAAAGCCACGAGGTGGAGTCCAAGTACAGTTAAAATAATTGTACGGGTTATTTTAGTGTTTTGAACGGGTACAGAAGATGAATATGTTCTCACACATTTTATTTAAAATGCTATCTTGACTTGTATATTACCAAATAACTGGCAACAACTTTGATAGCTTCTGTCTTATTGATATCCTGAGCAAAGTGGTAGAAATGGTAGAAAACTTCACATAAAAAATATACAATGATGTTTAATAGTTTAAATAACCCAACATTATATGAAGCAGTTTAAGAAGATCAGACGCTAAGGTTAATGATGATGGTGCACGTCTACGCAGCCATGATGGAGTCCATCCTCTGCTCCTCCATCACCGTCTGGTGCGCTGCAGCCATAGCCAAGGACAAGGGCAGGCTGCAGCGTACCAGACGCTCTGCAGAGAGGGTGACCGGCTGCAATCTGCCGTCTCTCCAGAACCCTGAAGCGAGCTAAAAAGATTGTAGCCGACCCGGACAAAGACTGTTTGTGACCCTTCTATCTGGCAGGAGGCTGAGGTCCCCTTGTTTATTCTATATCCCACTAGCCCATAGCCTTATATTTTATACTGTAGTTAAATTGTAAATGTGTAAATTGAACATGCCATGCCTTCTGTCTTGTTGTCCATCGTCTTACTGTCGGATGTTAAGCACCAACCGCAAAGTCAAATTCTTTGTATGTCTGACATATTTTGGTAATAAATGTTCCTGATTCCTGAAATCTAATTGTACTGATTTAGACTTTTGAATGAAAGACTTTACTTGTAATGGAAATAATGGGCTTGTGTCATTTAAAAATTCCCTCCACCACTAAAACTTCAAAATAAATGTAAATTCTTAACCTTCTATCCCAAAGAATTGTCCTACAATTGATTTTAATATAAGTTTTAATTATCTTCATAGAATTATATGGTATTTTGGACGCAATGTAATAGAAAAGAAAAAAAACAATCAACTTTAATCTTTGAATAGTTAATATTTCTGTATATAACCTCAAGAACTGCCTTTAGGGATAGTTGAGTATTTATAGATTGGTTGGAAATAATTCTTCAACTGCGCCGGAAAGAAATGGGCCCCTTTCAATTGACGACATTTATGACATGCAACAGGCAAAAAAACAGATGCAAACAATAAAATAAATTTGATTTAGCTGCTTCAGTTTCCTGGTACTGTGCTTATTGGCTCACCGGCAAACTGAAATAGACCAAAGTCATCATTAAAAGTTATTAGTACCACCTGTGCTTCTCCTACAATGAAAAGTCAAAATATCCTCCATGCAAACGACCCGTGGTGTTTAAAATGTCTTCACTTAGGACCAAAAAGAACAGTTAAAAAGGCATGCGAGGTACTACTTCAGTAAGGAAAATAAAGGTACCAGAGATCAAAGAAAAGGAGAGGACTGATTTATTTAACATCTTTATTATGAAGTACCTTTTTTTAAAAGAAATGTACAAGTGGAACCAGCACAGTGACATCTTGGCGTTTACCTTCGAAAAACAGAAACACCGTGGACATGTGGTGCGGGTCTGAAGACATATGAAATGATAATGTACATATTTACAGCAGAGGATCTATTAGAACAGAAGTGAGCAAGCATGACTGCAGCTAACAATACAACGGGTCCGACTGGAAATAAAAACTTTTAACAATAAAAGCATGGATTGGTTCAATAAAGATATTTTTCGAAAGGCACTGTGTTTCACACAAACTGACAACAGACGCAGTTGTTTGTTCTGTCCATTGAATCATAATCACAAGAAACAACAAATGTCGTCATTCAACTGTCCCTGGGCGTTCTAACAAATCAGATAAAATATATCAGAGGGCCGTAGCAGGTCGCACATGAGCATTAAAACAAAAATAGATAATTCAACTCATCAGGAAAACATTCCTTGTAAAGAACATGCTTGGTGATAATTAAAATTACACTTTTTTTTTTTATAAACAAATACATATCTAAATTTAAAATGTCGTATCGAAGGCATAATGGGTTGAAGTGAGGACTAATGTTTCCCCGATGTTTCCCTTTCTGGGCCGAAACCCAGGACAAAAAAATGTATTTGACATTCCTGCAAGACGTACAGTAGGAGCTCTTTGTTTGATGAACACATTCAATTAACTACCAGCATAGATAACACAAAACACTCAGGCCGACAGTTTGAGATCAATGCTGAAGACACGACATGATTACGGGACCGAAGGAGGCGTTTCCTTTGAGGAGATAGCTGGGAAACGCTTTTAAGAATAAAAAGTCAAAATTACATTAATCTCACATAGCTGGTGTGTGATAAGTGCACTCTCTGCTTCATGACGTAGTACTGATGCGAGAGGTTTGACATTTGGGGAAAATATGCTTTTTTTAAATTCATTTCTTGCTGAAAATGATACCGTGCTCATGTCTGCGTGTTAAACATGGACAGTCAGCAGCCGGTTAGCTTAGCTTAGCATAACGACTGGCAAGGGGCTAGCCTGGCTCCGCCCCCTACGAGCACCTTTAAGGCTCAACTATTTAAACAGGTTTAGTCGGCTTTACAGCTGCGAACTGTTTAAATAAATGGATTAAAAATAAATAGCAGCTATTTAGGTAATGCAGATTCGCTCTATTTCATCCGATGTGATGGAACTTTTGGTGGGAAAGAACTAGCAATTAAAAAGAAAAGTGAAGGGAAGACATTTTCTAAAACAATAGATTAAAAAGGCAAAATAAGTTGCAGTTTAACCGGTAAGTGTTTGATTATGTGTACAAAAGCCAAGCCAGCCTTTTGCCCGTTTCCAGTCTTTACGCTAAGCTAGGCTAGGCTAAGCTAAGCTAAAGAACTGTAGCCTGTAGCTTTGAATTTGCCAAACTGACACAGAAATTGTGTCAATTTTCTCACGGCAAGAAAAGAAAACCACTTCTCGACCGTCGAAACTGTTCGTTTAAGACGAGCAGCAGATGTTGACCTCTGGGAATCCGCAGGAGGGAGAAGATTCCCCCCCCCCCCCCATCTGCTCACGATTAAAGAAAAGACTTAATGGCCGTGGACGTGCACAGACAGAAACACGCATGAAGGCATACGGCACGCACGGTGTGCTCTTTGGCTGAGTTCAGGCGGACACGCCGCTCACCAACACGCTTCACATAAGCATTCTAGATAGTGATGGCACTGGCCAGGCAGGCAGGCACCTATACTGAGTACAGCCACATACGCAGTGTGGCATCAAAACATGACAGATGAGGTGACAGTGTGACTGTGGTCGAAGGAGGCGCACCATAAGTGTGTGCGCTGCTCTCTTTCATGAGGATTCTTGTGGGTGGGAAAAATAACATTTAAAAAAAAAAAAAAATGCATCGCAAACAGAACTACACACTCGCAGGTCAACAGTACAGAAGTGAGGTGCAAGGATGTATTTTAGAGATGGAGAAACAAAAAGGCTGCCCTGAAATCACTAATGAACTAGCTTCAAAACATACACAGTAATACAACATTAAGTGGAGATATAACAAAATACGGCTGCATTAATAAGTAATAGTACCTGCCTTGTACATACACAAATAAAATGAAACAAGTAGCTAGGATACTTGACTTATCAAAAATATGTAGCTTTGGTAAACAAGGTATGTGGAGAACTGTTGTCTGAACATGTTGATGCGAGATCACTACATGACATCTAGGAATCGAGGGTGAGAAGGTTTCTGTTTTGAGGCTACGAAGTCCGACGAGAGGAGAAGCGGACTAATGGTTCCGCTTCCCAAAATCGCCCCCGTCTCCTCCCCCCCCCCGTCACCAGCTGATGAGACAGCAGAAAGGCTGCGAGACTCCCCGAGTGGAACCGAGCCGCTTCCTTCACTGTCCCGAGCACCGATTTGAAACGTTTCCGTGGTAATGTAGCAGCATCGTGATGGTCTGCGGAGGGCCGAGGTGGAAGACTTGTTTATCCTCCCCCCCCGCCAGCAGTCCCCTCCCCCCCCACCCTTTCCCATCCATCGCAGTGGAAGACTGGTCGGACATCTGATTTCCAACAGCGCTCCTCGAGTATCCACGGCGGGGCCGAGACAGGGAGAAATCATCATGTCCTTTTCCTCGTCCGTTATGGCCGAGCTTCCCGTGGGTTCCATCCGGGGCGCCGACATCCAGAGAGTCCGTAGAAATCTCCACCTCCTTAATAAAGCGCGCCCCCACCGCCCTCCCTCCGTCACACATGGCTCCTTCCATCTTTCCACTTTCTTTTGTTCTTTTTTTCCCTCACAGCTGAACCTCCATCCAAACCCCAATGTTCTCTTTCCATCTCCTTTTTTCCCCCCCCTCATCTTAAATGACACCGTCCTTCGCCCCCCAATTCTGTGTCGCAAATTTCAGTCAACCTTCTCCACCTTCCCGATGATCTTCTCCTCAAAGATGGGCAGGATAGCGTCATCGTCACGAACCTCCTCGAACACCACGCCGCAGTCAAACTCGTCGCTCACTTTCTTAAAGTAGAACCTGCACACGCATCCAAGAACAGACACGGTGGATTATTAAGAAGCCAAGAATGTTTTTCCAAACCGCTTCAAAAAGGTGGTCGTCCCACCCTCACTGGCACAAACTATGTGTACTCTCTCACCTGTAATGGCCCTTTTTGGTAAGCAGCTCCTTGAACTGGCCCAAAGTCACCACACGGCCTTTGACCGATGTTCGGTACGGGATCGGCTCTCCACAAAAGTAGTAGGCCACCGTCATGTTCTCGCACACTTGCCGCTTACCAGACTTGTGCCTGAAAGGGAGGAGGAGCCGCGTCAGAACACTGGCGTGAGAATCCAGGCGAAAAGGTGAGAGACGGCCGCCTACCTCTGCTTGGCCTGCTGTACTGCGCTCCTCCTCCTCTCCTCCTCCAGCCTCCTCCTGGCCTCCTCCAGCTGGGTGAGCGGGTTGGGGGCCGGGTTGGGGGGCATGGCCGGGTCCTGGATGAACGGGTGCGAGGGCTGGACCTGGGTGGACGCCGAGCCGGGGACGGCGGGGGACACAGAGGAGGGGTTGTTGCGCAGCTGAGCAGACACCCACGGGTGCACGGCGCCGGGGCGCTCCACCGACGTCGGGCGCGGCGACTCGCTGCTGGGCCCCGTCCTCCTCGAGCTGCTGGTGCTGCCGCTGAGAGAGAAGGACGAGAGGAGGCGAGCGGGATGAACAACTAAAACCATCGAACCATTTCACGCGACCTCCCTTCGATCGGCGGCGGCGGCAGTTTGTGTTCATTATGAATAACTATCTTTTTGGGCAGGCACATGAGAAATGGGTTTGTTTTAAGTGCCGTTTTACGTGGATCAAATGTCGCTGTGTACATCTAACGGGGGGCGACTGGAGCGAACGTGATCAGCTGATCCCTTCAGAACGACGGTTTTACAGAGCGCAAAAAAATTAAAAACACAGTCGACTACTTGTCCAGCACAAGACGGCAGGGAGACCAATTTAGTGTCCTGCCGGTGAATATAGTGACATTTCATCAGCTCAAGAACCAGATATGGAGGCCAAAAACTAAATGCTAAAAAGGACACAAACAAGACTCTGTCTGCTGGTAAATACTAAACCGTGTGCTACTAATTGAGCTCTAGCTACTACTTGCTCTGGCACTCGTAAATTATCATAATCTCAATTAAATATTGAACAGAAATTAAACAACCATGATTTAAGAACTTGAAATGAAAACATAATTAAAAAAGGAAAAGGAGGTTAACGTTTTTCATATGAATCATGAGCGAACCTAATATTACTCACCCATGGGAGGTCTTCCTCTGTCGGTCTCCTTCCATCATCCACTGCAGGATCTTGTGGTTTCTCTCCAGATCCTCCATCGGCACCTGGCCCTCCAGGCCACGGCCGCTCTCCTCGCCTTTGCCCAACGTCTCCGACGCCTTCTTACAACCTCGCCGTGACAGCGTGCTGCCTTTACTGCTGCAGAACCAACAAGGGACACGTACGGTTCAGGTCATCAGTAAGTAAACACGGCACGTGACACCTGGCAGCGCCACATTCCACCGCGGCCCGCCTACCTGTAGCCCACGCCCTCCAGCGTGCTGGCTCCGGCCCCGTCGGCGTAGTTGCGACTTCTCCCTGCGTACTGGCCGGCCGGGTCTCCGTTCCACATGAGGTTGGTCTGAGACCTAGAGCCCGCCTCCTCCTGCCCGTCTCTTCCTCTGTGGTGATACAACTGCTTGTGGTGGTGGATACCTGAGGGCGGTTAACAACGCAACGCAAGCCTCTCGTCAGCAGAGCGCACAACAAAACACGCCGCGGCTTAATCCGGCGTCGGGGTTGGCGTAGCGGGTGAGTTCACACAGAACAACTCACCTTTGACCCCGGCAGGAGGCACGCCGTGACCCCTCCCTGGGGGGCAGTGAGGCGGGCCGGTCCCCCCTTCGGGTGAGCGGGATGATTTGGGAGGACTGTGTCGACCCCCTCCTCCTAAGGCGCTGTTGGTCGCCCCCGGCGACTGGCAGCCGGGCGTTTTCATCACGCGCTGCACGTGCTCGTCCAAGATGGATTCCGGGTCGTCGTCTTGGGAATCCTCCATGGCAACCAGGCCGCCGTAGGTGGCGACCGCCGTGTTAGCGGTGGTCTCCGAGTAGCGGGCGCCGTAGAGAGGTGTGAACGTGGAGGGGAGGGGGAGTGGTATGCTGTGAGAGGACACGGAGGGCGCCACAGAGATGTCAGCATCGTCACCTTCTTCTTCCTGTTGACAGAAAGAGGAAAAGATTTTAACCCAACATGGAAGCACAAACCAGGACGAAGATGTATCAACAGCTTTCATCAAACTATCGTATGCAGGTAGGTTTTAGACAAATAATTCTTTATTTATTTCTGAAAGAAAAGTTTCAAATAATTTAACAGCACCGTGAAAGTTTAAGAGCCTATGATGAAATCTGCATGAACAGTCCAATTACTTTTGCAATTTCAACGGAAATTATTATTTAATCTTTGGCAGAAAAAATACACGCAACAAAATATATAACTTGGCCAGAATTAAATATACGGCTTACATTGTGTACAGCAACTGTAATACTTAAAGCTGATGACTTTGGATCAAAGAACCCGTTAAGCTTCCGTCCTCAGTGTATAGAGCTTATTGTAAAGCGGCAACGGTGAGCTCGTGACAAAGAAACAGTAATCCGAGTTTGTTTAGACAAAGAAATAGAAGCACAACAACGACTTTTTACATGACAACGAGAACTAATGTTTCACTTTATATGCAGCTGTGCTTCCTCAAATTAAGGTACAGCGTCCCAATGCCGTGAATTTCCCCTCCTGTCCCCATCGTGTTGTTTGCGGTTTACCTTCATTGTCACTGTTTACTAAAGGCTTAGAAAATGAATGTTTGTGTACAACGCACAAAGGTGGGCCCAAAGTGGGACCATCGTGTAAATAACCATGATGAGTTGCAGCTCCGCCCAAACACTCACCAGTCGAACTCTCTTCAGCCTCTCCTCGAGTCGTTCCTGAGCCTCTCGCTCCCGGAGAACCGTCTCCAGCCTGCAGATGAGCTCCGCTGCGAACCGCTCGGGCTCCACGTGGATGTCCTTTGGCATGCGGTACGTGCGCTGTGTACAGAAACAAACACTATTCATACACAGCTGAACGCATAAGACCTTCGTAGACGAGGTTCAGAAGCCATTTTCGCTAATTGACTCATGAATTATAAAAAACGATTTATGGAGGAAAATCCGTAATAACAACAAACTTGCAATGTACTAATTACAATTGATACAAAAACGTAGTTCATAATTATTAATTTGTCTGCCATTGTGTGGCCCTGTAACTAACCTTCAGCTATGCGATGTCTGCTATCTGCTATCGTAATGAATAACAATGCATCGGCCAGTAAACCCATTCGCTGATACTTGAATCAGGTCACCGGGGTTCGTGTTACCGGTAAGCTGCATAAACACTGATATGACTGCTGGCGCGAGGCCGACTGTGTGTGCGTGCGCGTGTAACTCACAGGTATATGAGGTAGGGGCACACGTCCGTTGGCTTTGGCACTTTCATGCATCTCTTTCCGATGCTGCTTCCGATATCTGTACGGAGGAATTCCATCTCTGCACACGCACACAGATGAGCAGCGATTAGACCTCAGATATGAAAATCCAATTCGTCGAGTTGAACGGTCAGATAAGTGGGCGCTAGTGTGGGTCCACCGGTGTGTACTCACACGCTGCTGTCGGTCAGCGACATCGTGTCGGCGTCGCTCGACATGCTCTGCTGCTCACTGTCGTTGGCACTGGTGGCTGGAGCGCGAGCGTAGCCCATGTTAGCGTAGTACGGGTTCACCGGCTCCTTCCACGGCCTGAGGATGAGCGCGGGGAAGGTGGTGAGATCGAGTTCAAATATTCACACACACTCACACACACACACACACACACACACACACACACACACACAGGAGTAGACCAAGAATGCTGGGAGACTTTTCTTCCATTTCATTAAACATGCGTTCTTGATTTGATCGGTTCCAACTCAGCCACGTTTGGTTCATTATTATTTTGTAATGATTCGATAATGACTCAATTTAGCACAATAAAAACAACTCAATTCTACAGAAAAACACTTTTCTGTAATTGCCAAAAAGGTTACAAAGACCTTTTCCCCTTTGTATGCAAATATTCAGTACGTGACGTCAATTGAAGCTAGAAATTCCACAGGAATTATGTAACGGAATAATGTGACTTTCTGTGATGAAATGTACTTTCATGTATTTGTTCCACTCAATAATAAATAAATTAAAGACAAAAAAAAGGTATGGTGGTATTAACACAAAACTGTTTATAGATATGTAAATATCACACTTCAGGAGTGGAAATAATAGCAAGACATCACTGTCTTCCTTCTGAAGCTTGACACACACACACACACACACACACACACACACACACACACACACACACACACACACACACACACACACACACACACACACACACACACACACCTGTACTCTCTGGCGTCGGGCCTCCTCCTGGTGGTCGCTGATCTGTGTGGCGCCGTGTGCATCAGCAGGCTTTGCGTCAGCCTGTCAGCTGGTGTGTCTCCACACTCCTCATCCTTCTCTTCCTCCGCCTCCCTCACACCTTCTGCACACCTAAAATCAGACCAGGAACGGTCTTTACTTCACGAGCGATGAGAATGTTCTGACGTTTCGTTAGTGCTGCACTGAGCACCGCGGAAGAGTCGGGGACATTTATTGTCGAATCATTCCGGATGACAGGCACGAATCCTGTGCAATGGATGTGCAATTCTGCATGGTCTCACCTCCACTCCTCATCCTCAGCCAGTGTGGGTAAGTACCCAGGCACCGGCTTGGCAGTCCCCGACGACGGGCTCTGATCGCTGGGGTTGGGCTTGGGGCTCTCTCCTCCCGTACGCGTGTACTCCAGGTACAGATCCGACTTGAGGAACAACGGGTAGGTGTTCTCCTCCATCATGCCTTGGATCTCCGTCTTGGCCTGGCACCAACCAACAAACGAGGCGGTCAGTAGGGCGGGGTAGCACTCAAAATAAGGAGGGCGCTGGTACCCTTGAAGAGACACCGTTACGAACAGAGCACTTCACGTGATGCCCGTCATATCTGGCCGCTGCTGCACAAAAGGTCACACAGCGGTCACTGCTGGGAACGCCGCCCTCCGTGGACGGTGTTGTCGAGGAAACGTAAAGGCCACACTGTGGTCCCCAACCTAACTTACTTTTGTTTCACTACTTTAGGGTCACCAAAAGATGATGCCCTTGATTTAGGCTGAACATGGAGCCAACACGGCATCGCTTTAGAAAACAAATGTGAACATAGCAAACTGATGAGCACTCCAGACATCTAGTTAGTTGCATTTAGGCCACACACACACTCTCTCTACGAGGTGTGTGTGGCCCTCACGACGGTCAATCTCTTCGACAGTGCTCCTTATCAGGCTTGAATGCATGTTGCACGGTGTATATATACGTGTTGATTAGGCATGGGAATTGTATTTGTTGAGGTTTAACAGACAAACAATCTTCTAAAAAAAAACTAAAGAAAAAAAGCTACATTTAAAAAAAAGCAAGAGAGAAGAAAGGGTTTGCTGCAGTGAAAACAGCCTACCCATTAAGTTCCTTATGGTAATTACCTAATCTCATTCTGTGTAACTTAGTTAATTAGCAGTGATGTGTAAGGAACCACAGTGGGGGACTCGGGTCTGGGGGCAGAAAGCATTGAAGAGATCTAAGGACAAAGGAGGGCACAGGTGGGCGAAAGAACTAACCCGAAACTAAACCTCAGCCTACCTTGATCTTCGTTTGTGGTATACTCACCAAAACGAAAGTCTGATTTGGCAGACAACTGTGGAACTTTGCACAGTAAACCCTTCTTTGTCACATATTTTAAAATACTATTTACATTTTTTCTACAACCACAAAACATCTCCGGGAGCCAAGGAAAACGTCAAAGCTCCCTGGTACAATTACTGCATTTTGAATGCATGAAGGAACCAATGGCTTCATGGACCAGGGCCGGAAGCCCACGGCCCCCGAGCGGTGTACGGGGGAGATATGAGAACGTGTTGAGGGGAAAAAGGGTACTGTTCTCCACACCGATATGCAGACGGCGCTGCCACCAGAGTTCATTGTGGTTCTTTTTGGGTCACCTATAATCTCGCTGTATCATGCCACCGAGTTAGTCATAAACAACCACTTGAAACCGCTCGCCTTCACCTCACAAATTCAAGGAAACGAGACGGCGCGTAAAAATCTAAAACAATTTCCACTTGCTCGTGTAATCCAACATGCGTTGCTGTTAATAGGAACATTTAGAAACACCAAAGCGGGGTTTCCATTACCTGTTCAAACATGGCGGGGTCTGGATTCGGCCGTCCCACACAGTCTCGGATGAAGCTCTTGGTGGCTGCTTTGATCTGCCTTGAGACAATCCCACTTCCGTCCACGATGTACTTCCTGTAGATGGCCTTGGCCAGCTTTGCCCTCTTCTCCTGGCTCGTCTTCCTGAACCCCGAGCAAGCGAACCAGAAGTCGAGAAGGTCCGCGCAGCCTTCCTGGCAGAGGAAGTTTCGGAACAGCTGGATGCCTTCCTGGTCGTCCAGGAGCGAGTGAAGCGACTCGGCCCACTTCAGGTACGGCGGAGTCGGCGACGCCGAGCCCTCGGGTTCGTACCCCAAGTCCAGGTCCGGGCGCCGAGGGGTCGCCGACGACGACGAGGGCGTGTAGCTCGATAGATCCCCCATTTTAGAAGACGAGGATGACGGATAGCCGAGGCTTTGGGAAAGGGCGTTCGGACGGGTGTTGGCCGACTGGACCGGGGGGTCCAAATCAGATCCCTCCTTGCCGGGAACCGGGGGTCGCGGAGCATCCTCGGTAAAGTGGGTAGTGACGCTGAGAGGGGCCACAACCCCCCCACCACCGCCCCTGTACCCGATCCCATGTAATTCTCTGACAACGCTCATGTCTCTGACTGCACAAGGGAGAAGTCAGACGTTCCCCTCCGGCGATGATTTTGCTGGCAAACAATTCACCCTGCAAATGGAAGCAAGAGGAGCAGTTACAAATACACATTACGACACGTTGATGAAGAGGCGACTGATTCATCGCTCAGCCCCTCCGTTGTGTCAGACGACCCACACGTACACGACCGCAGTTATCAAGCGGCTAAATGAGACAGATAAGCGGAACGGATACGTAAAAACAGAAGGGAGCAGGTCACACACGAGTGCGGTTTGGAACGAGCAGGAAGACCGAAATTATTGGTAGAAAGCGAATTACGAAACGTAACCGTAAAAACTTGCGAACGAGCGCACGTTAGCCGATGCTACGTTGTTGTTGATAGCGTCGGCTAGGTGAGGCTAGCAACTTACAACTCCCAGCCCGGAGGAGAAAACTTCATGTCCCGTGCGTAAATCTCCCAGCTGAAGTTCACCATTAAGTTCCTGTCGTCGGTAGAACCGTTAGCTCCCACGCTAGCGTGAACAGTTGTCAAAACAAAGCCCGCGGTCGGCGTAGCGGACGCCGAGTTCCCCAATAACTAACTGATGTTAACGAGCTAGCACTGAGCTAGCCGCGCAGCAAAAGCCACCGCCGATTGCCGTTGCTTTGAAGTGGGGAATCTCATTCATCTTGGCCTGCAAAGACGGTGGGGGATGGGTAACGTTAGAGAAACAAACTCTACAACCACACACAAGACGGGCCTGCGTGCAAAAAAAATAAAATAATAAAACACCCACGACGAGAGCGTACTTTGTGCGTGGATCCGCGCCGGGGGGAACTCGCGGAGAAGCCACGTCAACTTTCAAACAGATTAACGCCATCGGCTCGGCCGATCTGAGATCAAACAAAACAAGAAGGCGAGGGCACGTTTTTCAGACTCCGCCGCCCGCAGCGCCAAGCTAGCTGGGCTAGCTAGCTCGCCGAGCTAGCTGGTTTTGGTTAGCTCGCTAGCTTAGCCGAGTCGCGTTAACGTCCCGTGTTTTCCGCCAAAGTGTTCGCCCTACCGTGTCTGTGAGCCCGGTCCCCGTATTCCGCTGCATTGGGGATAGTGGCGCGAACTGTGGGGCCCGAAACGCCGCATATGGGAAGCTTTCTGGTATTAAATATTAACGAAAATGACCCGTCGACTGCCCCCTTAACTCCCCATGGTGGCTGGTTTCTGAGCAATAATACAGCGCGAGCGAATACGTGCGTGCGCGCCGACGCCGCGCGGCGTGTAGTTCGTTTGTGTAGAAGAGACAATGTTAAGTTTAGTGGTCCAAGTATTTCCATTATTTACCTCAGTAAAATTACTCATGAAGCCTCAGTGCACAATGACTCCATAATCACCAGCAATGCTGTTTTTAACTTAAGGAAAAGTGCTCGTGCTAAAATATCCTTTGTTGGTCTAATGTTATTATGTGTTGTTTTATTACTAAGGGATTCACATACAGGTGGCATGTTAAAGCTGTTAACGTGTGGCTAATGAAAGTATTTTATTTTAGACGCTCATTACAGATTATTTAAAATCGTAATCTGCAAAAGTAACTATGGTTTGTACATAACTGTAGTGTAGTAAAAAGTACAGTATAATTCCTCTGGAATGCAGTAAATGTATAATTTTTAAAGAAAATCCTCAAGTGCAGAACTTCAAAACTGTAGATACAGTAGTTAAGTAAATGTGTGCAATTATTTTGCATCACTGCAGTAGGTTTAAGTAACATTGTATTGACATGTGTATATACATATATGTGTATATACAGTACGTATATGCAGCCTATATGTAGTTTAATTTATAATAAAAAAGGACCGGGGAGTAGAATTATAGCATTGTATAAGAGTAAGACAGCTACAAGAAGTAGAAGTACCTCATAATTATACCTCATAATCACGTCACAAGTACCTTTCCATCACTGAGATTGTATTCATTTAACCGTCAGTCTGTGGATAATAACGGTTCTATCTGTCACAGTTCTATGGCGGTGCAGTCAAATCACGCACAACAGCGCCCCTGCCGACACGAATACGTCATTACATAATCCCACAACCCAAAGGGGATTACAATACAAACACAAAATTACTAATAGACTCTAATTAGTATATTAGTGGGTGTATGCAAAGTTTTTTCTGTGCCACACGTTGCTATGAAGACAAATCAATCGTCAGAATGCATTGACACTGAGATAAATTGCCCGAAAAAAAAACCCGAGCAGGTGACACAGCTCACTTTGCTCAAGGCGACCAGCCGACTTTAAATGCGAGACAAAATCTCCCCACAAACCACAAATCTGCGAGAAAACACTAACAAAAGGGCCCCCCCTTACCTGTAGACAGGTGTTCTGACCACGGAGCCCACCTCCACTGGACGAGTGACTGACCGGACGGAGAGCGCGCGCCGCGGCCGCCACCGCAGCATCCCGCTCGTGAGTCGCCTGCGCCGGGCTGTCAGTCTGTCAGGAGCACCGGGCTGTGGGTGAGTGTGTGTGTGTGTGGGGGGGGGGGGGGGGGAGGAGGTGGTGTAGAGAGAGAGAGGGAAGGAGAGAGCGACATACAGAGACATACAGAGAGAGAGGAAGTGAGGGAAGGAGAGAGAGACATACAGAGACATACAGAGAGAGAGAGAGAGAGAGAGAGAGAGAGAGAGAGAGAGAGAGGTTAGACTACAGTTTGTTGTACATTTTACCAGCATACCTTTATGACTCATACTACTAATCTACATAGACAACAATTCAATCTTCAATTTTACAAATTCAAACTGAGCTGTATAATAATGATATATATATATGTGTGTACATTTATATGTGAAATAATTTGTTTTAGAGGTAGTATTTTCTTTCAAATATCAATTACAAAGACCTGTAAATCAAACCGTGACGTGCAGACGTTAGAGAAGTAAAGTACCGTGCCTCCTATAAACTGCTGAGGCCAGCCGTCCCACGAGCAGAAGGAAGGCTCAGGTGGCTCAGGTGAGGTCCGGTCACCTGTCCTCCTCTCTCTCCACTCCCGGGTGGACAGTTCATCCATGGTGATCTGAACCTGGGGAGCACACAGAGCAACTCAGAGAAAAAATCAAACTGAGCACCCGGCATCTTTTTTTTCATATTTCCATCACAGTAGAAATCAGAGAAGAACAATGCTATAAATAAGGTAATACATAATTTATAAGATCAAATAAGAATATATATTTTCTGGCGTTTTGGTCTTTTTAATAACCTGATTTAGCTTAAAATATGTGTTGTGTGGCCTCTATTCTTCTGCTAGTAACATTACGTATGAACATCCTCTGAATGAGTCCTCCCCGAGTATTGTGATGATTCAGCATGGGGATATTGGGCACTTTGTTAGGATTTTTAAAATAATTTTAGGAGCCTCAACCGATTGAACAGTCGACCAGAGCGAGGTCACTCAGAGGAGCCGTCAGCGCTTTGAGAAAATAACCATGAATTGTTTTCACGGTGCGTTTGATTGTACATGCTGAGCTAAACGCGCCTCGTTGTGGATCCGTATTCATATCACTTTGGCTTGTATAACAGTCAACAAACACACACACACACACACGCACACACACACACGCACATGCACACATGCACAGCCTCCTGCTGCAACAGGCTGGTGTGTGACGGTTGCTGCGGTGCCCCCAGAGACAATGAGGAGAGAGGGAAGAGAGGATACTGAGGAAGATGAACTTGACCTTTATGATGTCTTGGTGAGGAAGGGGTTGGGGGGCACGTTGGTACTTATGAATCTATAATGAACCTCGATTATGTGTGTGTGTGTGTGTGTGTGTGTGTGGGAGAACTAGTAGAGGTCTGAGCCCGTAGCTGAAGAAAGGTCATCACACAGGGGGGTTGTGGGGGCGCGCATACGTTCTTTCTCTTTCTGTACCAACGACCCTGATGGAAACTGCTTCACCTGCTTTCTTGCCAGCACTTGATGGAATAGAACGGATTTCTTGAAGCGGTCTTGTGTGAAGTTTATTTTCCACGTTCAGTGTCTCAGCAGCGTCTTAAACAAAGGCTCACCCCCCCCCAAAAAAAAAAGCACTTAATTATCCCTTTGAGCTTACGCTGTGTTCAAAGTGTGTTCCCCTTCTGACGGGGAACTGAACGTAAAACGTTTACCTGCGCTCGCTTAAGAAAGGCCGGACAGAGCAGAGAGAATTCTCTTTCAGCTCAGTCGTCCGTAGGATAATATTCTAAATGTAGCGTTCACTTAATCCGACGTTATTGATTTATTGCTATGCAGGGCTTTCTTTTAGGCGGCTGAAATAGGTTTTGCAGCTGCCGCGGTCCACATGTCTGCTTCTCTAATCTTCCAACCCCCATATTCTGTAGGTCACTGACAGATACCTCATAAAACCTCGCTTTGAATAACCTGAACCATCGCTTTTAAAGAGAAAGTCGATGCCGCTCATACCGTCGATAGCTTAGCTTAGCTTAGCACAAAGGGTGGAAACGGGCAAACAGCAAAGACTGCCCAGTAACACTATCCACCTATCAGCGCATATTATCATTAAATTGAAATGTTATAATCAATTTAATGAGTACAAACTCTAAAAATAACACCACAACATAATTTAAGACACACCAAACTTATTGTAAGTAATATACGCTTAAAGACTAGCCTCCAATTGAGTTCAAGCTTTTACGAATTTGAATTCAAAATGCAGTTTTACTGACAGTTGTTGTGATGTTTGTTTATTTTTCCTTTGAGAAATTTGAAGTATTCACCATTAAACCAAAAAACCCTACGTGCAGAGATTCTTTCCGGGATACCGGGGTAATTTTACTTTGTCAAAGCATTGTGACTCTTCAACCTGTCGTAATATGACAAAGCACAGGTGTCCAAAGTCACACTGGCGATGGCTCATCGTTGCGATGTCCCCGTAAACCATGAATGTGTGACGCTGAGCCAGCGAGCTCTTATTATATCAACCTGTGCTTTTCCTTCACGGGAAACGTCTTTGTGAAAATGCTGCACAGCCACAACTAGGACGGCTTCATGGCAACGTCAGACTTTCAAATCATCTTTACATCAACGTATGCCATAAATTACCTTTATTAATTGAGGATATTTCAGCAGAATTGGGTAATATCACAGCAGAAATATTGATATCACCACATAACATTACATTATCTATCTATCTATTGCAGCTGCTCAAGGATGTCATTAAAACAAACATTTCCAGTGAAGATAAAACTGGATTATTAATTCTTAAATTGAGGCAGCCCCTTTAGAGTACTGAGACGGAGGTATTTGTCAGTGTGCTGGTCCGGCTCAGGGGTCCTTTTGTTCAAGCTGCCACAGCAGCTTTGGGCGTCTGTACGGAGGCCTGTCAGAAACAGGCTTATCTCTTGGGGGCCTCCCGGCACAAAGACCCATTTAGATGCTCACGGAGAGTGAAATCTTCATTATAAACCTCTTGAAAGAGGAACAGACCTCCCTCTCTTTAAGATAATTAATTGGAGACAAGCATTTTTTGCGTGGCTCCAATGGAAAGGATACGGCGTATCTACTACGTTTTTTTTTAAATGTTAGACACAGAGGGAGTTTGGAGATATCGATGTTACGGGTCTCTTTGTGTTTAAAGAGTAGGCACTGTCACAGAGCTTTGAGGGACAAGGAGAGCTGAAGCTTGTAACCTCTTTCTAAAATCGCAATCCTGCCTCAGTTCTTTTTCTTAAGACACTAATTGAGAAACACCAGCACAAGCAATATTTGAAAAAAAGAAATCAATGTATTAATATCAGGGATTTTTAAACATTTCAATTCATATGTCTCTATATCATCCATCCATCACCCCATCTACCTACCCATCCATCCATCTGCTGGCCTTTCCCAGCCATGCCTGTAGTAAGAGTGTCACTATATCTGCAATGGCGTCCTGCTGATGTGTATTGTGATGGGGCTGAATACTCCAGCAACCAATATGGCCTGCACCAATACTGGATTAGCCACAGTGGATTAGCCGCCTGCCCTCCTGCTGCTTATTCAAATATTGTTTCACGTATTGTCATCATTGGGACAGAGCTCCGGCCCAGTAGCCTTCAAGCTACCCAATATTCTCAAAGAAAGAAACGGGGGAAGAAAAAAAAAAATGTCTTTTGCTTCTAACGCCCCACAAAAGCGCCCGATTTCATTTTTCTCAGCGAAAGCGGAATTCGGAGCGCAGACGGTGTTGGGAGCGACCCTCGAAGGATTCGGAGGGCGCATTGAGTCCGGAAAAGGAGGATGCGAAGATGATGGAAAGCAAACCACAACCAGGGCCAGAATCAGGCATGAAAGCGCGCCTTGATCTTTGATACATGGTGTTCTTCTTTTTTTTTTCTTTTTTTTTTTCCCCTTTCTCTCTTTCACCCTCACACATACACTCGGGAGTCAAGGCAATTGATGTGCTGCCTTTGATGGCAAAGAGAGGCCTATATTAAATGGCCAAAAAGACCATGATGAAAGGAGCTGAGAAAAAGAAAGAAAATGGGTAAAAAACTCGTCATCGGGAAGAACGGCGACTCGTGATAAACACTTGGCTGATGGAGTGACGGCAACCAGACATCGGGGGCGTTCGAGGGTTGCGATGGTTTAACGGCCGCGGAGGAAAGGCTAAGGTAGACGGGGAGCTTACCGTGCTAGCCCGGCGGTGGTGGAGGCTGAGGTCGGCTTGGTGGTTTCCGGCCCGTCGCGCCGGTGGTCGTCCTGTTGCAACAAGGGACCCCCCCCCCCCACGCACCTGCTGGGTCGCCGGGGGTCCCTCCCGGCGATCCCGAGGTCTGGACGCCAGCGGACGTCCCGTTGCAGGAGCAGTCGCCATCTTTGTCCCGCTGTTGTCTTGGATATCCTCTCCTGCGTCTTCATCCCTCCCTCTCTCTCCTTTGATCATGCTTCCCTCCCTTGCTCTCTGGCGTATGACATCATCACGCAGCGGTATCGACGAGCATCAAAGAACCTCTGGACTGTGCATGTGTCGGTCTGTGCGTTTGAGAGGGGGGGTAAATATGGAGAGTAAAGAGTCCTATAACCCCCCTGCCGCCGCCCGCCCCCCTCTCACACACGCTCCCCGTTGCCCACCGCTCTCCTCTCCCTTGCAGATGCACGGTTTATTTGGCCAACACAAAACCAAACACACACCCACACCGACCATCTCTCAGGCGCTTGTATCCCGAGGCCCCCCCGCTGTGCCTGTGGCGTTTGATGATGTCCTCAACGGCTTCATTCATTCCCCCACCCTGCCTCTCCCCCCCCCCCCCCGCCCCACTCCGCCTCGTCCCTATCTTCCAGCCGTTGCAAACAACCCAAATGTGCCCTTTAGAAAACTTTGCGGGTAAAAGAGTTAATTCCCCCCCAGGGGGACCAGGCCGGGCCCCTCCTTGAGCGGCCGCCCCCCCTTCCACCCTTCGTGACACCACACCCCCCTCGCTTTCTCTCTTTCCTCCCGAGGGAGGGCCGGGACCTTTCCAATCCTGGTAGAGCTGTATGTCCTCTTGAGGAGCCCCTCTGTCTGTCTGTCGGATACATGTTTCACTGTCGCACTCTCCATCGTCCGCGGCAGCTGTCGTCCGATCCAATGAGATCTTTCCCCCCCCGAAAAATGCAGACAATTAGCAAAAGAAAAGGCGGCGTTTGACCAAACATTCAATAAAGCCACAACAAACGTTTTATGACTATCAGCATATCTCTGACATGCGTTTAATTTAAATAGCAAAAAGTCTTCCAGCAAGAGAGTTATATATTCTAAAAGCAGCGTTTTTGCTGAGAAAATGAGATTAGAGTTTTCAGGTTGGCCGACACAAAGTTACAATAAGGTTTTATTTTCATGCATTTTAGGCAACAAATTGCGAGAATGAATATTTTACCCCAATAAAGCACATGAATATGACCTCAGTCTTATCGTTCAGCTATTGATTAGCCTTATTTAGTAAAATAAATCAGCTTTTTACTCGATAGTGCTGCATTGTTTTAGATCTGTAATTAGCAAACTCCCTCTGTTGTTTTTCTGTCTTAAAATCATTGTTATTGCTCGGTCAACTTATGTTATCGCACTAATAGCTTTTGCTAATAGCTAATAAGCTCACTTGAGCAATGTGAAGCTAACCGGACAATAATACTGCAGCTCAAACAAAGGGAATCTGGTAATATGGTAATATGGTATGTCAGCTGTTTATATTCGGGTTCTGGGTTTTGCTCAAAAGGAACGTTGAAGTGTCCACATGCTGAGGTGTCCGTCAATCTGTCAACTTCCCCAAATATTGCACATTCACATCGTACTTTAGCTTGTTAGGATTTCACTTACTGTTACTGTACTGTTAATTTATATTGCACTCATTTCATTTCAGTTCAAGTTTTTTTCCTTTACAACCTGCTCAGTTTTTGCACTTTTCCTCCTTGCCTCATTTCTGCCTTATCTTTACCTCATTTTTATTTTTTATTTCCTGTACATTCATGTAAATATTGTATTTTAATTTTAATTTTAATTTTAAAATTGGTCGGCTTTCCGGAAAGGCCAGCACAAGAATTTCAATACACAGGGCGTGTGTAAATGACAATAAAAATCTTCGAATCTTTGAATTCTACATTTAGCAAAGGTGGAATTGAAGGCAGCCCGCGTGGTTAATGCATGTGCATGACCTTAGTGTGTTTGTTGCCTGTAGAAAAGCCAAATTTAACACAGCTTCAATTAGGAGTCTTGGTGCGATTCATATGCTGAGACGTCTTTAATAAAAACAAAGGCACATTTAGTCTCGTGTGTGAAATGGGGCTTTGATCCAGTTCCTCTTCGCCGTGATCAGCGGAAAGTGAAAAGAAAGAAAAGTAATTAGAGCTTTTTCACACAGTCACACAGCTGATGTCCCGGTTCCACCTCCTCTCACAGTCGCAGTTCTTCTACTTTCCCCATCTTTTCATCCGCGTCTTCACTCTGCGCCCCTCTGCCGCCCCTCTGCCCCCACGTCCCCTCTGCTGTCCACCTAATTGTCAAGGTTCTTGTTAGCATTATGCTAAAACGCGTCCCTTTGCAGCGAAAGCCAGCCAGTGATATGGAAAGCACCCTCAGCGAGGATTATACCGCTGATGAGAACGAGTGAGTAGATGTGTGTGTGTGTGTGTGTGTGTGTGTGTGTGTGTGTGTGTGTGTGTGCCTGTGTAGGAATAACTGCTCTTGAATTTGTCTTTTCTCCCCTGTGCGCCTCCTCCTCTTCAGCCAGACACGTTGTTCTCTCCTAAAAACCAACCCTCCTCCTCCTCCTCCTCTCGTCCACGTTCCAATTGCATAAACAAGGATTTGCATTCAAACAGCATCTTCAGCTCAGGCATTAAGCAAACTAATTTCACAACATTAATAGAGCCCCTTAAAAACGGCCCCTTATTTCCTCCACAAATGACTTCCCATAATCCTCAGCAACAGAACCCGTCTGCGGGTTGCTGCCTCTCCACGGGGACAAATGGGAATGTTTGGAGTCAATACGAGCACTCTGGGCCTACCTGTAGGATTGTTGGGGGTAACGGCTAATAGCAGCGAGCCGACAGGCTGTAGAGGCTTGATAAGCATTTCTCATTATTGAACCCCATTCACACAGCTGGCTGCCACACACACACACACACACACGCACAACAAATCCCAGAGAAATAGATTACCTCCGAACCATATTCCAAATAGCAACAATAGATATAAATAAATAAATACATCATTGTTGTGCGCATCTATTGACTATGCATGCATGTGTGTGTGTGTGTGTGTGTGTGTGTGTGTGTGTGTGTGTGTGACAGAAGAGAAAGCATCTGGAAAGCTGCAAACTGACACCGAGGAGTCGACAAATGAGCAGAAAAGTCTCCCTGCACAACGGCTCTGACAGAAGTCATACGAGAGTACGACAAAGCCCGGAGTCTGTGGGAATAATTTGTTATTAAGAAAACAACAAATTCAGTCTCAGTTGCTCTGCTTATGACAACTTTGCAGATTGCATTAAGCAAATGCAGCTCTGTTTGTAGTGCTGCGTCCTGCTTTTTCAGACCCTATGGCATAGATTTACTGTGCTTGTGACGATGCAGACACAGATATAAGAGGTCTGCTGCAGATGGAAAGTGTTTCTGACATGACTCACGGTATTGGCACACACAAACATACTTAGTAATAGAGGTTTTGATTCTATTTACACCCTGGTCCCAGACCTCTAAACTAATACTTACACCCTCGGAAAAAAAGAGTTTTAGTTTTACTGATAACATTAACAAAAGCAACAACCCAAATATGTGCAATGCCCTGAAATCTGCCATGATTCATTCACCGCTATGAAATGGAAAAGCACCGTGAGAAGGTTGCTGCTGATGTGACCCGCACGCTGTAAAGCAATGTGCCTGTAACTAATTAAAAGTGGAAGTATGAACCCACCATATGAGTACGTGTCACATGGTACAGTAAGTCTGCCACATGCATTATTAATGCAAGAAACACGTAATGCTTCTTCTAATTAGATTTTTTATTTACTGGCTTCTCTTTACTTGGATCATTCTGTTCAGTGCGCTAAAGCAGTTTCAGATCTTTTTGAATGTTTCAAAACCAAAGTATGAAAAATAAATACAGAGGATAATCCCCTACAGCCAGTGATATATAACAGTATGCAAACACTGAACAATATTCCTTATGAATATTTCAACAGTCACTGATATTAAACAATCTGACTATTGGCAAACAGACGGAGCAAACAACTCGACTCTGAGTGCTTTTTCCAAAGTAAAAACGCGGCCTTTTCTCCCATCAGGTTGCCGAATAACACAATCTCCTCTAGAAGTCCACGTGAATGAATTATGTAAATTCATTTCTGGTGCAGAATAACGAACAAAGCCCGCGCGTCCACGCGATACATTCAGCGGAGTGACTGTGCGAGTCATCGGCCGTTTGCCGACATCAGCCTCCACGAGCTGCTGGTGCTGCCAGGCGGCTGAAAGGCATCGAGTTGAGACCGAGTCTGAATGTCTTCCATCGCCAGTAATACGACCATTTTTAATAAGTGGCTCTAAGGAGCAGTGACGTCTTTCATGAACTCCATTCTGCCAAAGTTGGAAGAGTTTGAGTTCATTCACGTGGACTTCTGTAGTTAGAAAAGACGAGCTCACCTGCCTGCGTTCACCCATCACAGTGGAGAAACATTTGAATCGAAACGGGACGATTGTTGGGGAGGTTGTTTACTTGTCAGTCAGATTTTAAATAATAAATAATTTAAGCAGTAAAAAAAAATGCTTTTAATATCACTTCCTCATTTATTGATATTATTAGTTATTCCATATGACAGGTTAAACTCCAGTGCGGTTATTTTAACCACCAGAAGACCCGGAGTCTCTGACAATCCCTCAAAGCTGAACAATATGAGCCTCGTCTCGTTGGTGCTGCAGCCATGAGCGGGCCGAGGCTGTTGTTCTGGTGCAGAGTGAGACAAATGAGACCCAGGAGGGCACTACTTAGCCCCTCGTAAAGGTCAGATATGGGGCCACACCATCGGATGCTAATCCTGACCCCGGGGGGGGGCCGCGTGCACACGCGCCTCTGGATGCCGTTGTTTCACGGGCCTCTGACATTTAGACAGCGAGCGAGCCGCGGAGTCCCGGGTGGGTGGCGGGTCGGCGCGCCTCGCTGGCTGGAGAGCAGCGGGCTTCAGCGGCAACGCAGGTTTAATTAGAAGCGGCCTCGGGGGCAATTAAAACATCAGAGACGACGCCGAGCGGCGAGTGCTGTAAATATGCGTTTTATTCTGATTGGGGGCCGGTGGACATTTTGAACAGGTCAGATGCTACGTGAGGCTAATCTTATAAATTCAGTCAACATTTACACAACAATAACAATAACAATAAGATGCATTTTGCAACTTTTATAATTATTTTCTCTCCCATTTCAGCTGACGGTGGATACATCATTACGAGGCATCACTGCACGTTAGCCACGCCGTCTAATTGGCGTCGGGCTGATGACACGCGGGCCGCATTGGAAGCACCCGGTGCTTCCCGCTCGCGGCGGCGAGCTCCTCGGCAGGTCACGCTGATTAGGGCGCCGGCGAGCTGGGCCAGAATGCAATTTGTGCGTTCGAGCAGAACGCGGCGGGAGATAACGACTGCCGGGTCACAGCAGCGGTTCAGAAAAGCAAAAATCCCGGTTGTGTTAATGCACGCGCGTGAGTCGGGTGTGCGTGGCGGGGGAACCTCGCAGCGCGGCCGCCGCGGTGCAACGCGGCCATTTTTATCCTGGGTTTGTTTTTCTGGAGATCGAGAAACGGTGCCGAACGGCTTGAAAAGATAAACCATCAGCGGCTCTTGACCTTTGCTGAAAGTCTTGATGGACAGAGACGAGAAACCCGGGGTAATTATTTCAAAATACGACCACACACACACACACACACACACACACACACACACACACACTTGCTTTAACCTCTAAACTGAATAGACAGAACAACAGAACAAAAAAAGACTAAGAAAGTTGCATCCTAACTTTGCCCTTCAGTTAGTTTGGTATTCTTTGTTTGGTTAATTCATTGGTAATGAGTAGGCAGGTATAGGACCAGCATGCACTGGGTTGGACAATATGAGCGGTCTTTTTTTGTTTAGCTAAATAAATAAGTTTGCATTTTGCATGAACAATGAACTCTTCCTGCATAAACCACGATCGTGAAGCTGGATTCTTTCAGCCAAATTGCCACGTCTGCCCCGGCACATAATGCAGTATTTCACATTACTATAAAAGCCGTTATTGGCTGTTATCGCAAACCGCTAAAAGACATTCAGAAGATGATTTAAAGGCATATAAACAAGGTTGTTGATACATTTTGATGAACGATTCAAGAGCCGTAAGCACAGAGCACCGGTCACACTGAGGAGTGCCGCTACAAGACGAGGGATCACCTCCATCGTGTGGTGAAGAGAAGAACTGCCAGTTCAGTGACACAGGCGGCTATTACGCCACAGCCTTGATTGACGGGCACGCAGTAACAACCCCGCCCACCTGTTAATCATTGAAATTGGAACGTTAAAATAACGTCATGTTGAAAAATGTTCAAACAAGCGGGTAACTTTAATTTAGGGAACACTTCAGAGATTTAAAAACAACTAAAAGCAACACTTGTTAACCAGAACCTTTTTTTTTTTTAAAGACAAACATGATGAAGCAATGGAAATTTGGCATTAAAAGCTGATGGCAGTTATGCTGCAAAATGGTGATGTGCACAGAAAATTCATTAATCCCCTTTTATTTAAAAATGAACATCTCACCGAGGTTTACAAACGTATCATAAACATTTTTATGAATCTAAAGAAAATAATCAAATTAAATTCAGATTCTCATCGACTCGCGCAAACCTTCGTCGAGTCGTGGATTCAGTTCTGAAGAAAAAAAGAAAACGTCTTTTTGTTGCTTTTAACATTTTTTAAAACATAAGCACAACGTCACAATGAACCTGAAGAAGACGTCTTCTCTCCTCGTGCTAGAAATAAAAAAAATCTGACAGAGAAAGCGACAACGAGCCTTTACTCCCCGTCCCCGTCCCCCTTGTCCTCCGTGGCTTCCTTCTTGTCCTCTGGCACATTGCCGTCACCGTCTCCTTCTCCTCCCTTTGTCTCTTCTCTGGTCGTCCCGTCGGCGCCGAGCGCATCCTCCTCCTCCTGCTCGGCTGTGATCGTATCCGTGGGCGCCGCGGCCCCATCGGGCTTCGCCGTGTCTTCTTTGACCACTTCCTGGACATTGTACTTTCTAAACAGAGCGTAGTCTTTCACCACGCTGACGCAACACACCGCCTTGATGACCTCCACGATGATCGTCAGCTCCGGGTTGGTCAAGTCAACCTTGTTCTTTGGGTTCAGCTTCCCCACGAGAGCTGCAGGAAGAAGAAGAAGCAGTTAGGCCCACGGATCTTTAGAAAAGGTCAATTCAAACTCGTCGGGGGGGCCGGCGCTACCTGCGACGGATTTGATGATTTCTTCTCTTTTGTTGTGGCTGCTGTTGCGAGCCTTGAAGGCGATCTGGTAGGTAGCGCAGTTTGGCGTTTTGAACCACGGCTCCAGGAAAGTAGTCAGGTACTTCAAAATGTCTTCCTCGAAGGCCTTGCATGTTCCAGTTACCTGGGTGAGAAGAAAAACAAGGATAAATTACCCCCACACACACACACACACACACGGTATCAGTCATTTTGAGTGTCATGAAGGGGATTGAAACATCTGGCTGCACCACATTTCAATAACGGCAATACGTCTTTTTATATTGCAGCTGTTAAATCGCATTTATCATAAAACACGTTGGTGCATTTCAGCTTCTCACCGGTAGCATCCGAAGGATCACGCGGGATTTTTTCTTCTTGGTTGACTGGAGATCAGACAGGATGTGATGAACCAGCTTGTCGGATTCTACGCGAGGAAGAAAACACAAAAACAAATTGTGGCCACGGAAATAGTGGAAATAATCAAAAATACACACCAATGATCAAATTATTAAAAAGGACGTACCCAGATTTTGAGTTTTGATGAAGATGACATTGTTGGCCCCGCTGTCCAAAGACTGGAAGCGCCGCTCCTGTTTGGCTCCAGATGTTTTCAGCTGGGCGACTTCCTTCTTCAGCGCCACATCAACATCTTCCTCCTCCTCTTCACTGCCGCTTGCATTGTTGTCTTGCAGCTGTGTTCAAGATAAAGGCCGTTAATAACACCACAACACACGTGCAACTTCAATTAGTCAATAAAGTTCTGAAAAACTTCTTCTTAATTTTTTTTTATCCAAATCATCAACCGTTCAAAAAGTAAAAACTGGACAAATGATGTGAATCAAACAATGGTTGCAAGTGAATGGTGTCAGTCATCAGTGTGTTTATGTGGAGGTCAGATTTCGATGGCTTTGAATACCCGGACGGCTCCGCTCAGCCCGGACCTGCGCCGGTAACCTAGCAACGGCACCAAACACGTGACGACGGACCCGGAGCGCCTCGCGGAAACCCACCTTCTCGGGGCCGAGCAGCTCGTCCGCGTACTCGTTGAGCAGGTTGAAGGCCTCCGCCGTGCACTTCCTCTCGTTCATGTTGCACGTGATGAGGATGCCCTGCATGCCCACCTCCAGCTCGCGGCAGCCCCTCCACCGCTTGCCGCTGTGGCGGCTCCCGGCCGCGTACCGCTTCTTGCTGCGTTTCCTCGGGTCGCTGGACGCGGCCGACATGTTGGCGGGAGATCGTTAAAAACAACAGAAATCGCGCGTCTCTGAGCGTAATGGCAGCGGGCTACGCAGTTGTTTTGGGTAACGTTGTTTGGCTCCCACCTCTCCTCACCCCCCCCCCCCTCTCTCCCTCTCTCTCTCTCGCTCTCTAGCCTTCGGCTACTGTTAGCCGTTAGCTTGACGGTCGAGGCTACGATTTCCGAGATTTTTAAAAAGTCGCTGAGACGTGTGAACGTTGTGTGATTTTTAGAAAACGTCACAGCCTTCCCGCCCAATTGTGTGCTCAAAGTAATGCCGCTGTTTCACGGAACCGATGTCCCATTTAAGTCCCACCGATGTCCCATTTAAGTCCCAACCGACGTCCCATTCAGTCACAACATAGCACGTTTTGAGCTCTCCGGTACGGCGCTCGAGGAGGGACAATAGTTCAAACGCGAATCATCTTTCGCCTTTGGATCGTTGACTTCATGCTTTATACTATATATAAATAATTCTAATTACTCGAATAGTGTGCTTAGCAACGATACTTCGAGCTACGTAAATATTTATTTTAACGCCACTCCTAAATTGCCATTTTTATTTCAAACTCTTTTTTCGTGTAAAAAAAATACACGAATAAATGATGCCAATAGTTGCCAGCTGTCATAATCAGTGCTGTAGTGGTAAAATTAGAGGTGGGTAAACTCTGAATTTTGTGATCATACAGACCTCGACGTGATGCGAAGCAAGGCAACACAAAGCGTCGCGACTCTTGTAAGGCTGTCCTGGCTATATTGCATTATGTTATCAGTAAAAGTCATATACAATCAATGACAATGAATACATGTGTATGAACAACATAAGTTAAAGGAACACTCATGTACTACCTATGTCATCATAAATAGCCCATACAGCACTGACATGAAACCGGTCCGTGAGGTAAGAAAGGTTGGGGACCACTGGGTTGATTCACAACATGTGTTTACACACCTCCTGGATCCTGATTGGAGTCGCTGCTGCAGCCGCAAGGCACTGATTGGATGCTCACAGACCGTAATACAGCGCAGATGAAAATGATTCAGACTACGGCGTTTATATGTTCAACAATAGGAAACGTAGTCTTAGCTGTTTTAAAATTACACCAAGTTTATTTCGGATTATTCCAAAGGAAGAATACAAGGCACAGGGAACTTTGAGGTGCGTAAACGCTATTTATAGGTGCGTAAACGCTATTTCAAAAATTATAGAGGTGCGTAAACAGCGTTTACGTGCGTTTACCCTCCACTACAGCCCTGGTTACATTATATAGTTTATCACTATATAATCATTTTTACTTGTATGGCGATTAACCATTTAACTTCATGCCCCCTCAACGGTAAAACATATTAATTAATACATGAATTTAGTATTTAGTAATAGAACATAACAAATAAAAAAGGACAACTAGATGTGTTAATAAATGTCTTGAACATCAACCCCAAGTACAAACCTTCTGATTCGTTGGCTGATTTTAGTCACTAAAGATGGTTGAGATCAAGTTACCATTAACATTGGAGTGAGTAAATTATCCTATTAGAATATTTAGAATTTGTCATTTTGGGAGCAGTTAACACACATTTGTCTGATCCGTTTTTTATCATATTTATTTATTCATCTATCTAAACTGTAGGAATGTTGAAGGGGATGTCTGATTACAGGAGGAAGTGAGTCAACAATTGAAATCAGGCTTAAAATGTCGACTGAAACCTTTGTGTGTCATATAAATACACAAACGTTCATTAACTCAAGATCATTGTTGTTTCACTTCATTCAAGTCAACGAATAATAAAGAACATGTGATTCTCTTTGGTCTGAAGAAAACAAGATGGATTCATTTGGTTTTATTTTTATTAAAATGTATTTTCATTGTTAAAATAATAAACAGACGACATATTTAACAATAATAATAACACAATCATTGGGAAAACATCTGAAGCAGTTCCTGAGAAGAGAGAAAAGAAGAAAAGTTATTAACATGTTAATGTTGTTAGTGTGTCTGTGTTTACATCTAATTGTTAGTGTGTCTGTGTGTACATCTAAATGTTAGTGTGTCTGTGTGTACATCTAAATATTAATATGTCTTTGTGCACATCTAAATATTAGTGTGTCTTTGTTTAGAACCAAATGTTAGTGTGTCTGTGTGTACATCTAAATGTTAGTGTGTCTGTGTGTATATCTAATTGTTATTGTGTCTTTGTGTACATCTAAATATTAGTGTGTGTCATTGTTTAGAACCAAATAATTAGTGTGTCTGTGTGTACATCTAATTGTACATCTAAATTGCCAGCGTGTCTAAATGTTAGTGTGTCTCTGAGTACATCTGTGTGTGTGTGTGTGTGTGTGTTTCATGATTAGATCTGGATTTGCTCCTGAGGGGGTTGACGCGGAGTCCTGATGGCGTCCCGATGACGTGGCGTCCCCGATGACGTGGCATCCTGATGGCGTCCTGTTGGTCTGCAGACAAGGAGAAGAGACGTGAGGAGGATCATCAGGATGTGTCTGTGTGTACATCTAATTGTTAGTGTCTGTGTGTACATCTAATTGTTAGTGTCTGTGTGTACATCTAATTGTTAGTGTCTGTGTGTACATCTAATTGTTAGTGTGTCCGTGTGTACATCTAATTGTTAGTGCGTCTGTGTGTAGATCTAATTGTTAGTGTGTCTGTGTGTACATCTAAATATTAACGTGTCTTTGTGTACATCTAAATGTTAGTGTGTGTCTTTGTTTAGAACCAAATGTTAGTGTGTCTGTGTGTACATCTAATTGTACATCTAAATTTGCCAGCGTGTCTAAATGTTAGTGTGTCTCTGAGTACATCTGTGTGTGTGTGTGTGTGTGTGTGTGTCATGATTAGATCTGGATTTGCTCCTGAGGGGTTGACGCGGCGTTCTGATGGCGTCCTGATGGAATCCTGATGGCGTCCCGATGACGTGGCGTCCTGATGGCGTCCCGATGACGTGGCGTCCTGATGGCGTCCCAATGACGTAGCGTCCCGATGACGTGGCGTCCTGATGGGGTCCTATTGGTCTGCAGACAAGGAGAAGAGATGTGAGGAGGATCATCAGGATGTGTCTGTGTGTACATCTAATTGTTAGTGTGTCTGTGTGTAGATCTAATTGTTAGTGTGTCAGTGTGTACATCTAATTGTTAGTGCGTCTGTGTGTAGATCTAATTGTTAGTGTGTCCGTGTGTACATCTAATTGTTAGTGCGTCTGTGTGTAGATCTAATTGTTAGTGTTTCTGTTTGTATATCTAATTGTTATTGTGTCTTTGTGTACATCTAAATATTAGTGTGTGTCATTGTTTGGAACTAAATGATAGTGTGTCTGTGTGTACATCTAATTGTTAGTGTGTGTGTACATCTAAATATTAATGTGTCTTTGTTTAGCATCAAATGTTAGTGTGTCTGTGTGTACATCCAAATATTAATATGTCTTTGTGTACATCTAAATATTAGTGTGTGTCTTTGTGTACATCTAAATATTAGTGTGTGTCTTTGTTTAGAACCAAATGATATTGTGTTTGTGTGTATATCTAATTGTTATTGTGTCTTTGTGTACATCTAAATATTAGTGTGTGTCATTGTTTAGAACCAAATGTTAGTGTGTCTGTGTGTACATCTAAATGTTAGTGTGTCTGTGTGTACATCTAAATATTAATGTGTCTAACTCTTAGTGTGTGTCTTTGTTTAGAACCAAATGTTAGTGTGTCTGTGTGTGTGTGCGTGTGTATGTGTGTGTGGGCGGGAGTCTGTGTGTCACGCGTAGATCTGGATTTTCTCCTGAGGGGTTCACGAGGCGGCCCCAAGGGGTCCCGTTGGTCTGCGGACAAGGAGAAGAGAGTGCGGAGGATCCTCAGGATATGACACAAGATTCCCAAATCCCTTATTTTAATTTGATGCACATTTTAATTATTTCATGTTTGTATCGGTATGTGTAAATCTACATTATATATTTGTGGTTGTTAAACTGTATTTGCTTTTTATGTTTAGCTAGTCTCTGTGCATACCAATATGTTAGTGAGTCTCTGTGTAAGTACTTTTTACATTACATTACATTTCATTTAGCTGACGCTTTTATCCAAAGCGACTTACAATAAAGTGCATTCAACCATAGGGTACAAACTCAGAAGTGCAATTTCCTCAAATAACTTTTATATGTTAGTGCGTCTCTGTGTAAGTACTTTTATATGTTAATGCGTCTCTGTCTACATCTACATGACAACAGCAGGAATCAGAGGTTTATCTCAAGGTATTAGCTCTAAATCACAGCCTTCTCCACCCGACAGACCAATACATCATTTACAACAGTAAGGCTGCAGTCTGTCTGGATTACTCACTTACCTTGAGCTCTGTTAAGTGCAGCAGAACGCGTCTTCGTCCCCTCTACAGACTCCTGAGGCATTACATGGTTGCTTTCTGCAAGTGTAGGTCCGGAAAACTTCAGTGTGTAGATGCGAGGTTTGAAACTGACTGACTGGATGTGCAACAGACTGTGTTCTTATGCTGTGGTGAACGGAGCATAGAACATGGAACATGGAGAAATGTTCCATCATGATGTAACGTCTCTATGGTTACAGTGAAGGTATCTACAATATGCAAATTAGCCTTTAGGGTAAACGTGTGTGTGTATTTGTATTGATGGAGCTCATCCACTTGACATGGTGCATAAAACACTTTGCTCTACTTGTTTTTTTCTATGACCCCATCTTGATCTTGAAAGCAAACACTTTAAGAACAAATAAAGAACGATTTTTGTCCATTGTTTCATCAAGTCGGAAATTTGTAAACTGTTGAATCTGGATTTTTAAACATCCCTTTCGAGCCCTCTTGTCTCCAGTCTTCATGCTAAGCTAACCAGCGGCTGGCTTTAGCTTCACGTTGAGCGCGCAGACATGAGAGTAGGGATGAGTATCGTTTGGGTTTTTCCGATACCGATCCTAAACAGAGCCTGAACCCAAACACAATTAAAGAAAAAAAAAAAGTCACTTCAAACTATGCACAATATATGAACTTTTGAAAGTTTACAGTATGATTACAGTGTTTCCCCTCTGTAACAGCGGAAGTGTAGTTAATTGGAATTTGGGGAATATTAATCATTTAATTTGAGATTCATGTTCATTGTGCAGGAACTAAAGACATTTATTGAAAAGCATTTACGTTAGATTGACGCCCCTTGTTTGTCTCAAAGTATTGACGTGCAACACAGAAGAGCTGCATGAGGCACGAGAGCGCATCGCTTTTCTATTGTGTAGAAAAATAAATACGAATAGAAGGTAGATGGCTAGCTAGCTGCTGTAGCTACACAAGCGGTGAGCCATCGTTAGCTGCTGCGAGGACAGTTATCAGGCTGTTTAATTAGGGTGACAAAACGTCCTCTTTTCCCCGGACATGTCCTCTTTTTGAGACCTAAAAAATGCGTCCGGCAGAGATTCCAAAAACGTCCGGGATTTTGCTTCGTCGTACATTTGTGTTTCTCTGGGTCTTTCACAAACTAGTTATTACGCCCTTACACGTTTTGGAAATGGTGTCTCCCTTACGTTCCACCTTCTTTCGCGAGCTCTGACTGTAGAGAGAACAGTCATTGGTCGACCGATCTCAATGTTGCCAGATACACGATAATTATCCTCCAAATACGACCATTTTGAGCCTTTGGTACGATACTTCACCATTTCCAATCTGGCAACACTGAGCACTTTGCCGCCTCCACTAGTCGCGTTGTTTACAGCACATGACATCTGCAGCCATGGCGAAACTAAAGGTAAGTTTACGGACGAACTAAAAGAAAATACCCATGTTTTCGCCTCGGCCCTGATGCTTCGGAAGCTTTTCTTATTTTAATATGTGGCTAAAGAAAGCATTTACTATTTATTATTTGTTTATTTGTTATCATTATTGCTTCAATATATGGACAAGACACATTAAAGAAGCGCTGGACTAAATCCCACAAAAAAGATTTGTTTTACATTTGCACTTTTCAGTTTTGTTAAAGTTCAATAAATAGATGTTCATATAGTCATTTGTGTCATTTCATTTCACCAATATGGCACCGGTGCTCGGTACATAATCCTACATGAGAGTGGTCAAATCAACTATTGCTAAGTAAAGGTTTGGAATAGCTCAAATTCAACGAACAATACCTATTTAACTGTCATTCGTTACCAAAACAGCTGGGCACGGTGTAGTCTTTGGCACTGCGTTTATTGGAGGCTGTTTGAGCCCTAGATGAGAAAAGTGCCCCTTCTGCTGGAGCACAATTGTTTCTTCATTCATCAAAATTTTAGAATAACTATTACTCGCACTGTCATCAAATCCCCCCAAATGTGTTTTGACATTCGACGGGGCATTTATTTGAGTTCTTGTGAGAATTTCACCGAACTGCTCCGCGGCGCCCACAAGCCGTGCTCCTTCCTCCTCCTCCTCCTCCGCCTAGTGCTCGTGCAGTGCTGACACACAGGTGATGACGGTGTTTGTGAAATCCCCCGACGTCGTTTAGTGGTAAATTACTACCAGTACAGATAGTTTTAGGATGAAAATAAAAGAAATAAGCCTCGCCACAGCTCCGTCACTTTCTACCCTGTCTCCTCCACCTGTCACTCATCTAATCAGTTCATTCAGTGCACCTGCTAGTCACAAACACCACTCAGACATCACATAATGAATTGATTTCCTACACATTCATACATCACAAAATCTGACCAAGTAATACAATATATGCATCTCAAATTGAACAGTAAAAACATTTGAATCCATACATTTAATTGATTATCACCAGGTGATATATTTCAATAAACACTGCATCACTTGGAGTTTATTATCTTTTTACGCTGTTATCATTGTGTGAAAACTGCTTTCATCTCGAATCGGCACACCGGTGTGCAACGCCGTTTGCTATCACTGCTGTCCTTTTTAACGAACGAGTGCTGACTTATCACGCTTGCATAGCTCACTCCCTCAATAAAAGGAGGCTGCAAGGGGAAGTGTGGTCGCAGTTGGCTGTGATCGAGTGAAGAGTGTAGTACTCTCAGGATGGCTCCCCTTGCAGCGAGTAAACCCTGAAGTCGACTGAGTGTCTTTGTTTCTCGTGCTGTCAATCGTTCTCTGGTATAATCAGCAGGTGTCACGGTTTGTTACTACGACCAAACACACATTAAGTAACTGCATTAGTTGATTGTGATGCAATATCAAGCGTACCACATGATATGAAATAAAATGAAATAGATTCTGAATGGAGGCCAAATATTGGTCCAATAGATGGAGAATCAATACATTTACCTATTTATTAAATGTGTCAATAAAATGACAGCTTCAGTATATCTATTACTACTATTACTAAATATATGAACAAGTTAAACAATATTTAAGACAAATTACATTTATATCATATCACATAATATCACATTACATCTCGTATCACAACATAATATTACAGAGTCCATGTGACTGAGGCATAGACCACCTCGGCCTCTCCGCTACGTCAGCAGCTCTTCCTCACCGCTGACCTCTGAGGTGGATGGCCGGGGGCCGGTGTCATCACGCACAGTGAGACAGAAGACCCCCGGGCGGGCGCCGAACCGCTCTTCATCAGAGCCGACTCCCACTTGAAGAACTCGCAGCCCTTCTGGATCTGACCGCCGCCGCCGCCCGACCTCCGGACCGGGCAGCAGTAGAACCCTCGGCCCTGGTTCGGGCCCCCGTTGGACACGACCTGGCGCTTGGCGCGGCGCCCACAAGCGCACAGCGGCGACGTGATCCTCTGACCTCCCGTCGCCGTGGCGCACACAGAGGGGAGCGCGTTGGTCGACAGGGAGGAGAGGACCTTCTTGGAGGAGCACAGAGAGCCGGCCGAGGACGGCTTCGCTGGGTCGGCGAAGATGGCGAAGGAGGATTTTGGAGTCTCTCTGTGATTGGTGGCGAATGCTTTGGGCCGGGCAAACGAGGTGTAAGGGGTGGAGGTCTTTGCTGGGATGAAGTGGCGGAGCAGAGCGACTCTGTGAGGCCCGTCTCGATTTTCTTGTATTTGTCGAGAGATCACAAGTCCTGTTTTGCGCTGGTCGGAGTCCCGAGAAACCGCTTTAGGCTCCACGAAATATGTACTGGGCTCTGGGATCGTTGAATGCTGCCTGATTTTATTGAGGGGAATAGACGCTGAGGGACAACCGGTCTTAAAGTCGTCTTCACCGCTCACATTGTCTCTTGTGACCTCATCGCCAAATGAAGGCGCTTCATTGGCCTTTTCCCCCACACGGCATCCGCTGTCAAAATCTGCCCCATAATCAACTTCAACAAATTCCCTCCCTGTTTCCCCAACGACGTCCTCATCATCCGCCTGCAACACCACGTCATCGTATGAACCCCACCTCTCCTCGGCCTCCACGCAAAGTTCCTCTTCCCTCGTTGCTTCCGTGTCGCGTTGCTGGTTCGGCCGAGGCGGATTTGAAACGCAGCCCAAAGTAGTCGAGCACAGAAGGAGGCTGCGGGTGACGTCACCGCGCGGTGACGGACAGCTTACCATAACCGGGGCGGAAACATTGGCCACAGCCGCGGCTCTGACGGACGTCCCGCTGCGGCCCCACAGCGGCGTGGTCGTGCCGTTCAGCAGCGTCTTCGGGGAGATCAGGCTCCGGCACATGGGTGCGGGAGAAGAGTTCCTCCGTGGGTCCAAATCCCAGCAAGCGTCCTCCGAGCAGGACTTTATCGGAGGCGGTGGCGGTTTGTTTGCACTGGGTGCGTTTTCTCCTTTCACTCGGTCAGGCTTTCTGTTGTCTGCAGTGGTGTTTGGTGGTTTGACCTTTAATGGCATCTATGAGGACATTAAAAACATCATTGACTCATAAGATATATTCTATTCCTTGTCCACATCGAAAAATCAGTCAAAGAAATTCTCCCTTTAACTGTACGTTCACTTATCTCGTCCTTATTTGTTTCTTTGCTGTCTGTAAATTTACACTTCAAAGTGAAGAAACAAATGTCTAAAAGCTACAAAATGTCATGAATATCAGATACATTTGTTTATTGAGGCTTCAAAACAAAATAAAACATTTTACACGTAGAATTTGTCATCCACAAAGGCTTCCGTGAGGTCATATCAGGTTCCGCTGGGGGAGACCGAGGGGGGGGCCGGCTGGACGACGGCCACTCACCTTCTCCAGGCTCCGCGTGATCTTCATCACGCACCCGTCCCTCATTATCCTCGCTGCCAACTGGGCCGTGTTTCGGGAGTCATCCAGACCTGAGGAAGGAGGACGGACGACAGACGCTCAGATCGAGTCGGGTTTCTGCTGCGTGGAATTATTTTTTCTTTTTCCTTTTTTTTTTTCCACACCGGAATGTTCTCTCCCCGAGAACTGTATTCCCAGATCCTGCAGTGCCCCGTTCAGGCCTTTGGGTTTTCTGTCGTAAAACAGCTGAAAAGTACAAAATGAATTGCTTAATAATAATAATAATAATAATGATAATAAACACAATAGCATGAGTGATACAACATAGAGGTGGCAACAGAGGCGTAAAGGCGGAGCGAGTGAGCTTCTCCTCTCACCCTGTAGGTGCTTCTCAGGTCGATCCAGCTGTTGAGCACATCAGGTTTATGGAGCTGCTTCCGTTTACACTCGTACTGCAAACAGACTCCCAGATCCCAGTCTGCAACGCAGACGGAGACACATTGAAGGGGGGCAATTTCAGGAATCAGGAGGAATCAGGAAACATTTATTAGCCAAAATATGTCAAACATACAAGTAATTTGTCTTGGCGGTTAGTGCGCGACAGTAGACAGACAAGACAACAGTGCACAGGTAATGAAATAAAGTGGACTGAAATGCTAATGCAATGGGTTAATAAGAATAAGGCTAAGGCTATGGGTTAGTATAAAACAGGGGAATAAAGTTAAACAAATTTTAAATATTAAAAAGTTGAAAAATATTAAGCATAAAGTGCACTAACAAACAAGTAACAGACAAGAGACAAAGTGACAAGTGACAAAGTGATGAATTGCAGTAAAAGTGACGTGTGCAGTATGAGGGGGAGTGACCGGTGGAGTGTTATAGTCAGTCAGTGGGGGACCGGGCTCTGTTGATGAGCCCGACTGCCGACGGGAAGAAGCTGCTGGTGTGGCGGGAGGTCTTAGTCCTGATGGACCTCAGCCTCCTGCCAGATGGAAGGGGCACAAACAGTTTTTGTCCGGGGTGGGAGGGGTCGGCCGCGATCTTTTTAGCTCGCTTCAGAGACCTGGAAGCGAACAAGTCCTCCAGGGACGGCAGATTGCAGCCGATCACCCTCTCTGCAGAGCGGATGACACGCTGAAGCCTGCCCTTGTCCTTGGCTGTGGCTGCAGCGTACCAGACGGTGATGGAGGAGCAGAGGATGGACTCGATGATGGCCGTGTAGAAGTGGACCATCATCGTCTTTGGCAGGTTGAGTTTCTTCAGCTGCCTCAGGAAGAACAACCTCTGCTGAGCCTTTTTGGTGATGGAGCTGATGTTCAGCTCCCACTTGAGGTCCTGGGTGATGATGGAGCCCAGGAAACGGAAGGAATCCACAATAGTGACGGGGGAGTCACACAGGGTGATGGGGGAGGGTGGGGCTCTGTTCCTCCTGAAATCCACAACCATCTCCACTGTCTCCTATATTCGAATACGTGACGAACGGCGCCTGAAGGAGTTGACTCGTACCTGACCATGTGACGAAAGCACACGGTTTCTGGGAAGGCGAAGGCGCAGAAGATCTCTGCGGCCCGTTGGGAAAAACCACACCCATCTCGAGCTGCAGCTTCTGCAGCCAGCGGCTGAACCGAGACAGACAGATGTGAAGCGGGATCCCGGCCTCCACTTGGCTCTGAGGGGCCGGAAAAAACAACAACAAACAAAAACAAACCAAGAGGTCAGATGAAACGGCAAACTTTTTAACAGAAGGACCATCGGCGCGTCTGCGGGCATGAACGCAGCAGCCACCTGCGTGATCCCGGTCAGCTCGGTGCAGAACTCGGACAGAACGGGATGCTCTTGCGGTTGGACATAAGTGTGAAACTCGGACTGGATCTCCCCTGTGGACGTGTTCAGCAGAACCGCAGGAAACTCAACTGGAGGAAAGGAAGGAGGAGCAGATGTTATCAGCAGCGAGGGGTAAACCGGATTGGTCCACGTGTGACGTGTGAACGGGATACTTACTGATTTCCTGAGTGGAGTTTTTTTTCTCTCTCCAGCAAGTTGACTCAAAATCGATGACAATAAGAAATGGAAATATTTGATCTGAAAGGAAACGGGCGCAATGACAAGTGGATCAAGTACCCGTTTGCACCTTATCAAAACAGGTGATCCTGTTACTTACTTACTTGACAACAGGGATTTGGATCCGTTAGAGGATTTACTCCGCTGCCTCAATAATCCGAGTTCTCTGCAGAGAAAGGAAGGATGCATGACTACTAGATTCATTAACTATCTACTTAGCTTTGACGAGTAAAGGGCTTATGCACTGACTGAAACAGAAATAACGCTAGATTGCGTTTAAAAACAATTTTCAAGTACCACCCGCAAGCGTGGTTGAAACACGTCCCGTTTCCACATTGAGACACAGCGTCATGTTTACCTGCCCTACGTTGATTTAGGATGGTTAATCGATCGCTTACCTGGCCAGTTGCTTTGTAGACATGACGATGGCGGACTACCAACTTTACAAATCAATGAATTTGATAAGGCTGCAAAAATCGCGGGGCTTTTTTAAATATTCATCCATCACTTCCTGAGCTTGATTAACCAGGCCTGGCCAGGAAAAAATAGTCGATCGCAGAAAACTCCTAGCGTTCGTAGAACTAAACGGAACGAACTGTATTTCCGGTTATACCATTTACTCACCAAAACAAAGGCATGAACTACTGCAGCACGTGTTTAACACCACGACTGAAGTACACAAAGCAATATAGGTTGAATCCTATTTTTACAAAAACATTTTTAAGATTTGAAATTTAGCTAAAATGACTTAACATGAATATAGTTCATTATCTTGCCTTCATTAGTTTATTTGTAAAATTTCAAACCGGAAGTAGTGCTGGTGTGTGTTTAAACTTATCGCAAATTGTAACGTGCTGCGTGTATGCGTCATACCCATGTGTTTTTAGCCTCTACCAGTTGTGGAAAAACATGAATTTGGAACACGTAGGATCCATAACATCTGGTTTGTAAACACTATTACTATGTACGCACACGTGTACCCAACGTATACATGCTCCATAAAATACATAATGTACAAGCTACTTTTCAAGTAAGTGAGTAACGGAACGTTAAGTGTTAGCTAGCTTGGTCTGTAGTGTTTTCTGGAGTTAACATTAGTTTTTACTCTTTAATTCTCAGGCCGTCAACAGCAGTAAAAAGTCCGATTCCACAGGAATCAATTCATCTGCATCGACAGAAAAGGGCAAATTTAAACACACGTCAAAGTCGTCGGTTATGATTTAACGTTACATGCATCCTGCATAATAAAGTGCCCTCAGGCTTTACAGCTAAAGTCGTTTTAAATGAACCAAAACTACCGCCATGTTGTTCTAATGAATCAGAATTCTGCAAATATTTAGTGATGCCTGTGAACTGATTGGCATTGAAAGTCAACTTAATGGCTTTTTCTTTCCAATATCCATCTCAATAATATATTAGTTATCGTAAAGAATATTATTATATTATTAAATAATATTTAAAGAGGCGCTTGTGTGACTCTTAGACTCCCACCCACGTTATACAGCGGGGAGACGCTGCCATTTAAAATATCCCTTCTTCTCTTCCCCCTCCCAGTAGAAACATCTGGCGACCTGCCATGCAACGGAAGGAAAAGGAAGCGCGTCGCCCCCGCCGAGGCGCCCGGTGGGTCCAAGAGACTAAAGGCCGCGCCGGAGGCCGATGACCCGCCGGCGCGCGGACGCTCGCCGGGCGTCTCCGTGCTGCCCGACCGCCTCCAACGAGCCGTCACGGCCGGCGAGCTGACGGAGCTGCTGCACTACGCCGCTCTGGGGAGAGCGGGCGGCGTTAAGCAGCCCAGGTGACGTCCGCGGCAGTGAGATGAACAGCCGTGTGAAGTGTCGCCCGCGGCGACCTAAAGGCTTGTCTCTCTCTCTCTCTCCGTCCGTGTCTTCCAGCTGGTGTCGTCTCCACCGCCAGAGGAGGGTCAAAGCGGTGAACGTGGTGATCGTGGAGGGGCTGACGCAGGCCGACTTTTACAAACACTACCTCGCCCTGCGGCACCTCCGGACCAGCTACTCCACCGTAAGTGCCCCCCCCATCACCAGTTCCGAGTGTGGGCGTGCTCCGGGTTTAACGTCGCTATCCGGCCGCCTTTAGAGGGTGACCTTCACGCCACCGCCCGGCGACCTGGCGTCAGGCATCTTCAGCGGGGAGGTTCCGGAAACGGCCGCTCCGTCCGTCAGCGGGAGCTGCACTTTGCACAAAGGTGAGAGTGTCTGTGGGTTCGTTCTGTGTCCTCTGGTCACCACTGTGACATAAGAGTCCTGTTGTTCTTTATTGTGTGTGTGTGTGTGTGTGTGTGTGTGTTACTGCAGCACTGATGACCCACCCAGTGATCACCAAGTTCGGGACACAGAGGAGAGGACTGACGGCGTACGTTCTCACCGAGGAGGAGATGATCAGGAGACGCTACCCTGTCAAAGGTGAGTCTCTCTCTCTCTCTCTCTCTCTCTCTCTGGTTTGACATTTATCTCGGCAGACCTTTGTTTTAAGCTCCGCCCACATCGCTGCCTTCTTCACCTTGTGTTTCCCGTCGGCGCCTCCGCCAGGATTGCCGGGCTTCGAGGAGTTTGTGTGCACAGACTGCGCTGACGGCGTGACGGACGGCAGCCCTCTGTACGGGGTCGACTGTGAGATGGTGAGAGGGGGCTTTCTTTTTTTCTTTTTATAGAATTGGCTAAATCAACCTGGAGCCACTTTTTTCGAAAACCTTGCTTTCGTATTTATTGTGTCACGTTTCCGTCCTCGCCCCTCGGGCGCCGAGGCTCAGGCGTTGTTCGTCATTGAGGCGTTTCCCTCCCTCGCGTTGTGCTTCAGGTTCACACAGTAAGAGGGTACGAGTTGGCTCGCGTCTCTCTGGTGGACAGCGATGGGAACTGTCTGCTGGACGAACTGGTGAAACCTCATTACCGGATACTCAACTACCTCACCAGGTACACACACACACACACACACACACACACACACACACACACACACACACACACACACACACACACACACACACACACACACACTCTTTTACTTCGGACAAAAGGCCGTAGCTCACCTTTGTTGCTGTGTGCGTTCTGATAGGTTCTCTGGTATAACCAGTGCGATGTTGCGACCAGTCACAACGAGCCTGCGTGAAGTTCAGGTGAAGCTCAGGAAGTTGTTGCCGAGCAACGCGGTGCTGGTGGGACACGCACTGGAAAACGACCTCACGGCGTTGAAAGTAAGTTAATACTGACATGTTCTAACCGCAGCAATAGAATCACCAGCGTTTTTTTGTGTGTAAATGTTGTCGCGAGTGTGAGGGCAGCCTTTGCAAACGTCTGTATCGCTGTCGGCCAGGACTGAAGTGTAACCTGAGGTTCATTCGCCTCGTCGTTGAACAAGTGGTCTCCAAACATCCAACATATGTCCTGGATCAGAGACTTTCATTTTGGAAGTTTGACCTGTTTGTGTGTGTGTGTGTGTGTGTGTGTGTCCTTCCTGCAGCTCATCCACCGGCATGTGATGGACACCTCGCTGCTGTACAGGAGAGACTTTGGACAAAAGTTTAAGCTGAAGGTCCTGGCAGAGGTCGTACTGCAGTAAGTTGTCCGTCCCTCTGCCTGTCCCTCTGTCTGTCCCTCTGTCTGTCTGTGTGATTAAATGTTCCTCTTGTGTCCCCAGGAGACAGATCCAAACAGGAGACCAGACGGGGCATAATCCCATTGAGGATGCGGTGGCAGCTCTGGAGCTGGCGCAGTATTTTATCAAAATGGGGCCGAGTCAGGTACAGCCCCCCCCCCCCCCCACACCCCCCTGCCCTCTCTCTCTCACACACGCACACACACACACACACACGTGTTGACATGTTGTTCCGCGTGCTCGCTCTCAGGTCGTGGAGCGCCATCGAGAGGAGCTGTGGGGATACGCGATAGTGGACGAGGTCGCCGACTGTGAGCCTGAAGCCAAACCGAGTCTCAGGTACAGACGCGTGTCCCTTCTGTAGACGGGACGCCGCGTCCGCACTGAACTCGCGTCTTCCCTCTAGTCTTTTTCCGCCTGGGATTTAAATGTCCCACAAGGAAAAGGTCTTCAGAGAGCCCACGGAATCTCATCAACAATAGTTTGTCACTCTGTAAATGTAAGTCACCCGTCTCCGTTGTCTTGTAAGGTTCGTGGACGTGTTGCAGACTCTGGGCCGGTCCGTGTTCTACTTAGGGAAGCGCTCGGACGTCCCCCTGGATCTGTCCAATCAGCAGTGGCACAACTCGGACAAAGCGGTGAGACGCGAGACGCTCCGACCCGGGGAGCCCTTCCACCTTTGTTCCTAATTTACCAAATTTAAAAACCAACCACACGGTGACAAAGAGGAAAGATGGCTGAAGTCGTCTTCATCCGTCCCCCCCGTGCGTCCTATGTCCTTCTAACCAACTCCTCTTACTCTTCACCTGCGTGGCTAAATCCCGCCTCCCGCAGCTGTTGGCCTCCTTCAGGAGGCGGAGCCGCTGCCCGTCTCTCTCGGTGCTCAAGTTTTCCTCCCTCTCGGACCGCCCTCGTCCGGCGCCCCACAGGGTGAGTCGCCTCTCCGCGTCACGGCGCCCAAGTTTGTTTCGTTTTTTTTCTTTCTTCAAAGTCTCGTTGCGCTGCTTAACGCGCGCGTCCGTCTCGCAGGACGGCCTTCGGGACATGTGCGTCCTGTTCGCCGGGCCGCTGCCCGCGGGCGCCTCGGAGAGGGACGTGAGGCGGCTGTTTGGCTGCTGCGGAGCGGTCCGGAGCGTCAGACTGTTGAGCGCGGCCGCCAGGGTACGTCTCCACGTTTTGGTCACCCCGAAGGACCCGTGACGTTCCTCCTAAAAGCGGTTGTTTGGTCGTCTGCATTGACGCCGTGCTCCGTCTCCAGGTGCATGCGGAGGTGGAGTTTGAGCTGCTGGAAGGAGCCGCGCTGGCTCTAAACGTGTTGAATGGACTTCACGTACATGGACAGCCCATCAAGGTCACTCTCTTCCCCTCCTGTCCTTTGCTTTCTTTCGCCGATCCCCTTTTGACTTTTCAGTTCAAGTCCCTTTTTTGTTTCTGGGTCCTTCTTCTAGGTGCAGAGGCCCGTCAACGAGTCGATGCTGGACCTGGACCTAACCCTGGACGCTTTGGTGCACGACGCCACCAACACCAGCCGCCTCTACGCCGTTCGGTCCCGCCGCCACTCTTCCACGGGGGTCAATGGCCTCGCGACCCACGCAGAACTTCCCGGGGTCCCTTCGGTCACAGCGGCGAAGGTGAACGGCACGTCGCAGCTGAAGCGACTGTCCGAGGAGGCGATCAGCGAGACCTTCGGTCGCTTCGGCTCGGTGGACAGAGTCGTCCTGGGCGCCGGATGTGGAAAACGCGCGAGGCACGCGTACATAAGTGAGTAGCGCGATCGCAGCGCGCTGATTGTAGCGATAGCAGCGCGCCGATAGCAGCGCTTTCAAGCGAAGCGCCTGTAACTTCCGAGTGTCTCTCCGGGCGGCAGAGTTCGAGGGTCCGGCGGAGAAGGAGGCGGCACTCGGCTCCTCCGAGGACCTCCGGAAGGAAAACTACCTGGTCTGTCCGTCCCTGACGCCGCCGCACTTACCCTCCTGGGTCGCTACGACAACGAGCAGCGCAGCGGATACCGGCGGGGAGGAGGGGCCCCGCGGATCGCAGGTGAAGAGAACTGATGATGATGATGATGTGGTGCCCTCTCAGCTTCGGTCTGTTAATTATTCCCATTCGGCTGTTTGGGGAAATGCTTCATCCGAGGATTTTACTGCCGCTCCGGATTTTATCTTTTCTGTGAAGGCCGTTATCTGGAGATCACAGATGTCTGCTAATCTCAAGTGGTCATCGTAGGTTGATGCGCAGGGTTCAGATGAAAACAAGCACTTAATCCAGAATAAATTATTTAAAGGGGCGATAACGTGTTGATCATCTTGTTAGACGGCTAAATAATTATCTAATCCACGTAGGACCAGGAAATGGATCTCAAGTTGGGGAAGTTGGACCGCCGCCTGAGGAAGCTCCTCAGATCTCTCCCAGAAGGCACCTTGTCCGTGGTCGTGCTGCCCGGAGACGCCAGGTGAGGACCGACAGGATGTCCGAGGAAAAACCGGCTACCAAATGATGTTTCTAAAGCCGCTTGTCTCTTCCCCCCTCCCCCCTCCAGCGCTCGGGGCCTCCGCCCTGGTTTGTGCCTGATGGAGGTGAAACGGGGATGAACCTGCACTCAGCAGCTGCCTTACGTTCCAGTGGAAGAAGAACAGACGTGTAGAAGCAAATTCAGTACCTGTAAATAATATTGGCGCCCTGGAAATAATAAAATGCTTTTAATGGGAACTTTACAGAATCAGTTTGAGTGCAATCGTGGTCGGACTTTTAGTTAATTGGTCTGAAGGCGTTTTAGGTGACATTTGTTCTGGTGGAAGATTCTGGAAGTGACTGAAGCCAAAGACAGTATCACATGTGCAGAGAATGGACAGTGTTTACTTAAACATAATTCATCCCTTTTTATTAAATTAAATTTTATTAACCATCAACAGGTGTTTGACTTTTTGGCTTTCAGAAACAAAAAAAGAAATCCAGTGTTTCAAACAAATGTACCTTTTCTCAGCAGATATTGACCTCATCCAGGAGCCCTGCTCACCTTTATTTGAAATGTGCTGTATAAGCAGTTGAAGATAACCTGTTCTGAATTAACTAATTCATATTTAATATAATTCATAAATCATATGTATGCAGATCATCTTGTGATCTTTAGCCCAAGTAGTGCTGGTCTCCAGCAGCGCCTCACTACATGTACGGTCTATGGTGTGGAACATGATATAAAACATGGGAATAAGAGTGCTTTCTTGGTTTGTAGAACAAAGGACTGAATTCTAAAATTCACTCATTTTAAATTGACAACTACCTCATTGCCTGTGATAAGAATGTTCATCACAGAACAGATGAATGATGAGATCTATAGTCAATGTCGTCAGACGAATGCACAAGCGAACATTCTCACACACATTCGCTATGTGTACAGATGGAGTGAAGATGTCGGTTTAGAGCTTATTGTACTGCACTCTGCTGCACACTTGTGATCCAATTATAAAAAAGCAAGTCTCCAGAGACTCCAATTAGCTTATGATGATGCCATGCGAAGAATACTAAAGAGACCGACTGACTTATCTGCCGGGTTAACATCTCTGGAAATGTAATCATCTTGGGTTTGTCAAATATAAAGTTCAGCACTTCACGCTACCAGTTGCAGCTGTGGAGACAGTGGTACAGTTGTTCCTAAGAGCTTTATAGGTCTATGTACTCTCCTTGTGACCTTGCTTGCATTTTTCTTTAGTATATAGATATTTTTACTGTTTTGTACTATCTGGAGCTGAAATAAATTAACTAGAAACATGAGCAACACTTAATAAGTGCAGGAGAATGCAAACGTTGACGTTTGGTCACATGGTTTGATGTGATTAGAAACAGAAACCAGATACTAAGAAACATTCTTTAATTTGTTTTCCCCTTTGAGGAAACATTAAGTATTTTTAAACTTTACACCTTTTGCATTAAGACATACTTTGACAATGTTGCAGGCTGACAGTTTACAAAACGGTTAACACACAAAAAGGTAAAGAACAAATCTGTACAAAGAAAACAAACCTCTCGAAGGATCGGAACACCACCAATAAACATCACATCGATAAGCTTATACATGTTGAATAAAACTGGTTAAAGTTGACAGAAACTTATTTTAAAAAGAAAAGAAACATGTTTGGCTGCGTTAAAATACTAAATAACCCAGACATTGAACTACAGGACCTGTCGGGCAGAATTTCATCTCCCGCGACTTCAAAGACGGGAAAACGTCTCACTCGCACAAACTAAGACAGTGCCATTTAAAATGTTTCATAGTGTGGTTGCGGATTCCAGTCTGAACGCGTCAGAAATAAAAAAAAAAGAACATTTCTGGAGATCAGACTAAGATTCTAGCGGAGTGTGGGTGTGGCCAGAAGAGGGGCCGGCTCCTCCCACGCGCGCTCAGAATATGGCAGCTGTTATGGCTTCCGGTAGGCGTGTCGGACACAGAGTCCACGGCTGCAGAGTGAACACGTTAGTTTGTGGTGTGCGCCCCGACTCCCGGTGACGTGCGACCTCGCAGGAGAGCGCTCCCTCCTCCCTGAGTGCTTCAGAAGCGACCCTCCCCCCACGGCAGCGGCGGGGGTCACGTGAGGGAGCGGCCTCTCTCGCTACCACACTTCCGGCACCTCAAACAGCGACGTCGTTGGTTCGGGTCCTGCTCGAGAGGAGAGAACGAGTCAGCCCCAAAACACACCTGCAGTATTCACATTGTGGCAAAACCAATTTTGTTGAGGTCATTTTGGAGTTTGACTACAATTCCCTTGAGTTGCAGAAGCTCCTAGCAGGTACCATAGACATCCACCCACTGCTGAACCTTTAGTCACAGGGAGCGCACAACTGGTCAAAACACACCTTTGGGCTTCTGCTGCTTCTTCTTCTTTTGACCTTTCCTCCCGTGGACCGCCGGGGCCTGTTGCCAGGGGACCGTTCCCTCGGCGTCGTTGCCTTCGGGACTCCCCTCGTCCTCGGGAGGCGGACTGGACCCCGCCGGATCTGGTGCGTCTCTGCAGGGCACAGCAGCCGCCATGAGCCTGGAGTCACGGCAAAGGGACCACCGACGGCGGCCACGCGGCACTTACCCGGTCTTCAGCCAGCCCTCCGAGGTCTTGCTCTCGATCGCCTCGGCGTGTCCGCTCTTGTCTAAGAAACACAACCAGCATCGCCGCTTGAATTAGACTCCTATAAACCATGTGTGTGTGTGTGTGCGCGTGTGTGTTCACATAGTGAGTTTTTCCTGAATTGAAACGAAATGCATAAGTGCTTTCTGCCTCTATTCACACACACCATCAAGCTTCATCTTCTTGCTGCCCGTGGCGTCTGGGAACGAGTATTGACTCCACCCGTCTGTGATCGGAGCGTCTCCGCCCTGCTCGCCCTCGGCGGGACTGATGCTGCGTTTCCTCAAACCTCTTTGGGGCAGCAAGGGAAATAAGGCAGACAGATGAAAACCTCCACGTACATGCAGAACCTCCCGAGGACGGAGCTGAACACACGGATTTGGCGAGTTTAAAATGCAGCGCAGGTGTACTTGTGATATCCGAAGGTAGCCGCCGTGCTAGCGGAGGTGTAGTGAGGTTTCAGCCAGCCGTCCTCCCCCCAGGATTTGGGGGTCTGGCCGAGCTTCTCCTTGTCCTGCTGCTTGCCCTTGATGTACTCGGCGTACGTCTGGATCCTGTAGCTCTCTGCATAGCGGCTGGTGTTCACGGCTGCGTGGCGACAGAGTAAAAGCGTTTCAGTGCCACTTGGGGTCCGTTTAAACCTCATGTATCTATACGGCTTTCGAAACTCACCGATCTGCACCTGGTCCGTCTGACTCAGGGACACAAATGCTGACGTGTCGTCTAGCCAGGAGACCTGGATGTTCCCTGAGCGAGTAACACAAGCCTAAAGTGAGTGAGCGACAAACAATTAACCTTCTCATTGACCCGGAAATGAGAAATGGCATTTTACCAAAGGCACTGAAGAGCTGGTAGAGGTCACTCGTCTTCCACTCTTTGGGGAAGGTGACAAACAGGACATGGTCTCTCTTAGGTTGCACTGTGGGGACGGAGGGGAACACAGGTGATCGTTGTTTATTTAAATTTCAAAAAAAGAAAAATCAAAAGTTGGAGCCCCAGTGGTTTCTTGTTATAACAGTTTTTCCTCATAACGCGACTCTTTGCCAGCAGCAACGTGCAAATCAGAAAGAAACTGGGAGCCAATCATAAAAACATTGTTCTCCTCGGGGGAACCGTACTGCATTATACTCACAATCGGGTCCTGTGAGGTTGAGGTAGGGAATATCTATTATCCTCATCAGGAAAAGCCTTAAGAAAAATAAATGAAAGAACATAGGTGTTGGTTGCATTTTGTAGTTTATGAAAGGCTGCTGGAAATTGAGGGGCGTCTCTTACTTGTTGAAGAAAGGCTCAACCACCTTGGAGTGAGCGGAGATGTACGCTTTGGGCGGAGTCAGAAAGGAGCCTGTAGATGATGGAGCAGACCAGTTAAAGACACTTGTTCACACCCCTTGGTTGGATTCAAAGAGCGGAGCGATTGCGCCCGTTACCCAGATAGTTGGCCATGGAGATGAAACAGAGGCCCGTGATGTAGGCATCGTAGCCGGCCTCGTGGAGCTGCTCCTGCGCCGTGTCGTAACTGTGGAACCCCTCTGCAGTTTCTGGCAGGTGATCAGGACAGAGCAGGTTTAAAAACAAACCTTGTAAAATGTTGTATGTTTAAGAGCAGCTCAGACCAACGTTACGAGTTTACGTACCGACTTGAGGAGACTTGAAGGGGGCCTCCTTCACCTGTTTCTCCAACTCCGCCAGAGACGTGTTGGTGATCATCTCCTGAGACAAAGTAAAAGCCTCAAATTCTTTAACATAATTGACCAGCGATGCAACACGCCTACACGCGCTTTAGGCATCGGCTTTTCCAAAAGCTCCCACTAGTTTCAACTTTGAAAGGGCAATTTTGCATTTTAACATTTCCAATTAGTAAAACGTAGAAAGTTAAAGAAATCACTTTCAAAAACCTAACAAGAACAAAGAGTGACCCTGATAGTTTACAGCATGGAAGGTAAATTTACCTTAAAAGGCTGAGTGGAAGCCATCAGCTTTGTGTCCAGAAGTCTGCAGGTGAAAGGCAATAATGACAGAAAGCACAACGAATCATCGGTGCGTAAAAACATTTAGGAAAGTGGAGTGAATGTTACCTTGGGAAGACACACATTGTGACCTCTTTAAAGTCTTGAAGATCCTGCAGAAAAAAAGAGCAGTGGCAGTTATTTTTATCAATTACTTTGCAGGAAAACAAACACACCATCTTGGCGTCTCCATGTGGGAGGGTTCACCTCTGGCAGAGGGCAGTAGAACTGGTGGATGGTGTGCATCACGTCCAACAACATGTTGTGGCCAACCACAAGTTTCCCCTGCATGGACATATATAAAAATATATTTGAATGCTGCAGATTCAAAATGCGCTTCATATTCCATCAATTCTTTTAAAATTAAGTGTAATTCAATATTTTAAACTGGTCTCTGGTTTTCGGTTGGCCTCACAGATTTAGAGATGGCGTGGATGACCCTGGAGAAGCCGACAGCATCGTTTAGCTCCTCCTGTTGGGGGTGAAGTCGTGTCGGACACAGACAGAAAATTACACCCGAGGTCAAAATAAACAAAAAAAAATTGCATACAGAAAACAGACGTGACCGGTTCATCTTGAAAAAACCTCGCGGACCGACCTGCTCTCGCTCCCGTTTCTGCTGCTCCCTCCTCTTCCTCTCCTCGTCATCCACTTTGATGACCTGAATGTAACGCTCCTTCTGCGCACACAGAACGCACAACAGTTCACACGTCAATCAAAACCAGGAGCGTTAACATAAGTTGAAAAATAACTTACCTTTTCTGTTTCCACAGTTTCCACATGAAGCCCCTTGGAAAACCTGTGAAAAAAAAAAAAAGATTTTAAATCTTCAATCCAACAGAAAAGAAATAGCAGAAATGTGTTTAGGGACACTCACTTCCAGTTCAGAGTCTGGTAAATCAGCTTTCTCTGAAACCTGGGAGGGAAATATGAGCAGAGTTCAAATTAAACATGTTAGATACCAGTATTGTAAATGTCTCGCCTGTAGGTCACAATCTTCGATATGCATGATTAATACAAAACGATGGAACGTTACCCAGTGCACGGCTCCAAGTCCAAAGTCTTCTCTGAGTTAGTCAGCAGGGCCTCAACCTTCCCTCTGTGGGGGGGGGGACAGCAGAAAGAAATTATCCCAAAGCCAACAAGGAGGCGGTGAATCCCATGCCAGTCAGAGGTCAGTGATGGAGGTCTCCTCCCAGTCAGCCACGGCCAACTCCTCAAAGATCTGGTGACCGCAAGTGGCTCATTCCAAGTGTGAAAGAACATTCACAACGACGGCCGGTACCTCCTACCTCGCTTTGTACCATCACAGTGTAAAACGAGAGAAACATCACGACCTTTTGAGTTCATGGTTTAAAAACATTGGAGAGAAAAAAAATAAAAGGCCCTTACATCACCCGGTTGATGAAGTCTTTGTGTTCCTCGGGTACGTGTGCGGGGCCTTTGGAGGACGGGGAGATGAAGGACGGCGTCCCGACGCCGTTCGCTTGTTGGTTCCTCCTCTCCTCGCTCTGCTCCCTCAGCTGGACTTCCTCATCTTGGTTCAAGTACGGGATTCCTTCAGGGGACACGACGAGTCACAGTTTGACATCCGGTCCAGTGAATGAAGGCGCTGCAGTGGCTCTAAAGTCGCCGCGCCGCTCGGACGCGACGGCGCCGGACGTAAACACCGACTGGCGAAGTCACCCGGGTGTCATGGGACAAAAAAAAAGGGGTAATTCTCCAGTACTCACCATTACAGAACACCTTGTTGAAGTCAAATCCCTGACTGGCCAGGAAATCAATACTGGAACTCTGAAACAACACGAAAAAAAAAAGGCGGATTCCATTTCCATCATAGTTTGAGAAGACGACAGAAGTGTCAGTTTCACAACAGAAACAATCACTGTTTACACACGAAGCCTTTTCATACTGAAGCAACACAGACTTACTTGACAGATGAACTTCAAGTCAGGGGACGTCCTGTTGAACGGTTTCGGGAACACGTAAAAATTAAAAGGCTTTATGATGTACCTGCAGAGACGGGAATACAGGACGATGGAGGTTAGTGAAACTGCTGCATTGCTTATGTCACAAGACTGATTACGTTCATACCATGATCATCGATTCGTCTGATGTTTTGGAATACACCCCAGCATCGGCCACCGGGGAAAAAATACGTACGCAGTAACTCAATTTACATAAATTAACAATAGCTAACGGCTGGATTGCGACACTGAGGCCCTCCTCAAAGAAGATCGCAAAATAAAACAGGAACCAGCGAAAGGTTTTTATAGTCTTAGTGGAGCTTCTGGTTCAGTGGTGCAGACTATCAAAGATCATTTCAACTAAATGAGCCAAAACTAGTTGGCAAGCTCGTGGGAACCTCCGGCCTCACAGCCTCGCTCACACGGGGACAATCAATACGGAGGAACCAGAAAGGACATGCAAAACATCTTGCATCATCTCTTACTGGAGTCCTTTGGGATACAGAGATCATGCTGCAGATCCAAGATCATAAACCTATAGCTCTAAAAGTTGTTTATTTGAAAAGCTGATGACTCACTTTGACTTTTCCTGGTCGTACTTGAATGTACACAATCCAAATTGGAAGAGCAGGAAGTCCATAGAGTGCTGATGGACAGAGACAGAGAGATACTACAGATGAGATATGCGGTTAAATGGAATATGGAGGGAAATCAGAATGCATTCAAAAGCTAAAAGTCACGAAGGGACGGAAACTCCGCGGACCTTCTTCAGCTTCGCGTATCGCTGCTCCGGAGTGTCCAGCCCGTTGGTGAGCGCGCTGACATTAGGACCGTCGCTTATTCCTGACGCAAAATAATAAACAAACACATGTCAGAATCAAGCCACGCAGCGTTGATTATTTGGGTGCACTCGGCGATTGTTACCTGAAAATTCTCCATCGATGGCGAGGAAGTCCGCCTCCTCTACGGCGCTGCACACCGTTTTCAAAGTGTCCTTAAAATCTACAGCAAACGAGAGAACGCGCATCAACAACCAGCAGCGACGCTAGCGGAGCAACGCGCATGGAAACACCGCGGCTCTGCGAGCTAGCTAGCTAAGCTAAGCTAGCTAGCTAGCAGAACAAAACGCTGTGCAGCGGTCTCGTCCGTGTTTTAATATTTATCAGGTCACTGCTCTGCTGCGCGTTAAAACGAAGCGTAAAGCGACTTGGGGGAAACGTGAGCGGGTGAAACGCGGTCGGTTACTCACTTTGGCGTGTCACCTCCATCCCTGCACAATGACTGAACCGGGCTGACAGCTAACGCTAGCTAGCCGACGTCACCTGGCTTTTAACCGTTAGGGTAACACTTCCGGGGCCGCGGCCCCAGGACGACTCGCGGTCGGTGTTTTATTTACGTTAGATTTTATATTTGAGATGCCATCGCTCGTGTTAAATGTGTTTATATCTCGCGTTATATTTAGACTTTTTTTTACAAAACATGTTTCGACTTTTTTTTCCCCCCATGACACAAATATATAATATTTAGACTTTGACCTCATATTTCTTTACTTTTCTTTGCCTGACATTTTTCATTCTAACATATTTTCACTTTTTTTTTCAAAATGTTTTTGACATAATATTGTATTTTATTTACACGTTTTAAAAATTAAAAAGTAACATTTAACTGTATGTGTCAAATGAATGTACTGGAGTAAAACGTAGTATATTTCCCTCTAAGAAGTGGAGCAGAAGTAAGAAGAAGTACAACTTTTTACATGTTGTAGTTCAGTACGGTTCTCGAGTATGTACAACTACCAATCTAATCTAACACCTTCCTGCATAATTACATGCTTTCTAACATCAACTAATTAATTAAATGCAGGGACCTCATGCATTCAGATTCAACATAAGCTGTGGATCGTGTTTGTGTCTCTCATGAGTTTACTTTCCTGTCTCTGAAGGCGGGGAGGTGTTACAGCTGCCAGCGAGAAAAGACGCAGAGCGGTTTCTGTGATTATCATCAGCAGTTCATGTGCCGAGATGATCATAAAATAAGTCTTTCTCATAAAAACACGTCTTCCCGGTGAAATATTCCCTCCGCTGGAATAAAAAGATGACATTTCGGGAGTAGAGAGAGAATTTTCTCCTTTTTTTTAAAGGAAAATACATCACCTTTTATGAATAACGTTTTCACCACTGGTATAATTTAGGAGAATGATGTATTTCATGCCTTTGGAAATGAGCAAAACCTCTGATTTAAGGCGTTCAAACATAAAACACAAATCTATATTATCCGATTATAGTTGTTTATGCCTCAACAAACTGTATCACTATTATTATATCTTATAAATGAGTATTTTTAGTTGTCTCGGATGTCCACTGCGCACAGATTATTCTCATCATCCTATTGTTTTTGATATGACAACAAGCCGAGGAGAATATACTTATCTATATATACATATCTGCTAACGGACATCAAAATAATCCAATAAAAGCATCTCACTTTGAAACAAACAAAAGAGAAAAGAAAGACCAACAAACGCCCTCATGACAAAGACATGAGTGGCGTAAAATAGATTACAGCAGAGCAAAACACGGTGGTTACATAAGCGGTATATGACAGCCATAATTAAACCGATGTAATTAAATATGGTTGATGAGAGGAAGTGAGTGTGGGAGGGAGAGTGTGTGTGTGTGTGTGTTGAACTTTAACGGAGGGCTCTTGAATCACATTGATCCATGGGATGCCTTTTATTTTTCGACGACCTTTGTGGTGTCATTTCTGATTTACTACTTTGGTGGTTTTTCCTCGACCCGCACACGCAGTCCGAATCCGTAATGTGCTGTTGAGGAAAACTGCAAACGTATCCTGTCAACTTTCTCCAGCTCCTGCTTTCAACGCCTGTTTGTTCACGAGGACGGAAACGTCCCGTCGGATCGGCCGAGTTCACAGCTGCAGGAGTTTGTTGCTGCTGGTCGTTCTCGCGTCATCACCAGAGGGAAGTTAATCATTTTTCTTGAGCAAGATTTTGACTTTTGCTTGTTGCACTGTTTTTCTGCCCTGTGTTGGTGATACTTTTGACTTCTTCCGTCACTCGCTGACCGCAATTCAGATTCAACGTAAAAGAAGAGGGACATCGGAAACCAGAGGCCTTGTTTCGTGCAGCGACGTCATTGGAAATTCAGCGGCTGTGATGTTTCAGCTGTGATGAAATGTGGCAACTATCCTCCAGAACCACATCATTTTTTTAGAACAATTCACCATTTGTGATATTTACTGCTGCAGGTTTGGTCCCACATCACTTAAATTGAATCCGCTTTGGGAAATAATCTCTTTATAGCCGCCATATCACAACCAAACATGATGTTAATGCAAATGTGGCCTGTCGGTGTTGTGGAATTGTCTTCAAATGGACAGCGACAGCACTGAGATGACAGGAAATTGTTGTATAAGCAACCGTATATGTGTACATATGTTATCGTAATAATAACATGTGTGTTTTAACAATGTGCGCTCATTACCCGTCACAAGTGAAATGATACAATTTACTCCTTTTTAAATGAAGTAATGGTTCTCTGTAATTGTTGAACTTGGACATGCAACTATTTCACACCTTCATATCTTAGATCATTTCCCAAATATTCCCCTTCCTCCACAAGAGGGCGCTGCGCCCCTAATGTCAGATTTGTCTCGCTTTTAAACCGTGCCTACCCCCTTCTTTCACACGCACACACACACACACACACACACACACACACACACACACACACACACACACACACACACGCGCACGCACACACCTGCATGAGAACACTCGCTGGCCATAAAAGCTCTCTGCTCCCCCGATTCATCAAAGCACAGCACAGCTTTTCCAGTCAAAAGGAGCGCGACGGGGAAGTCCAACGCCGGGCCGCGGCAGGCCGAGCATGAAGGGACGGCGTCGAGTCGGAGAGAGGGATGAGCGGGGGGGATGGAGCGGGCGGCGGGGGAGGAAGGTCGGAGGGCCACTCGCAATTTGAGGTAAAAGCAGGCTGAGGGGATCCATTAGCATCCATCGAGTGAGCGTGTGCGTGAGCGTGCGTGTGTGTGTGTGTGTGTGTGTGTGTTGTTTGTTTACTGATTCAACCAGTGGTCAATCAAGCTTTTTTTGTCCCAAATAAGTTCCAGAGAGTCCCCCTGGGGGACGGGTGCGTCAAAATACAATACATAAGGGAGGTTTGATGAAGGTCAAAGAGGTCGAGAGGCCGCAGGCTCCCGATGCGGCGGATGCAAAAGGAAAAGGACGATTTTAGACGGAGACTCGCTCATGTCTCATGTGTCACGAGGTGGTTCAATAAACATTTTATTTCCCGCTGAACACATAAAAGCGCGCGTGCACACACGCACACACACACGCACACACACACACACACACACACACACGCGCGCGCGGCGCAGAGGGGAGCTCACACTTTTGGTAACCTGCTCAGACAGTCGTGTTATTGCTCTCCTAATCATGCGTGAGATTAGGTGGCAGCACACAAGCAAAAAGCCGCTGTTGATACGTCCTTTTCCATTTCATCACTCACACACACACACACACACGCACACACACGGGACACACACTCTGTTTTGACCGGGCCCCCGAGTGAACAGGAAGCCGCCTGGCGTTCAGGCCGAAGAGAGGAAGGAATGAGTGCGCTGCGTCGCTGCGTAGCCGTGCGGGCGGAGGGTGGGAGGGAAAAAAAGAAAAGTTTCTCCGAGTTGTAGAAGTGTAACAGACGAGTAAGAACAAAGAGCAAAATGCTGGCAATTACGGGAGAGGAGCTTTGCCGGCTGCTTCTCTCTGGTCGGGTTCTTCGTCTGAAAGGAACTTGTGGGAGGATGAGCAGTTTTGCTGCGATGAAAGGGAGGAGTGAATCCCAGCTGTGGAGGCGAGGAGGAGGAAGCCTCCGTCTTGGAGGTGAGGCCTGTGGAATTTGTGACGACCATTTTCCCTCACTAGTGCTGAATGTATCACATGTGATGATGTGCTGTTGATTCTGTGGTGATGAGACTTCGTCTTCCGCTATTTTTGGGTTCCGCCTTGTTTGCCGTCCGTGGGACTGAGGTCTCAAAACAAACAAATTTGACTTGTTGAGTTTGGCGCAGACAAATGCAAACATCTCGCAGGCACACGAGGATTAACACAGACTCAACATTCAGCGGGCAGCCGACCTCAACACTCCCACAGAGCTGAGCATGATGATGATGATGATGATGATGATGATGATGATCTCTGCCTGTGATGGCACTCGTTGCCCCAGACATTTTGAATTTACCAGGCCTCATTCTAATGTCCAAATAACATCTCCAGCTGTACGATACTGTTAATAGATAGATGGATGGATGGATGGATGAGACATAGATGGATGGATGGAGGATAGATGGATGATAGATAGATGAATGGATGGATGGAGTGTAGATGGATGAATGGATGGATGGAGGATAGATGGATGGAGGGTAGATGGATGGATGGATGGATGGAGGATAGATGGATGGAGGGTAGATGGATGGATGGAGGATAGATGGATGATAGATAGATGGATGGATGGAGGATAGATAGATGGTTGGATGGATGGAGGATAGATGGATGATAGATAGATGCATGGAGTATAGACCGATGATAGATAGATGGATGGACGGATGGAGGATAGATGGACCATAGATAGATGGATGGATGGAGGATAGATGCCATGATAGGTATATGGATGGATGGAGGATAGATGGATGATAGGTATATGGATGGATGGATGGAGGATAGATGGATGATAGATAGATGGATGGATGGAGGATAGATGGATGATAGATAGATGGATGGATGGAGGATAGATGGATGATAGGTAGATGGATGGATGGGTGGGTGGATGATAGATGGATGAATGATGGATGGAGGATAGATGGATGATAGGTATATGGATGGATGGATGGAGGATAGATGGATGATAGATAGATGGATGGATGGAGGATAGATGGATGATAGATAGATGGATGGATGGAGGATAGATGGATGATAGGTAGATGGATGGATGGGTGGGTGGATGATAGATGGATGAATGATGGATGGAGATACACACATATATGGATATGTAGATAGATAGACAGAAAGACAGACAGATAGACAGATAGATAGATAGATAGATAGATAGATAGATAGATAGATAGATAGATAGATAGATAGATAGATAGATAGATAGATAGATAGATAGACAGATAGACAGATAGATAGATAGATAGATAGATAGATAGATAGATAGATAGATAGATCGATAGATAGATAGACAGATAGATAGATAGATAGATAGATAGATAGATAGATAGATAGACAGATAGACAGATAGATAGACAGATAGATAGATAGATAGATAGATAGATAGATAGA